CTCCATTTATATTTTACTTTTTAAAAAAACTTGGAGGTTTTAGTAGATTTTCTATGGAGTTTTTTAAAAACTCCAATGTAGATACAGTTAGGCCTATAGACATATAACGGAATAGCTAACTCGGTTTTGTTATAGATTACTCTAGGCTATCCCTATACCTCTACTATAATTCTACGTGCCTATTATAATAGGATCTAGTACTATTTACCTTGTAAATAGCCTTAGACTTCTCCCGGCTATACGACGTATCGACACGCCTTATAAATAATAATCTACTACTTATCTAAATAGTAGAAATACTCGATGCCTCCTATAGACTCCTCTATCCTACGTAGTCTCTATTAGTGCAAATCGGGTTAGGAACAGGTTAGAAATAGGTTAATTGTCTTTTCCCTCCCCTCTAACGTCTTACTATATACCTATCCCTCCTGATCTAACGTATATAGGCTATACTATAATAGTATATTCTCGTAGTATTACCCTATGCCTTCTCTACGAATCCGCGCCTTACCTATTAAACGCTCGGGCTATATAAGCTACTCGTACGCTATAGCTCTACGTCTATATGCTAGGGAACTTTAAACTCGTTAGACGCACTTCTATTATACCTCCCGGGCTAATACGGCCTCTGTTCTACATCGCCTCTATACTAATCTCGCTCGCAAAAATTCGCTCTATTACACTCTCTAATCTAGGCGCGATTCGACGGGTTAGAGGAAAATAGGATCTACCCCCTAGGCGAAAATGGGATCTACCCTGGTCTAGGGAATACCCCCGCCGTGCTGCGATGCGTCCTAGCGGGCGGAAAATGGTATCTTATAAGGGACCATTAGGGCATCTTAGTGAGAGCGTAATCCCTATAGCAGTCAGGATAACATTGCATATAGACCCCTAACCCTAGTCGAACAGATTACGATAGGGATCGTGTAGTAGCGGAGGAGGCGCGACGAATCGAGCACATTACGACGGCACGGGGGTAGTAGCGGAGGAGGCACGACGAGTCGAGCAGATTGCGATGGGGATTGTGCGGCAGCGGAGGAGGGGCGACGAGTTGGACAGACTGCGAGTAGAAACGGATTGCGAATCACATGCGAAGACGAAGGATGTACGGCCATGAAAGGAGGAGAGCGAGAGATTTAAGGCGAAGGTGGTATGGCAGAGGAGAAAATGCGGGAGAGGAGATGCGGGGGAAGGATTACGGAGCAGGATTGCAGCCGCATAGCGCACCCTGCCACTGTCTCGTGTATCTCAGAGTTTGAATGTGCTAAAGACTGATAACGGCGGATGTAGAGGGCGGGTCGGACACGATGTAGGAGGGCGGCGTCGAGAGCAGAAGAGGGGTGAAGCTGAGAGGGTAAGGCAGACAGTACGATGCCGTGGGAGCAACCTGCGCAACAGTGCGCTGTACCTGTCGGCCCCCGAAGAAGCACTTCGGATCCCGATCTGGTGTTGGGTGAGCTCGTTAACCTGCAAGACTCTCGCCGACAGTAAATTGGCGAGATCTTCTGCTTTGGAGGCACGCCTCGAACAGCTGCGGTTTGACGATCTCGAGCGGAGTGTCTGATTTCATTGAAAACTCTGAACAGCTCTGGCATGGCATATCATTCAACTGCTCTATTGTGATCTCGCTAGAATTCCACTTTGAATCTCGTGCTCGTCCTAATCCGCTCGCCGTAAAAGTAGAAGATGAGGCTCACCGGCCACAGCGCGAGCGCGATGAAGCCGAGCACGGAGTTGCCCCAGCCTAGCCCGAGCGCCTTGTACATTGAAGGCCCAGCCAGAGGCAGGAAGGCGCCAACGAGAGACCTCATGACGGTGTTCGCCGCCATGGCGCTGGCTGCGTAGACGGTGAAGGCGTCGACCAAGTACGTGGAGATGGGCATGAAGGTCAAGATAAGCCCGGCGCCGACCCATCCGGTGCCGACGATGGGCATGATGTATGGGAGGTGGTTCTCGGCAGACCAGCCGTACCAGAACAGTCCGATTGGCACGAATGCAGCGCCGAGCATCATGATTGGCAGGCGGTACTCTGGCTTGCGCTCGGTGTTGTTCTTGCGCATCAGCTTTGCGACGGTGCGGTCGGATGTGGTGGCGAAGATGAAGAGGCCAATGAACATGCCAATGCCGATGCCGAGGAACGAGAGCCCGGCGACGCCGCTGCTCCAGTGGTAGTCCCGCTCGTAGACGGAAGTGATGGTGGTGAAGAGCAGGTAGAGATAGCCGTAGACGATGGCCATGTAGAAGCTGAGAAGGAAGACGATGGGAGAAAAGAGGAGCATCTTCGTTGGCCGGACAATCGCCTGCCTGAACTTTTGTGTGGGGGTGAGTCCACGGTCGAGCTTGCTGCGAAGGTCCTGGTTCCCTGTTTCGCGGCGCAAACGATCGGTCTTGCGCTGGAGCAGGATGACATGGCTGGACTCGCGCATCGTGAAGTAGGTGGCAATCGTCATCACTCCCGACTGTTACCAAGGTTAGCTGGAGTCTGGAGAGGAGCAGAGGAAGATGCTCACGGCAATGGTCAAGACTCTGAAGATCCAGCGCCAGCCCTCTGCTTCACTGAGGAACGCGCCCGCAATTGGCCCAATCACCGGGCCGAGAAGAGGTCCCAAGGAGTAGATGGACATGTATTTGCCGCGCTTGTCGCCCGGTATCAGATCCGCGATGGTGCCGCTGCCAATTGTCAAGGCGCACACGCCGGCAACCCCCTCGAAGAAGCGGAAGACCAGCAGCGAGCCAAGGTTGGGAGCGAAAGCACACGCCAGAGTCCAAGCGACGAAGAGAACATTGCTCACATGATAGACCTTTGCGAGAATTAGCGTCCATTTTGGAAAGGGACTTGGGATGGTCGGGAAGGTACCGGAAGTCTACCGTATATTTCGGACAACGGTGCGAGGAAGAGGGGACCGGTCGCGTAGCCCAGCACATAGATCGACACGATGAAGGAGCCAAGGGTGATGTCGGTGCTGTGGAACTCGGTGAGAATCTGCAGAACGGCCGGGGCGACCATGGAAGAGGCGAGGGGGGTGAGGAACGTCCATGTCGACACGAGGGCGACGTTGGTGATTTTGAGACGCGAAGACCAGTTCAGCGGGCACGCGGGGTCATCCTCGCCCTCCCACCCGACAATGTTGCTGGGAGACTCGGACTGGGCAACATCTTCTTCCATGAGCGAGGCATCGTGTTCTTTCGTCGCGAGCTTTTCCGGGTCCGACATTGTGTGATGATGGAGGTTTCCGAGAGGAAGAGCTCCCAACGGGGACCATGATGTGATATATCCAGTACAGATTGCATGAGTTGATCTCGGAGTGCTTGGTTCCGTAGAGTGTGGTTTTGTGTGCCCGTTTGCCACAGTTTATGCAAGTTGTGCGCGCCGGCTCCGGAGGCACATCTCCCGAATATACGACGCGATGATGCATGTAGAGACGGGACGGACAACTCCGCTGCCTTAATGCACGTCGACTTTCTCGCAGTTGAGTTGACTATTGGACCCAACTCTTCGGCGTAGCGTTGTGCGGTTGATTTGCAGACGTCAGAGGTCCATTGCTCAAATTCAATGGTGTTTCCTCTGTGGCAATGATCGACGCAATAATCTGGATAATGGAATGATCGGACGGGGAAGTGGACTGGAGCAAGGATGTCCAACGAAAGGGTTTGTACTGAGGCAACAAGTATGAAAGGAAGTGTCATTACACAGGGTATCATCTAAAGTCATGCAATCGTACCTCTTCCGAAAGCGCCATCACATCCGATTATCCTTGCAAGCAACCTGAACAATCTCCTGCTTCCCTTTTGCATTCAGCACCAACGCCGTAAGCTTCCCGCCTCTCACGCAGCCAGTGTCCAAGCCCTTAGTCCATCGTTGCAGCTGAAGGCCTTCGCGAGAATGGTGCCCGTAGATGACGACCTGAGGCTTGGGGTATTTCTTCTTGCTCAACGCCGACGGGTCCTCCTCCTCCCCAACGCGAAAATCTTTCAGCGATTTGTGCTTGAAGAGCCGCTCGTTGTACCAGCACCAAATGTTATGCCACGGCTTGCTCTTGCTCTTGGTCTCTGCCTCCTCCACCAGCGGGCGGTGCGTCTTGGTGTGGATGGCGCGCATGTTCATGACAAAGTAAGGATCTTGCTTCTCGAGCGACACCGCGGGGACGAGGCCACCATGCACGACAAGGATCTCCTCGGCAATGGGCGAGCTGCGTTTTTCGGAGGGTTTGGAGGCGAGGGGAAGGGCAGGGATGCGGAGCATCAGCGGCATGTCTTCCAAGTACTGGAGATGTCGCGGTGAGAGCTGACGAAGGAGCTTCTTGTCCTTTTTGCCGGTCGTGTCGAGTGGGCCGTCCACAGCCAAGACCGACGGGGCGAGGGAGAGAATGCGGTCTTCGTGGTTGCCTCTGACGCTCGTTGCGTTGAGGCGGAGTAATTCGTCCAACACCTCCGCGTTGGCCGGTCCTTTCGAGATGACGTCTCCCACGGCAATCAGATGGTCGGTGTGCTCGTCAAAGTCCAGCTTCTTCAACAGCGCCTTCAGCTCGCGTGCGCATCCATGCATGTCACCGATGAACACCAGTCGCCGCTTGCCGTCCTTGTCTCCCGCACCTCCCGGCAGCAAATGCGCCGGCAGATCCAGCAATCGCTGGCCATGAAAACGGTGAGTCTTCTTTGCAATCTCAAAGTCGGCCGGAGGGTTGGTTATGAGGAAGCCTTCTCGAATCTCCGACTCTTCCATCCACCGAGGTCGAAGGTGCGTTTGCCAGATGTAGAGGTGGGCGGCGGCGACGAGGAGGAGTATGCAGAGGGGCGTGATGAACGCAGGCCATGATTTCGGATGGGGTCGGGGTGGTTTGGAAGGTGTGGGAGGATCTCCAAATGTCGAGTATGAGGCTCTCTTCTCCTGCCGCCACGAACCGGCCCTTCGTCCCGCTAAAGGTGCTCGCTCGCTTCTTGTCGTCGCCATGCCTCCGCCGGAATCTGCAGAGGGTCGAAATCAGTCGCGCAGGCTCGAAAGAACCAGCCGCAGTTTCGAGGGCAGCTGGTGTGTCGCAGCCATGAGCGGGGGATGAGTATGGAAGGGGAGATGCGAAAAGTCAGATTGACGCTTCCTCGCTTGGCTGTTCCTGGCGGAAAAGCCGTGCGCGTCATTCCTTCCACAAGCGGATCTGCACACGACACGTGGGTGTGGAGAAGGCGCGGGATGCAGGGATGTGGAAAGTCCACAATAATTCAGGTGAAGACAGTGGCAATGGGTATCATGCGCCGCCTAACTAAACGCTGCCCATGATCTGGCGTTGAAATAGCCGTGGGAGCATCACTCAAACATACCATCCCCGCTGCCCAACCGCTGCATCATCCTCCTCCCGCCGATGCTCAATTAACGACTCCCGAACATCAAACGCCTCAATCAACTCCTGCCACGTAGAATAGTCGATGGAGAAGACGGCTTGATGCTTGCTCGTCTTGTTTGCCCGCTGCTGCTCGAGTGTGCTGGGCTCAGATGGGACTGCGGGAGCAGGTTAGCCAAGTCATCTCTCACACTTCACCCAACACCACTTACCAACAGTCGGCAAACCCTGGGAATCATGCTGAATGCCAAACGTGCCCTCCTTGATCAAGAAGCTGACGTAAAAGAGATTCTCCACCGTTTGCCCGAAACTTCTCGGATTCAAGACGTAGTCGAAGAGAGAAGGGCCACCGGTATCCGACACTCGATACTTCTTGAGCATGTCCTTGCCGCGCTGCGTCTCCAACTCCTCGATCGATGTGAAGCCAGCCTGTCCAAGCGCCGTCTCTGCACGCTGAACATGCTTGATGAGGTGACTGTTGATGCGCTTGCAAACGGCCGTCAGGGTGTTCTCGTCGGAACGGGAGAGATCTTCGCGCGAGAGTGCTTCCGGCCGCGCCTCTCTCTGCGCGCCGTCCTTGGCCTGGCGGGCACGGCGCTGAGTTTGAGACCGATGCTTCTTCTCCACCGACAGCGGCCCGAGCAGGAATGAGGGAACACATGGTCGGGAATTGTAGGGGAAGCAGGCGTGTAAGCCAAGGAATGCCCAGTCGAGCGGCTCATTGTCGTTCCCTTCATCATCACTGTCCTCGCGCTCCCGATTCCTTCTCCTCCGCGGGTTGGCTGCTGCCTCCTCATCCTGCTCTCGATCGATCGGGCCGCCGTTTCGCATGTACGTGATGCACTTGGAGAGGAACTCGTCCACGTCCACGCCGGTGGAGCTGTCCCCGAGGACGAGCTGCGCGGTCTTCTTGTAAGCCAAGTCGGAGACATTGACGAGCAGACGGGAATCGAGAGTGGCATCGTTGGTCTGTTTGACACCGCGGTAGATTTCATCCGCCAGGCGTACGGTTCGTCGTAAGCCGGTGCCGCTCTCGCGAAGCAGGCCATCACGTGTCTCTATCCAATATCAGCCATATCCCCCGCAACCTTGAACCACGCAACCTACCATGAAACTCGCGCTCGAGCGCGCGACTCTTCCTCTTCACCTCTCTACGTTCCTCCGGATCTTGGTTGGGGTCAAAGTAGCGGTTGAAGCGAGCCTCCTCCTCATCCGACTCATCCTCGCGTGTTTGCTCACCACCTCGCTTCCTCTTTTGCCCTCGCGTCGTGTCGCTCTCGCTGTCGTAGGAGGAGGGTGTGGGCAGGCTGGCACGAGAAGCCGGTCTGTCGGAAGCGCGGCCCTTGCCATTCTCCATTCGCGGGCGCGGATCTTGGTTTTCTTGATCGGACGTCGCGGTACGGCCTGGTGTCTCTGACTCGTATCGGGAAGAAGGGCGCGCGTTAAGACGTGCCATTTCGCATCTCGCGGCGGAGTAATGAAGGGCGTGGCGTGGAAAGGCCCGAGAGTATGAGCGAAAGGAAGGCAAACAGAGAGGAAGGGTGAACTTTGTTGAAACGCGACGCGCTTCTGACGTTGCCAAGACCTGTCACCTCCGCGGCTCGGCCGCCTGAAACTCTAATTGCGGAGGCATGATCACCACTGCATACACAATGAATGAATGAAGAGATGAAAATGGGCACCGTGGAGCCCTTCACCTTTGCCAGCTCCGCCGATCTGCGCATTCCCGTCGCAGTCAAGGTGTGCGTTCTCCCCTTCCCCACTCTCACCAAGATCGACAGACTGACAACTTCCCAGGAACCGCCTGGAAGGACATGAGAAGCCCGTTCCATACTCTACCCTCCTTCGACGACCCGATCTTCGCCACCGCGGCAGCAATCTCAGCCCTCACTCCGAACTATACATCAACGTCCAGCCCTTTGCAGACTCCAAACCTCTCACCGTCCACGCCCAAACCCCCCACAAGCACTTCAAGACTGCGCGCATCTGGAATCAATGGCTCTCCCTCCCCCTCGACTACAACACCATCCCGGCCAACACCCAACTCGCCATCACCATCTGGGACCTCTCCCCCATCAACCCTAACGGTGGCGACCGAAATCATCACATTCCATTTGGCGGCACAACCATCCCGCTGTTCGACGATGACGCCACACTGCGAACGGGCAGACAAAAGTGTAGAATTTGGAGGCACAAAGCTGCCGATGGCTTCTCAAACACAGCCACACCATGGCGAGAACCTCGACTACGGGGCCGGCAGAGCGTTCAAACGGACGAGAAGCAGCACGAAAGGGATGCCGAGCTTGAGCGTCTGGTCGGATTGATGAAGAAGCACGAAATGGGAGAGATTTCAGAGAACAAATGGCTCGACCAACTAGTCTTTCGACAGATTGAAAAGCTGGAGCGCCAGCAAGTGAAGCAATCTTTTCGCCCTCGATCTCTCTCGCAATCCTCCATCGACGAGGACCCTCCCTCTCCAGCCTGCGCAGAAGGTGATCCCGATCACACCGACGGCAGCTTCTTCCTCTACATCGAACTTCCCCGCTTTGACCACCCCGTCGTATTCACCGACCACGAATACCCACCTCCTCCAATCTCCGCCATCCTCCCTGCGCACTTCCCCGCAAGCAATACCGTTAACTTCAAGCCACCTCCAGAAGTCCAACTCGGCCCCGGCATACGGCCGAATGCGAACGGCGCCAGTGATACCGACGGTGGTGCAGACTTGATTCGCATCTACGACCCCGAAATCGGATATGCCGACAACCTTGCAGAGACGAAACATCGCCGGCTGATTCGTGGCCAACGCAATGCACTCGATCGAGATCTCAAACCGAACCCCAAAATGCGCGACTTCCTCAACCGCATCATGTCGTATGGCCCCACGGTCGAGCTCAGCGACAAGGAAAAGGACGAAGTTTGGCGATTCCGCCACCATCTCACGCGCGAGAAACGAGCATTGACAAAGTTGGTGAAATCAGTCAATTGGAATGAGCCGGCAGAGGCCCGACAGGCCATCTCATTACTACCCAAATGGGCAGAAATCAACATCGACGACGCTCTTGAACTCTTGGGCCCGGGAGTCCGAAACCCCACCGTCCGAGCCTATGCTGTTGACCGCTTGCGGAAAGCGGACGATGACGAGCTGCTGATGTATCTCCTTCAGCTTGTGCAAGCACTCAAATTTGAAGCACACCCCTCCAAAGAGGCAGAAGTGGTAGTAGACGACTCATCCCTGGCATCCTTCCTCATCGCCCGCTCGGCTGCCAACTTCAAGCTCGGAAACTTCCTTCACTGGTACTTGATGGTGGAGCTAGACGACGATACCGCCACGCAAATGGCCAAGAACAGCAAAAAACTCTTTGCGCGCGTCAGCTACGACTTCATGATGGAGCTCGAGTCCACTCCAGAAGGCCACATCACCCGCCAGGCCTTGCGCAGACAGGGCGAGTTCATCACAATCCTGACCAAGTTCAGCAAAGAGATCCAGAATTCCCGCGCCGATCGACCAAAGAAGATTGATATGCTGAAGAAGATGCTCGCCGATCCGAAGAATGATATGCTCGCCTTCGACCCACCTCTGCCACTGCCTCTCGACCCAGCGGTAAAAATTACCGGCGTGGTTCCAGACGACTCCAGCGTGTTCAAGAGCTCATTATTCCCGCTCTACGTCAACCTCAAGACGGACACGGGCACGTTGTACCCTCTCATGTTCAAGACGGGCGACGATCTTCGCCAGGATCAACTGGTCGTGCAAATTATTGCACTGATGGACCGATTACTTCTGCAAGAAAACCTGGACCTCAACCTCACGCCTTATCGCATCCTGGCGACTTCCGCCCTGGCCGGCGCCATCCAATTCATCCCCAACACCCCCGTCTCGAACATTCTCGGCAATGCAAAGTTCAAGAGCTCCATCCTGGGCTACCTCCGCTTCCACAATCCCGCTGCGGCCGGCACTCCAAGCATCCTGGGAGTTCGCAAAGAAGCCATGGATACGTATGTGAAATCAGTCGCGGGCTACTGCGTCATCACCTATCTACTAGGCGTTGGTGATCGACATCTGGACAATCTGTGCCTCGCTCCAGACGGTCGCTTCTTTCACATCGATTTTGGCTACATTCTCGGCCGCGATCCCAAGCCAATGGCACCACTGATGAAGCTTTCGCGGGAAATGATTGAAGGAATGGGCGGATCTGCACCCGGGAATGAAAGCCAATTCGATGCCTTTCGACAGTACTGCTTCACGGCCTACACGACATTACGCAGGAATTCCAGCCTGATCTTGAACCTGTTCGCCTTGATGCAGGACGCAAACATCCCGGGCCTCAACTTCTTTGGTGGCGATCAGGCGGTCCGAAAGGTGGAAGAGAGATTCAAGCTGGATGGGACGGAAGAAGAGGCGCTCAGCTTCTTTGCGCAGTTGATTGAGCGGGAGATGGGCGCATGGGGCCCGGTGCTGATTGACAAGCTACATGGATTTGCCCAAGGGTGGAGAGCATGATTACAACCCCTTACTCGTCACGTACAGAAAGTACGGCTCCTTGAAGTTGTCCACATGAGTGAAGAACTTGCCAAACTCATTCCTCTCCTCTTCCTCTCGGAAGATTCTTTGATAAATCTCCCGTTGCTTAAACTCCTCCAACTCCGTCTCAAACTTGCCGAAATCCAGCTTCTCCCGCCCGTGCTTGACGGCTTGGAGTTCGTTGTAGGAATCGAAGACGGGCCGTTCGAGTAGCAGGCCCAGCCCCGGCACTTTCGGGATGGAGAAGCGGGCAGGGGTGAGGGATTTGTCCAGAGTGGACAAGTCGGAGCCGCAGCGGACGAGCAGGGTGACCATTCCAATCATCTTGCGGATCTGATGCATCATGAAACTCTGGCCATGGATCTTCAGGCTGAGCCATTCAGACTTCTCTTCATCCGGACCATCGCCTATCAGCACGGGACGTTTGTTGACGACAAATGACTTGATGTGACGCTTTGCGGATGGGTCGTTGTATGTTTTTTGCACCGTGTAGTTGTGGAAGTTTGAGGTTCCGACGAATTTGTCGAGCGCGGCCTGAATCTGATCTATGCGTTGTTGTTCGATGCGGTATCGACGCTTCGCCGAAGTGTAGGCTAGACGGAGTTTCTTCGTCGCCGCTCGGAGGCGGAGATGATGGTCATCTTCGGGGGAGGTTTGTTGTGCCGGGACTTCCGTGTCCAACGTGGTAGTTGAAAGTTCATGAGACTCCTCCGGCGCACCACCGACAGTCGCTCCATCCGCGCCTTCATCCACGCCATCATGATCATCCTCTGCCGTGTCCAGAGTCACCGCGTGCGCATCCGTTTCATCTTCCCCTCGAAGTGCTTTGATGACGTCGTCACGAATGTCCGCGTCCAAGGATGCGAGTACCGGCTCGATGTCGTCTCGATCAACGCGATCCCAAAAACCATTGACCTCCGCCTGGCGAGACTCGTACTGGACGCGGTCACCAGCCTCGTCCGCGCCTGCCTCCAACTTCTTCGCCAGCCAGCTGCTGGGATGAGGCGGAAGGAATGCGTGCGATGGGATGAGATACTCATACCACCGACTGTCGCACGCTTGGTAACAGCTGAAACTCCCAATCGTCCTCTCGATGCCCCATATGCGGATTTGCGGAGACAGATGGTGATTGATCTTGGACACAATGTCTTCATCCTCCACAATGAGCTTGAGACTGATCATATTCCCGGCAGCATGAACGCCTTTGTCGGTCCGGGCGCAGCGAACCAGTGATGCTTTCTTGGGATCATCTGCATTCGCTTTACTGATTGCACCGGCAGCAATGAAAGCGTTGAAGAGGTCGCCTTCGATGGTCTTTTCGGAGGCGGAGATTTGCATGCCTTTGTACCCTGTCCCAGAGTACCCGATCAACACGGCGACTTTCCGCTTGGGTCGACGCTCTTCTGCATCAATTTCTTCTTTGGAGAACTGGGTGCCGTAGTTGGGGCCTTTGCCCTCGAGACGCTTCTCACGGGAGGCATTCGTCTTTTCGCGTTTGTCTGGGGCATCACGACTATTCGTCAGTCAGCTTCCTGGCGGTGCATTACGGAGCGAAAACGTGGCAACGTACAAGTACTCTCCTCTTCCCATATCGCCTTTCTTATGTCGCTTACGGTCATTCGATGCACCACCTCGCTCTCCTCTTTGATTCCTGTGGCGTGGCTGGAAGTCCAACGGAGCTCCCTTGCGCTTGCGATCGCCGTTGTTGTTCTGCTTGGAGTCCGAGTCGGGTGCACCACGTTCCGCTTCTGCGGCATTGGAGCGTGCGGCAGCATCGATGAGCCGACCAGCATCCTCAAGCATCGCCGTAGAGTGCTCCATGGTGGTTGGCAATGTGGCAGCGGCCACATGTATGGATTGTGAGTGGAGTATTCAAGTTGTTGAAGTGAAGTTTGAAATCTCCAGACTTTCCCAAAGTGACAGACGAGCGGGGCGGGACGGGACGCAATCGATAAGACTTGGCCCGCGCATGCTTCCAGGTCATCACATCTGCCTCGCCTTTCGACTGAGTGCTCTTCTCCAACGCTTCACTGCGTTCGCCATGTGAGACCTTCCGGCGCCGCGCCCTTGTCTGCCGCTGCCGCTGTCACTCCTTCATCAGCCCACGCAATCCAGCCCTTCACCCTCGCCTGCTCCCGCCCTCTCTCCACCATGGCGGACTCGGCGGCCTTGCTGTTGCGCACCGTCACGCGCGCCTTCTACACCACCGAACACATCCTCGTCATCGACGCCCTCCTGCTCCACAGCACCCTCCCCGACACCGATCTTGCACACGTGCTTAGCATGCAGCCCAAGGCATTGCGAAAGCTTTGCGGACGGCTGAAAGAAGACGGCCTCCTCAGCGTTCAGATTCGCGCGCAGAAAAAGACGGATGGGAGCCAGTCGTACTACGCCAACTCCAACAACCCTCGCATCATCCACAAGGATTGGTACTACATCAACTTCCACCACGCCATCGACAGCATCAAGTACCGCATGTACCGGCTCAACAAGCATGTCGAAAGTCTGGGTGCTCCCACCACCGAGAAGAAGGACTTGGTGTGTCCGCGATGCAAGGGGCAGTATACCGAGCTCGAGGTGTTGGACCGCATCGACATCGGCACCGGCGTCTTCCCGTGCCCCCGCTGCGGCCACGCACTGACGGAAGTGGAAGAGGATGATCGGGTGAGCGAGAACGAGAGTATGAAGCGCCTCAATCTACAGCTGGAAAAGATTTTACGCCTCATGCAGCAGATCGATGCCGCCAACGTCCCCGAGAATGACTTCCCAACTGCCCTGAGCAAGCAAAAGCCAATCATCCGAGCAGATTCGCATCCTGGTCAGCAGCGGACGGAAGATGTCGATCTTCCCAATCGCAACCTGCAGTCTGCCAAGGGCATGGAACTCAAGCCGGAGAAGATTGCGGTGGACATTCAAGACGATGAGACGGTGAACAAAGAGACCGAGGCCGCGGAGGCGCAAGCACGACGGGAGAAGCAAGCACGAGCAAACGCCTTGCCGGATTGGATTGTCAAGTCGACGGTGTCTGGCGACATCACCGCAGCCGGCGCCAAGGAAGAGCGACTGCGGCGAGAGCGTGAAGCTAATGGCGGGCTCGCTCAGGCCGAGGATGATCAGGAAGAAAAGAAGCCGGCCCAGGATCGAGATGATGTGGTCATGGCGTCGTTTTGGGAGGAGTTGGCCAAGGCGAAAGCGGCGGCGGCTGCGATAGCCAAGGAGGAGGATGATGACGATGAGGAAGACGAGGAAGACGAGGAGGAATTTGAGGACGTTGCAGTGGTGGATGGAGTTTCAAACGGTCATGCTCCGAATGGTGTCTCTCGATCTGTTTCAGGCTCGAATACACCGGCAGTCGAGAGCAGTAATGCTACCGATGACGAGAGAGATGCGAAGCGTGCGAAGATTCGGGATTCGGAAGTTGCGGGACCTTCGAGTGAAGGTGATGCAGCACCGGCCAAGGCTTTCCAGGATACCCCAGCAGCGAGTGACGAAGATGACGAGGACGAAGAGTTGGAGTTTGAAGATGTGTAAATGCCGAGTCGTTATGTTCAGACTACGGATCTAGCTCGGAATCCGTACCGAGCTGAAATGTCACTCCGCCTCCCTCCGTGACCTCCGCCCCAGTCTCGGCGACAACGGTGTAATTGACGCTCGTTGTGAAACCCGCGCCACCACAATTTGTATTGCCGATGTAGTTGCCGTAAGACGCTCCGACCTGCGATGCCGTGCCGTTGTAGATCGCACCAAAAAGCGCAACCTGATTCGAAGGAATCGGGCAGGATTGGTCGGATACAAACACCAAACACTGATCCTCCCCGGGCCCAAAGTCGAAGCCTTGGTAGAAAAAGACCACCGAGTTTGGGGTCTGCTGCGCAATTACACAGCAGTCATATGCCGAAGCTGCTGGCTGATAGCTGTACGACACGATGGACTCATTCTGCTCGTCGAAGCTTGCCACGGCGAGGCCATAGCCATCGATGGGATAGTCGTTGAATTGGTTTACCAGATTGTTCGCCGCGCACGCTGCGTAGAAGGTATAACTCGGGATCGCTACCGTGGATGTAACTGTCGGCGTCGTAGTCACTGTTCGTACCCTTGTGGTGGATGAAGTGATTGTCACGGTGTGGGTTTCTGTTATCGTACTCCGCGGTTGATTCGGGAAATGGTGGTGCACCGGCAGAGGATGTTAGTCTCTTGGATGAAGCGCGCAAGACGGGTGAAGTAGCATACATGTGTGAGGGTCGTCGTCGACGTCGCGGTTCTCTCCCCGTGTGCGAGTTTATTGACGACAGCAGTGGCTGTCAATGTCTCGGTGATGGTCGAATGAAGGACAGTATTGCACACGACAGATCTCGCCCTTCCATTCGGGCGAAAGCCGGCGGGTATTGCTGTGAAATCTGGCGAGTCTGCTGCACGCTCCTCTGCTCCGCCACCTTCTCGTCTTTGCAGTACACCTACACCGGGAAGCGAAGACTCGACAGGTATGAAGCCGGAGGGTGTCGGTAGGGTGACGGGTGAAATTGTAGTGTTGAAGAGAAATGTTGACGCTTCGGCCGTCTCGGTGACTCTGCTGTGTCTTCTATGGGTGACTGTAACTGGCACAGTGATTGTCTCGGTAACAACGCTCTATTCCGAGTCAGAAACAGCCGTCATCAGATCGCAAGGGAAACTCACGGCGCGGGTTCTATGATGTATAGTCGTCGCAGCTTTTTGCACCACTGTAGATGTCGCGCGCGTCGGCGTGTCGAGCGATTTTGTGCTTCTCGCCACCTCTCTCTCTGTCACTGTGACTCTCGAGATCGTGGGAGAATGGTGAATCGTTGGCAAAGGAGCCACCTCGGGCCCAAACCCATACGCCGTGTGGCATGATGATGAGGCATGCCGTAGCTCCGAAGGAAGAATATGTGAGGACGCTGCAGAGAGGAAAGAACAGACGGCGAGGAGAAGAAAGTCGTGCTTCATCGCGGAAAGGACGGTTCAGTAAAAGGCAGAAAGAATGACTGCAGTTGGAATGATGGAAGACATGTAGAGTAGAGACACGAGGAAGAGTGCCGGGCAGCTGGGAACGAGAAAGGCACAACATCCGCCCTTCGCGTGGGCAGGCTGTCCGCGAGGCATGTCAGTAGGTCGTCGCTTGTCTAGACCACCAGCATCCCGCGTGGCGGTGTGGTCAATCTTCAACGGTCAACTTTTAATTTCTCCACTCCCAAAACGTCGACGCCGGTCGGAGAATTCGACGCTGACATGTGGTGGAGATTGCCTTCGCCAAGAACTACTGCACAATTAAGCCACGCCGCGGAGATGAGAGCGAAAGCTTGAGCGCCACCACACCCAGTCCGAGCTGGTCTGACGAGGCTAGCCTCGGCGCTTCCGACCTCACATGCCTTGCCTGCCATGCCATCCAGCAACTTCCACATCGCCCCCAGTCAAAATCAATCTCCACCATCACAACCGATTCGCTGCGCCGGTAGCTTCAGCCAGCCCAAGTCTGTTCCTGCCGCTGCGGTCCCTCTTCTTTAGACCAGGCAAAGCGAAACATCAATTGGAAGAAAGCAGGTATGAATCAATTGGGAACGACCTCAGCAGATGATACGGCTTATGATTGTATTACTACGAAACTGACATATGACGGAAAATCAACATGGCACTCCTCTCGCCTCTCCGTGCCTTTGGCTGGCCAACACTCTCTATGCTAGTGCACCGTCACCATCTTGGCTACCATTGTCGGTGGAGTTCCCAGAGTCAGAGGTGGAGGGGTCCCCAGAGTTATTGTTGTTGTTCTCCGTCGTCGCCGGCGAGTCACCGGAATTGTTGTTGTTGTTCTCGGTGGTGGTGTTCGCCGGAGAGTCGCCGGAACCATTGTTGTTGTTCTCCGTGGTGGTAGGGGAGTTGCCGTTGTTCGACGGATTGCCGTTGTTGCTGGGGTTGCCGTTGTCTTCGATGGTGGTGGTAGTGGGAGAAGGAGAGTTGCCGTTGTTACTGGGGTCATTCTCGCTGCCATTGTTCTCCGAGGTGCTGGTGTTGGTGGTCGTGGTGGTGGTGGTGGCGGGCGAGTTGCCGTTATTCTCGGTGTTGCCGTCGTTGTACGGATCGTTCTGGCTACCGTTGTCCTCGGTATTGCCATTGTTGCTTGGGTCGTTTTGGCTGCCGTTGTTGTTGCCATTGTCCGAGGTGTTGTTGTTGGTAGTGGTGGTGGTGGTAGTGGTGGTAGGATCTTGGCTGCCATTATTATCGCCAGAGCCGTTACCGTTGTCGTACGTGTCGCCATTGTAGGAGCCGGAGGTGATGGTTATGGACGAAGGAGTCGACGACGATCCTTGGGTCGAGGGCGCATAGCCAGAGGAAGCAGCGCTCTCGCCGTTGGAGCATCCGTATTCACCTTCGTGAGGGGTCAGGACTGGCGACATCACAAGTAGTAGCGTTGCTCCATCACTTACCACATGCCGCAACGGCGACGCTGGTGACGTTCTGGTTCGCTGCAGCAGCGCCAGCCGCTATTGCACTCGTCAGCATTGTCATGGCGAGATGAATCATTCGTGAGACATACCGCCAGAGTATTCACCCGTGCTGGAGGAGGTTTGGGCCACGGGCTGTACCGGAGGAGCCGGCGAGGGAGAGGGCTCGCCACCGTAGGGATCTCCGCCGGAAGGCTCCCCGCCAGAAGGCTCCCCACCAGAAGGCGCTCCACCGGAAGGCTCTCCGCCGGAAGGCGCTCCGCCGCTGTAGGGGTTCGTCGACGGCAGAGGGGCGGGAGTGGGAGTGGGAGTGGGAGAGGTGTACGGGGACGATGGTGGCGATTGGACTGGCGGGCCACCCTGATGAGCGTGGTGCGGGACCGTCTTGTGCGGTGACGACCCATGCGGCGACGACCCGTGCGGCTTCTTTTGGCCTCCACGATGATGTCCTGGCACTGGAGCGGCAATGGCCAGGGCGGAGAAGGCTCCGACCAAGTAGAGAGACACGCGCATGATGGGGATATGTTTAACGAATGGATGTCGTGAGACGAGGAGTAACGAGCGTGTGGTGCAAGGAGTGACTGGAGGAAAGGCTTGATCGAGCGAGCGAGGGACGAGAGTGACAGTCCTGTCTAATAAGTGTCTTGTGCTCGCCGTTCATGACCACGAGACTCGCTTTGCAAAAGCATGATCAAGCCACGAAATGAAGTCAACAATCACCAATTTCCGCATTCTCTCCCAGCCTCGAGGCTAGAACCCAGCTCTGTCCGCATGGGGGGCAGCGACGGCAGCCTTGTTCATTCGTAGCGCGCTAGCCAAGACGACAAGCTTAATGTCACATTCAGGCTAGCGGGAACGCCACCCACGCTACCCCCTTGCACCTGTGGCGTTTCTCGCCACGCACGCCCACTTTCGTTCGTGCTATTTGCGCCGTCCAAATCTGACAAAGACACTACTGAAAAATAGCTCGCTTCTTCGCTCCGCTAGGTGCAATCTTACGGAGTGACGCCTGGCAGTGGCAGGTGTTCGCGCGCATCACACCATCTTGCCTCCGACGGCTAATCTCCGCGGCAGGGAAAGAGGCAAGGCCAGACGCGCGCAGCGTCGACATGAGTCTATTATTGCTATGGCCTCGCGAGACGAGTCGGCCGTGGGGCGTCGTGGCGCTCGCCAACGCTATTACTGCGTCCATGGGCGTTGTTGTTACGTTGCTGCAACAAACGTTGGATACGAGGCAGGCGTTTGTTGAAATCGGAGGCGATTGCACACGCATAGCCGGTGGAGTCACAACATTGATTCAGTCCTCCATGCAGCGCGATGGTGACTGCGGTAGGCCACGCCGCCAGCCACTTCCAGTCCATAATAACGATAAACTCGACTGCTGCTGCCGCTGATACTCTGAGAAGCCTTCAAATGCTCATGTAAACAGCCTTCATCATTCTCGCCCGCGGCCGATGCGGGCTCTTTTCACACCTCGTCAAGAACGGATGAAAGCAGCAGAGACAACGACTGCTGCTCGCTGCGCGCGGAAATCCTTCTGCCGAATCCACGTGTGGGGAGCGCGGCAAGGCTGAGTTCGGCTTTGCCGAATCCGGGGTTTCCGACATTCGGCGGCTGATGTATGATCGGAGGGAGCGGACTGGCACTTCCGATCTTCGCCACCGTCGGCGAAGCAGCATGAAGAAGTCGCGTAAATGTGATGCCAAACTGCCTGGCGGTGTTGAGGGGCGGATAGAAGATGTGAACAGTCGCTACACAATTCATTTCCGTCTCAATCGTTGTCGTATCTTCTAGTAATGGACATCTTAAAGGGCAAGAGCTATGTGGTTACCGGTGAGTATAACATGGACGGCGTAGTCCGTTCAAATCCTGACTATTCCTCCCAGGCGGTGCTCGAGGCATTGGTTTGGCATGCTGTCAGGCCATCATCGCAGCAGGTGGTCAAGTAGCTGTTCTTGACATCCTCTCCGAGCCCGATAGCTCCGCTGCAGCACTGCAAGAGGCGTCCAAATACCACTACTTCTCGTGAGTTGCATGCTCTGGATGTGAAAGGCGTACAAAAGTTTAATTCATGCATCCCGCAGCTGCGATATAGCGCAACAGCAAAGCCTCGAGCCAGCATTTCACAATGCTGTAATTGCACTTGGGGGACAACTCGACGGCTGGTGAGTTGTCGCGAACATTTGGTCACGACTTGGAAGTAACGACTGTTCAGTGTGTTGGCTGCTGGTATCGGCCTGGACAAACCGTTTGTCGACATTTCGGTAAGCTCAAAGACTAGACTGGAGCCCTCCTTCTTCTAACGCAGTTTCAACAGTGGGCGGAGTTTGACAGACTTATGAGAGTCAATGTAAGCGTCCAGCTCTGCCTTCCAACTCACTACATCTGATTGACTCTCGCAGCAATCTGGAATCTTCTTCGTTGCACAATTGGCTACGCGCGCGATGCTCCTACAAGATGTCGACAAGCACGGGATCCGTGGTAGCATTGTGTCGATTGCTTCACGGTCCGCTTCTGGTACTTGTCCTGGTCACTTGCTCAGCGCCTATGGAGGTAGTAAAGGATTCGTAAAGTCCTTTACTCTCCAACTCGGTCATGAGTTGGCGGGCAAAGGCATTCGAGTCAACTGCATCAGCCCGGGGTAAGGCCTCCATCCGCCTGCTATGCGACGGCATCTAATGGCGGTACAGATACATCGAGACCGAGCTCAACCTGAGCCTCGCCAGAATTCGACCGGAGGTTCAGTACTTCTTCACCGAAGCACCTCCACTGAAGCGAATTGGCCAGACGTCAGACGTAGCAGGTGGTCTGATTTATCTTCTATCAGACGCCGCTTCGTACGTGACCGCGATTGATCTGCCGATTGATGGAGGGATGACGGCAGGCACTGGTCTCACAAAATGATGGCGATTTGGGGAAGACACGATATATAGAGTACGCTGCATTAATTTTGATCTCATCCAATGCTCATCACATCAAGCGACCTGCATGAATCCCACCGGTAATGAGTGTGTCCTCAGCGGTCTGATAAGCACTCGCATCGGATAGCAAATACACCACAATGCCCTTGAGATCCGTGCGATCGGCCATACGCCGCATGGGCGGTTCATGTGTCATGATATGACCGAGGTGTGGCATCCGCTCGCACAGATCCAGCGTCATGTCGGTTACGGTATATCTGCGGGATGACATCAGTCTTTGAAAGAAATGATAAATCAAGTACAGTCAATTCTCACCCTGGCGAAATACTGTTGACCCGGATATGATGAGCGGCGAGTTCCACACCTAATGCCTTGGCAAGCGATACGACTGCCCCTTTGCTAGAGCAGTAGTCGCTGGTGCACTGTCCTTTGCTAGCCACATACGCTGCGATGGACGCAACAAAGACAATGCTGCCTCCATGTGGGTTAAAGTCGGTCGGTGCTTGTGTCGTCATTTGCTTCGCCACGAGCTGCGCAGCGTAATACGTTCCCAGGGTGTTGATTTCGAAGCATCGTGCAACCGACTTTGGGTCTCGTTCCAGAAATGGCTCGTCGGGGCAAATGCCAGCAGCGGTGATTCTAGATACAAGAAGTCAGATGATAATCTCCATGGCCCTGCCTTCGTGGACAGCCTACAATCCGTCGATCCGCCCAAAGTCTTCAACAATCGCATCAATTGATTTTTGCAAGACTTCATATTTCGTCACGTCGGTCCTGATGCCCGGATTAGAGAGCGCAGTCCACGGTGGTCTGGTTCGACTTACTTGTAATGCTTGAACTGTTGCTTGGGATGACGTTTTGCAAGCTCATGGAAATGCGGATGCGGTTCGTCAGCGACGTCGAGGATGGCAACATGACCGCCAGCCTCTGCCACGGCAAAGGTGAATGCCAATCCGATGCCGCGCGCGCCTCCAGTTATGACGACGGTTCTTTGCGCGAGCGAGAACAGGTCTTGTACAGAGCGACGCAGAAATCCATCCGGGTCACGCTTGAGCGGCCGTGGCGTGGAACCGTTGGTGCCAGGCGCAGCGTGAGCGTCGGGGAACTCGATATGGCCGTTCATGGTTGGCGCGGTGCTTGACGGCATGTTCAAAAGAGGAAAAGGTGTCGATGAAGAAATCAGGAGGAGTTCCTGCTCCAACTTCCTTTACACTTGTACGTCCGTCGATCGCACGCGGAACCTCAAACCCGTCAGGTCCATTCGGCATGATACGAATCCCGTCCCCCGCACTGCCTCATCGGGAGAAGCGCGCCGCTCCGACACAAGGCTGAGCAGCGGAATCCGATTCCCGAGCCGATGCGGAGCGTGGGGATGGCGAGCAGGAAGATTGTGGAGATATATTCAAGAGGACCACCTTGTCACGAGGCACAGCAAAACACGATTCACACCTCAGATCGACCACCTCCGATATGCCCTTACTCGAAGTTTCGCATCCCTCAGGGCTGCACGCCGCAAAAGTCATCGTTGAGAAGTCCAGCAACGGCGAAGTGCTCATCAATGGATCCGCCCACCATGTAAACGGCCAACCCACGAACGGTGCTCATAAGACCACGGAAAGCAAGTCGAAGAAGACACAGCAGGATGATCTCGCAGTATTGAGTCTTCGAAACCTTCTCTTCGACATCTGCAATCAAAACGGCGGAGGGCATGGAGGCTCGGCGATTGGTATGGCCGCCATTGGCGTGGCCTTGTTCAAATACGTGATGCGATACAATCCCAGCAATCCAGATTGGTTTGACAGGGACCGTTTCGTTCTCTCCAACGGTAAGTCAGCCTTCTCCTACGATGGCGCCTCTACTAACGAGTGCAGGACATGCGGCCATGTTCTTATACGCCCTGAACCACCTGGTCGGATACACCAACTGGACCATGGACGAACTGAAAGGATATGGTAGCGCCAAGCTGAATGGATATACCACTTTGTCCCATGCCCATCCAGAACGGGAGGTTCCAGGAATCGAAGTGACCACCGGCCCGCTTGGACAGGGCATCGCAAATGCGGTTGGACTGGCCATTGCAGCGAAGAACCTCGGCGCTCGCTTCAACCGCCCTGACCACTCGGTAATCCAGTCCCGCACATATTGCATCTCCGGAGATGGCTGTCTCATGGAAGGCGTCGCTCTCGAAGCCGTGGCGCTTGCAGGCCACTTGCAACTCGACAACCTCGTTCTCATCTATGACAACAATCAGGTGACTTGTGATGGCCCACTGGATTGGATCAACACCGAGGATGTGAACGCCAAGATGAGAGCGTGTGGATGGGCAGTCCTTGAGATTGCGGACGGGTCATATGATGTTCAATCAATCGTCGCCGCGCTAGAATACGCCAAAACGGTGAGAGCCAAGCCCGTCTTTATCAACATCCGGACGGTCATCGGACTGGGTACCAGCGTGGCCGGCACATCGAAGGCTCACCACGGCGCGTTCGACAATACCAGCATAGAAGAGTCCAAGATGGCGGCCAACATCGATCCTGCGAGCACGCACACAGTACCCGAACAGGCATTGGCATACTTCCGGGAACGTCGCACTCATGGTCAACATTTGAACAACGACTGGGACGCGCTGATGAAGAGATATGAGCATACCTTCCCCGAACTGGGTGCCAGCCTTGCCGAACGCATCGCCGGAAGCCTCGGACAAGAAGTACATCACGCACTAGACGGCATCGATACGTCGACTATGAAGCACCTAGCAACCCGGGAATCCAACGGCATCATTATGGAAAAGCTGTGGCCCATTTGCGAAGCGCTCTGTGGTGGTGGCGCCGATCTCGTCAACTCGAACAAAGTGTATTACAGCGAAACCGACGTCTTCCTGCCAACTCATTACGCTGGCCGATATATCCGATATGGCATTCGAGAACATGCAATGGCGAGTATTTCGAACGGAATAGCTGCATTCAATCCCGGAACCTTCATTCCAATCACGGCCACTTTCTTGATCTTCTATCTCTACGTGAGTTTTCGTCGGTCATGCTGCTGAGGCGAGATCGTCAGCTAATGGTGCAACAGGCTGCTCCAGGTGTCCGCATGGGCGCTTTAAGCCACCTACAAACGCTGCATTTCGCAACCCACGATTCCTTTGCAGAAGGTCAGAATGGCCCTACGCATCAGCCGGTCGAAGTTGATTCTCTCTACCGCGCCATGCCGAACCTGACATACTTCCGCCCTTGCGATGCCGAGGAGACAGTCGCGGCGTGGAAGCTGGGCCTCATGTCTCACGACAGTCCCACAATGATCTCGCTGGGTCGTGATCCAGTCGGCGACATCCCCAACACCAATCGAAAGCTGGCTTTGAATGGAGCGTACGTCATCAAGGAAGATAAAGATGCAGCGGTGACTCTTGTCAGCTGTGGGACGGCTCTTCATCGTGTCGTTGCCGCTGCACGCCTGCTGGCTGAGGAGGGTGTTTCCGCGCGACTTGTCAGCTGCCCAAGTATGGACCTCTTTGGCAAGCAGGACCGGAACTACCGTGATACCATCTTCCCTGTGGACGGCAGGCCGATTGTCAGCGTAGAAGAATACATTGCCACGGGCTGGGCTCGATACGTGACCGCGAGCATCGGAATGACGGGCTGGGGCTATTCTGCGTCAAGCGAGAGCAACTACCAGCGATTTGGGTTGGATGCGGACAGCATTTCACGAAAGGTACAGGCATATTTGAAGGACTTGAACGGAGTCAATGCTCGATCAGTTGGCTGGAGACAGTTGTGATAGCTTGAAGCAGCGCTCGTTCAGCGGGAATGAAACAGCAGGTGCAGAAGATTAATGGCGTTCAAGGTGTAGTACAGTTAGATGCAGAGTAGGTGGGAGGGAGATTGAATGAATTCATTGCAAGACCTCGTCTGCTTGACATCACGACTTATTGCTGACCACCACCTTCATCACCATTTTCCCATCTTCATCTCGAGGGCAGCCTGCCAGTGCCAGAGCTTCGGCGACGTTGACAACGCCCTCGCACCGATGGGTGATCATTTCCGCGACTTGTGGCCCGGAGCTATCCTTCCTGCTCGCCTCAACAATCTGAAGAGCCTCGCCGTAGCAATTGGCATATCTCCAGACCGGCACGATGTCGACCTCACGCGCGCTGGCATCTGAAATGGGGAGGCTGACGTTTGGAGTGCCCATCCCGACCAGCACCACTTTACCGCCACGTTTCGTTGCCTGTATGTTTTTTGATTAGTGATGGGACTTCTCGCTAAACTTCCTCTCACTCACAAAGATGGCGCTTTGTGCGCAGACTTCGATACCAGTACACTCGAACGTGTAGTCAGTCGGGCCAAGAGTCGAGCCGTTGACGAGTGTCAAACCCGCTATGGACTTTGCGGTATCGCGAGCCATTGCGAGGCTCTCTTCCGGCGACCCTGCTCGTTTGCTGGTGACAACGAATCCTGTATCGGCAAACGTCTTCTCCACGGCAAACGCAACTCGGTCCGCTACAACATCTGCAATTGCAATCTTCACACAGCCGGCATTTCGCGCGGCGATGGCACAAAGCAGCCCAATGGGCCCAGCGCCGATGATGGTGCACGTTGAGCCTGGCTGTACGCCTGCACGGCGACAAGCATGGACAGCTACCGCAAGCGGTTCCAACAACGCGCCTTCATCGTAGGACACTTCCGGGGGAAGCCTGAGATGATCAGCAAGTTGATTTCTGTTCACCCTTGGACTGATGCCTTACAGATGTACCCATTTCGCCGGGTGATTGATTCTGGTCTGCATCGTACCCTGAAAATGGGGCCATGCTGAGCCACTGCCGCGAAACCGTAGTTTCTCGCAGAGATTGTAACGATTGGAAAGACACAGATCGCAAGCCTCGCATGGAATCCCACATTCAACAGCCACGCGATCGCCCACTCGAGGGTTGGTCACATTGCTGCCAATTGCAACGACCTCGCCCGCGGCTTCATGACCGAGACACAACGGCTCCCGCACCTCGATGCTACCATTGCAGCCTTTCTGAAAGTAGTGGAGATCGGATCCACACAGCGTCGTCGATCGGACGGCCAGTTGCACCTCGTCCGCCGCTGGTGGTGGCAGTATTCGTTCCTGCGCTTCGAACTCGCGCGGGCCCGTCAGGAAAAGTCCTTTGCTGATTCCGGCCGTCATATTTGCGGTGAGTTGCACCTGAAATGACGATAGAGAAGGGGAATCATATTGGTTTACTGTCTTTCACGCTCGGGCGACCGCGCCGCATCTCCAGCATCGGAAACCAGAATCCGGATACCAAATTCCGAAGCCTTGTCGGCCGCCGCGTCAAGGCAGGTGCAGGCCGCCGGCCCGAGAGAAAGGTCTGCCATTTGATTACATTTCTTCAAAACCATACTCCAGCATAATCACTACCCTCTCTCATTCTCGTGCTCTCTTCGCCTTCAGCAATCATGTCGCAGTACGCAACACATCTCAATGCCATCATCATCGGGGCAGGGCCGGCGGGAATCGCCATGGCTTACCAGCTCAAGCACAAACTTGGCTTCAACGACTTCACCATTTACGAGAAACTCGACGGCGTAGGAGGCACATGGCGAACGAACAGCTACCCGGGGTGTGGCTGCGATTTGCCTTCCCATCTCTACTCGTTCAGTTTCAATCTCAATCCAGACTGGTCGCAGGAGTTGTGTGAGCAGCCTGAAATCTTGCGATACATGGAGGACACCGTCGACAAATTCGACCTGCGGAAGCACGTCCATTCCTCCGTGGAGTGCATCGGCGCTGAATGGCAAGACAAATTGCGGAAATGGAGAGTGCAGTTCAAAGACCTCCAGACCGGGATCGAGTACTCGCGCTATGCATCCGTCTTCGTGTCGGCCGTCGGCGCCATCTCCTTCCCTCGCGATGTAAAATTCGCTGGCATGGAGGACTTTAAAGGTCCGATGTTTCATACCGCACGCTGGAATCATTCCGTCAGCTGGAAGGGCAAGCGAGTTGCGGTCATCGGGAATGGCTGCAGTGCAGCGCAAGTGGTTCCCGCTCTGGCCAAAGACGCTGCTTTCGTGAAGCAGTACGCTCGAAGTGCACAATGGTACCACGCCCGACCAAATCACAAATTCACCGCCGCGGAAAAGTGGGCGTTCCGATGGGTTCCCCTCTGGCAACGGCTGCTGCGCTTGACCATTTTCCTGGAGGCGGATGAACAAACGACAGCTTACTTTCCCTCACCCAAAGGACAGCGAGTCCGCGCCACCGCCGAAAAGGAATCAACAGAATACATCAAATCCAAGGCTCCCAAGAAATACTGGGACTTCATCGTACCCGACTTTCCCCTAGGCTGCAAACGACGGATTTTTGACCCCGACTATCTGGATTCCTTACAGCGACCGAATGTTGAGCTTCTGAATCATGGGATCGAGAAGATTACCGAGACAGGAATTGTGTCAAGCAAGGGAGACGTTGACAACTTCGACATCATCGTCCTCGGTACAGGCTTTCAAGTCGCCCAATTCCTGACACCAATGGAGATTGTCGGTGCAAACGGGGCCAACCTGCAACAGCAGTGGGATGAGTGTCGAGGAGCGCAGGCGTACATGGGCACCTATGTGCACAACTTCCCCAACCTCGCAATCATCTTCGGCCCCAACACCTTCCCGGCGAACAACTCTGCTCTATTTGCGTGCGAGACACAAGTGGACTATGCGGTGAAGTCCTTGTTTCGGCCGCTGTTGGATGGCCGGGCGGACATTATCGAGGTCAAGCAGAGTGCCGAGGATTCGACGACGCAGAAGATCCACGAAGGCCTTGCAGCGACTGTCTTTGCGGGCGACTGTTCGAACTGGTACATTGGCAAACATGGTCGGAATACAGCATCTTGGCCTGGTCTGGCTCGATCGTTTTGGTTGGCGACATACTTCCCGGACTGGAAAGCGTTCAATATGCAGGGTGGGAGCAAGTTTTGGCCGTTGCGTGCTCTGGAGAGGAAGTTGCGTTTCTTTTCGAGTGGCAACGCAACTGCAAAGTGGCTGGCGTTCTTGATTGCGACGGGTATCATTGTTCGAGATCGCACAATTGTCGCAAGGTTCTGTCGACAGGCCGTAGATGGTTTGCGCAGGGGCATTGTCGGCCTGCGGTCATAAGTAATTGGCTTCAAAGTGCCGTGTACCGCTGATATAATCCCCGCCGTGAACCAGAGCGCTCTCGCTTGAATGAATTGTTCCTGGAATAAAATTACAACCGATATCGTCTCATTGTTCGTTTGTAAGCGCCGCTATGGCCGCGTACGTTTCGAACTGCTCAATGCATCGCCGGCACCCTGCCAGGAACTACTTCGTCGTTTTCCCGCTTTCTGCCCGTATATCCGATGCCATCGCTCTTGGATGAGTAACAGTCCGTCCAGATGCACGCGCGCACTCACATGAACATTGGACAGCTCGTCAAAGGCTCTCAGAAACGTGTTCAGATGCACCAGCACATCATCGCGACTGTCTCCATGATCCAGAACAGAGATGGCGGCAAAGATGAGAATCAAAGCGGCCGACGGAAGCATCTGTGATGTCTCGACGTCCATCCGCCGACAGCCGAAGCGGCTTTCGAAGATGGCCACGATGCGGGCCATCTCACATGCAGAATTGACGCAAATCCGTCGGGCATGCTGATATCCTCGACCTCGTTGCGGATTGGGTTGGTGTCGTCGAGATGTCCACGGTCGATGGACAAGGATCTGGAAGTAGTGGTACTCCAAACTGCATCGCAGCAATCAGCATCGTGCTCTGGCACATCAAAATCCTCCTGCTTGTACATACAGCAAGACGAGAACCTGCGGAGTGACATCAATGTCCCCTTGGCTCACAAGGTTCAGAGGCTCTGGGAGGTTATCTTTCCAAGAAAACATGGCAGATGTGGCCTTTTCCGACATCTCCATCAAGGCCCCCGACGATATCTTGACGTTTCCATACCTACCAAAGTCAGTACGCCACTTCAAGCTGCCAAAGGTGTATACGAACAATGCGCGAGCAATCGGCTCCACAAGGTCGCAAAGGAGGATGCGCTGCTCTGAAATCATGCCAAGGAGGTCTGGTATATCTCTGATCTGGATCCGCGAAGACCGAGAGTAAGCTTGTGCGATACTTTCCCGCGGGTATTGCTGCCAGGAACTCGGAGAGGGCTTGAACGCGGCATCCGGTCTCCGAACCGTAATCTCCGAGGCGTCCAGCGTGAAGGGGCGTCCCAAGCTGAAGCTCATCCGGCTGGTGAAACCCACGTTAGTGATGCGGAGGACGGGATTGAGGGTGATATAACTCACTAATTCATGACGTAGGAGGCCCAGAATGTCATTTGCCTGGCCTACTTCATGTCAGTGTGAGTTGTGCTGGTTGTCAAGGCCAGAGAAGCACTCACCTGTGCTTCTTGAGTGGATAAGATTCCGCGTTCAACGTATGGATCGGTGTTGACGTGCAGGCCCAGATCGAAACAAAGCCTCATGGCCATGCCTACGAGATGAGAGTACCATTAGAGCGACGACTTCCCGTCCAAGCGGACACAAACTCACCGTTGTACAGCCATGAGCGAGCAGTCCGCTGAAATCCCGCCTCGTGGCTACTGAGCAACAGCAGGGCCTGCACGGTGGCGACGCAAGGACTGTCCAGTTCGACTTCCAGCAAGATTTTGGAGCGATCGGCGAAGAACTCTGCCAGCGGCCTGGGAAATGTCACAAGTTTCGAATGGTAACGGGCTTCGAAATTGGCACCGATTGCACACCTGGAACGAGGTCAATATCTCAATAGTAGGCATGTCGGATGACCAAACAAACATTGCATTGGTGAGAACCTCCGAATAATATCCGCCATCTTCAATCCCTTCGTGTGCTTGCTCGCGTGCGCTCCAATACATGGACTTGCCAACGACCGGGTTGCAAGAGTTGTGCCATGAAAAGAAGAGCTCGATGAGATGTGTCTCGAGCTCGGGATCGATTTGGCGGTCGAGGTCAGCGTTCCGAAGAAGATGTGCACCATCGATTCTGACAGACCGCGGGGAAGAGTATGGACCAGAATAGCTACTCCCGAAGAGGTGCGTGTTGGAAGGCGTGCCAAAATATCTCAACTTTCCGTCCGGGGCTACGTGTAGAGAGCCAAACCGTGCCGCCACCTGGCCAATCAGCTCTGGATCGACTTCATCATCGTGATTGTTGTCGGTGATCGCCGGCAAGACCAGGCCATCCGCCCTGCCCGGCGGTCGCGGAAGAGTGTTCGAGAGCCCAGCGAATGGCTGCGCACTTGTCAGGGTATCCATACCTGCAGGGAACAGATTCATCCAGTCCCAGTCAGGCGAGACGGTGTCCTCCCAATTGATGGAATAGAGCTCGCCGAAATCCAGGCTCTGTTCAAGATTAGAATGCAAAGTCGTGTCTGCCTGCAAGCTATCTTCGGGGACGTGTGGTGCTGCAATTTCGCCACTCATGAGCATTGTGGAGTCACTCTCTCCGAGGCCCGTCAGATCTGTCACCTGATGTTGGGAACCATCACCGCCGGTAGATGAGAATACCAGAGCCTCGCTGGGCAGCTTCGGCAGATCGACCGTGTCGAGGGCCTTGTTTGCTTGCTGCTCGTCATCTTCATCCATGGAAGGAGGTGTAACGCCGGCTTGAAGGAGTGCATCATGGAGAGCGACTACCCGGCGTTGTAAGATGTCCAATATCGGCCGGAATGATATCCTGGGCACCTTCAGTCTCCACTGCTCAACGGGCTGAGGTTCGACCTACCGCCGCTTGTCCTCTCGCGCCTCATAATGGCATGATCTGCCCCTCCGCGCACAGCTCCCGCATCGTGGACCAACACCGTCACACTTCTATCGTCAGTCGCACGCAATGCGCTTGGGGTACTGGGCAGCCTACTTTGGTCTTGCTCTCGCGGCACGCCGCACACGCCTTGGACACGTTCCTTCGGGCCGGCTCAATCCTGTCATGAGACGACGATGCCATGGTTAAGCCGCCATCGTCCGAGTATCATTGGACGGTGGGATGGTTGATGGGCGGTAACCTGCTCCCGCGGGGTCGGAGCGCAGTACGCGCGGAGAGTCTCCGACCGAACCCTAAGCTCCAACCCTAACGCAAATAGATCGCAGACGAGACTCCATACCCAATACACGCAATCTACTTCTACTTGTCCTGATTACCAATGGTCACGCTCTTGACGACTTGATACTCTTCCAAGCCATACAGACTCCCCTCGCGCCCGTATCCACTTGCCTTGACACCTCCGAATGGCGCCTCTGCGGCGGAAATCTTGCCCGTATTGACGCCCACCATTCCGACTTGCAGCTTTCGAGCCACGCGCATACAGCGTGCAATATCGCGGCTGAAAAAGTACCCTGCCAGGCCGAACTCGGTATCATTAGCTATGCGGAGCGCATCAGCTTCATTCTCAAACGTGAAGATGGGCGCCAGTGGCCCAAAAGTCTCCTCTTGGGCAACAATCATGGTCTGATCGACTCCAGAGAGCACAGTGGGTGTGTAGAAGAATCCTGGATTAGATGGACGTGAGCCGCCAAACTCCAGCGTTGCTCCTTTGGATAGAGCATCCTGCACATGCTCATTGACCTTGGTCACGGCCGCGTTGTTGACCAAGGGGCCCTGAGTGGTGTCCGGGTTCAAGCCCGGCCCCATCTTCAGCTTCGACACTGCCGCAACGAGCTTGGCCGTGAAAGCCTTTGCGGCTCCCCTCTGCACCAGAAGTCGGTTGGCGCTGTGGCGGAGATGTGTCAGTGTCTGTCCGTGCCGCCTTGTGGGGGGACTCACTTACCACACGCAGGTCTGACCTGAGCACCGGAACTTGCAAAACATGGCGCCTTCAACGGCGAGGTCGAGATCAGCATCATCAAAGACAATGAACGGCGCATTACCGCCCAACTCCAGGCTGACTTTTTTCAATGACTTTGCCGCCAGACTTGCCAGCATCTTGCCCACGTTTGTCGAGCCGGTGAAGCTGATTTTGGACACCAGCGGGTGAGTAGCGAGCAGTGTTGCGGCCGTTCGATCCTTCGTCGGGCAAACATGGATCACACCAGGGTAGGCACCCGCCTGTTCCGCCAGCTTCGCAAGAGCTAGTGCAGTGTAGGGCGTCTCGCTTGGTGGTTTGATAACGACAGCGCAACCTGCTGCAATCGCGGGTGCTACCTTGCGGGTAATCATGGCGGCCGGAAAGTTCCACGGCGTGATGATTCCACACACTCCCACCGGCTCTCGAACGGAGTACAGGGTGGTGTTTGCTGTGGACGATGGGATTGTGTGGCCATACGATCGAACAGCCTCTTCCGCGAACCACGAGATGAAACTGGCTGCATATACGACCTCTCCTCGAGCCTCGCTAAACGTCTTTCCATTCTCAAGAGAGATGATCGTTCCCACTGGAGTGAATCAGCAGGAATCCAACGTGGCGGTAATGGTGATGAAGCTCACAGTCATCCGCGTTGTCCATGATCAAGCTGTACCATCGCTTCAGGAACGCAGCACGTTCAGTTGCCGTGGTGTCTTCCCAAAACGCCGCCTGTGCGGCATGTGCAGCTTCGATGGCTTCGACGAAATCATCGGCGGAGCAACTGGCGACTCGACCAAGGGGTTTACCCGTTGATGGTTCTGCGGAAACACCCATCAGCAATGACACCTCGACTCCAGCGCAATCTTCCTCACCAAACACTTCAAATACATCCTGCTTCAACCGCCACTGGCCGGCAATGTATGCTGCATCGACGACAAGGCTTGGATTGTTGAGCTGGTCTCAATTAGCGATCATCCCGACTACATCCACAACCGGCATACCTCGAACGTCGACAGCTTGGTGGATCCCACTGTCGTTCCATTCTCGATAATGTCCAAAGTCGCAGACGGCGCCATGATGTTTCTCGTTGGATGACAGTCTCGGATTGGTGCAAATCAACATGCTCAACTCTACTTCCGGTCATCCAGCCTTGCATCTTTAAGGCTTCGGGATTTCGGACGGCGACTGCTGAGCAAGAGTCTCGTGGAAATGGTACCCCCGGCATTCTCAGCCCAGCTTTACGCTGGGATGGCACTCTGCGTTGCGACCGGGCGTGAATGCTTACCCGCGGAAACTGGATTCCGAACACATCCTTGTGGGAAGATCCCTGCAACCCGCCCAAAATGCGACGCCTCCGGGCCGAAGGCGCATCCGAACGTTCGCAACATCATTTCCGTGCCGATTGACGGCAACGATGACCTGCCATCTCCGCAACCGCAACGATCACCACAATGCGGGGATTGTGGACTCAAATGCCGCGTGGTTCTATATAATTCCCCAGATGCCACCCCACAGTCTGTCGATCTTGCCTCTGATCATCCCTCCAGAACATCCTCTGTTGCAACACCTCGTCGTCCCCTACAACGGCCATCGACATGGAGAAGGCCGACTACAAGACCGACTACAAGACCGAGACTGACTTTCGTCATGTTGAAGAGGTCCCAGAACGCCGACGGTCCTCCGTCGTTGCCATCCCTGAGCACACGTCGAAGCCAGTCTGGGAGCAAAGGCAAACGTATGGCCCTGCTGGCATTCGTGGTGTCTTCACCTCTCGATACGTCCTCGCCGCTGCCGCCTTTGCCACCCTGGGTGGTACACTCTTTGGCTACGAGTAAGCCCCCTTTGCATCTTGGCACCGACCGATGCTGACACCTCCTCAGTCAAGGCGTCGTTTCCATCACTTTGGTCATGCCTCAGTTCCTTGACCAGTTCCCCGAGGTTGATCCCACCAACACCGGCTCCAGTTTCAGAAAGGGGTTGTTGACGGCCATGATTGAACTTGGTGCATTTCTCGGCGCCATGAATCAAGGCTGGATTGCCGACAAAATCTCGCGAAAATGGTCTCTCCTCCTCGCTTCTTGCATCTTCCTCGTCGGCTCGGCTTTGCAGGTCGGATCCGTCAACTTTGGCATGTTGACTGCCGCACGGTTCATTGGCGGCATTGGTGTCGGCATGTGAGTAATGCAAGACAGTCTCTTGTCCGACGACCTTGCTAACGAACAATGCAGGTGCGCAATGGTTGCTCCGCTCTATATCTCCGAGATCTCACCACCTGAGATTCGCGGAACGCTGTTGGTGTTGCAAGAGCTGAGCATCACTACCGGAATCGTCATCGCTTTCTACATTGTAAGATCATCTCCTTCCCGCAGCCGAGTTCCCAAGTCTGACATGTTCAACAGACGTACGGCACTCGTTACATCCCGAGCGACTGGTCCTGGCGGGCTCCGTTCCTCATTCAGATGACGCCAGCCATCTGCTTGGCCCTCGGCGTCATGTTTCTCCCCTACTCTCCTCGATGGTTGTGCCAACAAGGCCGCGACGAGGAATCACTCCGAACTCTGTCCAAGTTGCGACAAGTCCCCAAGGACGACCCAAGGGTCCTGCAAGAGTGGTACGAAATCCGCTCCGAAGTCGCGTATCGCAAGGAAATGGGGCGAGAGAAATATCCCCATCTGCAAGACGGAAGTGTCATTTCGCGACTCAAGCTGCAAGCCAATAACTGGGCGGATACCTGGAGAGGCCGTGCTTGGAGACGTACTCAAGTCGGCGTGGGCTTGATGTTTTTCCAGCAGGTCAGTTTCACATGAGGACAATGAATTGATCCGGCACTGACTATCATCTAGTTTGTCGGCATCAACGCTCTGATCTACTACAGCCCAACCCTGTTCGCTACAATGGGCCTGCCATACGAAATGCAGCTGACCATGTCGGGCGTGCTGAACGTATGCCAAATGGTGGCCTGCATCTGGAGTCTGTGGGGCCTGGACAGGTTCGGTCGTCGTAAGCTGCTTCTCGTCGGCGGTGTCTGCATGTTCTGCGCACACTTTACGATTGCCGTGCTGGTCGGCCTCTATCACGACAGCTGGCCCACGCACAAGGCGGCAGGGTGGGGAGCGGTTACCTGCCTGCTGTTCTTCATGCTTACCTTTGGAGGCACATGGTGGGTACATCTGCATCGTGTAACTGGCCTTTTGCTGACTGTGAATCAGGGGACCTATTCCATGGGCTATGCCTGCCGAAGTCTTCCCGTCCAGCATTCGTGCAAAGGGGTGTGCACAAGCTACCATGTCCAACTGGGGCAACAATTTCATCATCGGTCTCATCACGCCGCCGATGATCAATGGCATCGGGTTCGGCACCTACGTCTTCTTCGCCGCATTCTGCCTGATTGCTCTCGTCTGGGTCTGGTTCTTCATTCCTGAGTGAGTTCCCATATCCTTCTTCCGCGGGACCGTCGCGACTAACACCTCTGCAGAACCAACGGCCGTACGCTTGAGCAAATGGACGATGTCTTCAAGGACAACCAGTCGACGCAGGAACAAGCTCGTCGAGCACGGATTGAGAAAGAGCTCATTGAACAAGTGGTGGATGCATGATTGATACAACGTATAGCATAACGAGTTTGACGTGTTAAAATCTCCTTGTACTTCGACTGTCAGAGCTTGCTCCCTTCTTCCCTGTCCTTCTCCTTGTCTGCCTCTTGCCCTTCCAAGAACGTGTAGAATCAGGAAGGTTCAGCTTCCCATCTTGTCTCGTTTCATTTACTGCCCAAAGAAAGGCAACTACATCCATCAGGTGCCCCAAAACGTAATAACGAGTGCAAAAATTGAAAGAAAAATCCTGCCGTCGACAAACAAAAACATAGGACAGCAGGGATTCCCCAGTGGTCACCCACCTGAGTACTAATCTACCAGTCCGAAGCTTGAGTACAGGAGAGCGGACGGGATCCTCTTTTCTCTTCGGCTTATGGTCCTATGTACTTTCCTAACTCAAAAAATTGGTACTGAAAGACAGTTTGAGGAAAGAGCGACCGGTGGGCTTTTGATTTGGGAAGCGACGACGGAGGGCAGTCGCGATGCACGGGCCCCCAGCCTCGCGGTGTAGAAGCGTCGCGGCTGAACCGCGTCTCGTCATCGTTCAAGTTGGGGGAACCAAGGTTATTTCTCACACCTCCCACTCCTCATTCTTGAGTCTAGGGCGGAGAAGACGGACTTGGTCGGCTGTCACTCACAACGCTTATCTGTTGGGGTCGATCATGCGCGCGGCTTTCCATCGCTTACAAATCCCTTGATGGCGCAGCGCTGCGAAAATGTAAGCTCCAGTGCTTCGTGTACTATGTATCTTCCCTGCTCGATGGCTGGGCTATGAAGCAGCTCACACGTAGCGGCCCCTAAAATCCTATGCACCACGTCGGTGCTCGGCATGCAGCTGCTTATGTTCTCCGGAAGCGCGGACTGTTATGCCGTTGCTGCGAGCCTAAGGCAGGTTTGTAATCGAACATGAACACGACCAACGGTGTCCTCTGAACTACTGAAAAGTATAAGAGTATACTTCGCCCGGTGCACGTCGACTCAAAGCACTCTAACGTCTATTCCTATCTTCATGAGCAACACTTGGGTCATCTTTGGTGCCACCGGCCAGCAAGGTGGTGCCGTAGTGCGAGCTTTGCTCCAGGATACTACCCTTTCCAAGTCCATCACCGTGCGTGCTGCCGTCCGAAACCCGGCAGCGCCTACGGCAAAGCCCCTGCACGATCTTGGATGCGAGGTTGTCCGCGCGGATCTCGACGACAAGGATTCCCTCCACGCCGCCTTTGAAGGAGCGTCTGGAGTCTTCCTCGTAACTTCAAACAACATCGACGAACAATACTACAAACGAGAATTCCAGCAAGGCAAGAATGCAGCAGATGCGTCAGTCGAATCAGGCGTCCAGAAGATCATCTTCAGCACCCTACCCGGCGTGCGCACAATCACCAACGGCCATCTGACCAAAGTCGTACACTTCGACGTCAAACACGACATCGAGCAGTACATTCGCCAGCTGCCCATTGCCAGCTCTTTCATCGCCCTGGGGTCTTTTATGCAAAACTTCATCAACATCCTTCCACCTCGAGACGCCGGAGACGGAACCTTTGCCATCAAAGCAAGCATGCCTTCTTCTACTGTCTTTCCCTTGATCGACGCGACGGACAGCGGACGTGTGGTGGCGCAGATGGTCAAAGCATTTGATGATCTTCGCAGTCGAACAATCTACGTCGCCGCACAACTGAACACGCTCGATGAAATAGCAGCCTCGATCGGGAAGGCGAATGCTAAGACTGTCAAATACATGCAAATTTCTCCCGAAGAGTTCCTGGCTCCTCTACCAAAGCCCATGGCAGAGGATTTCGGAGAGTTCGCGCGATACCTCTCGGAGTACGGGTATTTTGGGCCCGAAACGAATACGCTGCCACTTGGGGAGTTTGGGCAGTTGACGAGTTATGAGGAGTTTTTGAAGGAGAATGATTACATGACTCTTTGACAGATAGGCAGCAACGATCTTGCCAACCTCCACTCTCCTCCACTTGCGCTACCGTGCTCCACATTGACATGCTTTCGATTCATCGAGGCTATTCCATCATTCAAGGCAGACTCATCCACAGCTCCAGCATCTTCGGGAAGTTGGGCGTGCCCAGGCCGGTAACCTACGATTAACGTTAGCAGACTAACTCATCCAATGCCAGACAAGCATTGCCATACCGGATCCCACCCTGGTGTCGCGTTAAACCCCGGTTGATAGCACCCCGGATTGGATCCCAGCGTAATATCGGTCAAGATCTCGGGATGCTGGTAAAGCACGGGATTGATGAAGCCCACGGGCTTCTTCCCCATGGCCAAGCGCTCTTCATTGATGCGATTGATGATGCTGGCAAAAACGGGCGCGGCACCCGAGGTTCCACTGGCAGTTAAGTAATCGGGTCCGAAGAAGGCGGCAATGTTCACCGCATTCGCCGCCACATCCGGGAACCCTCGTCCCGCGCGGTTGTAGACGCCGCCAGTGTTCCCTGCAATACGTTGTCAATGTCATGACCGGCCTGATGGGATGCACAAGACTCACCAGCCAGCGCCGTCAGGTTTGGGAGAGCATATGGATTCGACGGATCGTCAGTCGCCAGCTTGCAATACGACTTCTGTGGTGGATTGTGTTGGGTGAAGTAAGTGTCGAGCGCCTTCTTCTGATAGTCTGGGATGGGGTGGATGTTGCTGAAACCGCCACCGGACGTTCCGTTGGCATTTTTGTACATTTTGCGGGGTTCGAACGGCTGGAAGAAGACGTGCTGGGGGTCGTAGATGGTGTCGCCGTTGTTGATTTGCGTGCCTCCCACGCCTGTAACGTATGGGCACGTCAGAGGCCTCAAAAGCACTTGTTTCAGCATTGCGATTGATCATCGACGCGAAAAGATATCCTTCTCACCATGCAGGATTATAGATGTTACGGTCTGGGCCTAGGCATCCTGTAGGCCCGTTGAAACCTTGACCGGGGAGGGTGTCGGGGTAGTCGCCAACGCCGGAGTCGCCAGAAGCAAAGACGAATGTGGTGCCTGCTTGGACATCAGTTTGGCCTCGACCAGTCCAGATTGATCTTCAGACTCTACCCTGCAAGGCAAGCTTAGCAAACTCGTTGCACTGGCGCAATTGATATGAAATGGGCACGTCGGCTTCCCAGCCAGCGTACGAGAAGGATATCACGTTTGTTGGCTTGAACACTCCACATTGTAAGGTGGAGTTATAGCCCTCCGGGCCTGTAGAGGTTACTATAGTGTCGCGGGATTGGAGATGGTCATCCTTACCAGGGTCCGGGTACGTCGGATCAATGCCGAGCAAGTCCTATACGGGATCTCAGTGCTTTCGCAGCACTTCAATGGGGGCGTTGCTTACCCCTTTCTCTCCGTACGCTTTGTACGTGCAATACGACCCATCAATAGCGTCAAGGAGGGTATTGAAACCCCAAGTGTAGGTGTCATCTGCTCGACTGTCAGCTTCGTTGCCTTCGGGGCGATGCCAATACTCACTGGCTTCGCTTTGATAGTGTAGATCATCAACGTTGAAAACAGTGATGCTTTGCGGATAGACGATGGGATATGACTGTGACGTTCAATGAGTACGATCAAACCACAAAGCGTCCACCGGACGCACCAATTGAATGTCAGTTGACTCGGGGCCGGCGAGAGAAATGTTGTTCGTTCTTGCCATTCCGCCGTCAATATTGTGATCAATCGGGTGCGTGCCATTCGGGATGCGAGAAGCGAATGCGGCTGGGGGAAGGTCAGTCGATGCTCACGACGGAAGAAGGACCCCGTACTGAAGAAGCGGTTCAATTCCACCTGATTCCAGGGATCTAGCTCGGATTCGAAGATGCCCATGGAATTATTTGGGTTCGCCAAACGACCTTCGGTGATGTTGTACAACGCCGCGATGCACGCAGCGGTGACTGCTTTGTCACACGTTTTTAAACTGGTTGGCGAGGGAAGCTTTTCTGTTACGATGCTGCCTATCGCTCGCTTTTCAATGCCTCCCGATGGGTTGGTGCGGGGAGACACGAGTCTGATGCCGGGATGGATGTAGTCAATGTGCTTCTGGATGTCCGCGGGTACGTGGTATCGTTCGCAAGCTGGAAGGACTCCGCCGGTCAATGCATCCTGGTATTCATGGTAGTCGGCGTGCAACAACGCCTCGACTTTGCGGGAGGGCGCGTGAAAGTGCAACCAGGCCTCAAAAGAATAGTCAGTACGTGATTGTTTGGAGGTGATTCGGCACGATCTACTTTGTTCTCAGATTGGACAATGCTCTGTGCCGGGATACCGCCGTCGATGAGCCAGTTCGTCACAGCGTCTACAGCCTCGCTGCTCGGCTGAAACCTGTCGCCGACTTCGTCTGCAGTCCAATGCTTGCCGTAATTGAGGGAGCTACACGCGCGTAAGCCAACATATCTATCCGCGAGACCTCAAGTCTTACCTAGGATGCGAAACGTCCATGAGTAAGTCGTGCAGCGTGTCCAAATTGCTCTGGGCCAGCGCGATGCGCATCGGGAGCTTCTTCTCCGGCACAACGCGATCGCGTTTCGCCCATCGTGGAGAGGTGACGTCTCGCTGCTCGTGGATAACATGGGTGTGTGGCACGGCAAGTGCCAGCGTAATGCTGGCCACGACGAGGATGGCTGCGCTGGTCACCATGTTGGCTGTTACGGTAGATTGATGTCACAGAGCAACAAGAAGATAAAGTCACACAGCTACGACAAACCTCGGACTTCTTCTACTCTTCAATGTTGTATTCTATTCACATCAACACCCCCGCAGCATGGTTACATCCGATTGAAAGCATGCGTCATATTGAAGCGTGGAAATCCAGTTGCAGCCTCACGCTAAAAACGCCGACTACGAAACTTGCATGTGAGTTTTTCAAGTAGAATGTTCCTTTCATTCTCGGCCAGTCCTGTGGCAAATATCCCACGCGTACCGCGGTGCGCAGCAAACCGCATCATCTCTGAAATGCCCAGTAGATTCGCTCTTTGGCCAAGCCTGCGTGATTTTGCAAGCCCCTGCCGATCCGCGTAGCAGGCAATCGCTCGCGTTGAGATATAGTCCGTTCGTTCCATCGGTAAACACTGTTTCGGGTTGAAACGCATCTGCATTCGTGGTCGATGCTATTTCAAGACATTTGATCGGAGTAATCAAAGACGGAATTGCTTCCCCCAGGACCGACGAGGAACGTGCCTGGATCTTGGAATCTAGGGCATGTGTGATATTCCCGTTCGTAGATCCCGAGCACCGGCATTAAAACCCACCTCGGGAGCATCAAGTGCGGCGAGGAACCTCACAGCCCGAACATGGCGAGGAAACGGTGTATACACAACTATCTAGGCAGAGAGATCAGACCGTCCAATATCTTCGCAATAGTCGGCCACACTGTACAACATGGACAGACAAACCAGCCTCTAGACACACCAAAGATCGTAGAATACATGAAGACAGGGTGGAGAACACCCCCAAATCCGTCCCTCTCGTATGTGACGCTCAAGCCCGCGCATCGCTGTAGGAGACCGTGTACTGGACGTCACGGCGGATCATGGGCTGTTGGCTGACAGTGCTTCCGCCGTTGGACCCAGCACGAGCGCGCTGCCCGTGAGACACGGTGGCCGAGTACTGGGAAGGATCCGGGTTGGCGCGGACATCGTCTTCATCGACAGTGTCGCGCTCGTCGCCGCCATTGACGCTGCGGAAACTTCGCATGCTCAGCATGTTGCCCAAGCGACTGCCCCCGCGGCGAGAGGCGTGTTGCTCCTTGTGAGTGTGTTGGCCGAAACTGCCGTCTCCGTTGGAGCCGTAGGCGTTCGTGGCGGCGCCGGAGACCATGCCAAAGGTGGTGGCGGTGGCTTGCATGAAGGGCTGCAGGACGGGGATGGTGGGGGTGATCATGGCCAGGGCGAGGATAATCTGGGTGTAGATGTAGGGGCGGGTCATGTTGAATGCAGAGACGCGCGTGCCGTCGGTGAGGGCGAAGAAGTCGGGAATGGAGAGGACGTGAAGGATGAGGGGGACGATGAGGAGAAGGCGGGCGGCAAAGGGGATGATGACGCGGAACTTGGTCGCGGCGGCCATTTGAAGATTGAGGATGATGAAGAGGAGTTGGGCGAATAGAGCACCCTCGAAGACAATGGAGATGATAGGGGGGATCGTAGAGACTCACCAAGCCGGTACAGTGTTGGTTGATGTAGAGCCATGCGTGGCCCAGGTCACACCGCAAGCTGACAGTCAGGAGAGAGGCGAGGAAGAGGACGCCGACCACGCCGGTGAAGACTTTCCAAATCCACTCATATCGGGTGGTTCGGGAGAGTCGTTGGGCGAAGAAGACGGACGAAAGCCGGGAGGTCCACAGGGCGAAGATGTAGAGGATGTCGGTAGCGAGGATGGCCTGCGAGGTGGTCAGAGGGAAAGCGGATGTGTTTGATGACCTGACTCGACCTACCCGTTGCATCGTCACACCATCGGAATGTGCGATGAGGTTGGATTGCTCGCCCAAGCCATAGCTGGCGGCGACAAAGAGAGCGATGGTTTGCGCTATCATCAACACCTGTTGTGCGGAGAGTCAGCACTGCATCAATCGGGCCATGTCGCCTCCTCGTCTTACATATGCCGCTCCCAATGCATAGTCGTCTCTCCCAAACGATTGTCCAAAGCCGGCTCTTACATACGCGCGAGTCAGCAGCGACACCAGCGTCGCCGCGAGCGCCAATGCGCCGGTGACGAAGAGGACACCGCGCTGGTCATTGTGGGTGATGACGGCCAAAGGCGGCTGTGTTCCCGGCAAGGGCGGCGCTGGTGGTGGTGGTGCTCCTCCGGATGACATGGCTGGGGTGTATTGTGCTGCTTCTCGCTATTTCATGCCGAGTGTGCGCGCGCGCGACTGGATGGAGGAGGGAGCGAGGACGGGGGGTGTGTGGGTAGAGATGAGCGGAAGCTACGGGAAGATCATGGACGGAGACTTTTCTCCCACCCAAGAGGCGTCGGCGGGCGCTGGTGGAGGCAAGAAGGTTGATCGGGAGTGGACAGCACGGACTAGCGCAGGAGTCGGTGCAGGGTCGCGCGCGGCACTCTCAATGCCAGCTCCGGCCCGCTAGCCAGGGTGTGGGTAAGAGGGCAGGAGTGAGGGAAGTGGGTAAAGAGAGAAAGTGGCAAAGGGCCGCAAAGCTTGTTGCCATCGCGTCCTATGGCTTTGCGCGCTCGCAGCTCCACGCCGGTGGGGGGGAAGGTGGACGGAAGAGGAAGTAGCGGCTGAGGCTACTGTCCACAGGAGCCGAGCGGGCAGGTGCCGATGGCTTGGGGGGCGCGGCCCAGCAATTTCTAATCATCAAATGGAATTCCACACCTGCAATGGCGGGGTTGGCTGGCTGGGTTTACGCAAAGGTGCCGGCTGCCATCTGATCACGGTATTCGACACACTCGGCAAGCAGGTCATGGACTCGGCTCTGCCTTGACAAACGACAGCTGTATACCTGAAACCGCGACAACACATGGCAGCCACTCACCGCGGCGTGTGGTAGTTTGACCCTAGACTGCCGACCGGCGTGCAAAAATCCCCGTCGACCCCTACTCTACCAACCCGCCCCACTTGGCATGCCATCGTGAGACACGCCCCGACACGCCTTCGATACTCCGAGGGCACCAACGCGGCGCCCTGCAGCCATCCCGTGCGCTCCCCGACTCGCCCTGGATCGCCCGAGTCGAGTGCTCGAGCGCCGTCCCCCTTGCTCGGCATTTCGCCCAGATGCAGCAAGCTGGTAGCGTAGCGCGAGCATGCCCGGGAAGTAGCTGCAGCTCTGCTATGCCCAATGGGGCAGCGATTGCTCCCCCCGTCGCCTTCTGGCTCCATCCAGCCCCCGAGTCAGCAGAGCTGCTGCTGCAGCAGCGCAAAAGCTTGATGGGCAGATTGCCGCTCAACCGCCCGCGTGGGCGCCGGGGCCGGGTGGCGGCCACGAGCGCTGGACTCTGCCGCTGCATTTTGATGATTCCGCTGGCTTCCAGTCCTCGTTGGTCCCCTCTTTCGCTTGCGGACTTTTTCCCTATTCCCAGCTCCACCACCACGTTTACCTTCTCCTCATGTACTTCTAACTTTTCCCTCCTCTCTCCCTCTCCATTTACTTCTCCAGCTATAATCGGCTATTGTATATACACTCCTTGCCACCATATCTTCCCCCGTCGTCGCGTCACGTCGCAGCCATGTCTCGCCTCGACACCGATAAGTCGGCGTACCTGGCCAACCAGGAAGAGGTGGAGATGGATGATCGCAATGGCATGTCCGGCACGGCAAAGGACGCGCAAGAGATGGAGCGGCTGGGCAAGCAGCAGCAGCTGAACGTGAGTGCATAACCTCCTGTCTATCCCTCCGCGACCCTGCTGACAAGCATGGGCAGCGTAACTTTCGCTTCATCTCCATCCTCGGCTTCTCCAGCACCGCCATGAGCACATGGGAAATCTGCATCTCCTCCACCATCTTCGGCCTGCTGAACGGTGGGCTTGCTGGACTCGTCTGGGCCTTTTTCGTCGTCTGGCTGGGCTACATCACCGTCTTTGCATCCATCGCTGAAATGGCGTCAATGTGAGTCCGCTCTTCCCGCCCGACCCCGCTTGCTCATATGCTAATGGCAGCAGGGCACCAACCTCAGGTGGTCAATACCATTGGGTCTCCGAATTCTCCCCTCGACGCTGCCAGCGCTTCCTCAGCTACCTCGTCGGCTGGATCTCCGTGCTAGGGTGGCAGACGGGTCTGGCATCAATCGCCTTCATTGCTGGAACGCTCATTCAGGGCCTGATTGTGCTCAACAACGCCGACTACGTCTTTGAGCGATGGAATGGAACACTGCTCGTCATTGCCCTGGTCGCATTCGCCGTGCTGTTCAACACCTTCTTCGCCAAACGTCTTCCCGCCATCGAGGGCATGGTGCTGATTCTGCACTTGTTGGGCTTCTTCGGCATCATCATCCCTCTGTGGGTCCTGGCTCCCCGCAACTCGGCCAAGGAAGTCTTCACCTCCTTTGAAAACTTGGGCGGCTGGCCGACTCAAGGCCTATCCTTCATGGTCGGCATGCTCACCTCCGTCTACGGTTTGTTGGGCGCCGACTCGGCCGTGCACATGTCGGAGGAGATCCGCAATGCCTCGATCGTACTACCCCGCGCCACCGTGTGGTCCATCTTCATCAACGGTGCTTTCGGCTGGATCATGATGATCACCTTTGCCTTCACCTGCGGCAATCCCCTCAACATTGTGGATTCCACGACCGGCTATCCCTTCATCGAAGCCTTCTACAACGCCACCGGCAGTAAGACCGGCGCATCCATCATGGTCGCCATTATGATCATCAACATCACCTCTTCCGTCATCAGCACGCTCGCCACCGTCTCCCGTCAGCTGTGGAGCTTTGCCCGAGATCGTGGCGTTCCTTTTGCTTCGTTCGTCGCTCACGTAAGTCTGCCATTCCATCTTTCGACACACCATATCCCCTCTAACACTCACATTCAGGTCAAACCCGGCTGGAACATCCCGCTCAACGCCGTCCTCATCTCCTTCTGCGTCACCTCGCTGCTCTCCCTCATCAACATTGGCAGCACCGCCGCCTTCCAAGCCATCTCCTCCCTCGGCACCAACTCGCTCCTCACTACCTACATCATCTCCATCGGGTGCGTGCTCATTCGGCGGATCCGTGGGCAGCCGCTGCCCGAGCGCCGCTGGAGCCTGGGACGCTGGGGCGGGCCGATCAACGTTGTCGCCCTCTGCTTCCTCTGCTGGATCTGGGTGTTCTTGTTCTTCCCCACCACCACGCCCGTCACGCTGGTGGGCATGAACTGGAACGTGCTGATCAACGGTGGCGTCATCCTCCTTGCCGTTGGGTATTACTTTATCCACGGCAAGAAGGTGTACAGCGGACCGGTGGTGCTTGTGAAGCAGCAGTGATTGCGATGTTCTGGATATGCTTCGATTTTGATTAGAATTGTATGTAGATTTTGCTCGCTTATGCGCAGGATGATACAGCGAGCCTTTGCTCAATCAACGATGATTACGCTTCTCTAAGCCATGTTCGATTTTCGTGTTCATGCACGAAGCTCATTCTATGCGTGAGAGGAATCCAGAGCGTGCATCCGATCGATCTACACAGCCGAAGACACGTGGGTGCAAGGATGTCCGGGGGCCACGGCGTGCATGCATGAAGCGTGCAGCAGCGCACGGTCTGGAGCGTAGCATCGCCTCAACAACCCACGGTGCATGCATTTAATTGGGTTTGGTTGCCCGGCTGCGGTCAGCAAGTGTTTGACGCAAAATGGAATTGCTGGAGGCGTTATGCTTGGGTATGGAGCAGCGAATCATGAATGGGTCCAGACGGCGGTGGTAAAGAGGGGTTCGTTCGGAGTTGCTGCCGTCTACAGTTGCCGCACGTCGATCAGTTGAAAGGTGTCGGGACCTGGAGACCATTCAGAGTCCGATTAATTTCCAATTCCCACTCTCCCATGTGCTGTTGAACGAGTTAGTCAAAAACCCCATGCATCGGTGGGTCTACAGCTGCCGGTTGCAATGGCATCCGAGTTCCACCCAAGGTTCTTTTTGCCTCCTCGTTACAACGTGTCCGGCGGTAAAGCGGACAGTAGCTGCATCCCACCTTGCCCCACCACGGGCAGGGCCTGTCAACCTAGCTCTGCCATTGGGGGTCCAGGAGGGGGGTTGTGGATCGAGCTGCGTCTTTTTGTTTGCGGGCGAGTCAAGAACCCGGAGCCGGCGTGGTGCCTGACCTGAGAGGTGTCAAGTACCGAAGCAGCAGCATTCATTGTGAGTGAGCGAGCAGTATTCCATTCATCATCCTCTCATCTTCTCATCCTCTCCTCAAACCACACTTCCCTCCCCATACACATCTTCAAAATGGCTTCCCGCCCGCCCAAAGGCCAAATCTACGACTCCGTCGCCAGCGACTACGACATCATCTGGAGCACCCCCGCCTGCAAAATCCTCTTCCCCCTGCTCGACGACAACCTCCGCCGCGAAGGACCATGGGAAGGGGCATCGGTGCTCGATCTCGCCTGCGGCACCGGCTTCGGGCTGCGCGAGATGAAGAAGCTGGGCGCGACGAAGCTCGTGGGCGTGGACATTAGCGACGAAATGCTGGGCGTCGCCAAACAGGTGTCGCCCGACGCTGGGTTCGAACTGCACCACGCCGACTGCTCGCAGCCCCTCTCCCACCTGCCGCTGGAAGAGGGCTCCTTCGACCTCGTGCTTGCCATGTGGCTACTCAACTACCCCGACAGCCGGGCCGCGATCGCAGGCATGTGGAAGAACATTGCCACGTACCTCAAGAAGGGCTCCAAGTTCATCGGCATCATCCAGAACCAGGACAACGTGCACCCCTCCTGCATGCAGGGCAAGCTGAAGGAGTTTGGGGTGGAGGAGTCGAATTTCCGCCAGCTGCCGTCGGGCGACGGCGTGCAGATGCACATCGTGTTCGACACGGAGCCCGTGGTGGAGTTTGACACGTTTGTGCTGAAGAAGCACATTTTCGAGGAGGAGGCGAAGAAGGCGGGGTTCAAGGACTTGCGCTATGTGCGTGCTGGGGACGAGGTGAGGAAGGAGGTGGAGGGCAAGAGTGAGGAGTGGTGGAAGGAGTTGCTCGAGGAGTACCCCAACCAGGTCGTCATTGCCGTCAAGGAGTAGAGGTAAGGTAGATGTAGAAAACACATTTTGGATATCATGGCACCGTCACCCCGCTCCATCTCGGGACGCAAAGTTCTCCGCCAGGCTGTCCCCTCGACTGTGGCCTAGGAGACCCTCTTCATCCTCTCGTTCATCCAATTCCTCCCGAAGCACGCCCGCTCCTCGTCCAATCTTGCCTGCCTCCCCATCATTCAATACAGACCATAGGTCCTTCTTCGTCATGAGGCCAGCCAATATCCCGCGCTCGACAAAAGCAATATACCGTAAGCCCAACTTCTGAAACATGTCGTTTGTGAGCTGCAGACTGGATCGCGAATTGAGCGTGATGGGAGTCTGATCCATCCACGGCCGCAGATCCAGTGTCACCGTCGGATCCGCCAGCGGCTGGTGTTTGAAGTAACACGCTGTGCTCACTGGTAAGCCGCGGGAAGGAGAAGTAGCAGTATCGAGAGCATACTGCAGCTCCGTGCGGGAAATGTATCCCAGTAGAGTCGGGTCGCGCGCAGTATTAACCACGGGGAAGCCGCGGAAACGGTGAGTGCGTAGAAAGGTACGAAGGCTCTCAATGGTGTAGCCTGTTGCCGTAATGCACGCGAGATCCTCGCATCTCGTCATTACCCTCGCCACGGGCACGTCAGGCACAGGAGTGTCGTCGTGGTTGTCCAAGAACGGGTAGCCTTGGAAATGGATCCAGGCCTCGTAGATGCCCCGTTTGCCAAAAGCATCTGCGACCCATTTGCTCAGCATGACAGCCACCATGATTGGCAAGACGTATGTCAGCGCTCCGGTGAGCTCGAACATGATGACAACGATAGACACTGTCATTCTTGTTGCGCCAGCCAGAGCAGACGCCGCGCCAATGACTGCATACGTTCCCGGAGTGATGCATTGAATATCGGGCTCCATGGCGCACCGGCCAAAGGCAAAGAAATTGGGATGCTGTTGTTGCCAGACCTCCATGACTAGGCCCACGACTCGACCGTAGAGTGCTCCCACTGCCATTGAAGGCAGAAGAATGCCGGCGGGCAGCTGGAGGCCGAAAGTGATGGTCTCCAGCAGAAATCCGAGGACAGCGGAAATGAGAAGGGTAAAGATGACACCCGTGTTGGCGACACCCTCCTTACACAGTCCCAAGATGTCGTCGCTGATGTATTTGCATTCGGCAAAGAGAAACTCCACCAGCTCGGACGATTGTGCCCGAAGGAATGTGATGGGAAACCCGATCAAAGCGGTGATGGCGGCAACGACGATGACCTCGACGACTGGCCTGTTCAAAAAGGGATTGCTGGTGGACGTCCGCCATGCAGCGATACGCATGTTGAGTTTGATGAACATCGCTCCGTATAGTCCTCCGATGACTCCGATCAGGGTGAACGGGACAAGCTCAAACGCATGCCACGGGTTCTTGTGGGTGAGCTGGAACAGGACCAGCTTGCCGGTATGGAACGGATCCAGCGCATGCAGCGTGACGGCGGCTATCATGGCACAGACAAAAGCCGCCCACATTGTCTTGTCGGGGAAGTAGTAGCTTAGCTGTTCCAAGCTGAACAGCACACCACCAATGGGAGCGCCAAAAGCGACGGAGATGCCACTTGCAGCCGCAGCGGATAGTGTCTCTCGCTTTCGTGCCTCGTTCCCATTGATACCGTCGAAGAGCTTGATGAAGACGTTTGCGCAGCAGCAGGCCACGTGTACCATTGGGCCCTCTTTGCCGAGCCACATGCCCGAAGCAACGGAAAGACAGAGTCCGAGCGACTTGATGACCAGTGTTCGGGCGCCCAGGAAGTGCCGGATGACGAAGCCTCCAAGGACCGTTTTGATCTCGGGGATGCCGCTGGAGCGAGCGAAAGTGGAGAATCTGACGACCAAGAAGCTGGCGGTGGTGGCGAAGAGGATCTGGGCAGGTCAGCATGATAGCAACGTCGCCCAGACGACAAGCGGAAGACTGACCGAGAAGATGACGAAGATGATGTACTCCGTCACATAACTTCCAAAAGCATTTCCAATGCCCATGGCAGTGGCCCACGTTCTCCAATCGGGGCAGGCCGCGTAGGTGTCGGTCTCCCAACAGCAGAACGCTCGATTCAGATAGAATGTCCCGCCATCGCTCACATTACTGCAGAAGCCCTGTTTGACATTTCCCAGCCAGTCACTGACAATGTCGATACCGGCCGCAATCCCTCCGACCGCCAGTCCGGTTGCAACCAGAACCCACCACATCTGACTCGCATCTGCCACGAGCTTGAGCTGGCCTAGCATGCTGGGACCGTCAATGGTGAGCTGTCGCAGTCGCGTGCGCTCTTTACTGTACTCGTATATCCAATCGATGGCTGTGAGATTGTCGTAGCCCACGCGCCGCCCCGGACCTTCGACATACCAGTCCAGGCCTGCGGCATCCTTGCCATCTTGAAGACCTGCTACGGGATCGGAAGGGGCGTTCAAGTAAGATAGGATGGTGTTTGGGGTCGCAGATCGCCCGAGTCGTCCCGGACTCATGAGAGGAGAAGGAGGAGTGACATGCCGAGCGAGGAAGGGCGAGGGAAGGAATCGAGAAGCGAGGCCGAGGGTTTGTGGCTTGGTATTGCGCTGGAAGGTTACTCTGCACACGCGCGTCAGTTTCCTGTCGAAGCGACACAGTGGATACTTGCACACCTATCGGCAGGGGATCCATACTCATGCAACGGATCGTCGGCGAGCAGCTCCTCGTCGCGCACTTCAAGGCCATCGTCGGACTCATCGTCTCCCTCTGGGGAGGTGCTGGGGGGAGTCCGGCTGGAAGATGCTACGGCCACATGTCCGGAGTGGGTGGAGGAAGGACTGGACATGGGGCAGGGGATGTGCGCGCTATATGTACATTGCTTGTGAGGATGTTGGACGAAGATGCGTTGTTTAAACGAGGGATGGCTTCCAACGCGGCATGTGAAGTCGCGGGCAGGGATCTGCTGCGAATTTGTAATACTGCTATGGGCAGGATGCAGCATGATATGGCCACTCCTGGTCTGCACATCGGAATGGTCATTGTATCGCCAATGAACCACCCAAGGCCGTCCGCAGAAGTAGAGCGAGTAGTTGTCCTTCATGAAGATCTAGAATGGCATGGTATGACTGAGTATGAACAGCTGAAAGAGCCAACTGTGCGCTTCATGACCGAAACAAGCTCCCACAAGGCTGCGGCGGAATGGAGTGTACTCGTATATTCAAACATAGCCCCATGATGGTGTTGTTGTACACTTCACACGCACGAAACTCCCGCCATGCTCTATACGTGACCCAACCTATGCTCCCCCAAGTCTACTCCATCTTCACCACCCCTCCCAATGCCTTCAGCGTCTCCACAATCTTCTCCGCCTCCTCCTTCGGCACCGACTCCTTCATCATCTTCGGCGCACTCTCGACAAACTTCTTGCTGTCCACCAAGCTCAGTCCCAGCATGCTCTTGATTTCCTTGATGATTTTCGGTTTCGCCGCCGCGTCAAAGGATTCGAGTTTGAGATTGAACATCGTCTTCGCCTCTTGCTTCGGCGCCGCCTCTTCTTCTTCCGCTGGTGCCGCTGCAGCTTGGGATTGTGCAGGACCGGCCGCGGCGAAGCCTCCGATGGGCATGTCGGGGATGTTTAGGCGGGACTGTAGTGTGTTAGCTTCACCGTGGAGTTACATCATTCCTCACCACAGAGGCACTGCGGCAGGCTCACCTTCAGTGTCGACACCAAGTCTGCCGTCTCGAGGAGCGTCAATTGGCTGATTTGATCAACAATGGTCGCGATCTTGGGGTTGCTGGCGACCGCGGCCTCGGTGGACTGCCATCTCCTCCGGTCTCGTTGTGGTCTTTGCGTAGCTAGGACTCCGGCGTACTGACAGGATGAGAAGCGAGATGATCGAATGGCTCGGACGCAATGCCGCGCTGTGTGCTGAAGTGACGATGCCATGGCTAAATGGAGATGCAGGTGGGTGGAAATTGTCGCGATGGGCTCAAAGTTCAGATGCAAGAGTTGGCACATGCGGACTTGCTCCTTGCGGCTAGCGTCCCGACTCTTGGCGTCGCATAACCTCCGGAATAATTTCTTGAAGGAAAAGTGAGGGCGAGAAATCAACACACCTTCGCGACAGCAACACTGTCACCGAGGCGCTGGCCTCTCACACGGACGCTATGGAGTGCATCTGGGATGCTGCTCTCCTGAAGCGCCGCGATGAGCTCCCACCGGAGTTACTCCAAGTCATCGAGAACGCAGATCCAGCTCGATATCTTCAAAGCATCACCAAAACATCCCTGGATGCTCGATACACCTACACATTGCTCGCGCACTGCCGCGACATCTTTCCGCATGTCAGTGCAACGCTGCGCTCCCATGGCGATCTCGCTTCATCGATCGCCACTCTCGGTCGAGTGGTTCCTTTTGCGCCGCATCTGACCATCTACGCCACCCATCTGCTAGAGGCCGAGCAGTATGACTTTGATTCTTCTCGCGATGATGAGGAACACCTGCCGTACCTTCTGGGCCTCTTCCGCCTCTTTGCTTTCAACGACCAAGTCTTCCGCAATTTCACGCAGCCTCACAAGATCGCGAAATTGCTGCAAAGCCAATGTCGGCCAGTCGTCTACTTGTCGATACGCATCCTGCAGGTCTATCTAAACGGAGCAGATGCCTGGTTCGAAGATATGGTACGGCAGTACTTGGGTGCAGATTCAGAGGATACTGCCATCCTCGGCCAATGGGATGACAAGACGATTGACTATCGCTTTCTGACTCTGTGGGAGGAAGACCGATTCGCCAGAGTCTGCGCATTACTTAACACCGCACAGAACTCGCTATCCGCCGTGGATCATCAGAGTCGTCGAAAGCTCCCGGCAACGTGCTTCCATCCATCCATTGCATTGATTGCTGGCACACTTCTGCCCAGGTCATCCGTCGAACCTAGAAACACTTTCACAACTGAGCAGAAGCTCATCTCGACTCACACTACCGATCATAACCTTCGCATCCTTGCATCGGCCCTAAAAGACACCCAGCCTATTCTCGTGACCGGCCTCCCAGGATCTGGTAAAAGCTCGTTGGTGAGGCACATTGCGCAGACCCTCGGAAAAGATGACAGCATGGTGACGCTTCATCTCAACGAACAAAGTGATGCGAAACTACTCATCGGGATTTACACCACCGGTGACACCCCCGGCTCTTTCGTCTGGAGACCCGGCGTGCTCACCACCGCCGTGCAAGAGGGACGCTGGGTTTTGATTGAAGACTTGGATCGTGCACCACGAGAAATCATCGGCACGCTGCTGCCCCTGATCGAGAGTCGCCAACTACTCATCTCCAACACGAAGCAGACCATCTACGCTCACCCGGATTTCAAGATCATTGCCACTCTTCGCACCGCCATCAATCATCGGGGTGAAGAAACGGGGTCCCATTCTCATATGCTGGGCAGGCGACATTGGCAGAATGTGGCCATCAAAATGCCTTCTACTCCTGAACTCCGACAGATTGCTGCTCAGCTACACCCCTCTCTGGCTTCCCTCCTACCGCAGGTCGTGCGAGTATATGAGAGACTACAGTCTGCTGGACAGCGCGTTGCATTGGCCGGAGGAAATAAGACTGGGGTTCTGCGTTCTGTTTCTCCTCGAGACCTCTACAAATGGTGCCGACGAATCAACTCAATGATTCACCAGCGGACATCTTTCACCAGCACTGACATCGACGACATCTTCTTGTCTGCCATTGATTGCTTCGTCGGCGCTCTACCCGACAGTCCCGCCCGCAAAGGCATGACTGACGTCGTTGCCGAAGAACTACATATCGATCCCCAGCGAAGGGATTGTCTGCTACATGATCGGGAAGTCAACTATCAGAGCGGCAAACAAGGGGTCATAGTTGGTCGCTACCAGTTTTCGCACCAAATGGCGAGAGCTATACCTTCATCCACGTTCTCCATAAATCCACACACCGCGCGCATGCTTGAGCGAGTCGCTGCTGCTGTGACGAATCGCGAGCCCCTGCTGTTGATCGGAGAGACTGGTGTGGGGAAGACTACAGCTGTACAACATCTGGCGACCAATCTGGGCAAGAAGCTGGTTCCTTTCAACCTGTCACAGCAGAGCGAAGCGGGCGATCTTCTCGGTGGTTTCAAACCTGTCAGCGTCAGAAGTTTGATCGTCCCTCTGAAGGAGGACTTTGATGTGCTCTTCTCAGCCAGTTTCAGTCTCAGCAAGAACCAGCAGTTTCTCGGACTCTTGGGAAAACAAATGGCACGAGGCAACTGGACTGCAGTTTGCAAGATCTGGCGAGAGGCTTTCAAGATGGTCGAGCAGCATCGTCCCAAATCAGAGACGCGGCACGGTGCGAACCCAAGCAAGAAGCGGAGGATTGAATCGCGCGATATCGATTTTGCTGGCTGGGATACTTTCCGCGACAGAGTCTCAAGCATCGAGCAGCGGCTGAAAGGCGGCGACCAGGCGTTTGCCTTCTCTTTCGTCGAAGGCAACATCGTCAAGGCCGCTCGAAATGGCGATTGGGTCCTGCTCGACGAGATCAATCTCGCATCGCCAGACACTCTGGAGTCGATCGCAGACCTATTCGATTCTCAGTCGCCTTCTTTGCTCCTCGCAGAAGCTGGAAATGCGGAGCGTGTAGACGCCCATCCCGAGTTTCGCATCTTCGCAGCCATGAATCCAGCTACCGATGTCGGAAAGAAAGACTTACCACCAGGCATCCGCTCACGTTTCACCGAAATCTACGTGGAGAGTCCAGACAAAGATATCAAGAGCCTGCAGAGTATTGTGCGGTCATATCTTCGTCAGGAAGTGGCCGGTGATCAGGCTGTGGCACTCGACACAAGTGTACTGTATCAAGTGCTCATCAAGCTCGTCCAGCAGAACAAGATTGTTGATGGAGCCGGACAAATGCCGCACTTCAGCTTGAGGACACTCACCAGAACTCTGAGTTACGCGAAGGAGATTGCGCCGCTCTGTAGTCTACGACGAGCCTTGTACGAAGGGTTTCAGATGAGCTTCTTGACCTTGTTGGACGCCGAATCCGTTGCACTTGTCCAGCCATTGCTGGAGCAGCACTTGTTGGCGAAGCGCACAAACGTTCGTGCGGAGCTGCAGAGAAGTCTTCGAAAACCCGACGGCGATGCCCATCTTCAAGGCTTCCCCGGCAGCAAGCACTGGATGCGCCAGGGGGATCTGCCGGTAGAAGATCAACCTGACTACATTCTAACACCGTTCATACGCTCGAATCTCGAGAACTTGGTTCGAGCAACGAGCACTCGGAAGTTTCCCGTTCTGATCCAAGGGCCTACGTCCAGCGGCAAGACCAGTATGATTGAGTATCTGGCAAAGCGCACTGGCCACAGGTTCGTCCGAATCAACAATCACGAACACACCGATTTGCAGGAGTATCTCGGCACCTACATTTCCGACATCAATGGTCGCCTCCACTTTCAGGAAGGTCTTTTAGTCCAGGCGCTACGCCATGGACACTGGATCGTTCTCGACGAACTGAACTTGGCGCCCACTGATGTACTTGAGGCTCTCAACCGGCTGTTGGACGATAATCGAGAGCTTTTAATTCCAGAGACACAAGAAGTCGTACGACCGCACCACAACTTCATGCTGTTTGCAACTCAGAACCCAGCCGGTCTCTATGGTGGGCGAAAAATACTCTCACGGGCATTCCGGAATCGCTTCCTTGAACTTCATTTCGACGATATACCCATCGACGAGCTTCATGAAATCCTTCACCGCAGGACGCAGCTCCCCGAGTCACGATGCAGACGCATTGTGGCAGTCTACAAGGAGTTGTCCGCCCTTCGCCAGGAGAATCGCTTGTTTGAGCAGAAGAGCTTCGCAACGCTGCGTGATCTCTTCCGCTGGGCATGGCGACCCAACGATACCATTGAGCAGCTTGCTGCAAATGGCTTCATGCTGTTGGCGGAGCGCGTACGCAAGCCGATGGAGCGCCAAACGCTGAAAGAGGTCATTGAGAGGGTCATGAGCAAGAATGGACCACGCGTTGTCATCGACGAGGCTACTTTATACTCACGGAGTAGTGCGGAGGTCTCTCGATATGACAGCCAGGTGCGAGGCAGCGGCGTTGTGTGGACAAAGGCAATGCGGAGACTTTACGTGCTCGTTTCGAGAGCCGTTGCCAACAACGAGCCTGTACTGCTCGTGGGCGACACCGGAAGCGGGAAGACGACAGTCTGCCAGATGTTGGCTGACGCCTTTGGCAAAGAACTCAACACTGTAAATGCACACCAGAACACCGAGACGGGTGATTTGATCGGCTCCCAACGACCTGTGCGAGATCGGGCTGTCATTGAAGCAAATCTGCGGCATCAGCTACTCTCCATGCCGCTGCTACAGAACCTCGACACGGGTGGCGCTCACTCCACAGACGCCTTACTCCAAACCTACGACAACGCTGTCAATTCCCTCGCGCCAGCTCAGAGAGAAGCCCACTGTGCATCAGTTGAACATCTCGAAGTTCAAGCCTTGCGCATGCGGTTCAAATCACTCTTCGAATGGGCTGATGGCTCTCTGGTGCATGCGATGCGACATGCGACCTTTTTTCTGCTTGATGAAATCTCATTGGCAGACGATTCGGTTCTGGAGCGTATCAACAGCGTTCTCGAGCCCGGACGGTCGATATTGCTCGCCGAGAAAGGTAGCCTCGATTCGTATGTCACCGCGGCGACAGGCTTCCAGTTCTTTGCCACGATGAATCCGGGAGGAGACTATGGCAAGAAGGAGCTGTCGCCTGCTCTTCGGAATCGTTTTACCGAAATATGGGTGCCTGCTCTGGACGGGGCGGAAGACATCGAAGAAATTGTCAACGCCAAACTGGTCGACATCGCGAAAGGATACGGCCAGTCCATGGTGGCGTTTGCGCAATGGTTCAACAACCGCTACAATACGTCTGCGAGCTCTTCCATCTCCATTCGAGATGTCCTGGCTTGGGTCAGATTTGTGAACAAGTTTGCAAATGCAAATCTCGCAATGTCGCTTGTGCACGGTGCAGCGATGGTCTATCTGGACACTCTCGGAGCCAATCCGGCCGGCATGATGGCTTTATCACGCGGCAGCATCATGCAAGAGCGCGCGGCCTGCCTTGAACGGCTCTCTCAGCTGCTGGGGCTCGATTCTGGTGCAGTGTACTACCAGCCAGTGGAGATCGACTTCGCGCAAGATCAAGTCAACGTCGGTCCCTACTCCCTACCCCGAAGACCATCGGAAATGCATGCCGACTTGTCCTTCTCATTCCGACCTCTGACTACGCAAGTCAACCTCATGCGTGTCGTGAGAGCAATGCAAGTTTCCAAGCCAGTCTTGCTCGAAGGCAGTCCTGGCGTCGGCAAAACAGCTTTGGTCGCAGCTTTGGCGCAGGCGGTCTCTTGTCCATTGACAAGAATCAATCTTTCCGAGCAAACGGATCTTTTAGACCTCTTTGGCTCTGACGTGCCAGTAGAGGACGGTCAGCCCGGGACGTTTGCGTGGCGGGATGCTCCCTTCCTCCGTGCCATGAAGGCCGGTGAATGGGTGCTTTTGGACGAACTGAATCTCGCCTCCCAGTCTGTGCTGGAAGGGCTGAATGCTTGTCTGGACCACCGTGGTGAAGTCTTCGTGCCCGAGTTAGGACAGACCTTCACTCGCCATTCCGACTTTCGCGTATTTGCCGCACAGAATCCACACCACCAAGGCGGCGGCCGAAAGGGTCTTCCCGCATCGTTTGTGAATCGATTCACCGTCGTCTACGCAGACTCCTTTAGCTCCGATGATCTGATGCTCATCTGCAAACAGAGCCATGTGAACCTTGACGAAGGCCCTCTGCGACAAGCTGTCCAACTGATGGAGGCCCTCGAGGTTGAAGTCAACACCTCCAAGAAGATTGGAGCAGCTGGTGGGCCTTGGGAGTTCAACCTTCGCGACCTCAACAAGTTCCTCTCCTTGGTTTCAGCAGAACATGGTTTCCTCAAGGCTGGGTCTGCTCAGGATTTCGCGGGTCTGGTCTTTTCGCAGCGTTTTCGATCTCCTACCGATCAAAACGCCGTTCTCAGCCTCGTCTCGCATGTATTTCGGGGCGCTGAACACGTTTCAGATCTCTTCCCGAGCTTGTCTCCTCGCTTCCTACAGATCGGTCTCGCCGCTCTTCAAAGAAGTCCTCGCGAAGCGACCTTCCCGGAGTTGACCCCCGAAGCTTCCATTAGGGAACATGACTTGCGCACGCTGCAGTCGCTCATGATTTGTGTTCAACAAAACTGGCCGGTCATTCTGACAGGTCCTTCTGGATCTGGGAAGTCCGCGCTCGTCCATGATCTAGCCAGCCTGGTCGGAGCCTCGGTTGTGACGCTTGCAATGAATGCCGAGACCGATGCCATGGATCTTTTGGGTGGGTACGAGCAGGCGGATCCCCGGCGACACTCGATGGCTTCCCTTCAGCAGCTGCGTACCGAGCTCGTTGACGCAGTGAAGGACATGAAACATGCTGCACAACTTCCTGAGCTTCTTGAAGCGCTGATCACCCTCGATAGCGTGGCCTTGGGAGAGGTCGATGCCCGACGTCTCACAGATGTGCTGCATACGCTGGGTAACCTGGGTATGACTCACGCGCCCGCCATGCTACACGATGTTCTACTCGACTCCAATGCTCTCGACCAAGGGCGTTTTGAGTGGATCGACGGACTTCTGATCGAAGCTCTGGAACAAGGCAAGTGGCTCATCCTGGATAATGCTAACTTGTGTAGCTCATCGGTGCTCGATCGACTCAACTCGCTACTTGAACCACATGGCACGCTGGTGATGAGTGAGCACAACAATGCGGATGGCACTCCTGGGGTCATCCGCCCGCATCCCGACTTTCGCATCTTCATGCTGTTGGATCCTCAGTACGGCGAACTGTCGCGCGCCATGCGGAACAGAGCCATCGAGCTCTACGTGCTCGACTTCCCGGATAGTCTCATATCTCGTGATGGTGTCAGACTTCATTCGGAGTCTACGATTGCACGCTTCCGTCAAGCCAAACTACTACAGCCTATTGTCACGGAACAGCTTGTCGAGCCTGGCGCAGTCGTCAAGGTGTTTGACGATCATCTCGCCCTCCAAGATGCTGCGCTCATCGCAAGATTCAAGCAGCAGATCAGCATTGGGCTGTACCGATCAGAACCCAGTTATGTGAATGCTTTGTCAAGCGTGTCCGGGCGGATGCTGTCCCAACATACTAGCGAGCTCGCTAGCCTCTACAGGTCTCTTGTGGACCTTTCACAGGCGCCCACTGACTTCGTCTCTATCCAGGTCAGTCGAAACGCCTTCTTCCGTAAGTTTTGTCGTAAGCTGATGGTAAGGTTTCCTTTTAGACTCTGCACCCTCTCAACAATCAAGCTCTCGTACTCTGCTCCCCACAAGAGTCTCCCAGCGCCTGGTCATTGGCATTTGCTCACGAAGCCGATCTGCGAATAACTGCGATTCACACAGCCATGGTCTCCATGGAGAAGGATAAGAGAACTCTGGCGAGCTTGCGCCGCCTCGAGCAATCTGTTGGTCTGGCAGTCGGCGCTGCCAAATCACAGGCTTCGACTTCAAGTATCATGACTGTGATGAAGGTCGCATGTCGGGGTCTTAGCTTATGGCTGGAAAGCAGACCTGTCTTGCCTTGGCCATTGCTGATCACGGTAAGTGCTGCAGCTGGTATCCTGAAGAATTTGACGAGAGCTGACATTTCTACAGGCAAGAAGAATCGTCGGTGACCTATGTACTCTCTGTCATTTTGGTCTCGCGCTCATCGAGAGCGGCAGCATGAGTAGCTCGCAGTTCGTTTCTTTCCTGGTTGCAGGCCAGGCCTTGACACGCTCGATGTTGCCGCTGGACACTCACGAATCGCTATCGCTCGGTGTAAGGGAGATACAACAATCCTTGGCCGCCCTCGTCGCTACCATCCAGGGCGGAAAAGGCCGTGCTTGCATCGCCTTCTGGAACTCCTTCGCCTTGAATATCCCAACCACACGAGAACAGCTGGACGAGCTTCTCACGTTCGAAAGTGCTGTCAGTTCATTTGACAGAGCATCTCAACGATTGGACCAACCCCTCGATCATATGGCGGAGTTACGTCTTTTGACCGCCCGTGCACTGCAATCTGCTCCGGCGCACGGACGCGAACTCGTTCAACTTACGAGCAAGTTTGACAGCCTATCGTCGACCTCCCAGACCGCGGAATCAACGAAATCTGCTACGCCTCACTTCCACAGCGTCTATCGAAGCCTTTGCAATTTCTTTTCGGTCCTCATGCTGGACGAATCTGTCACCTTGCCTCCCATGGATCTTGCAAGACTGTCGCTGCTAGCATGTTCCTCTACCAAAGAAGGCATAGATCGGTATGCAGTCTCTGAGCGCACGTCCTGGGAAGCGCAGTTTGGACTATTAGCAGCCAGTACCGGCAGTGTCCTTGAGCCCGACAAAGGAGAGCACACCAACGTCCTGCAGTGTCTGGACACTACAGGTAATGTCAGCTTGGGCCGAATGGACCTGTTGAAGACGGAGCTCAACACTCTCGGTGCAACAGTTGCTTCCCAAGCACACCTCCTCCGAATGAACGAAACTGAACCCCTCGACATGTGCCTAGAACGCATGTTTGTGACGATGCTGAAGGCACTGTCTCAATCAGCAGGTGACGCCAGTCTCGAAGAGCTTGGCAGGCAGACTTTACAACTGCTCGCTAAAAGCGCGGATGACTCGACGACCACAACCACTACGGAGTCTCTGACGCAGCTGTCTCTCAATGTCAGCGACGATGTGGACGGCTGGCTTTCCGCCAGGTTCCAAGAAGTTGTTGCATATCTGGGCTTCGCGACTCACCATCCGGCACAGAATAATCCCAGTCAGTGCGCGAGAGCTTGGGCATCGCTGGCTTGCGCTGGTCTCCGACTCTATGTCTCGAAGATTGCATATGACCCTGCTATGGTGGAATCAGCTCAGCAGGAAATGCATCAGCAGCAGTCTCAAGATCTCTTCACAAGGCTCAACGCGTTCAATGCGTTCCGAGTCGCCTTAACTGGTACCAGCAAGCATCTCCGGGTGAAACTGTTGGCGAATGAGGTGCGTGCCTTGGGACCGGCTCCACGGACACGACAAGCATATCGGCCGGCGAAGTCCCAAATTGCAGAGCTCCAGCCGGATCTTGATGCGCTGACTCGTGCTCTCGAACCTGTTGTGCGTGGCTTGGAAGCACAGGACGACTTTCTCCCTCTGAGCCCAATTCTGTTGAACAACCTTGTCAATGTCAGAGGAAGGCTCTTGCATCAACACCGTGCATACGATGACTTCAAGCTACCTATTGTTGGGTTCATCGACTGTCTACTTACTGCTCACCGTCTCTCGATCGTCGCAAACGAAAGCCAACGGTCGCAAGCTGGTCCGCGAGTCTCTGCTCTGTTGCCATTCGTTGGCGGCAGTCTGGAAGCTTTTCTCGACGATGCTGTCTTTGTTGACGCTAATGCTTCCTCGAGAACGCAAGCTGAAGGGCTCTGCTGGACCCACTTGATTGCCTTACGCTCAAGAACTCGCCCCATGGTGGAGTGCTCCCAGCCACTTCGCACGGCCGTACAACAGCGCTTTCACGAATACTATACTCAGTGGAGGACGCAGTTGCAGGACGAACAGCGCGAAACAATGGCCAGATCCAGCCTGTACAAGTTCAAAGGCCAGAGCGACGATCAAGACCCCACGCAAGAAGATGTCGATGAATACTTCCCCGTGGGAGATGTCATGACGAACGAACAATCACCAAAGCAGGACGCATTACAGCCCGAGGACCTTGCATTCACAATCGCACAATTCCATCAGTCAGTGTTCTCTGACAAACCCGCCGATCAGTCCGAAGGTCTCCTTGCCTTGTTGCGACAGCTGCCCAAGGTTTACGCGCCGCCGCCGTCATGGAGCCAGAGCCAAGATATGATGGCCCCATTGATCCTCTTGATCAGCGATCAACGCGCTGCACTGCAGGAGAATGGCAATACTGCCTACGACATATATCGCAATGCGAATCCCTTGGAGGCCAGGAGACTGCTCGCAATCTTGGGCAAAGCAGTCAAAAGGTTCCAAAGCATCCACGAAGTATGGCCTGAGCACGCGACCCCTGTGGAGGTTGCAAGACTCTGCGAAGACCTTTCGAGTATCAGCCATTCTGCACCTCTCACCCGGTTCATGCCCAAGCTGGAGAAGCTGCACGGTACGATCTATGAATGGCAGAAGATTGCGAGTAGGGAGTACAGCGCCGCCGATATCTACGAAGAGCTGACCAATCTCCTCGTGAGCTGGCGTCAACTGGAGCTTTCGTCGTGGGCAGGACTCTTCGACCGAGAGAAAGCAGAGTGCGAACGATCTGCCGCTTCATGGTGGTACATCGCATATGAGGCCATCATCGTTGGCTCGATGAACGCCGACTCATCCCAGGATCTGACTCGACACGCAGGAGCGCTGCTCAACACACTTCGTGATTTCTTGACATCGTGTGCTTTGGGCGAGTTCTCTACAAGATTGCAGCTGCTTCGTGCATTTGGCTCTCATCTGAGAGCAGGTGCTATCGACCAGCCACCGCTAGGGAAGATCTACGAAGCCCTGATCAATGTGGTGAACTACTACGCGACTTTCGAGCATACCGTCAACGAAACGCTCTCAAAGAAGCAAAGCCAGTTGGAGAAAGAAGTCAAGGATATCATTCGACTCGCGAGCTGGAAAGACCGAAACATCGATGTCTTGAGACAGAGCGCACAGTCTTCTCACAAGCGTTTACTCCGGCTGGTCAAGAAGTATCGCGGGCTTCTCGCTCAGCCGGTTGAGCCCATCATCTACGGTGACTTTCCTGCACGAACTGCAGACCGAAGTGCATTGGGTGTAGAAGATTCCTGGAGACCCACGCGGACACCCCCTGACCTCGAGGCGTACCGCGACAACAAGGCTTTGGACAAACGACTTGTTCGACTTATCAATACCGGTCCCGCTCTCGATGCGCTCGTTCAGCGGGTGGATCAGATGCAACACCACTTTCAAGCACCCCAGAAGGTCAAAGCCTTTACCGACGATCTGACAGAGTCGATTGGAGAGCTACAACGTGCCACGCCTACAGTCTTGAAGGATGAGAACCAAGCACTCTTGAATCACTTGAAGACCCGGAAACGTCGATTGTTGGCGGACGTGTTGAAAGGCCTGCGCCAGATGGGTTTCCAGGCCACCATGAATCAGACGGCGGTGGCCGATCAATCGTCCACCGCTATTGTGCTTGCAGCCCTACCAACGTCAAATCACGACGTTGCCACTTCAAGCCACTCGGGTGTGCAGTACGAGTTCCACCGGTTCCTTCACGCCATACCGAAAGCTAGACAGAGTGCTGCCAAAGCCTCCCCGGATCTCACGAAGCAGGAGGTAGCAAGATGTTCGACACTCCTTGAGAGTATCCTCCAGCTGTCGGTCGAACAATACGGATCCTCGTTGAAAGGTACAAACCAGCTACATGAGCTGGACAAAGCAATGCGTCCATTACGTGCTCTCACAGTCGACAAAGCCTTGGTCGTGCAGCCGTTTGACAGTGCAAGAGCATCCGCACAGGCTGTCCAAGTTGCATTGATGGAGCCTGTTCTTCAAACCTCACTCAAGTTGCTGAGCCTACAGCAAGACTTGTCGGGCAAGGACTACTCTGAGCTTGCAGATCACCTTCGTCAAAGCCTTGTTCAACTCGCTGTCGTTCGATCTAGTATCGAGGAGTCGTCACATCTGGCTCCGAATCTGCGGAACGCCAACAATGAATCCCCGCAGGCACAGTTGAATGTTTTGCTACAAGACGTGAACGCAGCAGCGAGGCAAGCGACGTCGAAGCATCCCGAGATTCACATCATCACTGAGCAGCTGGCGAAGTGGCTCACCAAACACGACCTCACGGACACAGAGTCGCTGCAGGCTTTTGATCTCTCTCAGTGGACTGAAGGGATCACGTCAGCGTGTGATATCATGCTTTCTCGGACACAAGACATGTTCGCAAACCGTATCGATGAGGATCAAGAAAAGCCTGATGCGCGATGGTTGGTGGCGCAAAGCAGGATGCTGCAACAGCACCTCCAATCGCTTGATCTGGATTCTATGACAAATATGGTGGATGGCTTCATGTCGCAAATCACCAATCTCCAGCAAGGTCAAGACGCTGAGCTTTCGTCGATCCTGATCATCTGCCAAACACTTCGCCCGGTCCTCGATACGTACTACTTCACTGCTCGCAGGCTGCTTACGATCTCGAACGAGCTTTCGACACGAATCAGCCAGCTCGGATACCGGTTATCAACCTCGTTCATTCAAATAGCCACGCAAGGCTTCTGTACGCCTGCGGAGACTTCCGATGCTTCTACACAGAAAGGCGATGCAGTTGAAGCTGGAACGGGGTTGGGTGATGGTGAAGGGGCTGAGGACATTAGTAAGGATGTGGGGGATGATGAAGATCTGTCTGAGGCCGCGCAAGGGAAGAACGAAGCGGACAAAGATCGTGAACTTGAAGCGGAGAAGGATGCAGTTGATATGGCGGATGAAGAGATGGAAGGTGAATTGGATGATGGTGTGGCGGACAGTGAGATGGGAGAGGAAAGTGGGGACGATGATGTCGAAGACGATGCGAAACCTACGGAAGAAGCGGTGCAAGATGGAGATGATGCGTCATCCTTGCAAGATGAGAAGACGTGGGAGGGAGCCGCTGATGAGGACCAGAGTCAAAAGGACACCGACAAGGGAAAGAGCAGCAAACGTGAGGACGAACTTGCCGCAGCCAAGGGAGAGGGGGAAGAAAATAAGGAACAAGGCGACGACGGCGATGAAGCACCTGAAGAGGAGTCAGGCTCCGTCGGAGATGACATGGAGCAGCCATCGACGGACAACCTAGATGCTGAAGCTCGACAAGAAGAAGCGCTCGAGCTGCCGGACGACATGAACTTTGGTGGGGAAGCCGACTCTGTCAGCGGAGACGATTCCGACATGGACATGCTGGAAGACGAGCCACAGCCAGAGCCGGGCGAACAAGAGGCACCATTACCAGACGCCGATTCCGTGACGAACGACGAAGAAGATGCCGAGGTCAACCAAGACACCCAAGACGCTGCGGACGGTGATGTCCAGCCTGACGAATCTGGCGAACAAGACGGCAAAGAACAAGACAAAGACACTCTCATGGCCGATCTGGATGATTCTCAATCACCCACAGGAGGCGAGGAGTCTTCGCGCAAGGACGTCGGGCAGAGTGGAGAAAAGCAGACTGATTCCGATATGCGTGACGAAAACGCCGAAAAAGATGACTCCCTCCCACAAGACACTTCAAAAGACGCAGAGGGAGCAGAAGACAAGGGGGGTCGAAGCCAAGATCATTCAAAATCGGCGTCCGATACTCAACAACAGAGTGCGCATGATGAGGAGTCGACTCCATTCAAACAGCTTGGGGACGCTCTTCGAGAATGGTACCGCCAGCATCAAGCCATTCAGAGCGCGAAAGCTCCGCAGGAGGAAACGCAACTCGACAAGCAAAACATGGATATGGCGAATGCTGAGTTTCAACATTTGCCGGAAGATGACTCCAGCGCCGACGCGCAAGCTCTGGGCGCTGCGTCTGCCGCACAATCGATGCCCGTGGATGAAGACAAAGCTCTCCCAAAGACCGAAGACTCTGAACCCATGGAAGACAATTCTGGTCGTGATTTGGATCGTCAGTTCTACGAGAGCGACGATGAGACCACTCGAGAAGAAGATCCGGCGAAGTCTCTGCAGCAGAATCCTGCAGATATCGAGAATACCACAGCGTCTGAGGGACAAGAGACCGAAGAAGCTGACATGGAACCTCTCATGTCAGATTCTGAAGATGAGGAGCAACCACAATCGCCGTCTCCTCCATCCCCAGCAGCAGCCGACGTCACGGAAGAGGCCGAAATCGAAGATCCTCAACAAGCATGGGCACAGCACGAAGACAACACGCGCAACCTGGCCTTCACCTTGACCGAACATCTGCGTCTAATCTTACAGCCGACGCAGGCCACGAGACTCCGCGGCGACTTCCGCACAGGCAAAAGACTCAACATCAAACGCATCATCCCCTACATCGCCTCGTCGTACAAGCGAGACAAAATCTGGATGCGCCGCTCGGTCCCCAGCAAGCGCTCGTACCAGGTGATGCTAGCCATAGACGATTCCAAATCCATGGCAGAGAGTCAAAACCGGAACCTGGCATTCGACACCCTCGCTTTGATCTCCAAGAGCATGTCGATGCTGGAAGTTGGAGAGCTCAGCATCGTCGGCTTCGGCGAAGACGCCAAAGTCATCCACGACTTCAGCTCAACCTTCACCTCCGACGCGGGCGTGGAGACGCTCAAGCAATTCACGTTTGCGCAGGGCAAGACGAACGTGCGGCTTTTGCTCGAAACGTCGCTCGAACACTTCCGACAAGCGAGGATGAAGGCCACCAGCTCCTCGCAAGACCTCTGGCAGCTGCAGCTTATTATCTCCGACGGCATTTGTGAAGACCACCCCTCTATCCGCCAGCTTGTACGTCAAGCGCACGAAGAGCGCATCATGATTGTGTTCATCATCGTCGATGCACCACGAGACGACGATCACAAGGGTGAAGACGCAGCCGAGCAACAACGCCGATCGAAGCAAAGCGTGCTCGATTTGTCGACAGCAGAGTTCGTCAAGGACCAAGATTCGGGCGAAATGAAGCTAAAGATGGTCAAGTATCTCGACACGTTTCCCTTTCAATACTACCTGATTGTGCGCGAGGTGGAGGAGTTGCCCGGCGTGTTGGCTGCGGCTTTGAGGCAGTGGTTTGCGGAGGTGATGAGTACCGGTGGTTGATCGGTGTCGGACGGAGATGCTATGGAGTGTAGTCTATAGTTAACAATAATGCAACACAGGATTGAATGCTCATTCCCCTGAACTGAATTTACTCCGACGTCGTAGCCGCTCGCCGTAACGATGCAATACAAAGGGCACAGGCATGAGAGCCACGCCCACGAAACCGAGCAAAGATGTGGCCCAGCCGACACCCAATGCTTCATACACCTGCACGATGAAGAGCGGAAATCCAAACGCCTGGAAGCAAGTGTCAGTCACGGCAATCTCACCATGTCATATGTGATAGGACTCACCGCCAAGTACCGGATAAAAGTACACGACGACCATGCAGAGGCGGAGTACAGCGAACCATAGCAATCCGTGAAATACAGCCCCGTGCAAACAAAAATGAGCAGATTGCCACAACTGAAGAAGCCCTCAGCGATGACAGGCGAGATCCAATGGATATCAGGTCTCGCGGTCCAGCCAAACCAAAACATCCTACGAACTCATCATCAGCATCAACTCCCACAACACGTTCCAACAGAGATGTTAGACTCACGAAATAGGAAACATCGGCGCCCCGATCTTGGCGATGATCAGCCGCTTCTCGGGCGCCATGTTCGCCTTGCCGGCCGCTTTGGCTTTGCGGGATTCGCGCGTCCAATAGGTGCGGTAGACGACGAGGATGATGATCAGGCCTGCGATGCTGCCGACTGCTTGGCCGAGGTAGGTGAGGCCGGTGGCGCCGATGCCGAAACCATAGACCGTTTCGAAACTAAAGTGTGAACGAGAGATTAGAGGAGGATCGCTGGTAAGTGGAGTGTAGTGGGGTGTGCGTACGTCCAGGAGAAAGCAGCGAAAAAGGCATTGAGGATGCCAAAGTTGAAAGCATTATAAATGTCGAAGCATGCAACAATGGGCTCGGTGCACATCATGTAGATAGGGCGAGTGATGGTCTTTGTGAGGAAGTATCGGACGGCATCCCACAGGGTGGATTTTGAGGGTGTGATGGAAGCATTGAGGCCGCGCTGCTTGGCGCGACGTTTGAGGAGGACGGTCTTGTAGGACTCGTTCATGAACCAGGCGAGGGCGAAGGCGAAGACGAGGCCGAAGAGGATGACCCACTGCGTCCAGCGCCAGCTTTCGCCTTCGGTGACGTAGCCGCCGATGATGGGGCCGAAGACTGGGCCTACGAAGGTGTCAATAAGAGTGGCCGGGTAGGGAGAAGAAAGGTTCGAGACTCACCCATCTGAACCATGGTGATGAACACGGCAACAGGACCACCGCGTTCCTCCGGCGCGAGAAAATCAGACACCATCGCTGTGCCAATACTGAGGCCTGGACTAGCAAAAAGGCCAGCGAAGAAGCGACAGAGAGTGAGAGCGGTGATGTTCTGCGAAAAGCCGGCGCCGAGAGTGAATGCGGCCATGGCGGGCAAGGCGGAGACATAGACGGCTCTTCGACCGAATGTTTCGGACGACGGGCCTGCAATGATGGGGCCGAAGCTGAGGCCGAGCAGGTAGAAGGTGAAGGGGAGGAGGGCGATCTCCACAGAGACGCCGAACATCCTCGCGACCTCTTCATGGCCTGGTGTGTAGACGGAGGATCCAAAGGGGCTGCAACAATGGGAATTAGATGTTGGTCGAACAAAGCATTGGCGTACTCGTCGGTGGCGCGTACCAAAGAAAGGCAATTGCAGTTGCCACGCTCATATGGTACATCTTCTTGCGATACGTCCAGTTGCGCGGGTTTTCCTGGAAACAGGTCAGTTACTCTCTGCATGTGGTACGATCACAGATAGGGCAGATGTCCATACGGGGTCGTCTGGCCCATCCCAATCGGTGAGACTAGGTTGAACAATGACATTCTCAATCTCGATTTCATCCTTTGGCAGATCCATCTTGACGTCGGCCTCCTGCACGATTTCCTCCTTCGAGGACATGGCGTCTTGACTGTCGTCTCGCCATTTGCCAGCGTCATGAGCCTTGCCAATAGATGCCTCTTCATCGTCGTCCATCCTCGTCTACGTTCATCAGCCAGCTGGTGTCGAGACAAAGAGTAGAGTTAAGTAAGGCGTACATCGAGGGCGTGTATGAGCAGGTATTTCCCCCGATGTCGCGCTACCCGGCAAAGTCGGCACCGCGTGGCTGACCTTGACGGGGGGCCTTGCAAAAAACGGTCACATCACGCGCGGCCGGCGCGATACCTGCGCAGTTTGGCAGGTGAGGTTGGTCTGGTATATCACCCCCCTCAATGGCAAAAAGATGACTCATTGGGATGTTCATCAACATGCAATCCCGTAGGACTCAGTTACTCCCACCGAGGATCGAACTCGGGACCTTGTGCGTGATCCACGTTGCCCGCTACAGCAGAGAAATGTGAAGCACACGTCATACCACTAGACCATAAGAGCACGATAATCTGAAAATTCAAAATTGTACATATCCATTGTTCTATTCTGGCTCGTCGAACACGCCATCTCTTACCTCGTTGAACGAGCAGGGTATGCCGGAGAAGAAAGATATACGGTCCATGTTTCAAGCGACAATGTACATACATTAACGGATACGTGCTCGATCATCCCATTTCCCTCACTCCACTGCACTCGAACAGCACTCCACTCCACTCGAGGCTCGATTATACTCCAACCATCGACACTCCATTCCATCCCGTCCGTCTTCCGCATACCCTCATCCTCTCGGTCCCATCACATTAGGAGGAGCGATGCTACACGACGCTGCAACCTCAACGATAAGCGGTTCCGCTGAAAGCGTTGGATAGGCGAATGGAATTTGACGGACAGGCATAAGGCTAAAACATCCGGCTCGTCCTCCATATGCGGCTAAAATCGGATAAGTCGGGCGAAGACGATGCCACCAAGACGCGGTGCGCCAGTATGCGTATTTCCCCTTCTCAGACGCCGGTGGTGAAGACGGAAACTCGTTAAGATGCGTGATATCGTAATGCATGCATGCAGGACCAGGCCTTGGTAATTTGAGAGATTCTGCTTCGGTCACCCTCGTCATCTCGAGTCGAAGCTATACCGGAAATCCGGGTTCGCGACGCCCAAAGGCCGGCTGTAATCCTGCTGATCCTGCATGGACACTCGACTGCCGTTGTCGTGGTTGGCGAAGAGCGCAGAGGGGTTGAGCCGCTGGTCGTAAACCATAGGCCTGCTAGGCCTCCGCTCGCCGGCAACTTCCGCTTCTTGCCCGCCGCCGTAACCCAAGGGCCCGGCCGTGTCGGTTGCTTCGCCTGCTGCTGCGCTGCTGCCGCCGAACATGATCGAATGTCGAACACTATTCGACAGTGTTGTCGATTCGGGAGGGTTGAAAGGGTCGTCGTAGTTGGCCTCTGACATGCTCTGGGGTCGCGCACCGCCGAGCAGGCCGGTCCTGCTGAGGACGCTGCCTTTCCGTCGGGGGCTTCGGATGCCACCGCCGCGGCCGCCACTCCCGGCTTCGGTGTCTGCGGCGCGTCTCCGTCGCCACAGCAAGAAACCTGCCAAGATGAGGGCACCAACGCCGATTAGAACTCCAATGACCACGCCGGCAGTGGCGCCGCCGGAAAGTCCGGTTTTGTGGAGGTCTTCTTGGTTGGCGGGCGAGCTTGGCACCAGGGTGGGACTGTTCGTCACTGTATGCGTTGTCGGTGCCGTGCTGACAAGAGTCGTGCTCGTACTTAAAGATGATGAAAACGGCGCGGTCGTGTGCGTGTGCGTGCGGCTAGAAGGGGTAGCAGCCTGAGAAGAGGGGGTGATCTGATAGAAGACGTAATGTTAGCAACTTGCTCGAGTATCCGAGAGGGAGAGCCGGGGTGAGTAGATATGCTTTGCATGGAGGGCAAAATCATGGCGGAAAAAGATTTTGCAAACTCATACTGCAGTAACATAGGACACCACGACACTCGGACTCGGGGTTTGGACCTGCGTCACCGTCTGGTGCACAGTCTGTCGCATGGTTTGGGTGACGGTCTCACTCACAAAGATCGTTGGACTCGATGTGGGGGTTATTATTATTGGCGTGGGCGATGGTGACGATTTCTAGGCATTGTTAGCAGGCCGTTGACACGTTGAAGACGCTAGCGCCACGGAGCACGACTCCTCGCGATTGGCGGAGAATGACGCGTGATAGCTGGTTGGGATGAACGTACGGTACTCGGAGCTCCAGCTGTGCCCGACGGGGAGTTGGCAAGGGCAATATAGCCAAACAAGCCCGCGCCCGAATTCCCGCACTGATCATCAGGATAGCCAGGACACTGTTCGCTGCATTCCGACGTGCTGACTTGGTTGTAGGGGATGTAATTGGAGCACCAGCAATTCGTGTCCTGGACAATGGCAAAGGCGAAGCCGTCTTGGCAATGGGTGGAACAGGAGCCCATGGAGTTGTAGATGTTGTATTGCGGGGTGGAATCCGAGCCGGTGTTCTCGTTGGAACAGTATTTGGTGTAGAGGCCATCGGTGCCGCCTGCTCTGGCAGATACGATGAGGAGCAAAAGGCAAGCGAGGGCTGGATGGTAGAGCGCCATCCTTTGTGCCATTGACATATTCACCATGCTCGGGTAGAGTTTTCCTTTCCTTTTCCTGATTCAGACTAACCCACACCTGTTCACAGGGAGATGGCTAGGCTCATGAAAGAGGTTGCTCGAGGCTGTTGACGATAATGTGCGTGTTTCTCGGTGAGGTGCGTCGGAGACGCCAAGGCTGGACCAATAACGAGAGGTGTCTTGGTCACGACAGAGGTGGGGGCAGATGAGCTGCCAGCACTCCAGAGATGGAAGGGAGTGGGTGAGGGATAAAAAGGCGCTGGCTGTGACCGGCAGAACCAGGAGGGCGAAGGTAGCAATGGACGGAGAAGGCGGAAGGACGGCGAGGCAAAGGGTGAAGGGAGAAGCGAAGGGCGGTCGGGTCCGGAAGGGAGGGGAGAATTCACGTTGTCGACGGAGAGCGGTCCAGGTGAAGGTGAGGTGGAGATGGAGAGGAGGAAGAGAGAAGAGTAATGAGAGTTCACACACACACCGTATAGGATGAACGGGTCAGATACCACGCAGGGCGGATTTCCGCTGGGTCGCACGAATCGCCCTCCCCCATCCGCGCCTGCGCCTGCGCCGCCGCCTTCCCTCATCCACTTCCCGGAAGGGCAGATTGAGATCTTCCGGGCCAAGCTACGCGAAATGCGGTTAGGGCAAACCCAAAACGCGAGACACGGCCTGTAGGAAGGCGAGGACGCATGCTACCCTTGCTCTTTGCGGCCTAGCGCTGTGTTTCATCCGACCTGTTCTCCCCAAGCTCCTTCCGCAACTGGATTTGCCTTGGATGTTGCTTTTCTTACCCATCGCCCCCCGCGTTGCCGAAGCGCGCTCGTCATCGAGATCGCAGTTGGACGCGTGCTGTGCCGATGCCGTCTCCTGCTTCTCCCTTCATATTGCCTATCTGGTGGACACTGGCAAGGGAGGACAGGTATGCGGGTAGTGATGACGCCCACATTGCACCGCGCTGGTCGCAACATGGACGGGAGCCACTCGGGTGTGTAGTTGCAAGGTTCTGCCCTGCAGTTTGCCTGCAGTCGAGCTCGCGGTTACCATTCGCAGGGCAAGCTGCAAGATACAGCACCCGGCCAACCTACCGCACCTCACTCTGCGCAATGTGCACCGGGTGGTGATGATCTTGCGATGGCCAAGTCTTGTCCTCGGTCTCCTTGATGTCATGCCGACTATCCTCGCGTTGTTTCTTGTTGATCCCCCACCGGCCATTCGCCCTTCCGACTCGGCGCGACGCCCGCGACGGAGGGAGAGAAGACGAATAAACTCTTCCAGAAATACCGCCGGAAGCTACCTCTTCCACCGATCACCCCTGCTCCGAGAGTTCAGCATCTGCGAACTCTATCCATCTTATCCGCTTTCTCCACCGTGACCGTCGGCCTTTGAGTGGCAAATCGTCAAATTCACGCAAGGTAGCAATGCGCACATCTTCGCCTCACGGGGCTCAGATGCATGCAACCGGCCTGCTTGCACTCCACGTAACGTCTCTTACTGCTTGCACTCCATGCAACGTTTCTTGCTTATATACCATCAATCGACGAGTGTCTAAGGTGGATGCCTTGGGCTTCGACTGCTGGGGTATGGAGATTGATGCCTTGGGTCTCGACTGCTCGCACCCCTGCTACGAAGCTCTCCCCGCGACCGCCAACCCACCAAGATCTAAGAATACCCCATCGCCAAGTCGCATCCATTGGTGCGTCTTGTTGTTTCAACCACGACCGAGCAGTGCTACGCATCTTCCCGGCAGGGCACCTCCGCGACAGTTATAGACTTCCATGCTGCAGGTCTTGCGTCAAGCCAGATTCGTCTTAACTACCAGTCCTTTATTCGCGCATCTCATACTGTAGCCTCTTATCGTCGTCCACAAACTCCCGGCCAACCTTATTCGAACTCGATGCGCGCGTCAGCGAATTGCACGAGTCGCCGCAGAGAGTTGGGTGTTGCCACGCGGGGAGCCGGACATTACCCTAACCCTTCCCACGGATTCGAGCGAATCAACTGTACTGGCACTCTGTCCGCGCGATGATGATGATACGGATGCTCCCATTCGAGTCCGGAGCGCATATTGGATCGTAATTCCCAGTCATGCTCTCACACACTATGCTTTGAAAGAGAGGCCGGAGTGGCAATCGTGTTGCCTCGTGCAATCAATAACGGGCCATCATTATCGGGCTAGCCTTACCAAGGGAATCCTTCACTGGCCTCTACACGCCGAAAGATTGAAAGGTCACGATGAACATACACTGTTTGCTGGATTACATATACTGAGGTCCGACGGAGTCTATCGTCGATTCTACCGTGCCAATTGACGTTCGACATGTCGAAGATCGTATCCTCGCGAGGTTGAATGAGTACCTATACCGTATTGCATAGACAACTGCCCATTCGTAAGACGGTCAACGAGAATCTCTTGCAGTACAAGCACTCTTCAGCACGAATACATACTGAGGCTGAAACTGCCTCTCATCTCATTGATGTTCGACGTCGGAAGCGACCTGGACGGAAGGGACAACGTGGACCCCGCACTCCACACCCCGCACCCCAGACTCCACCACTCCAACCAGTAGCACTTCACGCCTAGGCCTCCAAGTCGCTAGGCATTGGATCTCACTGCAGGTTGACTTGTGTGCCTTGTTTTGCAGGCGAGTCTGACTCCTTGTTCAGTATCTTGCCTTCTCTTCCTTGACGTCGAACACCCCCCGTTTCGCATTACTCAGTACCTCATCGAACACCATCTACGTTGCCACCACAATGGCAGGCGGCAAGCCCTACCCCGAAGTCCCCGTGGGGAACAAGACCTACACCAATGCGGCTGTCGTCATCATCGGCGCCGGCATCTCTGGCATGGTGAGATTGCAACAACCACTGCCACCCAACGCTTACTGACGTCCAATGTAGTGCACTGCCATTGACCTCATCAAACGCAACAACTGCCGCAACTTCGTCATCCTCGAGCGCTCGGCGGGCTTTGGCGGGACGTGGCATGACAACAAGTAAGGATGCCCTCAGACTATTACATCGCAAGCACTAATCATTCTTTTGTGCAGATACCCTGGATGTTGCTGCGATGTGTGGAGTATGCTCTACTCATTCAGCTTCGCCCAAAACAGGTGCGCGAACCAATACCCTTGCTGGTCAACGCATGACACTGATCCCTCTCCTAGCGACTGGACCCGCGAGTACCCCGGGCAAGAAGAGATCCTCTCCTACCTCGTGCGCGTCGCGCAAGAATACAACCTCTACCAATACGTGCGCTTCAACACGAGCGTCGAGGAGTCGACGTGGGACGACGAGGCGAAGAAGTGGCGCACAAAAGTCAGCACGGCGCAGGGCAGCAAGGAGGGCGAGTTCCAGCAGGAGTACACGATTTCGAGCGACTTCCTCGTTAGTGCTGTTGGGCAGTTGAACTCGCCCAAATGGCCGGAGATTGAGGGGATTGGGTCGTTTGATGGCAAGACGATGCATTCTGCCCGATGGGATTGGTCGTATGATTTGGAGGGGAAGAGGGTGGCGATGTTGGGGAGTGGTGAGTCAAATGGTATACTTGTCACTCTTCCGCACAATCAACTAACATATGGACAGGATGCACCAGTGCACAGATTGTACGGCCTCTCATACCCCCTCCACATCAACCAATGCTAACCTCTCGCACCTCCAGGTCCCCGAAATCGCCAAAGTAGCCAAGCACATCACAATCTTCCAGCGCACGCCCAACTGGCTCTTCCCGCGCATGGACCAGCCGACATCCGCCCTGATGCGCAGCGTCTACAAGTACATCCCGCCGATCCGGTGGCGCAAGCGCGCGGGGCAAATGGACTTCCGCGAAGCCTTCTACGACGCCGTGACGGACTCGCAGAGCGACAATGCGAACATGATCCGCACGCTGCACCAGCAGAAGCTGGAGGCGGAGTTGCCGGATCGCAAGGATTTGTGGGACAAGTTGACGCCCAAGTATAATCCTGGTTGCAAGCGGGTGATTATCTCCGACGACTTCTTCCCTGCGCTTGGGCTGCCGAATGTCGATTTGGAGACAAGGCCGATTGATTCTATTGCCGGGAGTAAAGTCAAGGTGACGGAAGCGGATGGGAGGATTGTGGATGTGGAGCCGGAGTTTGATCTGCTCGTATGCGCGACGGGGTTCAAGACAACGCAGTTTATGCATCCGATTGAGATGAAGGGGAAGAATGGACGTGCCCTCAGCGAAGTGTGGAAAGATGGCGCTCAAGCGTTGTATGGGACGTGTGTGGAGGACATGCCCAACTTCTGCCAGCTCTACGGCCCAAATACCAATTTGGGTGAGTTTCGCCAATTGCAGTGCCCCGAGGCCGCAATACTGACCTTCTTAACAGGCCACAACAGCATCATCCTCATGATCGAAGCGCAATCCCGCTGGATCAACGGCCTGATCGCCCCCGTCCTGACCGCGCGCAAACAAGGCAAAGCGCTCAGCCTGCGCCCCAAACCCGCCAAAGTAGCAGCGTACAACGCCGAGATCCAAGCAGAGCTGCAAGCGTCCAGCTTCAACGACCCAAACTGCAACTCGTGGTACAAGAATGAGAGCGGGCGCATCACGAACAACTGGTCGAGGACGGTGGTCGCGTACCAGCATCAGATGGAGGAGGTGAAATTCGACGATTTCGTGGTTGAGGGGAGTGGGGTGGGGATTGTGAGGGATCGGCCGAGGATTCATGTGGGAAGGGTGAAGGAGGAGACGAGCGTGAGTGATCGGACGATTGTGGCGTTGGGGGCGGTGGGCGCTGCTGCTGTGGTGGGGAGTTGGTTGTTGAGGAACTCGCAGTATTTGAGGCAGGTCAAGGTGAGTTGAGTTCGGGTTGCGTGCAGTCGGATGCGGAATGCTGATGCTTCGTAGCTTCCGGCGTTGTCGTCTTGATGTCGTTTTGAGGGCGTTGTGCGTGCCATCTCCGGATTACATAGCAATCCATTGTATCCACGCTTCCATGTATTGTGGCCGGAGTGCACTCAGACGTGGGATATGCTGATGTCACCGTCTCAACCGCCTTCTGCCACCTCTTCACTATCCTCCCCCTCCTCGCTGGAGCTGACATGACCATTCCCATTGATCTCCCCCTTCTCCTCCTCATCCTCATCCTCCAACTCATCCAGCTCCTCCCCCAGCCCACTAACCCTCGGCTCCAACCTCTCCTCATCCTCCAAGAAAACCCTCGGATTCAGCTTCGGCAGCGTCGTAGCACAAACCCTACTCTTCCCCAGTAAATCATCCACAAACTGATCCACGTACGTCAACTGCCACCCCTCCCTCGTCCTCCTCTTCAACTTCCTCGAATCGTTCAGCAGCGGCTCAAGAGTAGTGTACACCTCCTCGTCCTTTTCCCACGCCAGCCGCACATAAAACGCGGCCAGCGCCCGCAAATACTTGAACTCCTCCCCCGCCTGGCTTAGATAAAACTCCACAATCTCGCGCTCAGGCGTGAGCTGCAACATCTTGAACGCAAGGCACAAGAAGGGCGTGGGTTTCTGCGCAACGCCGTACGTGCCGCCGAGGAAGGTGAGGTCGACGGCGCGGTCGAGGAGGGTGGCGGCGTTCAGGCCGAAGCATTGCTCTTTCCAGTAGTACGAGTCGATGATGCGGTCGCGCACGGCTTTTTCGAAGAGCTTGAGCGGGTTGTCGCCGTGGATTAGGGTGCCGGTGTAGCCGCGCTCGTCGAGGGCGCGGCGCGCGTCGGCTTGGTGGGCCATGGCTGGGTGATACCGGCTAAGACATTGTCTGGTGTGGTGTGGAAGATGAGAGATGTGGTTGTTCAAATTTCGAGGTTCGCAGTTTCCTGTTTGGGTGGGGAAAGTGGGGCTTACTTAGGGTCGACCGGCGACAGCCTCGTGCTTCACAACCGACCACTAGGTCAGTGCAACACGCGCAATCGCTTCATATCTTTGCTATTTGCAACAATGATACTACGTGAGGTGCCGTGAGTCATACCATATGAGCAAAAAAATAGATTTTTCGATAGCATGGTGAGCGACCAACAAACCATCACCGCCTGCCCGGCCTCTTGGGTCTCGCAAACCCACTTCCCGCCGCCTTACTCTCCACCGCACCCTCGCCATTAGCAGCAGCAGCACCACCACTCAGATCCTCCACCGCCAGCTCACTCGGCTCCGTAGCCTCCAACGACTTGGCAACAGTCAAACCCGCATCGCGCTCTGCCACGATGCGCGTAGTTCTCTTGCCGGTGCTGTAGACCATGCGCTCCTTCACTTTCGAGCTGGAAGGACAGGTGTAGATGAAGACGATGCTCGGGTCCCCGGAGGATGAGGGGTAAGAGTAGAAGGAGTAGCGCGGTTCGTCGGCACTGATCGTCTTCCCCACGTCCGCGGGCTCGATGTTGTTGCGGGAGGAATGCAGGCGCAACGTCTCGTCCGGAAGGGCGTATTTCAGCTGCACGAGTGTGCCTTTGCTTCCTTCTTCCCCAAGCGTTCGAAGTGCTTCGACCACACCCTCCCCGGTGGGAATATCGATCTTGCTACTGACATGCCCTCTTCGCCCCGTCGTGCCCTGCGACTCCAGTGCCTCCGCCTCCTTCACACCTTTCAACCCGCTCTCCTCCTCCGTCAGCGGAGCATCAAGCGACACATGCGCCTCATGCTTCGCCCAGCCCTCCGCCGTCAGCTCATCCTTGTCCGTAGCAAAGATCGTCTGCCTGAACCGCTCAATGCCCAACTCGCGCACGAGCGTCAGCCGCGTGCTGGCGAAGAGCATCTTCTGCCGTACGGGCGCGGCATTGGGGACGTAAGTAATGGCGGCGTAGCCATCGGGTTCGCCGGCGTGGGTTTTGAGGAGGATGTAGGTTGCTGCGGTTGGGGAGATGTGGGATTGCAATTGGTGCAGGTCGGCGGTGAAGTCGGTGCTTGTGAGGGAGATGGATTGCGTGGGGAGGATGGACTCGTGGTCTATGGTTGCGAGGAGGGCGCGTTGGTCGTCGGAGGAGACGAGGGTGCGGAAGGCATGTTGCAGTTCTTCGGAGGCTGGGGGCAAATACTGTTAGCTGGTTGTGATGAAGATTGAGGACTGGGATGACAAGAGGCTGACCTGTTATTCCGGACTGCATTGTGGGCAATGTGTTTATGGTAGGAGCACCATTGTGAGTGGAAGTACGCAAGCTACGACGTGGAGGAGTGGGCGGGCCTGGCTGACGTTGCTCCTCTGGCCTGAGGCAGCCACGCTACAACTGCAGCATAAAAGCAGACAACATTGAAGATATGTGTATCATGTACCACTTCCATGAACCACAATCGGCCCAAATAAGGTAGTAAACTTGATCCATTTCTCATGCTTCCTTCTTATCACAAAGCTCCATCAGCCCAGACCAGCATGTTTTTCAACGCCCACTCAGGCGGGACATCTCCCTCATCCACAATCCTCCTCGCACTCTCCCTCGTGCCAAACGCCTCGAAAAACTCCCTCAGCTTAGGAAACGTCTCAACCACCTCCCTCCCATATACGTCGCGGACCTTCTCTCCAGAGCCGAGCGTCATGTCGACGCCGTAGCAATCGCGCGTAAACTCGAGGAACTGGTACAACACGATATCGGCGAGGGTGACATGGCCATCGACGCCCTGGCGAAGAAGCGACATGTCTCTTTCCGCGGCCTGCCACCACTTCTCAATCGTCATGAGTGACCGCCGCACCCAGCGTAGCATTTCCTTGGAGCCGGCCGGGTAGGACATGGTGCCTGCTTTGGTGCCGAAGGTGCGGACGGGGTTCCTGCGAAGGGTGTCAGTCGTTATTCGTGGACGGGAAGGTGGAGGAAAGCAGACTCACCAATCGCCAGTGCACTGTTCGGCCAGACTTAATACCTCGTTGATCTCCACTCGCTGCACCAGTGTGGTACCCGCCAGGGAGCGGAGCGCCGCGTCGCCAAACCCATACACCCTCTTCTCGCACACTTCCTCTAAAAAGTGCATGATAGCCATGGATTGACGAATCTGTAGGCCGGACGCCGAGCCATTTTCCTCTGCTGAAGGTACAACGAGAATAGGCAGACTGCCAGTCGGCCTGGGCGGATACGAGGAGTCCACCGCTTGATCCTCATCCTGTGGAGTGGACACGCGAACGACGGTGACGAGGCTGGAGGGTATGCGCTTCTCGCGCAGGTAGATGATGACGCGGCGAGGAAAGGGCATCCAGGGATAGGCGTAGAGGAGCCAGGGGAAGGCCGGGGTGAAGGGGAGAGACATGATGGGTGCTAGAGTTGTACAAGAGCGTGCCTACCGTGTGTTCATTGTTCCAACGGCAGCAGGTTGTCTGCGGCGTTGCTTGCTTTATAGAGGAGCGTGGACTTCATGCTTGGCCACTTTGGTGAAACATCAAGGTTCCTCCACCTCGGAGCCTTTCACTCGACATATGTAAGCAGCATGAGAACATTTCGGCTGATTCGGGCTAGCAGCGAATGCCTTTTACCTGGTATGGCCGTGTCGAGGAGGAGGAGGATGATAAGTCTCCGGAATTCTTGTTTCTAACGACGGAGGACGGGCGGAAAGTCTCCGAAGTGCATGCAGCGTCTGAACGGAATGATGCCGACATCGCCGCTCCTCGGGACAACGTCACTTCACTTCATCACCTCTCCGCCGATATTCACGAGCAACATCAAGCATTGATCCTGAGAGAGCAAGCAATAAAACAAACCCAAAAGCTCCAGCCAAATCTACGAATCCATCTCGGATATCTACTCGTCAAGACTCGCATGCCTGGCCTCTGATCCTGCAGCCAACCATGGACTTCATCGTCGGCACCTTCAACTACGAAACCCTCTACACCCTGCACTTCTCCCCTCCAACCCGCACCCAGCCGACCGCAAGCCTCAGCATCCTCCGCAGCAGCCCAGCAATAGGCGGCCACTCCTGGCTCACCCTCTCCCCCACAAAAGAATACCTCTACACAACAGCCTGGACCAAGCCCAACCCCTCCATAGCAGCGTACAAACTGCGCGCCTCAGGCCGCGAAATCCAATTCCTCAACGCCAAACCCGTCGCCGCGCTTTCCGGGTACGTGTGCACGAACGGGACCCACCTGTTCAGCGTGGGCGGTCCGTCAGGCGAAGTCTTCCGGCTAGAGAAGGACGGGAGTATAGGCGAGTGCGTGCAGAACCTCGATTTCGTGACCGGGCACGGGGAGAATGTATCCGAGAACCGGAATCGAGATGCGCCAGGCGCGGCGCACGGGTCTTTCGGCGGCTTACGACATGGTGCGCACTCGGTGGACCTCTCGCCTGACGGCCGCAGTTTGTACGTCGCGGACATTGGCCGGAATGCCATCTTCACCTACAGCGTGGGCAAATTCAACTTGCGGGATCTCTACGATCCGCCGCTGAAGCTAGGGACGAAGCACATCTCGCCCAGACCGAACGACGGGCCGCGACACTCCTGGCCGCACCCGAACGGGAAAGTGCTGTACGTGCTGCAAGAGCACACCAGCATGGTGGACGTGTTCGCCATCGCCGAGGACGGCGTGACTCTGGAGCACAAGCAGGGCGTCAAAATTATTCCCGCGGAGAAGGAGGCGAAAGAGTACTGGGCGGATGAAGTCCGGCTCGATCAGAGCGGCGATGCCTCCCGGCCGAAATTCATGTACGCTTCCACGAGGGGCCTGCAGGCTTCGACAAAGGGATACGTCGCCGCATTCTCCCTGGACGAGCACGGCTACTTGATCTCCGAAACCGCAATCCACATCTGGGAAACGCCGACGTCAGGCGGTTTAGCGAATGCCATTGAGCCTGCGCCGCCTATCAAAGGCCAGCGCGAGGATGTGCAGTACTTGGCCATGACGGATAGCGAGGAGGGGTGGGTGTTTATGTTGAGTTTCGACGGCAAGAAGATTGCCGAGGTGGCGAGGGTGAGTTTGGGGAAGACGGAGGAGGGGGAGGTGGTGGGTGCTGCTACTGCTGTTTGGCTGGGGGCTGGAGGGGGCGGGCTTGTGCACGAGGTTAATTCATGAGTTGATAGCAAGGCAGTCTCTCTTCACACTTTGCCGCTATGCTGAATAGCATGACTCAAATCTACAGCTGCTTAGGAATCGATTCCATCCTCTCGCAGCCGTGTTCTCCTTTCGTACTCCCTTAGACAACCATGACTCCCCCACCACTAACCTCCAGCCCCTCCGCACGCCCACCACTCCCATCAAGCACACACATACCCTCCTCCGTCCCAAACACCCTCAGCTTATTCCCATACACACTCCAAAACTCACTACGACGCCCCGGCATCCCGCCCTCAAAACTCTGCTCAACAGCCGCGTCATGATATGGTAGTTTGGCATTTACTGCTGCTGCGATGAAGGGGTCATGCGGGTCTTGGGGAGGGAGGCTGGGATCGCCTTTCCGCTTCCATTTGCCGCCTACTTCGGAGGGGGTGAAGGTGCTGACTTCAGATGGGGTGGAAGAAGCGCCGGCAACTGCGTCGGAGTCGGATTGTGGGGCGTCAGTGTCAGCGATGTGCACCCCGTTGATGCCGGCGGTGATATGCTGCTCTTCTCTTGTGGCTTTGTGGTCGACGTAGTTCCCCTCTCGCGCAAGTTTGGCCGAAAGACGGGTTGCGATCTGCGCGGTGAGAAAGCTGTCGTAGCCCGCCTCATGCAAAGCCTCTGCTTCCGAGTACTTCATGTGCTCGGCGTCGATTTCTAACGTAGGCTTGCGCTCGGCACTGAGCTGAGTGGCGATTTGCTCCAGCGAGCTGACGGGATTGATGTCTCCGCAATTGTGCGTAGACATGTACTTCGTGTCCACAATGTTGGGCCAGATGTGGTGAATTTTCTGCTGGAACTCTTCCACCGAGTTCGGAAGCGGGCCGATGAAGGTTTTGTAAATATATACCAGATCGAGAAAGCAGTTGTGGCCGACGAGCATGCGCGGATTCCCTTTGATGATTCGTTGCGCACGGTTGAAACGCGACTGGAAGTCGTCCATGTCGCAGAACACTGCTTCGCCATTGGCTGGATCTCGAGCACACTCACGCAAGGGCAAGCCGGTGAGTTTGCTGCCATGCAAGGCTTCGATAATCCAGCGAAAGCCCTTTTGCTTGTTGATATGCGCCTCGAGGTCTCGGACTCGCTCTGCGTGGATTCTATCCTCGCGTTGCTGGTCGAAACGCACGATTTGGATGAAGTCGCGTTTGCTAATGGTGACGAGGTCGGGGTACTCGGACCGAACAAGCTGGTGGACGAGGCGCTTTTCGAAGCGGGAGAGTCCTTCGACAACTTGCTCTTCTCCATCGGAGTCGGAGGGATGTTGACTGGCTTTGGTAATGTCGAGGTACTCGGATGACTCCCGGTAGTGTCCCTTCAGCCAGGCGTTGACCTCGCTACGAACATGCTCCATGAAGGCAAGAGCCTCCACTTCCGTCGGTTTGATGTTGATGTCGGAGATGGCGGTCCTATCTTGACGCTGTTGGAACTTCTCGCGTGCTTGCTTGCTCTCTTCACGAGAGAGGTAGGGAACGCCCCATTTGAAAGGAGCGCTGAAGTCAAAGCCAACCTTCAGCAGGAAGTCCACTGCGCCAGACTGAAACGAGAAGATGCGTTCGACGTCGATGCCGCGCTCCTCAATGGTCGGACTGAGCTCGATGTTGTAGGGTTTGAGAATATACTTTTGGAGCTCGACGTCTTGCTCAACGCAGGTGAGCCCGATCTGAAGAATCTGATATCGCTCGGCCGCTTCCTTGGTCTCTGAGTACCGATCCTGCAAAGATGGTTTTCCCTTGGCATAGCTCGTGTGATACTTGGTCGGAACCCCGCTCAGTTCGAGGTCGAAGGCGACGAAGTGTGAGTGAGAGATGTCCGTCAACAGGTCGAGAATGAGTGGGTAGAAGGAGACTTTGTCGATTTCCATGTTGACGGGTCCGGCTGGCAATCGAAACTGAATACCGTATATGAGGCCTAGTGGAATTGTTCGATGAGCGCTCGAGGAGTTGATTGCTCAGCGAGATGAGTGAGTAATTGGTGAAGGGTTGTGTTTGAGTGATGAGCAAGGGAAAGAAGACTCCACCTGCCGGGCTCACTCGAGGAGAAGGACGAATGTAAAGAACAAAGAAGGGAGAAACCCGCTCTTCCGTGATGGAAAGCAGAAAGGTCTGCTGAAATCACAACCTGCACAGCAGATGATGGCGGAAGAAGTGAGGAGCAAACACAATCACGGCGGCGTTGTACTTGCCTCACTCATGATGCAGCTCAAGAGGTGCTTGCCTCGTCTGATATCTGAATTGTCAACTAACTGGATCAGCATGTGCAGGGAGAAGGTAGCGTGTGAGGGCAGATGATGGTTGACATCAAGTGGCTGAAGAGTCAAAGCCTTGAACGATTCATGATGTCCACCACTTTATTACGTCAGCAACACGTCGCGCCGCGCGCACATCCACTGGTCCGTGCTGAACCTCGGCGTGCACCAACCCCGTCCCATCCCACACCTCCATGACGATCACCCGCACCTTGCCCACCGATCTCCCTCTCTCTCGACACTCCGTCGTCCGCCGCAATGCCTTCCACAGACACTGCCTCGTACCAAGACGGCGCCGACTCCCAACACTACCTCTCCAGCTCCCTGTCCAGCCTCTCGCGCTCCAAAACCACCAGCTCCTTCATCGTCCGCACCTACAAGCAAGCCACCCAACTCTACCTCACCCGCCGCTTCAAAGAGGCCCTAGACACCCTTGAGCCTATCATCAGCCCGCAACCTGCTTCGGAAAACGGACACTCCAACGGCCACCGCAGCAATGGCTACTCCTCCGATCTGGCGCACAGCGCAGCGGGACCGGCGCCCGTCGCGCAAGCATCGCGCAGCACCAGGACCAAAGTCTGGGTCTTCTACCTGAGCCTCCTCAACTCCATCATCACCTTGGGCAGCGAAGAAGGGCGCGTCATCTTCGGCGGGGCGAAGTGGAAGGAAATCACGGCAAAGGTGCAGAGCGGCTCGGTGTGGGACGAGGTGGTCCAGCGCGGATACGGCGGGCAAGATGGAGACGTCGATGCAGATGTCGTCGTCAACCTTGCCACTCTCCTGTCGGGACACATGCAAGACCAGACGTTTAACCAGCAGCGACTAGAAACGTATCTGGCTACCTCTGATGCAGGGCCAGGCGGACACCTATCGTGGTCGCAAGACGGGATGAGCACGCCCATGTCTAATAGCTCATCGTCGCCAAAGACACTGGCCACGCGCTTGAAGATCCTCGAGATTTACACGCTACATGTATTACCTGCGAATGGAGAGTGGGAGTACTCGCGCTCATTCATCGACATGAGCGACATGCTGGACGAGGAGCGGAAAGAGGCGTTTCTGAACGCGCTGCAGAATCTCAAAGCAGAGAAGGACGGGCTGTCAGAGCGGCAGCGAGAATTGGAAGAGCAGCGAGAGCAGGAAATGGAGCAGCAGCGAAGAGAAGAGGAGGAAGAGCGCAGGAGAGCAGTGGCGGAAGAAGAAGCGCGGAAGCAAGAAGAGCAACGCCGACACGCGGAAGCGGAGAAGCAAAAGGCCACGAGAACAGTCAACGGCTCGGCAAGCAGCCAGAAACCGGTTGCTAAACCGTTGCCCACTCCGGCACCTTCAGCACCTTCATCCCGTCCCTCCTCAAAGGCGCAACGAAAACAGCCTGCTGCCCCATCACCCCCACCAACCTTCTACCGCCGCGCCTCATCTCTTCTCCTCAATTTCCAACATCTCGTCGTCAAGGCCGGCCAAGGCATGAACACCATGGCCATCCTGCGCTTACTGATGTTCATCGCCGCTTTTTTGCTCCTCATTGCCAGGCGTGATTTGCGCATGAGGATCCGAAGGGGAATGGAGGATGGATGGGTGAAGATCAAGCAGACTGTGGGCATGGGTGTGAAGTAAGCTGCTCTTCCTGATCTCATCTCGCGATAGTACGCTGTGGACTAATCCGCGCTTTCTCCAGGGTATCCTATATCTGACCGACTTTCTGACTGTTGGCACGAGGCGCCATTTGAACGAGACATCTACGATCTGGATAGTGGAACTCCGGCGCGCGCATAGGATGATCATAGCACGACTTCTTGCGATCATGACCGACATAGTGGCCGCTTCATTCAGCCACACCTGTATGGACAGCAGTCACCATTCCCCTCTCATCTCGCCATAAACTGCACAAACTCCCTACCCACCTCCGACCCCCTAAACCCACTCAAATCCCTCCCCCACCCATCCACAACCTCCCCCTCCTCATCCCCACTCCAAACCCCACCCTCCACCTCCCCTTTCTCATCCCCCCACTCCTCCTCATCCGAAGCACCCTTCCCACGAAACCCATAAACATTCCCATCAAACTCATCCTCCGAATCGACTTCTTGCTCGGGGTAATCAGCGCCATAGAAACCCTCTGCATTCTCGTCTTCTTCGCCTTCTACCTCTCCGTCCCACGCTTTGTCGCTCCCGGTAGGGGAAGAAGGGGAGTGGTAGAAGGTTTGCCAGAGTGCTTCTTCCTCCTCGGTGTTGACGACAAGGTAGCCAATGGCGTTGCCTGATCCGTTGGTGGGGGTGGTGGCTGAGTGAGGAGTAGATTTCGGAGCGAGGATGTAAGTGTCGTAGACATAGTCCGTGTCGTTCTCCATCTGCACGTCGTGCTCCTCCGTCGTGGCACCGAGTTCGGCGTTGGCAGCTACCCGTGCGTTATGCAGTTGCCGACTCCGCTCACCGGACATCCGCGGCGGTGCAACACGCTGCTGCACACCTGTAGAGCTCTGCAAGTTCCGCGCAACATCTCCATTCGGAAGTATGCCCTTCGCCATCTCCTCGCGCTCCACCTCCTCCAAAGCAGTCTGATGCATGTAATCCGCCAACTCCTGGATTCGCCGCCTCTCGCCCACGCTTTCTGGCCCACGCGGGCTAGAGAGATGGCTCGACGAGGAGCGAAGGGTTGCGTTTCGACCAGGACGTTTGAAAGACTCTATGGCCGCATTGATCCCCCCATCAGATCGAGACAGTAGTGTTCCCTGTCCAACATCTCCATCCCCCCTCTTCACCTTCTTCTCAACAACCGTAGCAACACCCCCATCAGTCCCCCTCCTCTTCCTTCCAGCAAGTTGGAAAACCCTCCTCGTCGACTCCCCTCCATTAACCATTCGAGCCTCTCGCGATGGCGCAGGAGCACCAGCAGCAGACGGAATTTCAACAGGCTGTTCCTCCCTCGCCGTCACCGGCACAGCATCAGCTTTCCGAACATAATGCAAATTCGTCGCGGCGCGTTTATTCCCGCGCGCCTGCTGCTGGACGATGAGGATGTCGGGCGCATCGTCGGTGCGTTTGCGCTTGAGGCGCACGAGGGTCGGTTCCGACATGGTGGGTTGGGCGTGTGATGTAAGGATGTAATAAGTGGGAGGGTTGGAAGTTGAAGTTAGAGGTGCAGAAGAGGAAGGTACGCTAGTCCCGCGCTTTCACGTGCGTGCAAGTCTGGGAAGAATTGCTCTGCGAACAAAGACGAATGGCGTCGGGTTTCTTTCAATGCATGTATATTTGGCGACGGTTCGTACTGGAATGACAAGGAAAACTTCGGCCAACTCATGAATGAAGCAGGTAGGTAGCTCTCATACTCGACCACCGTCTGCCCTCCCTGTCATATCTCCGCTAAGCTCACGCAACACACAAAACAATGCCATGCCACCCCATTCCCCCGACCCTCGTGCTTCCCCAGGCCGCCGTCGTCTAACCCGATACTGTAATACCGTGAACCCGCCCTCAGGTGCGCATCAAAGAAAGAAAGCCTCCCTGCGCCTCGTAACGCCATGCCATGCAGCATATGCTCCCCGTAATCTCTCATTCACAATGCAATGAATGCAAGCGCATCTCCCAACCCTCTCCGCATCCCGTCGCTCAGGTCTGCTCACCCTCCTCCCCCTCCTCAGCAGGCAGGTAACTTGAAGGCGGTAAATCCGGATAGACATTGACCACCGGCGGACTGCCCTCCTCGTCGTCCAGGAAGCCGCCACCTGCATCCCCTACACTCCCGGCATCAGGCAAGTACATAGGCTCGGGGGAGTAATCCGGGAGCTCGGTATCGCTGCTCGAGGTAGGAGTGGGGCGATTGCGGCTGGAGAAGTTGGAGAAGGAGTCGTGGTCGTGGTCCTGCGAGTGGAGGGCCGGTGCGTCGTCCATGGTGGCTGTCGTGCTGTCTGCATCGCTGTCGACTTCGGTCATCAATCTTCCGCCGCCCACAAGGCCATGAGATGGAGAAGAGTCATCATCCCCAAGCCCAGTAAAACTCCACTCCGCGCCACGATTCCCAAACTGCCTAGGTCCATACACCACCCTCTCCTCCTCCTCGTCATCGTCGTCATCAAGAAGGTGTCGATTCGTCCTCCTCGCCCTCAGAGTGCTGCTGGCTGGCGCTCCCTGCTGAGCTCCAGCTAAACCACCTTCGCCCCCCATTCCGCGGTTGCGAAGGCTCCCGACTCCGGCTCCGGCTGCGCTCGACGACCCAGGGAATGTAGAGCCATTTGGACCGCCGAGCCGGCCTTCCCCCGAGTCGGATTCGTCGCCGGTGGCACTGGCGTCGGCGCCGTTGGTGCTGTTATCGGGTTGGTGCTGGGAGGAGATGGAGGGGTTGCGGGCTTCGTAGACGAGTTCCTGGAGCATCGGGCCGCCGAGGGGTTGGTCGGAGCGGCGGCGGTAGAAGAGGAGGTACGCAGCAGCGGACTTCTTATGATCCGTGAGTTTGTTACAGTGCGCGTCTGTTTGAACACATGGTCAGCCATACCATTCCCACACGTTGCACGTCGTGGAGCACAACTCACCATTATAGTCATACCACTGCCCGTCGTAGAAGTTCTTCGCGACGGCAGTGTAATGGCCACCCCCCAGCCCACCATAATGATTGTCGACCGCAAACAAATCGTACACATACTCCTTGCCATCTTCCTTCAGCCCGACACGCTGCGTCATATCCAGCCCCTCGATAGGATAGTCGACAAGAACATCAATCTTGTCACGGAAGCTGCGATTCCCGCCAAAGCGCTTGAGATGCACAACGAGGATGTCGGGGATGGTCCAGATTTCCAGCGTCTTGGTCGCGCGCCGCAGTTCCTTGCATCGATTGCAGTACCACGCATTGTCTTCGGACAGCACCTCGCGCTTGCCCGTTTCGACGAAGCAGTCTTCGAGCGTGATGCCATGCTTCTTACGCGACTCCCGCCGATATTTCCGCTCCTCGACTTGCGCGTCGGGATAATCAGGCAGATCCTTGCCTTCGGGGGACGAAACGAAATGCCCGCGGTTGTCGTCGGCGTCTTCGACTTGTCCACCAAACAGCGCACTGACTGCTTCCGGGTACCAGTCCAGAACAATTCCCTCGCCCAGTTTGATGAAGTAGGAATTACTTTCATTTCGATCAGCGGTCTTGCCCACGAGACTCCTGCCCCCACTCGACTGGAAAGACGAGTAAGACGCATTGCTATCGTTGGCACGGTGCTGGCCTCGCTGTTGCTGACCCTTCTTGGAGTAAGTCTTGGGCTTTCCCTTCCGCTTGCCATGCTTATTCTGCTTCCGTCGACCTTTGCGCGATCCGGTGTAGTCAAGCGGGTTCGAAGGCAGGCTGTCTTCGTCGTCGCTCACATCAAGCGTGGAGCGAAGAGCATCATCACCACCAATCACGAGATCCGGCTTGTCCATTTCGTCTTCGTCGCTCTCTTCTGATGCAGCGCCGTTGGCTTGCGTACCCGACCCAGTGCTAGTGGTGGACCCTTCGCCAGACGAGGACGACTGCACAGACGATCTGCGCACCGGAGGCTTCACGCGATCCTGCATGATGCGCTCCGACTTGTCCTTGACGCAATTCATGCCGGAGCAATGCATGCCTTCTGCACTCTGGGCGTAGTTGAGAACGAACAAGCTGTTGCGCAGATCCGAGGGAATGGGGTAGTTGGGTGACCAGTAGTCGGATGGCACAGGACGGTCATCTTCATTGTGCTTGTGCGCTGGGTCCTCTCTCAGGAGTTGTTTCGAAGGTGAGGAGGCCGCCGATTTGCTAAGCGACACCTCCACATACTCCTCCTCCGAAGAAGTCGACCGCTCACTGACATGTGCAGTCTCTTCCGCGACAGAAGCCTCGTCCTTCATCTCCACATTCGAAGCGGACTCATCCGTCGACTCATCAGCTTCTCCACCCATCTCAGTCAAGAGTCGACGACTCGTCAATCGCGAGACAGCATAGAGGACTTTCTTCAAGATTGCGTCGTAGTTCTGCGCCTCTTCACGCGTGACCACAATGAACATAGGATGTAGAATCCAGTCCCAGCCAAACCCACTCCGAGTTTTCTGCCGCGAGAGCACCGGAACGACGAACTGGTCGGCTTTCGGATCATCCATATCGGGCAGCGGATCCGCCTTCGGAAACGAGGAGTAGAACATCTTCCTCTCCGACGGCGACGGGAAATTGGTAGGCGGGGCACTCAGCTCGAAGGCGAAAATGTAGTCGCTGGGCTGGATACCCATCTCGCCGAGCGTGCTGGTGTTTTCAAAGACTTTGTACACCTTGTGGCTGTACACTTCCACCATCCACAGCCGGTCGGCTTGGACGCCATGGTGCTTGGATGCGATGTACTCCTTGAGCATTTTGATGGTAGAGTTCTTGTCGATATCAATCGAATGATTGACAGGTCGGCCCAGGTACGGGACGAAGGTGACATTATGTTGGAAAGTGCTCTCGATCGGCAGCTGCACAGTCAACAGTGAATACGGATCGAACGTGATGCTGACCTTGTCGCAGACGGGACACTCCATGGTGTTTTTGTAGAAGCCGCTGAAGAGGTCCATCGCGACGGAATCGTTGCGCGCCTTGTGGTTGGAGCGATAGATTTCGCCCAGCTTGATGATGGCTTCCGGATCGTGCACCGTCTTGTCGTCCGAGTCAGGGTTCTCATTGTATGGCTTCTTCTGAATGCGGTTCAGATCCTCGTGCAGCGCATCGACCAAGAAGCTGAGAAACTCCTGCGAATCCTGCTGCCCGTACCCTGAAAACATCGGCTGGATGTTGCCGAGTGCTTTCTTAAACGCATTCGGCGAGATCGTTGTGGTGATGTTCTCGGCGTAGATCGAATTCAACAACTCTGCATACCGCTTCGCCATGACACCGTTGTGACCCAGAGGGTTGTTGGTGTTGATCTCGGACTTGTACTTGCCCGACAAGAAGTAGATGGCCAGCTCCTCCACACTACGTATGCACTGGAGTGCGGAGTTCATGTAGCACGTGTTGCCCAGGTTGTTGAGCCCGACCGTGCCCTGAGTGCGCCCATCGCGGCGTTGGCGACCTCTAGTCATCATGCCGCCCCCAGTGGGCGCAGGACTGGTCCGCCCAGAGGGGTTGGCCGAGCCAGGCACCGATCCGAGCATGCGACTGGCGATCGGAAGCCTTCCGCCCTCCTTCTTGCGATCAGATGCGAACTCGCCACCAGCCGGGCCCCCAATCATCTCTTCCAGGGCGATGATCGTGTCATGGAACAGGCTATACACCTGCATGGTGCTTTTGCCGTTGTAGTTGCTGTCGTTGGTGGCATCTTTCGCGTCAATGTGCTCCATGTCCTTGCCCAGTTCCATGGCGTTGAAGGTCTCCAGGTCCAGGATCAGCTTCGACTTCGGTGCGCGAGCGGCTCTGGGAGATCCGCTACGGGACAGAGGCGGCGACAGGACTCCGTTTCGCTGACTTGTCGGCCCGACAACAGTGACCTGTGATGCGTCGAGTAGCCGGAAGATCCTGACCTTGTGATCCCGCGGAATACCAGCAGCCTCTTTACTCCGTTTCAGGAAGTCATTGAAGCGTTCCGACTGTGACGACACCAGCTGAACAGCATCTTCAGGAGACAGCTGTCCACGAGACCGACGCTCTTCCTTTAAGCGCAGCTCGGCATACGATGTCTTCTTCGACGCTGGAGGAGGGTCCTCGGTCTCTGGCCGTAGTTGAGGAATCTTTCGCACGGTAATGACGGGCGGATACAGCTCATACTGCATGTTCTGCTGAGTCGCTTCTTCGCCGGCAGTGTTGTGCACAAAGCGACAAATTGGCTTCTGGCCTTGCACATTGCCATACCAACCGACAATCAAGCCGTACGCCTTCTCTGGGAGCACTTGAAAATCGTCGCCAATGGTCAAGCCAGGTTTGAGTGGGATGAAATGTTTGCCTTCGGGCCCCTTGAGAACCGGGTCCTCCCAGGCGCCATCGGGCACGATGTCCGCGCAGTCGACCGGGCCGATGTCACCTTGTTGTGCTTCTTTAGAGAAGGTGGAGTCTTGCGTGCGCGCTGTGGACCGGGACATGACACGACCCAGCCATTTCATCGAGACGGCGTATCCAACGGTTCCCTCATCCAGCTGTTGATTCTGTACGAGCTTCATCACGGTTTCCACCTGCTCGTCGATCGTGGGCAAGCCAGCGTTATTGCTTTCCGTCATGTTGGTGCCTCCGTTCGTAGTAGACGTATCCATCACGGTCGTATCCTCCACACTCTCCCTCACACTCTCCTGCGTATCCATAGCATCGTGCCCTCTCGGCATCTGCTCGCCTTCCATATCCGCCGCGCTCCTCTTGGCAGGCGAGGCGCTTCTAACACCTGCAGTACGACCAGACTTCACGCCCTGTCTCTGTTCCGTAGTATCGTTGTTGGTGCCGGTAAAATTGCCATCCGACATTTCCGCACTACCTTCTCCCCCATCAATAGTAATTTGCTCAAACGCTCCGCTCGGACTGGAAGCCTCCAAACTCTCCCTTCTGGCCAATTGCACCTCTTCGTGGAGGTGGGGTGGGAGGAAACGCGGCGGGCTCGTGTTGCGAGTCGTGTGGCTGCTAGCGGGGGACGGGACGGGGGAGTCGGAAGAGGTGGTGGTGGTAGTAGTAGATTGCGGCTGGAGCGTGGGCGACGGCAGAGGCGAAGAATCAGCAATGCTGTCTAAGGAGGGATGTTTGCTGTGTTGTTGGTGTTGGTGTTGGGAATGCTGGTGATGCTGCTGGCCGCCGGCGCTATCGATGCTCGCAAAAGGCGAAAGCTTCCGCTTCTTCTGCGAAGAAGCCGTGACGAGGATGCCACGAACGAGCTCTGCCTGTGGCGCGGCAGAGCCCTGCGGTGGGAGTAGTGGTGGGTGGGCGTGGTGGGGGTTGCACGTCCGCGCAGCCGCGGCGGCCGTTGACTTTTGTGTCGCGAACCTTCCGTCTGCCGGGTGGCGGATTTGTCAGGCGGGCGTTTGCGTTGCCTGATTGGGAAGGAACGACAGGGATGGGTATGGAGGGTGGAGGAGAAGAGAAGGAGGGCGGCGGTGCGAAGAGAGTGGTGCAGCACTGTGAAACACTGAAGAAGCTCCCGTTTGCATGCGCCGCTTCCGACGTGACGTGAGTTTGTCCGTGCCTGAAGCTGGTCTTGGCACGTCAAGCTTTCGTCAATGGCGTCGCTGGAGCCTCATCATTGCCTGAGGCAAACCAAACCACACCTCACGTTACAGCAACACACGAACATCGATTCAGTGAATGCACAAACCTGACAGAAGTGAATCATTGAACAATCAATGAAGTGACGGCATCAATTTCAGCCGGCGTGCAACACACGCAAATACGTAATCGCAATGCAAGCGATTGCCTCGCGCACTCAATAGAAGAGGGTAGCATCTTCTGCGCATGCCTCTGTAGAAAGGTCTTATTCGGTGAACCTGTGATCTCCCATGATTCACAATCCACTCATGCCACTAAGAGTCACGTGGATTCCACTTGCCACTCCCTCCACCAGAGTTCAGCCACGAGAACGCAGAACCCCCTCCAATCGGATTCGCCTTCACCTTAGGTTGAGGCGCAGGCGTGGCAGGTCCAGGAGCAGGTGCAGTTGCAGGCGTAGAGGCAGAAGCTGTCTCCTTCTCCTCCTCTTTCTTGCCATCCGGCCCCTGGCCCTTAGTCTCACCTCTCCGCCTCCCGTCATCGAAGAACCGACTGCGAGAGTCCGGAGTCGTGTAGACCGGAGTAGAAGGCGAAGGAGCGGCGCCATGAGCAGTACCACCAGTACTACCAGCAACCCCAGAGGCAGCGGAAGTGGAGAAAGCCCGGCTCGCAACCTTGGGCTTCAGCACACGAATCCCCGTGTCTTTGCGCTGGTATGACGTCTCGCGGTTCCGGCTAGCACTCGCCCAATCCATGCCTGCGGGCTGAGAAGAAACGGCGGCGGCGGCTGTAGTAGCAGGCGCTGTTGGTACTGGTGCAGCCGCAACGGGAGGAGGAGTACCCGAAGTATGGGTTGGGAGATTAGAGCTACTTCCCTCGCGACGCCAATTGCTCCAGATGGCAGGACTACTGCCCGAGCGGACAGGAGTGGAAGTTTGAGACGTCACTTCGGTGGTGGACGGCTGATCGTGCGCTTCGGGGCGCGAACTTGACAAAAGACTGAGGGGTGGACGTGATGTGGTGGCCGATTGACGACTATCTGGGCGGCGAGTGGCGTCACTGTCCGAAGCACTGATGGACGCGCCGGCTTTCGTCGACGGTTCCACGGCGGAGGTCTCCAGAGCGAGCAGTCCAGGCGGGCGATATTTCCCAGGCGGCGGACTAGCAGTTGTGGAGGAGGCGGAAGCGGCAGAGCTACCAAGGCCGATGCCATTAACGTAAGCCTCGTCTTTCACGACCGCTGCAGCTCCTGCGCAGGCTGGCACTGCTGCTCCTTCAGTCTTCTCTGAGATGAGCAATGGCGGCGCGCCGCTGCTGGTGAAGAGCTTCTTGAACGCCGATTCGCTCTCCGGGCGCACGAGCGGCATGCTCAGTTTGCGGCTGTAGTCGTCGAAGAGCGTCATGCTGTCGATGGAGAACAAGATGTCCGCGCCGTGTGAGCGTAGAACGTCGCTCCCAAGGAAGATCTCGATGGATTTGTCGTCATCGATTCCGAGGTCGACAACGTGGAAGTCCACCCTCATGGACGGCAGGCGCGGTGCAGGGGTGAATGGCCGGTTCGAAGGCAGGACCACAGCTTCGGGGAAGTACACGCCCAACCCGACCATCTTGACGCCCTCCTCATTCGTGGTAATGCAGGTCTCGAACCCCAGTTTGCGAATCAAGCGCAGGTTGAGAAGCGACTTGTGCGACGCGGTACACACCGCCGCATAGAGGAGGGAGTCGTGCTTGAAGTTTGTATTCATCCAGCAGCGAATGATGGCAGGCGTACATCCAAGGAGCAGAAGCCCTGGGGCAACAGCAAAGGTGTCGGGAGATTGACGACTCGGGTCTCTGACACCATACGGATGTTCGAGGACCAAGCTGCTAGCCCGACCCGAGGCCGCGGAGCGAATGGAGTGTTGCGAGCTTGCGCGCCCTTCTGACTTGTGGGAGAATGAGCGCTCGGTGAGCTGGAGGCCGCCCAGGCCACTGCTGCTTGTGCGCGACATGTACTCTGAGGAAGGCCTTGTGGAATGCGAGAAGTGGTTCTGGTTGGCAGTCTCGTCGAAGCGGACGCTGTTAGCTCTCGAAGCTGCTCCTAATCCTCTCCTGGGCTCGTCGTCGGCGTCGAGGTGCAGACTGGACATCAGCGTGTTGGAATCGTCGTCGAAGCCTCTGAAATGGTCGGAGGAAGGCTGCTGGATGGGTGCTGGGGAAGATGGTCAGTCTCTAAAGAATGGTGGAACACACCCAAGTGAACTCTCGCACTCACCTTGCTGTGGCGTGCCACTCAAGATGCCCGGGAAAGGCGAGCTCGGTCCCCACACGTTCTTCACACGCGTCTCATCATCATGCCTCCTCTCCAGCCTGGACAAGCGCTCCGAATGCTCGGCCTGCACTTGTTGGATCCTGGCCACGTCGGACTCAAACTGCCACGAGTCGGGATCGGTGTTGAAGGGGGTGAAGGACTGGCTCTGGGGGTCCATGGTTTAGCGACAGCATTCGTGGACGATGCAGATCCGGCCCGAGGCCGCAGTCAGTTCACGGCAAAGGTTGTCTTCTCCGACTGGGTAGGGTGTGGTATCCAATCACGCCTCCCCCTCTCTTCTCTCCTCCTCCACTGAGACACGCGCTCCGATGAGCGCCTGGTGCGACTGCTCGTTGTCTGCTATGCCACTTTGAGTGTGAGCGTTGATGGAGATGGCTCTGGTGATGCGATGCCGCAGAGGAACGCGCGATTGTAAGCTTGCTTGAGGGCAGCGGGTGGTGGAGCAAAGCGGGAATGCAGCGTGCTCTGCCGATTATTCGGTTCGAAACGGGCGGAGAGGCGTATGGAAGCCGTTCGCGATGCGTCAACGATGGATGGTGTCGAAGGTGGCGTTGAGCAAACAGGCTCAGCAGCTGGAATGATGGAAGTGGTGGGGCGTCGATCGATCAAAAGCACAACCGCCGTGAACCAGCAGATGCTAGTCGATGCGAGGCGGGGAATGCAGAGCAGGGTGGTGCTGCAGAGACAGCAGTTGCATCTGTTGGAGATGGACCGCCCACTGATTGCAGGGTGAGAGAAGCTGCAAGACTTGAGGGATGGAAGTGGAAGTGGGAGGAATGAATGAAGTCAGTCGGTCTCGGTTGCGAATGATTGATGGCTGCCCGCAATCTATTTCCATCCTAGCGTGGCACTTCTTAAAGTGTGGGCCACACGCGCCACGGGATGCGGATGTGGATGCGGATGCGGATGCAGGAATGGAGATGCACATCATGCACTGAGGCCCATGCTGACATTCAAAGTACTCCACATCTCTGCTCGCATTACAACATCTCCACTGTCCCTCTCGACTGCCACTTTGACGCGTGATACCCTCCGTTACCACCATGACTGCTCCTCCTCAGGATACGATACGCATATTCCATGCCCCTCACAGATACTGCATGCTGCAGATGCCCGCTGCAATAACCAGAAGACCCACAGCAACGGCGCTGCTCGAGTCCGAATCAGTATGACATTCATCAGAGGTCAGGTCAATCAACTCACATCGCGTTTCCCTTCCCCCCCATCCTCTCGAGCAACACCTCCGCCAAACCCTTGCGTTGCTCCACAACTTCGATCACAACGTGCTCCTCAATCTCAATCTTCTCCACCATGTCCACCTCAACCTTGGGCGTGAAGTCCGCGTCTTCCGGCTCCTGCAGTCTCAGAGGGTCCAGCTCTTGTCCTGCCTCTTGCTCCTTCTCATACTCTTCCTCCTCCGCCTCTCGTATCTTCTCCAGCACTTCTTCCGCCGTCGTCGCTCGAACACGCGTCGCGGGCGAGATTGGCGATTCGCAGATGACTTGCGAAGTGGGCGAGCCGAAGAGGTGTTCCTCCGAGAATTGGTCTTCGGGAAGTCGGTGACGCGTTTCAAGAATTTGGTCGATGATACCTGCGTGATGGACGGGGAACTTCTCCAGGTGCAGGTCGTGGTGAGTTGCTTCTTGTGGAATTGCAGAATTGTTGACAGCCGTGGACGTGTTTTTGGTGGGGATCACGATGGGCGGGACGCCGTGGGGCTTCATCATGGTCTCGTGACGGAAAAGCGGTGCAGCGTCTGCCTCCTCGGACGTCTTCGATGAAGCTCTTGCCTTTCCTTCATCCTCCCCGTCATCGTCTTCCGATGATGAGCTCGAATCACTGTCATCATCCTCCGAATCCGAAGTCGACTCGTCGGGAGCAAGCGGTTTGAAAGTCTCATGACTGAGCAGAGGTCCAGGATGTGGGTCGCCGAGATCTCCATCATCGTCCTCGAGTGGATTGCTTGCCTCGGTCTCTGGTGTCTGCTGAGCCATGGCGCCTTCCAAAGGTCGAAACGTCTCATGCTTCAGCAGAGGCGCCAGCTCAGGCGAGTCATGACGCGTGGAGGCCGGCGCAGTGGTGGAAGTCGCCTCCGGTTTCGCCACCGATGCGGTTCCAGGCTTCTGCACATCATGTGTCGAAGAAGTAAGAGCAATGACAGGCGGTAGAACTTGCTGGGGTAACGGAACCACCTCGGGGGCTTTTGGAGCGTTCGTAGGCGGGACAACATCAGGAGCCTTGGGCACCCCGTTTCCCACGATCTGCCCCTTGGTCGACCCAGCAGCTGTCTCCACCTTCGACACAAGCATCCCCTCCGCCTTGACAATCAACAAATTATTCTTATTCCCACACCCATCATCAACCATCGGCCTCCCCTCATCGCAAACCCACCAATCCCCCTCCCCAAGGCGGAATTTGTACTGGTACTCGCCCTCCTCGACGCAAAAGGTCTTGGAAAACACATACCCTCCGCCAGAAGTGTAAGCAGGGTCGCTTTTCGTCGATGCGGGAGGACAAGGAGCGGGAGCCAGGTCGCGGTGCATCTCGATCGCTTCCCACGGTGGCTCACTGAGACTGGTGCAGATGTAGACGGGCGGCTGCAGACCCGGGGCCGAGTACTCGACCGTGACGTTCTGCTTCATCGTTTGTTGCGGGCCTGGGGTGGCTGCGGAGGGCTGCTTGGGAGGTCCGATCCAGGAAGGGCGAAGACGAGGTGGGGCCGCCGGACGCGTACTAGTAGCCGTACTGAGTGTAGGCGTCGTCGGAGGCGGAGAAGCAGGAGGCGTATCAAGAATCGTATCAATCGACTTGGCAAGCGAAGGCACGCGACGAGTAGCAGCGGGGGGCAGAGACTGCGGCCTCGACTGCTGTTGCTGCTGCGAAGACATGGCGGTATTAGCTGACGTGTCCCCTGCTGCTGCGGAGATGGAGCGGTAGGCCGTGGCTATCGTCGGTTGGCTGCGAGTTTCGAAGTTGGCTCGCAGGTCGCGGAAGCTGTTGGTGTAGTTTGGCGGTGAAGGCCGGGACATGTGAGGTGAATGTGCAGTCCGCGCGGTGAGTGCGGGCGGGGGTATTCAACTCGGTAGGATGTTTTTTTCAACTGTGACAGGTGTGATGTGTGATGTGTGTAGGTAGGTGACGCGGTGGTGCAGGGCAGCGTGAAAAGGGAGTCGCTTACCTGTGAAGTTCATCAAGTGTGAGACTTGAACGGTGTGGGAAATTGGTGTTTGGCGAAGTTGCAATTCGTCGTGGCGAGGAAGGCGCGTCTTGTTGACGGGTTTTGGTTGAGGAGTTGTGTTGCGGAAGGAACGAATGACGCTGAGGAGCACAACGGCCAAGTTGGCTGCACGTCCAGGGTGCACAGCAGTGAGCAACATTGACACAAAGGAGATGATGAGCTCTGTACGGGGTATTTACTCGACGGACACGAATTTATCATCGCCAACTCCGCAGCACCGCGCTCAGACAAAACGCAAGCACACATGCTCTCCTCCGCTCAACCATCAGTGATACACCCATGACTAGCATCACTCACAATCTTCGCATACTTGTACAGCGTGCCCTTCTGGTACTTCAACGGTGGCGCCTGGAACTCCTTCTTCCTCCGCTCCAGCTCCTCAGGACTCTGATCTATGATATCAATCGCGCGCTTCTCCGCATCAATCGTTATTGTGTCTCCATCGCGCACTAGGCCAATAGGTCCGCCCTGCTGCGCTTCGGGCGTAACGTGTCCAATCAAGAAGCCGTGCGAGCCGCCCGAGAAGCGACCGTCGGTGATTAGGGCAAGATCGTTCCCCAGTCCGTAGCCCATGATGGCGGAGGAGGGTTTGAGCATCTCCGGCATGCCGGGTCCACCTTTCGGTCCTTCATAACGAATGATGACGACCACCTTCTCGCCCTTTTTGAACGTCTTCGCTTCCAGCGCGGCAATGAAGTCGTCTTCTGCGTCAAAGCAGCGCGCTTTGCCGGTGAAGACTGTGCCTTCTTTGCCGGTGATTTTGCCTACGCTGCCGCCTGGGGCGAGCGAGCCGCGGAGGATCTGGATGTGGCCGGTGCTCTTGATGGGGTTGGACAGAGGGCGAATGATGTCTTGGTCGGCGGGGAAGTCGGGCGCCTTCTCCACGTTTTCGGCTAATGTGCGGCCGGTGACGGTGATGCGGCTGCCGTCGATGAGGCCTTCTTTGAGGAGGAGTTTGATGAGGGAAGGTGTGCCGCCAATGTTGTAGAGGTCTTCCATCACGTACTTGCCGGATGGTTTCAAGTCTGCGAGGAAGGGGGTGCGGTCGGAGACGGATTGGAAGTCGTCGATGCTGAGTTGCACGCCGACGCTGTGTGCAATGGCGAGGAGGTGAAGGACGGCGTTGGTGCTGCCGCCTGTGATGTTGACCAGCACCATCGCGTCTTCCAGTGCCCTTCGAGTGATAATGTCCGACGGTCTGATGTCCTCCTTGAGGAGATTGCGGATGGCAGCGCCAGCGGAGAGACATTCCTGTTCCTTTGCTTTGCTCACGGCAGGGTTCGAGGAAGAGCCGGGTAATGTCATGCCAATTACCTCAATCACCGACGCCATGGTGTTGGCGGTGTACATGCCGCCGCATGCTCCGGCACCCGGGCAAGCATGGCGATTGATGTCGAAGCGCTCCTCCTCGTCAATCTCGCCGGCAATGTACTGTCCATAAGATTGGAAAGCAGACACAATGTCCAGCTTGCTGTTCCGAGGCTTCGATCCGCAGCCGGGTGCAATCGTACCTCCATAGACCATGATGCTCGGCCGGTTCGCCCTTCCCATGGCCATAATCACCCCCGGCATATTCTTGTCGCAACCCGGCAGACTGATATTGGCATCATACCACTGCCCACCCATGACCGTTTCAATGCTATCCGCAATCAAATCCCGACTCTGCAAGCTGTACCGCATCCCCTTCGTGCCCATGGAAATACCATCACTGACACCAATGGTGTTGAACTGCATAGGCAAGAGTCCCGCCTTCTGCACACCCTCTTTCACCTTGTGGCTCAAGTCCATCAAGTGCATGTTGCACGGGTTGCCGCTGTACCAGACGGACGAAATGCCGACTTGCGCTTTCGACATGTCGGCTTCGGTGAGGCCGGTGGCGTAGAGCATTGCTTGCGATGCGCCTTGGGATTTCGGCTGGGTGACGTGGCGCGAGATCGAGTTGAGGTTTTCGCCGTCGTCTTTGGGTGTCGCGGCGCGTAGTCGGGAGGTTTGGGAGAGCATGCGTCTGGGGTAGATTAGATCTCGCGGTGCGCGGAGTTGGATTTCGCAACACGTACGTGGGCTGCCATTGCGGTCGTGGACACCACGTTGGGCGCAGAGCGCGTGTGGGGAGCTTCAATGCGGGCATCTCGCTTGACGATCGCCTTCAATGGGGATGTCGAGAGAAGGTGAGGTCTGACTCGAAGTTGTTGCAAAGCAGAAATTCCGAGCTCGGCATTGGTTGGTTGCGTGCAGCTGAGTCAGACTCGAGTCTCGATCACATGCAATTGAGCTCGCGGATGATGCTCATCATCGCACTCGCCATAACGTTACCCTCAACGCGCGGGCGCGTTGCAGCACCAACTGGCACGCGACTGCGATCTATTCGACAGGGGTGCTGGTGATACATGTGCTCGGGCGAAACTCTATAGCGTGACTTCGATGCCTTTGCGCGATGATGCTCTTCCTGATAACTCCTATGGACGGCATGTACTGACTTCCCATCATGGATCCCGTCTCAGCCATAGGCCTAGTGACCGAAGTGGCCTCGATCATCCAGACGCTTTACGACTACGGACAAGCCGTCAAAAATGCTCAAAAAGACATCATCAGTCTCTGCGGAGAGCTGACTGCTTTGAAGAGCACGCTCGCGCTTTGTGCCGAGTACCGCAATCATGCTTCTCCGGGCGTCGATGGCAGCGACTTCCAGAAGATGCTTCTACGAACTCGTGATATACTAGGCGATCTGGCGAAAGCAGCAAGGCCCAAATCATCTGGTCCTGGCCGAGTACTGCAATCACTCTCATGGCCTTTCACAGCTGCCACGGTGAAGGAGAAGCTGGTCGCGCTGGAGCGATTGAAGACATACTTTCTGATGGCCTTTGCTCTGGAGAACAAGACAGCTTCGGAGAAACTTCATGAGAATATGCAGGATTTACTCACGCTCGTGACGGAGAAGCAGATGGAGGAACGCCAGGCCGAGAGTACAAGCGAAAGGCGCAGACTGCTTGATCTCATCGCTCCGACGTCGCCTGATTCAATGCATCATAATGCCTGCAGACCTTGGAGAGGGACAGCGACTGGAATGTGGTTCTGCAAAGGCAAATTGACGAAGTTCTTGGACCACGAAGATCGTATCCTACTACTCACCGGCCGCTCGGGATCTGGCAAGACAACGATCATGTCTCGGGCGATTGAAGAAGCGAAACTGTACTCGGAGCAGCATCCAAACGTCTCAGTGGCATATTTCTATTGTGCATATAACGATTTATCGACACGACAAGCTCGGAACATTCTCGGCTCATGGGTCGCACAACTGGCCGCCGATAATCAGAGCATCCTCGACTCATTTCCCCTGAAACTCGAGAGAAACACAGACATCACGACAGAACATCTCGAAGAATGTCTTTTAGCAGCAAGCCGCGAACACCGCATCGTCCTCCTCCTAGACGCAATCAACGAAAGCACCCACGGCCCCGACCTAGTAACGAGCATATCACGACTCACGAAAGAAAGCTCAAAGATCCAATTCATACTCTCCGCAACTCCACACTACCCACCCATCCGCCAACATCTCCACATTCCAACCTTCAACGTCAGCATGTCCCCCAAAGACATAGAGCAAGACATCGAACTCTACATCCGCGACCAAATCGCCCAGCACCGCGTGCTCTCCCGCGTGCCCGCGGAGGAAATCGTCCGCGTCCTCCGGCCGAAAAGTGAAGGCATGTTCCGCTGGGTGGATTGCCAGCTGAGCTTCCTCACCGCGCAACTGACGCCCAATGCTGTGCGCGCTGCGCTCCAAACTCTGCCGGGGAGTTTAGACAGCACTTACGAAGCGACTCTTCGACGCGTTGCGCCTCCGCACGCTGCGCTCGTTAAGCAGGCGCTCATGTGGCTGAGTTTTTGTCTGCGACCTCTCCGGCTGAACGAATTGTGCGAAGCGGTGCTCTTCGAAGAAGGCCAGAGATCCATCGACGAAGGCGACCGCATGGACGAACCAGGCGAGTTGTTAGCACTATGCCAAGGTCTGGTAGAACACGATCCCGCAACACGCACCGTCTCCCTCGCACATGGATCCATCAAGACCTTCCTGACAGGCGAGTACATTCGCACAAGCCACGCCGCGGCCTTCGCGCTGCAAGAGCAGTCGTGCTGCAGAAGCATCGTGCGCAAATGCATCACCTACCTGCTCATGGATCCTTTTCGCCGCACCAGCGGTGGTGTCAAACAGCACCAATACCGCCTCCTTGACTATGTGAGTAAGCTCTGGGCAGTGCACGCCGGCTCAGTTACGTTAACCCCCGCCGAAACCAATCTCATCCTCTTCTTTTTCGAAACGCAAAGACAAAGAGAGGGAGGCAACTTCGCCTTCTGGATCCAGCATCTCGTACCCGGGGCGCAGCGACATGACAACCCAACAGCCAAATCCGAACCACTCTACTACGCCGCCTCTTATGGCCTAACAGATATCGTGCGCATCCTAGCTGAGAGTGGCCGTCTAACGACCAATCCGCATCCCCGCGCCGGTTCGGGGGAATGGTACGTCGACAAGAAAGGAGGCAGACACGATTCCACGGCGTTACAGGTTGCGTGCTGGCGCGGCCACGCGGAGATTGTGGAGTTGTTGTTGGCTGCTGGCGCGAGTCCGAATTCGAGGGATGCAAGTGGGATGAGTTGTGTTGGGGCTGCGAGGAAGGGTGGGCGGAAGAGGATTGTGGGGATGTTGGTTGAGGCTGGGGGGAAGGAGAGAGGTGAGGCTTCCAAGGGGTTGGCGGTAAGGAGGGTGGAGGAGCGCGTTCCTGACACAACAGGCGAGGGCATGTAGGGGTGGAGGAGACGACGTTTATGATGTTGACGATGCCAAGATGATCTCACGAATCGTACATATTGCACACATCTGCCTTGGAAGAGACGCCCCGCTCGAAAGTTCCAACATACATGCCTATGCCTAACAAGCGAGACATAGCAATTATCCCAATCTCAGCGTCAGCCCTCCAAGATCCGAGCGCACCTTCTCATCCCGCGGCAAATAAACAGCCGCAACACGCAATAATCTCCGCGCCGCATCTGTGTCGCCCAGCTCCCGCCACGCCACGCCGGTACGATAGTAAATTTTGCCCATCTGCTCCATGGCCGGGAAATTCAACACCGCCTCCTCATCCGCCGGCATCACTGCATTCTCATCCAGTCCCATGGCCTGCCGCAGCATGCGGATAGTCCGCATGCCCCAGAAAGTGGCCTCGTACCAGTCCTGGAGCTTCAAGTACACGAGAATAGTGTTGGCCACTAGATGCACGCGCAAAATAAGACGCTCCTGCTGCCCGTTCTTCCCCTCGAAAGGCGGCTCGGCCAGCTCGCGGCCGAAAAAGGCATCGGCGTGAATGTGTCTTTGCCGCCCCTTGACAACGACGTGCATGGCCTCCCAGGCTTCTCGGTATTTCTCCAGCGCGAGGGTGTAGTCTTCTTTTGCTAGGGCGGCGTTGCCCTCGAGTTTCAGCCGCGTGGCTTCGTGCAGGCAGTACTCTGCACTCTTGTGTGGTACAGCTTGTGCCGCGCGGAGCTCGGTTTCGATGGACGGGAGAGGTTCGGGGTCGCCGGTGATGACGGTCTCACGGAGGTCTTTGACCATGCCGAAAGGGAGGAGGAGTGCACGCTGCAGCCATTTGGGCATGCGCTTCTCGTCCCAATCGGGGGTGTACGGGTCGCGGAGGTGGAGAGAAAGCCGGAGGAAGCTGTTCAGCCCCGGGTGGGACAGGTCGGCGTAGTACCAGCTCTTGGTGAACTTCTCGAGGTCCGCGAGGTGGATGACGAAGCGCTCGACGTCGGCGTCCTGGATAGGCGATTGAGGAGCGTCGATGACGACGTTGAGCGTGTGCCCGGTGAAGCGCTCGGCGCGCTCCTTCTTCATGAGAATGGGGGTGTGGCCTTCGCTCTGCACGTGCTCGCGCGCTTCGGGCCAGGGCGTCTCGATGCGCACGAAGATGTTGAGGTGGCGGAAGACCTTGCGGGCTTCGGCGTAGATTTGGCGGTTCAGGCGGAAGAGCACGAGGGCCGGAGCGTAGTTGTAGTCGGTGTATTCATCGGGCTCGAACAGTCGGTTGGCGTCGGGGCGCAGGAGGAGGGTGTAGATGTGCTCGCGCACTTCCGGCGGGAGGGTGAGGAAGTGCAGTGCCGGCATTGTGGCGGGCATGAGGGCCGGGTGGGAGGATGCGTGGAGGGAGTGAGGTGGGCAGAGGAAGGAGACGTGGATGGAGGTATAGGTAGGCCGCCAGCAAGTACCGTACCCCAGACCGCGGCCCTAATTCTCCCCACCGTCGATCTCGTCGCGGCAGAGCAGGTCGGAGTCGGGGCTTGGAGGGATTTGCATTTGAAGTCGGCTTTCATCCCAGGGCGTCCCATGCCATCCCAGGGTTCACCGTTCACCCGCTCGGAGGTGGAGGGTCAGCACGCGGTGCGGCAGGAGCCAACAACCTACCTTGGTAGCTGCTGCCTCTTAGGGCCAAGGGCTTGACGTCACCTCCTCCTAGGGCTTGGCCCATCAACCACATCCCCCGCGACTCATGCACCGCATGCGTCTGCCCAGGCCAAGTGGAGCGGCTGACAGAAGCAGCCCTTCAACGAACCTGACCCTTGGCTGATGAAAAAAGTCGGCCTCGTTGTATTACAATTTCTGATTACCACCCCCGGAGCTTCGAGATGTAACCGTAACGTGGAGGAACGTTGATCTTCCCTCAAACGCGCCGATCCTGGAACTTTCCGAGCGGCTCGAGGAACCCATAGGCGAATGAGGATGCTTAGGGCAGCCTTGGCTCGTTCTTCTTTCCAACCGGCGTATTTCCACGATGTTCTGGACTGGGTGCGACGACAAATCATTCTCCGACAGACTTTGGAATCTTCAAATCATTGGACTCGCCAAAGCACGTCAAACCCTGGATAACACGATCAAGTCGGCTTCCAGACGACTTGTGCCCTGCAGTCCTACATGAGGTACGATGACTCTCCTGCGTGGGCTGTTGTATCCTACACTACGCAGCTTTCATCTGTCCTCAGGCCGTCACTTCTCTATAGTCACTCTCCCCCTCCTTGTTGAAAGACTATTCATTCGTGATAGATTACTACTCTGATACTTCGAGACACTCTGCAAGGCAAGTTTCTCCACTTCAATCGAATTCCTATAAGCAAAAAAGTCCGTCAGTCTGCATTCTTACCACTCATATGCCATTCTTAATATACGTTCTCTCCTATCATCCACCAAAGAAGTATTCAGATCGAACATGCCTTGAGTTCAAGCAGCGAACAAGATGGCTTTCACTGTACAAACGCGTCCAGTCCCTCGCTCCTTCCCAATCGAGAAGAATTTCCTCACTGCAAACGAAGCCTCCCGCTGTGCTACAGCCTCCACGTCACCGCCCGCAGCACTCACGGTCACCAATCGCTGCCTCGACAACACGATGGAGTCCTCACGCTTTAGCATGACCGTTTTGATCGCTCCTTTGCGACACCACAACCCGCCATGCAAGCGTCAACATCATGTCCGCTCCAACACCCGACCACCTGCACAACCACAACACCAACGAAGACTCCGACATCGACCCCCTCGCCACCTTCCTGGCCAATCACACACCGACCACCCCAAAACTCTCCACAACCAGCACCAGCAAACCGCAACGCAAACACCAAGTCCGCCCCAAACCAACCCTCTACTACCAAACAAACGCCACGCACAAACTGCGTGCCCTCGACAAACTCTCCCCAGATCAGAAACCTGCAGGCCTGCAAAGCCTGATAGTCGATATTCGCTCCCTGATCGCGCAAAGCTGGAAAGTGCTGGAAGTGTACTACGAGCCTGAGTACACGCACCGCGCCGCCCACGACGCGAACGAGGTCCAATTGGAGAAGGTGATGACGGGCGTTAGCATGCTAGTGCGGAGCAAGTGGGAAGTCGTCTGGCATCTCACAAACATGGCCTCGCAATACGCCGACTACTGTCAAGAAGCAAAAGACGACGGGGTGGACATCGTAACGGAGAAAGCAGATGAGGTTTTGCTGGGCTTTACGCGGGATGTTCTCGCTGCCGGAGGGGCGGCGGGGGTGGGCATTCGCGGGGCGAAAGTGGCTGTTGTGAGGGATTGGGAGGTGGAGGGGGTGAGGTTTTTACTGGAAGCGGAGGATTTGGGGACGGAGGAGACCGTTGCCAAGAAGCCCGATGGTGAGGAGGATAGTGGGGATGAGGTGTCGGAGAGCTCTTCGAGCGAGGAGGAGGATGAGCCCGATGTGCAGGTGGTGGATCCTGTGTTTCGTCTCTAGACGGCTTAGAGGTGTAGGTGTGAAGATCAATCCGGCTTGCAATGCTCGTCGCTACGTGAAGTAAGAAGTACACAGCCACAGTTCTTCAACATCCCTCCCATCACCTCTCGGTCAGCATATTCTTCACGTGACTCCAGTACTGTCCGCCAACACGCTCACGAATCTCCTCCTTCGCCAACCAAGCAAAATCCTGACTCCCATACTCGTTCCCGCTCAGGTCCACCTGGCCAGCCATAATGCGGCCCTTCATGAAAAACACCTTTTCGCCCAATTCGTTGCGCTCGAGTTCGGTGTCGGAGGTGCGGACAAGGCGGTTGGGCGGGATGCGGGCGTGGACGGGGGCGGAGAATTTGGCGACATGGTGGCCAATTGGGTGGGAGCCGACGATCCAGGTGTTCATGTTGACGCCGCAAGATTGGACAAGGAGGCGTTCGGCGGCCTGTGATAGCACTGGTTAGTTGGAATGTCAAAATCGAGAGGAAGGAATCACACACCTGTCCTAGACTCTCCCGTCCATATACTCGATCCTCCGGGAAGCGCCACACGCCCTCTTTATTCTGAACCAACAAATACAACACGCGATCCATCTTCCGACTCAAACTTCTTGTATCCCCCTTCTCATCCGCCTCCGACACCCTCGCCAGAGGCCTCTCAACAACAAGCTCTTTCCCCACCACCTTCCTCTCCCCCTCCTCCTCCTCCGCACCATCCTCTGCATTAATTTCCTCCGCCTTGTTGTCCCCCTCCATCTCAACCCCCACAACCTTCTCCTTAAAAACCGTATCCCGCCCCTCCGCATCCGCAATCAAAGCCTCAACCTGAGTCTCATACTCCGCCGTGCTATCCCCAACCAACACCTCATCATTCCACGCTTCATCCCCATACCCAGAATAAACGCCAATATCCCTCGCAGCGGACTTGCGCGTCTTCTGCTTAGCCTTCCACTCCTTGTCCGCCACCGTGCCCTTCTTGTGGTAAAAGTAGCGCGTAAACGGCAGCACGAGCCGTTCGTTCAGCCGCTTTTGGTAGAGGTAGAAGGCCTTTTCGAAGGGGGTGAGGGAGCGAGTGAGCATAGGTGGGCGGGAGAGGACGGCGGATGCGAGGAGGCGGTAGGCCTTCTGGGGGCCCTGGTTGGTCATGGGGGGTTGAGGAGCGGGTTGGAGGGTGGGTTCGTCGGGTTGCGGGGCGGCGGCTGTGGCTGTTGCCGCGTGGCGGCGGGTTTGGATGGAAAGGCGGAGGAGACAGGAGGTGCAGATTGTGTCGCGTGAAGGGATGGCTGTGCGGACTGTTAGTTTGATTGCGTGCGACGGGTTTCGAGGGGGACTGACCATTGCTGTTGGCGAGCCGCCGTATACTCCTTTGGCCGGCGTTCATCGTGAAAGCAGACAGCAGAGTGTAATGAAGACGAAACAGCGACAATGCATCAATGAAAGACGCCGTGAAGTCACAGTCCACCTCGACTTTTCGCCGCGGAAGAGCCATGGCCACCTCGCTGACATAAGCGCAGCAAATTCCGCCCCTTCACCGCAAACCTCATCTCATGTTTCCCTCTTCTCTTCTGCACGGCACTCATCCTTATCGTCAACTGCTCGACCATCGTTATGATTCCCATAGCAACTTGATCATTCAAAGCGGTGCCGAGAGCAAAGCAACGCAGTCTTTTTTCGCTAGCGGCACCTTCATCTTCTCCAAAGGGAAGCGGTTAGATAGACACTGCTCACACACATGCATGCATGCGTGCATCCTCTCATGCATTGATATCATTCAGCTTCATTTCATTACATGTTCTACTTCACATCATCTCAATCACCCCCTGTACACCCTAACCTTCTGCCTCACCCCCTTCCGACAAACCGGACAGCCCACCGGCCTGCGCGGCCTCGTGGGATCCTGCGTATAACACGGGGAATGCTGCTCACTGCACCACCGACACATGACCAAATGCCCACATGGAAGACAAGCAATCTCCGCCAGCTGCGTGTAGCACACCTTACACTCCATGCTGACCTGGAGTTGGGCGTCGGTTTTGGGTTCCGGGCGCCCAGACTCGCGCGCGTCGAGGCCGGAGGGGGAGGAGGAGCGGGAGGAGGCTGGGGAAGAGGCCGCAGAAGAAGCGGTGGTAGCTGATGCGGTTGTTGCGCGCAGGCCGTAGCGTGTGGTGCGGTAGCCTGTGCTGCTGGCTTCTTGGAGGCGGCTGAAGGCCGCTTGGGTTTCGGCGTCTTCTTCTGCAAAGAGGCGGTTGCGCATCGCTGCTTCGGCCATTTGTTCGATGAGGGCTTGTGGGCCTGTCTGCATCGCTTGTCTGCCTGCTGCAAGGGCGAGGGGGCTGGTGGGCGTGGCGTCTTCTCTCCTTGTGCGCCCTACTGCATTCCGCTGGGCTTCCTCAATCTGTTCCAAGTGCATTCTCCGGTGCATAGACTCCAGTCCAAGGTTAGACAAATATATGCTCTGCACGGTAGCCCTGGTGTCGTCGTCGGAGTTCAGAAGCGCCAGCACTCGCAGGTCGTCATCCGTCCGTTGTCCAGCTTGGAATCGGACCAGCATTTGCAGCCTCTGCCCCGACGTCAGATTAGTTAATCGACGAACAGCGCCCGACCTGACGTATGCCTGTGCTGCGATTTCCGTCGTTAGGTAGGGATTATGGTGTGCCGCGAAGGCTGCACTGCCCCCGTAAGGTGGAGTCCCTGTGAAGTAGAGACCTTCGATTCGCCCATCTCGCAGGAGATCAGTCTGTCGGCGCAACCATTCAGTTGGTAGCTGGGCGCCCCAAATGGCAACGGGATTCCGAAGTAGACTGTCGAGCAAGGTGCGGTCGCTCTCCGAGACCATGTCGTCAATGAAGTAAGCAAGTAGCACAGCGGCGTCTCGAGTGCTGACACCCACATCCGTCCTCAGCTGCTCGTCAGTGGTGAGGGCGCGAATGACCATCTCGGCGTCTTCGTGCCACCACTGATCCATGAGGTGGCCCGGAGGAGGGTCTGCGCGATTTCGCTCTTCCATCCGCGCCCGAGCTTCGAGGATTGCGTTCATCGTGTTTCGATTGATTTCGTCAAAGGATTCATCTCCCGCGGTGGAAGCGGCCTCTGCCCGTCGTCTTTGCTCTGTGAGAAGCTCTTGCTCTCGGAGGATCGTAAATAATTGCTCTGTCAGGTCCGGGTCTGCAGGGTCTTCATCAAGACCGCCCTCATTCGCAGATTCTCTGCTGATGACGTCCTCGTCCGCTCCATTCACCGAAGCATGCGGTTCAGGGGATGCAAGTGTAGGCAGCGGACCAACGGTGATCTGTCGTCGCGGTACACCCCATACATCGCGTTCTCGCGTCTCAAGCTCCTCCAACCGTCTCGACACCGCCTCATTAGTATCGATCCGCTCCTCATCCTCTAACACCTGTCTCAAGGTCCGCTGCTCGACCCGCACATCCTCCGCCGCCCGGAAGCGTTCATATGCCCGGCTGAACAGGTTACCAATAGGAGAGACATAATTCTCGCCTTGCGCGACGACCTCTTCCCTGCTCCCGAAGACGTGCGTGTAGTTTTCCATGGTTCGCTGCTCGCGCTGGAGTTGCTGCAGGTGGGAGTTGGATGCTTGTATTTCGATCATTGCAGCGGTATGAGCTTCGACGTTCTGTCGTAGCGCTTCCCGAGCGGCGCTGCGTCGATCCCGTGCAGCATTGATTCGTTCTTGAAGACTAGACAGGACTTGGGTTGCCCGGGGGTTCGCGGTGGCGATGACGGGATCGTTCTGAATCGAGTTTGTAGCTGGTGTCTCTAGGATTGTGTCGAGTCTCCTCACTATATCCACAGACTCGTCGTCGTCTTGGATGGGCTCGCCGAGCTCGCGCAGGCCGGTGATGACTCTCTCGATGCCGCTGCGCATACGGTTGAGCTCTCGGCGTAGTGCAGCCACGCGGCGCAGTTGGTATTCTCGACTGCGTGAGCCGGCAGGAGTCATGGCTTGAGCGTGGATGTTTGGGGTCGGTAGTGCATCGGTAGTCGTCAATATCGGCTCCGGGACTATTCTTGGAGTCGGCATTGATGTTTGCGCGTCTTCCTCGTCGGCCGCATCTGCAAGCATCTGATCCAGCGTCTCGTCCAACGTCGTCTCGTCCCGTTCCTCCACTCCAGTAGACTCCACAATCACAGCAGCCTGCACCTCCTCCGCCCTCCTTCCCGCCCTCATCTCTTCCAACGTCCGAGGCAAGCACCCCGGACTGACCTCCCGAAAGTCCTCCCCAAGCACGGCAACCCTCTCCTCCCTCCCATCCGCATGCGACACAATCCGATATCCCCTGTGGAATTCATACCACCTCTCCAAAAACTCCCGCTGATCAGGCACTTCAGGAATCCTCGTCTGCGCCGGCCGCAGCCCGCTAACATTCACCCGATTCTCCCAGAACTCCTTGCAGTACCAGCAGTAGCGCTGCCATCGGTTGCCCCGGGGCACGAAGCCGATGCCGTCGATGTAGGTGCTGTAGGTGGGGGCGTGGGCGCGCTCGTCGGCACATGCGCAGCAGGAGGGGATGGAGGAGAGGCGGCAGGAGGTGGGAAGTTTGTGTTCGCAGTTGGTTGGGAGGCGAGTGGAGTTGGCTGTGAGGGTGCCCATCGTTGCTACCTCGACGATGGGAGCGATTCAGAGCGATGCAAAGAGTGGAATGCCATTTGGCGGTTTGTGTGGGAATATATATCTAAAGAATCGAGCGAAATTCGGCGGAGTCGGTGAGGTCACAGCAGGCTGCGAGTGGCGGATGCAAGGTTGAGTAAGCAGGTCAGGGCCAGTCACTGACGGCGCATTGCTCATTTCTTGCAGGACTCATGAATCGAGAAATTCACCGGCGAATCATTTGGAAGGCATACGACTGCCAGCAGTCATCGGCAGCATCCCCAAGACTCTAGAGTACGTACTATCTCATTCGAATAATAATGTCTAATCTCGTTGGTCTTGCCGTTGGCTCAGCAGAGGCAAGGCGATGACAGGCATGATCAACACAATCGTCAAGCATTAGCACATCGCCTACATGGACGCGCTATTGGTAGCTTCCTCTATTCAGAGTCACTGCATGTTTCTACAATACTGTAAGAAGGGAGGAGGTGTAAAACATACTGCTGGCTAGGGCGGATCTAATCTCCACGTGACACCGATCCTCTTTCGCGACGCCGACAGCTCTCCTCGCGTCTCCGCCGTCGCGACGTCGCGCACACCTCGCCCTTCCCACCTCCAGACCCATCAACCCTCCACGATGCCCCCCACAATACAAACACAATGTCCAGCGCAGTCTACCGCAGCAGTCCACCGCTTTCCGTGCCCCCGACGCAAAACACAGCTCTCGTGCTAGAGTTCAACTGCCTCTACACCCACGACATCCGGCGCAAGCAGAAGCGGTGGCAAGATGGCTTCCTGCGCTTCCACACCTTCAACAAGCGGGTGATGGTTTACGACGTTCCTCGTAACTTTATTGGAGACACGCATTGGCGCGAGGACACCGTGTTGCAGGATGGGGATGAAGTAATGTTGGAAAGTGAAGGAGTTGCCGTGCAAGTCGGGGAGGAAATTGGGAAGACGGAGACGGATTTGACGGAGTTGAGACGGAGTAGTAAGAAGGCTCCCAATGAAGGCACTTCGTCGTCGCCGGTTCGAGGTGCACAAGTGCCTCCTTTACAGCTCTTGAGTCGCAGTGGCCCGATGAATGCGCCTCAGTCGAAACACCGATCTCTCCACAGCCTACTCAGCACTCCTCAACGATTGATTGGGAAAGCCATCCTACCCACCGAATCGCCTTTCGACAAGCGACACAGCAATTCGGAGAACCATGAATGGGAGTCCGGCCAGCCTCCTAAGAAACGGCGCATCACCGACCCTCCTTCCAGCAATGGGTGGAAGTCGGCAACGAACAAGCCTTTCGTCTCAGCTTCGGCCATGAACCCTCCCACTCGAGATACCAGCACACCCATGCATGCCAGGAAGAAGCAACTCGCCAGCACAGAACCATTCCATATCTCTATGGATCCCAAAGAGCAACCCCACCACCCCTCCACCTCCCACTCAGCCCTTCCAATACCATCAAGCTCCCCAGCCTCCCAACGCCAAAAGACACCAGACCCTCCTCACAAACAACAACACACCACAACCCAACACGATACACCCGCTCCCCACAAGCCACACGCGAACCCCTCCACAAATCAAAACGAGCGCCACTCAATTCCACCAAAAGCAAAGCCAACCACCCAACCAACACCACCCAACAATTCTAGAGCAGCAACAGCAACAGCAGCAGCAACAACAACAGCAGCGACAGCAGCCTCCAGTCCAGAAGGCACAACCCTCCGCATGATCGCCAGCGCGCCAAAGCGAAAGACGTTGGTATTTCAGCAGCAGCAACAGCATACTGGAAAACGAAAAGCACCATCACCCGCTGCGAGGAATTCTTTGGGCTGAGATGACTTACGGTAGCCACATGATATAGATGATGCCAAAGATTGAATGAGATTGATTTTGAGATTGATTTTGATCATGTTTGCATTTCGTTGGTGGGGTTGGTGACTACCTATCCATACAATGCTCACGGTAGCGCTGCGCATGAAGCCCGCGAAGGCAAGCAAGCTAGCTACCGTGCCAATTTCCAGCTCTGCTCTGCTGTTCCAGCTGATGGGCGACTGTAGCCCTGACAAGCAGAATCGCAAAGTCGTATAGGACATCGAGAAAGAGCAAAGCCCTCCAGTGTCCTTCATTTCACACCCCTTCCACCCCTTCTCATGGTTCGCATATCCTGGCCAACCTCGCATCATCCACACTCATCTTTCGCTCCCGGAACGTCGCTCTGCCCGCATCCAAGCTCAACCACGCTCAACGTCCCCATCCCCCATCCTCAAGCACCTCCCCCTCAAACCTCGCCGCATGCCTGCGCGAATCGCGTTTGACGCGCTTACTCCCGTCTCCGTCCCCTCGCGGGCCCGTAGGAATCTCCCTCTCCCCCTCGTCGAAGTCGTCGTTCGCTCCGCGTTTACTCGAAGGATTGAAGCTGTTGTGGCCGGATGACTGCCTGCGCCCCTCGACCCGACGACGCTCTATGTCTTCGCGCTCTTTGCGCGCCTTCTCGCGGTCGGCGGCGTACGGGTCTGCGCTTGTCGTTGCGGGTGTAGCGGGTGAGTGAAGCGCGCTAGAGCGGCGACGGTCGGAAGTGGTAGATTGAATGGTGGTAGGGGGTCGCATGGCATCCTGCTTTTGGTGCTGCTGTTTCAGCGTCGCAGACTTGCCCTTGATTTTGAATTCGAATTCCTCTTCTTGCGGTTCTTCGCGGCGAGATTTGCTTTCGCGTCCGCTGCGGTCGCGATGGCGGTCGTCGGCGGTGGATTCGCGCCGGCTGCTGTGCCGGTGCGAGGAGGAGCGGTCTTTGCTCTCGTAGCGGTCATCGTCGCGACGCGAGTGCTTGCGGCTGCGGTCTTTCGCACGATCGGATGATTCATCGTAGTACTCGTCTTCGCGCCTCTTGCTCTTGTGACGCTTGCTCTCGTCGCGATCCGTGCTCTTATCCCGACGCGGCGAACGCGAGCGGTGGCGGTGCTTGCGGCGCTCCTTGCTCCTGTCACGCTGGGAGCGCGAAGAGTGGTGCTCGTCGTCTCTGTCTCGATGACGACGCTTTGAATGGCCTTCATCGCGTGACTCGTTCCTCGAACGGACCTTCCTATCGGATTCACGACCGGAGTATTCTTCATCGCGGTCGTCTTTGGACTTGTGTGAGCGGCGAGATCGATGTCTGTCGCGGGAGTAGGAGTCGTCATCCTCGTCTCGCCTCTTGCTTCTCGAGCGAGAGCGGGAACGGTGCTTGCGGTCCGCGCTATAAGACCTTGAGTCGGCGGGCTCGTCACGACCTGCGGTCCTGGGTCTCTCGGGCTCCACGGATGATGCTAGGGTTGAAGCGTGTACCTGCTGTTGCTGCGGGCGGGAATACCGTCCAGAATTAGGCAGGCCAGCACGCATTGCTTTCGGTCCTGTTGGTGCGTTGATGGGTGGTGTTGAAGCTCGGGCGGGCTCCGCTGGTGTGGCGACATAGCCGTACGCACCTCCTGCGCGGCCCCCGAAGCCTCGCATGCCGCCTTGGAATCCACCACGTCCACGTGCCCCGTAGGCGTAGTCTTGCTGATACTGTTCGTTGTATCCATCGTAGGGTGCGGAGTCGAAAGTCGCTTGGTCGCCGTAGGTATCCACCACCACATGAGCAACACTTTGAGAACCCTCCGCAGCTGCATCCCCAAATTCTCCATCCACTGTACCATCTTGCATCAAACCTTCAGCCTGTGTTGCCAGAACGTGTGCAGGGGGATACGCTGAAAACGAAACGCTCGACGTACCTTCGATGCCATTACGATCACCACCAGCCTTCAACGCAGACCCATCCTCGCCCGCGTCCACATGCTCGTCGTTGGCCGCATTCCCTGCAACATCAGTAGAACCGTTGACCTCTCTGTCGGTGTTAGTAGCGCCTTCAGCACCTCTCTCCACGCTCGCGCTTGCAGTGCGAGCATTGTCGGCGTCGGGATCAGAAGCCTTCATCGGCTCGTACGTCGGAGATCCGCGGCCGGTGCCTGGGTTGGATCCAACACCATCCATGTAGTCCTCGTTGGCAGGGGTGCCATGGTGCTGTTGTTGGTGGTGTTGTTGCTGGTAAGGCTGCTGCTGCTGGTATTGATTTTGTTGACCGTAGTTCTGCCAGCCGCCACGTCCACCGCGGCCTCCAAAGCCGCGATTGCCCCTACCAAAGCCTCCACCGCGGGCGTTGTTATTGGAATACATTCCGCGGCCTCCAAAGCCACGATGGTTCTGATGATGGAAAGGGGTGGGGGTCATCATTCCGAAGTTTTGCTGCTGGTTGCTGTTATATCCACCTCCGTTGCCATTCGGAGGGAAGAAACCGCCATTCATGCCGCCCATGCCCGGCATCCCGCCGAAGCCGCCGCCGCCCATCCCGTTCATGCCCATGTTCATCATGCCGCTCATGTCTCCCATCCCGCCAAACCCGCCGCCGCCGCCGAACATCATCGAAGGGTCCATGTTCATGCCGGGCATGCCTTGTTTGCGACCTCTCAGTCTGCTTCTTTGCGGATGGTGCAGGGGGCGTGTGTAATGACGATAAGGACGGTGAAACTTACCCATCATGTTTGGCATGCCCATGCCAAAGTTGGGCATGCCCATTCCCATCATTGACTGAAAGTTGGGCATGGAGTTGAAGTCCATGTTTCCGAATCCTCCTTGATTCTGACTTGGACCATATCCGTATCCTTGCTGTTGGTGAAACTGCTGCTGCTCTTTCCCGCCATCTTCGCGCTGGCCGTTGGCGTACGGGAGGTCCTCGTGCGATTCGTTGTGCGGCAATTCATCGTCCGGGCGCTCGGTGGTGATGACAACATTGTCGTCTTCGTCTTCTTCATATCCGTCGTCGTCATCGTCCTCGCCATCGTTGTGCGAGACGGCGACCGCTGCATTATCTTCGGCAACCTAAAGCACCGTGAGTTTCGGAGGGAACGGTTGGAGCTCACCAAAACATACCTCTTGATGTTGGCTAGTATCACCTCCATCGCCTGCCACGAGTTGTTCGACTGGAGTGCCCACGGGCGCGGGCTCCTCAACAGCATCAACACTTTGTGGCACAGCGGCAGTCTCAGGTGGGGCCGCCTTCTCCGTGGCTTGTGTCACCGGCGGCTCAACATCCTTGTTTCTCTTCTTTTCCTCGTTCTTGAGAAAGGCGCGAATGGTAAGTCTGAGGTTGCGGTTGGGTGTGCAGTCCGCAGCGGAGATGGGGGAGTGACTGCAGATCGGGCAGGTTTCGGGGAGGCGGCGGGAGCCTAGAGTGTGTTAGCTTGACAGCGATGGTGTAGGCACGCAGTGCAACCCACATGATTCGCAGATGCATTGATCGCAGCAAGGAAGCTTCAGCGCGTCGACGGCGATTCTGTTACAAGCGCCGCAGCGAAGCTTGAACGGTACTGCGTCAATGGTGAGGGAGCTGTGCGCGTGACGAGTTAGTGATCCGAGCGGGGAGAGCTTTCAATCTGTGCCGCGTTCGACTCACTCGGCGATCTGTCTGCAAGAGTCATCGAGCAGAGCAACGGCCGCCATGGTGATGTGGTTGGTGTGAGGGCCGGAGCTCTCACGAGGCAGCCGTGAAGGCGAGATAGGGAGAGCTGTGAGGGGCTCTCGAAGAAGGGTGCAGATTACAAATGAGTAGAAAAGAGGCCCATCGCGGCTGGAAGCGCGACACGAGCAGAAGGATGAGAGTGAGGTAGAAGGGAAAGCGGGGAGGATGGCGAGAGTGAATGATGGAGGTGGAGGGTGGAAGCGTGAGAGTGACAGCTCCGCGGTGTTTCGCGTTCACGAAAAAAACGGGCGTCGGAAGATCGCCGCTCTCCTCCGCCGACCACACTAGCCGGATTTGGTATAGCGCGATCTGTCCTTCAATGTGGCCCAACCTGACTTCACCTGGCCGTATATCTCTCCTAACCCAACATCACCAAGTGCGCCGTTTCCCGCTTATACGACACCATTGAGAGAACCGAACGGGCCAGCCTTATTTTCTCTGCACGAATCTCTCCATCTCAACAATGTAGTCTGCGAGCACAGACTTTCCTGAACGGGATTCGTCGATTACGTCGACGAAAGTCTGCCATTCTTTGCCATACACCTCCTTCATCTTTCCATCAATCATCCCAACCGGCCACGATGATTTTGTCCCAAATTGCATGGTCAGACTGCTTCGTCTTCCTCTTCTTTCTCGCGCCTCAATTATTGATCCATGTCGGATTCTTCGAAACACTATTGGTTGGCATCGAGGCCCTGCCGTTTCTACGTCCGACAACCCCTCCCACCTATCGGCAATGAACCCAACCCGCTGATCCGATATACAGTATTCAAACTCCCTTATCAACTAATCCGCGAACGCTACTTCATTTCCAATGCCCAAAAGTCCCCCTTCGCACGACAAGCAACTCTCTTCCAAGACCTCGTCATTCGATGCGTCCGCTACGCCTTCGCCAAGATCCCCGCCGCAGTCGGCAAAATCTTCTTCTCCAAAGGCGTCGCACTCCCTTTCATCCGCTTCCGCATGTTGCGACATGGGCTCTTCCGTTCCCCCGTCTTCTGGAAGGAAGTCAACCGCGACAAGCTGAAAGGCATCTACATCATCCCCGATGCAACTCGGCGCCCGGATATCGTGGTGTACTACTGCCACGGAGGCGGCTTCTCCATGGGCTCGGCCTACTTCTACCTCGAATTCTTGATTGTCTGGATCCACCTACTGCAGGAAGCCGGGTACGAAAACCCCGCCGTCTTCGCTCTGGACTACACCCTTGTTCCGCAAGCTACGTACCCGACTCAAGTCCAAGAGACATTAGCAGGCTACAAGTACGCCTTATCCGTCGCCCCCGACCCCTCCAAGATCATCGTGAGCGGCGACTCAGCCGGCGCCACGCTGGTCCTCAGCCTCCTCCTCTGCTTGTCGGACTATTCATCGCTAAAGAAGAGCCTGCCGGGTCTAGCCGTCATAATCTCCCCCTGGGCGGCCATCGTCTCTCAGAAGAACCAAAACACGCCTTCCGACTACCTCAACGCCGACAGCCTCATGCTCTACGGTAGACAGTACGTCGGCACGCGCGCCTCATCCGACGACTCGCTCGTCTCCCCGGGCCGCTGCAAGGATCTGAACTGGTGGAAGCGAGCATCGCCTACGAGCGGGTGGTTCTTCATTTACGGCGCGGAGGAAGTCTTCGCACCGGAGACAAAGGATTTGATTGCTGTGCTGGGCAAAGCGGGGGTCAAGGTCACGCAGCATGAAGAGAAGGACTGGATTCATGCGTGGCCGGTGGTGAAGCTGTTTCTCTGCAATTCGCGAGCGGAGAGAGTGAGTGGGTTGAAGGTGATGGTTGAGGCGATCGTGGAGCGGATAGGCGTTCCGGGGAGATGATGATACAAATAGATCTTGTGGTGACGTTTACTCACTGACTTCCAAAGACTACAAACTGGAGTCGAAGAGTAATGTTCCTAGTGGCGACTACGCTTTCTCGTTCAATCGAAACAGCGCCGAATGGACATGAATGTTATGCAACCCGTAACCTCCCATCATGCAGTGCCCTCGCTCACGTCGCCCTTACGTATGCTGCGAAACTCGTTAGCCAATGTGCCCGCAGTACCGACCAGCGACAAGACGAAACTCACCAGCATCAATCTTAACCACCTGCGGCAACGCCAGGCGGATCTTATTCCGATACAACACCACATTCTGGCGCTGCACGGGATTCCCCTCGAAATACACCTCCTCCAACTTGGCCTTGTCCTTTAGCACGCGCTCGATTTCCTGGAAATTGTCCACCTGGCAATTGCTGGCCCACACATTCTCCAGCTCGGTGAGGCCCTCGAGTCCCGCTAGCGAGGAGATGGGGTTCGTTTGGAAGTCGAGGATTTCGAGTCTGGTGTTGTGTGCTAGCGGCTCGAGGGAGGGGATGCGGTTGTCGGAGATGTAGAGCTCGGTGATTTGTGGGAGTGTTTCGATTCCCGCTAAGGAAGTCAGGCGGTTTGCTTGGATGCTGAGGGTGCGGAGGTTAGTGAGCGTGCTGAGGCCCTTGAGTTCGGTGATGCGGTTCTGCCCGAGCCAGAGGTGTTGCAGTTTGGTTAGAGTTTCGAGGCCTTGGATTTCCTTGATGCGGTTGGCGCCCAGCTCGAGGTAGAGGAGGTCAGTGAGCTCGGCCAGGTTCTCGATGGCAGAGATGCGGTTCTGCACGAGGAAGAGGTGGTCGAGTTTGCGCAGGGTGGAGAGGCGCTTGATGTGTTTGAGCTTGTTGTAGCTTAGATCGAGGCTGCGGAGTTCGGTGAAGTCGTCGAGGCCTTCGAGGTGCTTGATGAGGTTGTCGTAGAGCTCGAGTTCCTCGAGCGTGGAGGTGCAGGTTGCGGGAAGCTCGATGCGTTGGATGAAGTTTTGTCGTAGACATAGGCGCCTTAGCTTGTTAAAGCGGTCGAGCCGTAAGGCGGGCATCGATGCTATGCGGGAGTGTTGGCAGTCGATTTCCTGCATGTGGTGTATTATTATCAAAGGAGCGCTCTGGCGTGCAAGCACGTGATGGGGTCGTCTACCTCTGTATCTGGATCTTCGCCATCGAGTAGGTCTGCATTCCAATTAGCTTCGCATCCCCATTCTTGAATCAGGTCACATGATACCCTCATCCGCCCCAATCTCCTCGGGCGGCGGCGCATCATCATCCGAGTAGTCCGGATCCTCCAAAGCCTCTGGGTTCGCGAGAACAGCCTGCTTGTTCACGCGCAGCTTCCCATCCCATCCGGATTTGCTCTTGGGCGTGCTGCTCTTTGCTTCCTGTGTCCCGTTGGTCTCGTCAACCACGATGTGCGGCTGGCTTTCGTCGGCCATCATTCCGGAATACTCTCGTAAGTTGAATGGCAGGCGTTTCTTCCAAATTCAGTAGCACCGACTTCGCGTCTTGTGAGATGACTCGGCCACCAAGCGTCTTATCTCCAGCAGTTTGTTCGAACGGTGACCCTCTTCACTGTTGTCTTGCAAGGAGAGGAAATACCTGAATGTGTCAAGTCAGACCTTGCCTAACGTCGACACGCAAGCGTGGCCAATCAACGCGCCGCGCTGGCGGAGTTCCGCTTCTGCGGCGAACCCTGACCGCTTTCAGTGCTGTTGCTCAAGGCTGCACTTCACTTCATCGTTGGGCTTCCTCTGAAACCGAGTCGCCTTGTCGGTATGCTAGAACACTTGAATGTGCATGTAAGCACGACGATCAGATGGGTGGGGATTCCATGTCTGGTGTCTGAGACGGCTACTAACAGTCGTACTACGATGGATGGCGTTGGAGACAAGCGATGTACTCCACAGAGAATCGAGTCCGACAGATTGAGCGTGGATCCCGCTCAGTGGATTTCTTTCATATATATGTACAGTCCAATCGTCGTTCACACCATGAGATGTGATCCATATCCCCTCAACACAACGACACCAGCGAGTCCTGCCCAGGATCACGACTTCACCGGCGTGCCCTGCCTCGAATGCCGCATCTTCATCATCTGCTCCGCATGCTGCGCCATGTACGACTCTCCCAACGACCCCGCCGCAAACGAGCCCCGATTGCCCGGCAGATCCTTCGTCGACGACCCGTACACATCCCTCTCCACCGCAATGCGCTCCGCAGCCTCGTAGTCGGGCCCGATGTAAACGGGGTCGCGGAGCACGGCGGGGCGTCGAAAGCCTGGCTCCGTAGGTGCGAGAGCCGAGCCGGGGCCGAAAGAGAGATATGGTACGGCACTGTCTTCTGCTTTGTCCGAGGGCTCTGGAATAAGCCCTGTTGTTGCGTCGTAGCGCGTTTCTCTGTTGTCTTCGTCGTCGTTGGCGGGCGGTGGACTGTGCGGACTGGGTCGGGCTTGGATACCGCGGCCTGCGATTTCGTCGTCTTCGTCATCATCATTGTCGTCGTCGCTTTCGTTTGCAATTGCCGATTCGTCGAAGCTGGGGTGTGAGGGCTCGGCGTCGGAGTCTTCGTCGGCGAGATCGAAGAGGTCTCCGTCGGGATCCAGCTTTCGCGGCTTTGCAGTGACCGGTATCAATGTGGAGGTGGACTGAGATTGTTCTGCTGGCGTCGACTCTGCTGCGGCAACTGCAAGTGTTGCCGGCTGTTTCTCGGCCTTGTTCGATCCCGTGTTTGCAGCCGATAGTAGCGTTGGCTCAAGGAGTAGCTGCTCTCGATTCAAGGGACTGCTCCGCTTTGTCAACACGGGGAGGTCTCGCTCAGCCGTTGGTAAACGTCTCCGGGAGTGCGAAGAGGTGGTGTTATGGCTGAGGGCATCCGGGACATTGTCCGATGGCTTGACTATTGAATCGCCCAGCGCCAGCGAGACCCTTTTCCGTTTCGGCTGCTGAGTGGGCGATCGCATTGCGGATGCCAGCCTGCCGTCTGCGGATGCATCGGATGAAGAGTTTCTCTGAGCCAACAAGCGTGCTGACGGCCGCAGAGGGTTCCCCTGCGCGAGAGATTCAGAATTGGCTCGCTCGGAAGCGGTACTGCCGGGCGTAAGCAGCTCAGTGTTGGCGGTACTGCTCACTTCTGGGTCGGAGGCTGCTCGTTTCACCCTTTTCGCGTCCTCGGCGTCCAATGCGGCCAGATAGCTGGGGGTGAAGAGGCCGGTGAGGTATTGTTCGCGCTCGCTACTTCCCATTCCGTCCTGCAACTTGGACAACAAGCGCCATTGCTCCGGGGTGGCTTGTTGCAGCGCAGGCGTAGGCGTATCTACCGCTGCGCGATTGGGCGAAGTCAAGACCGTGTCGACAGCAGAGACGTGCTCGGCTTGGAGCGCGACATGCTGCTCACTATCGCGCATCGACTCCGACAGCGTGTGGGAGAGGGCGACATTGCGAGCGGCCTGGCCTTGCGAGAGCTTGTGCTCTTGTCTCAGATCCTTCTCAAACCCCTTGTACTCTCTCTCCTTCGCGGCGATGTACTTGTGGATGGACTCATCGAGCTGTTTGCGCTTCTGCTCGAGCCGCTCGAGATACTCGGCGGGCAGGGTGTGGTCGGAGAAGGAGCGGCGACAGGCTGCACGGCGACTGGCGCCCGGCCTCTCGGCCATGAAGGAAAGGCGGTGATGCAGCCCCTGCGTGATGTCTTGGAGTGACCTTTCACGTGGCGCGCAGGAGACGCATGTGCGACGGTGTGCAGCGACGCACGTGAAAGGGAGGCCAGGGGCGTTGTCTTTGTTGCGATGACGATACTTGATGTTGACGGGAGGGATGAGTCGATGCGACAAGACTGGTTGTGTCGAAGCCTTTCCACTCGCACCACCCAGACAGTGTGCGGCAGTCACGCGCTTGTCAGCACGCCTTCCACGTCTAGACTGAATTGCACGCCGGCGGGGGGAAGATGCCATCACGGCCCACCCCACCCGCACCTGCCTCCAGTCGCTCAGATCTCAAATACCGGCGGGAAGGTACGAGTGGCGCCAAGTTTCTGTGGCGTCTGTCTTCCCCCAATCTTCTGCATCCTTGATTCATGTTGCTTCTCGCGTCGCATCCTCATAGCTACTCATCACGGTAATGCCCATGTCGATCGCTTGCCCTCGTGATTTCAGGTGCTGACCGCTTTGTTGATGCTGACTGGGGATGTTATCTGATCATCACCCGGGTTTTCAGTGTGCACAGTGCCCGGCCGGCCTCTCCGGCGTTTGCCACGCAAGCAACGCTGCTCTCTCCTACGGTGGAAGTTCGGCGGCGCCTACGTCGAGTGCAGGCTGCCCCCGCCTACAATCGCCCGCATGCTAGAGGGCCGTCGCTTATCATTAACCAATGCTGGCCCTCTGAATCGAATGTGCGTTTCATGACGGGCCTACATTCACCACTCTCGCGGCTTTGAAGCTCGGGCACGCACTCGGAGCGCCAGCCTTGCGCCTTTGCCGGACCCCCCAGCATTCGCTTTGACCTGCGGCACATTGTAGTCAACGCAATCAAGGCAGGTGTAGTAGGAGACCGTGTGCGTCCGTAGAGAAGGCATGCCGAGGGACCAAACCGAAAAGGATGAGTCGTCCCTGCAAGCCCCGCGGTTGTCGTTAAACAAGCGCGTGGAGCTGCTTCGTTCTCAGGGTCTTCTCAACCAACCTCTCCCCACCCCGCCCGCACAGCCGCCCTCGACAAGGAAATTTGCGCTTGAAGTGCGGAGCTTGCTCCGCACCTTTGCAGCCGTACGAACGAGTCGAATGAGACGCCGTTTGGCGAATGCCTCACCGTAGAACCGTGTGGAACGATCGACGGGCCGCGCTCCTCGCTGCACAGTCGTCTCCACCTCTCTGCTGAGGCTCCGCGGGACCCTGTTCGTGACTCGTGTTCCTCGCACCATCCACATCCTGTTTGCAAGCGCTGGAAAGATCGACAGGGAGCGGGCGTTGTTAGGCTCAATCAGATTCACTTGCCATTCAATGAGAGACCCTGCGCCTTGCTCATGTGGAGCGGTCTGATGATCATCGATTTTACATAGGCCGACCGCATCTATGGCTTCACCTTGATCCATTATTTCAATGCGGCTCTGCGAGAGCACGTTAAGAGCATTGCGATTTCGCCCTGCCCGCCGTGCAATTCCGTCTTTCCCCCTCTTGCTTCTTCACGCATGACGCGCTCTCACACATGTCCACGCGCGCCAGCCGCCCAGCTCTCATCGCCTCGACGCTTCGAACACCGCCGCCCACGCTGATAATAACATGTCGGAGCGGCGCTCGATAGGTTCTGCGCCGGGCTCCGAAACTCCAGAGAGTGCGCACCGACGAGAGCGCGCGGCCATCGCTGCCCAGGCATGCCAAACCTGCCGGAATCGGTATGCGCCATAGTCTTTAACTGCTCTCCCCCGCCGCCGCATCTTGGCCCCCACGCTGCCCCAACCTTGCTAATAATCCACCCCGCTGCAGGAAAAGTAAATGCGACGAGCAAAGACCCAAATGTCCGTAAATTTTGCCGTATCCGCACTTGCGACACTCCCTTGCGAGCGTTCCGCTAACAAACCTCCCAGGCGGCCTTTGCACCCGCCTCGGTGTGGAATGTGTATATCGCGAGCCTCTGCCGACAAAGTGAGTGCCCCAGATCGATGCGCAAACATTCCAATGATTATTGACGCCCGTCTAAGGAAAGACAAAACCTTGGTGCACATCCTCGACACGCTGACCCGTCTCGAAAATAAATTCGATACGCTCGCCATCGGCTCTGCAGGACCCTCGTCCGCCACTCCGCCCACCAAACCAGATCCTGCCGTCCAGAGCGCAAGCAGACCGCGTGAAGCTCGTCGAGATTCGTTCCCGCGCGAGCTTCGCCAGTATTATCGACATCTAACCGTGCCCCACAAGATCATCCTGTGGCCCAGCATCTATCTGCATCTGATCAACACCGGCATTCAGGCCACCGCCGACCTGCAATATGTCCTCCAGGAAGGGACACCATGGTTCATTCGCCTGGAGATGGGAAAGCATGCACGAGCCCTGGCCTCCGACCTCGCGCTGCCCTTCTACCCCAAAAACACCAACTTGAGCGATCAAGGCTACAGCTCGAGTGTCGCCTTTCCAACCCTGACCATTCAACAAATCCAGGAGCAATGCGACGCTTACTTCAACACCTTCAATGTGCTCTTTCCACTGCTCGGCAGGGATGCTTTCATGAACCAAACTGTCGCCCCTCTGCTCCGCGATGGATATGCCGATGGCGACCCAGGCGCAGTCATTGCGTTGCTTGTGTTTGCGCTCGGCCAAGTGGCGATCGAAGGCGTCTTTCACCAACCGCTTGCCATCGTCGACGGCCAGCCCAGCGGCTTCCGAGGCGGCTCGCTCGACAAACCTCCCGGCTTGGCCATTTTCAACGAAGCGCGGAGACGACTTGGCTTTGTGTACACCCAGAACACTCTTGAGAACGTGCAGATTCATTTGCTAGAAGCCATGTATTATGGTTCGACGGCGCGACATCTGGAATACTGGAAATGCACCGTCGCGGCTTCCATGTCCTGCCAATTCCTCGTGCGCTGCCGAACCTTCCACTGGTCTTCGCTCGAGGGAGACCTCGTGAAGCGGGCGTACTGGACGTGCGTGCTCAGCGAGGACTTTTATCACCTAGATCTCGACCTGCCACGGACGGGCATTGAACTTCAACAAGACGATGTCCCGCTTCCCTACTTCCACGAGGCTCAAGATGTTCCGGGAAATGCCGGCCCGTTGAGTGAGGAACCATCACACTTCCAGTATCATTTTCTGGCCATGATTGCGTTGCGAAGAGTGATTGAGAACATCAATCAAGTGTTACATCAGAGTAAGCTGTGCCGCTCACCACTCCGTCTATCTCGAAGCTAACGATCATGACACAGGCTCCGACGAAGCCGAACAAGCCAACGACAACGGCGGTCCCCCAGTCAAGGTCATCCACGAACTCGCACGCCAACTCGACTCCTGGCGCTCCCTGCTGCCCCGCCCACTGCAATGGTCCGACAGTGACATGCTCGACTTCCCCACCTCCGACCCCAACACCCGCCGGCCCAACGAGCCCCTCTTCTCCCTCGACCAAGGTTCCGTGCCTATCGGGCACAAGTACAACCTCGACATCGTGACCGCGCAGCTGCGCACGCGCTTCTACTACGCCCGCTTCCTTATGTACCGCCCTTTCGTCTACAAAGCGTTGCACTTCCCGGAAGCCATGACGGCCGAGGACGCCAACTGCTGCGCGCTCGCCATCAAATCGGCGTGCATGTGGCCGATCGCGATGGCGCCGCCGAAGAACAAGAAGCGCCTCGTGCCGCACCTCTTCACCTGGACGCAGAACTTCATGGGCATCCTGCTGATTCTGCGCATGACGACGGAGAATGAGTGTCTGCGGCATATCTGCGAGAGTCAGGTGGATCAGGAGGAGATTCGCAAGACCGTCACCATGATGCTGGATTGGGTGCGGGATATGAAGCAGTTGGACGGGGTGGCGGATTGGAGTTGGAGGATCCTGGAGCCGTTGTATTCGTTCAAGCCCGTTTGACGAGGGCCGGGAATTGTCGAGGAGACTTTAGCGGCATCTGAGCGGGCATTGTGTTGTCATGAGCGTGGCATTAGCGAGGAGTTGGAGATGCGATGGCGTGCATTATTAGATCACGTGACCTCGAATGGCAAGAAATGCACTAGCGAAACTCTAAAAGTCGCCGCATGTCAATGCAAGCATCAGCGATATGGCACTACAGCATTCCACTCCCTTCACCACACCCGCTTCCATAAGCACTCCCTTCGCACCTATGATACCCTCTCGCCCCATCCACACATAATGGCCCAGCCATGTTCACTCGCGGCCCTCGACGACCCCTCCCGTCCGCAAGAACTATCCGCCTCCTCTACCAATTCGGGTACATTGCAACGGGCACCGCGGCGGGCTTGGTGACGCTGTGTCTAGAAGAGCAGCGGCGCCGCATCCAGATCCTGCAAAAGGTCGTGGATAATGCCAGGGTGATTCGCAGTCATCCTAAGTACCGGGGGAGTCATTCGTTCGCGGCGGCGACGTGGGAGAGTAGTGAGGATGAAGGTTCTTGGTGGGGTAGTGCTGCGCCGCAGGTGGAAGATACCAGAGTAGAGAGGCCGGGGTTCTTTGGTGGGGGAAGACGAGCGAGAGCGAGGTCTGCGCAGACTACTGAGCGCTCTTCGATTACGACACGGAATCAGAGCAGCGGCCTGCAGGATGGCGGGACGGGTCTGCAATCCACACGCCAGCGTCGCGAAGAGCGATTTGAAGGCGCGTCCTCGGCTGACAAGGCGTCTTCGACGCTCAGTCGAGACGTCGAACCACCCTCGTCGAGCCCCGTCCAGCGGCCGACCTTTAGCGGGCCTCTTGCAGGTGATCGATTCCAGGAACCTGCTCATCGCTTGTCAGACCGTGGGCGGAACGCTTTGTCGAAAGATCACCGCGCACCGGACCATCCATTGTTCCATAGGCCGGTGCGCCTACAAGACCGGAGTCACGCAGCAGATACGACTGAAGTACCGCAGCAGAAGAAGGCCAACACTTGCGACCTAGCGCTCGGAAAAGCCATAACGGAGGACAGAACAGACGAGTGCCTGAGTCTGCTACATTCCAAAGTCGCAGCCGCAGACACTAGAGCCAAGATCAAATCGGTCGGCGCAGAGATCGACGCCTTTATCAAAGCGTGCAATGATTCGGGCCGCCACTGGATGCTGGCGACCGCATTGCGCCCAAGGAACCGTCTTCTCGCGCGGCATTCCCGATCCGACCTTCTCCAGCGCTACTTGATTCCTCAGAGCCTTCGCGCTATCCAGCATGCCCTAGTCGCCACTCAATGTCCGCAATGGGAGTTTGAGGAGATTTGGAAGATGTTACCTGATTATCTACGTCTGTCGTTCGATCCTATCCTGGCCATCCCAAGTCTACAAGCGTACTGGAAATTCACGCGAGACTTGACCAAGGTTGACAAATATGTTGCGGAGAAGCTTAAGAAGGAGATGGAACAGTACAAAGATCACGAAGCAAAGCTGCAGGAGCTGAACTTTGCTATGGTTGGTATCTACGCCGACGCTGGCTTCTTGGACCGCAGCGTGGAGCTCCTCGCTCAAATGCAAGGCAATGAGGGTGCCAGCAACGAACTTATGCGACGTTTTGCCATCCTGTTGGCGCACAAGCACGACTGGGACAGTTTGAGTCGCCTGTTCACGGTCATCGAACATTTGCCGACGCCGCTTTTCGAAGAGAAGCACTCGACAACTTTCAACACGATCATCATGCATTATGCCAAAGAGCATAGCCCCACCGAAACTTGGAACTTCGTTGCCCATGCAATGGAAAGTCTTACTTTGCGGCCCACTCGCATGACTGCTCAGCTTGTGATGGAGAATTTCGTGCGGCACAACACCTTTGACTTGATCCCCAAGTGGCTGGCCTTCCAAAGCGAATGCGGATTCAAAACCGACATGGATGCGCGCTTAGCACGGAATTTATTGCAGGAGCACTACCTCAAGTACCGGCCGCCGCACGATCTGCTAATGACGTGGTGTCGCCGACTGGCGGTATTCTATCCGGCAATCATGAACAAGCAGCTCCAGGACCTCCTTCGGGGCGCGATAACGTATGACATGCATGACTGGCGAGGCACGGGTCGGGGCAATGCCATCCGTTTTGCAAAGGTGCGGCTGGATCTCATCGAGGATACGCGCCATATCATTCCGTCTCCCGGCTTTGTGTTTCGGGAAGAATTGTATCTGCCAGACTCTTCTGCCTCGATTGTAGAAGGCAGTGCGATCCCAACACCAATTTCCACGTCCGATGATGTCTCCGACGCCTCCGACGCCTCCGACGATATGATGAACTTCGAGGAGCCCAACTTGCCAACGGCCGTTGGTTACAGCTCGTCGCAAAATCACTTGAGAGCGCGGAAGCGTACATGGACGCAGGATGAGGCGTTGGAGGAGCATGATATTCTGGGCGCCTCACCTCAGTTCAGCGTCTTGTATCGTGAGATGTGGCTGGAAGTCCAGAAACGGAACTACCGCAAAGCTCTCGAACTCTACCGCGATAGCTTGGATCCGGCTGGTCTGCCTCCAGTCGCCGCGGCTCTTGAGCTTGCCGTCGAGGCCTCCATTCGCCTCCACCGTGGCGACCGAGTGGTAGCTGAGCAGCTGATGGCCAGCGCTCGCAAAGCCGGCATGAACACCGCCGCCGCCACGCGCCCTTTCCTTATCCACACGATGCGGACCCTCTACCATTCCGGCAAACACATCGATTCTGCCGAGCTCGAGACCAACGTTCTCCGGTACTACGAAGCAAACTTCTCCAACAACCAACGTCTCACCTCTTATGTCGCGAACACTGCCGCCACCGTCCTTCTTCATCGCAACTCCCCTGCCGCTGCTCTCCGCCTTCTTTCGGTCATTCACGGCCGCTGGCCTGATGAACTCCCCGTTACCAACGTCGTCTGCACCATCCAGCTGCAATGCCATACTGCCCTGCGCTCTCTCCCCGGCGTCCAATCCGTCCTCCAAACGATGCTGGACAAGGACTTCCGCATTCAGCGTCGCTTCCTGCTCAAGCTCAACGATTGCAAGAAGAATGCGAGGAAGTTTGAGGAGAATGCCTCGCAGGATGTGGCTGCTTTGCTGGAGTCATGGCTCGGAATCTTCCGAGAGAAGAGAGCAAAGCAAACCGAAGAGGCGAAGCAGGTCGGAGAGGCATTGTTGGCTGTCCTCGTGAGTTGTTCAGAGCACTCGGCGCCGCTGATACCAGCCACGCATGAGGAGACGATTGGCGATGGCCGGGCTGCCGATGAGCACGGCACCGGCACCGCTGTATACGTCCCCTTCATCGACGAGTCGTATTTCTCCGACGAGCCGGAGCCCACGGACGGGGCGAAGGAGGCCAAGCGCCTCGCGACACTGAGGCAGCGCATGATTCGAGACATTGAGGATGAAGCGGTCTTTCGCTGGCACACGGAAAAGCGGCTTCGAGAGGCCCATCTGCAGAGCCGCGTTGACGATAGCGACCAGGTATATAGGCCTTTTGACGCTGCTGAGGCGGACAGTTATGAGGCGGGGTTGCATGGTGATGGAATGGATGGGGCGCCGAATGCGCTTGCTGTTGTTGATACCCGGGCATAGCGTTGGATGGGCTAAAGAGCTTTTAGACGAGCGTTCGAACAACGAGTTTCGAAATGAATTGAAGAGAGCGTGCTGTCGTAAACCGTTAGTCTGGCCGCGGAGATTGCAGCCTGAGGCTAAGTTCTTGGCGGTCGCGTACTTCCTAATCCGTACGCGCTGCATCGGAAATTTTGAGGAATTTCCAATTCGCAGTCAAGATCCATCTCCCTCTACACCACCTCACATCCTTGCCCGACATTGATGATGTCGCTATCAATACCTAGCGCGCCCAACAGCGGCCTCTTCAAAGCAGGCTACCAAAAGTGAGTTCCCTGGCATCTCCACCTGCTTACCATCTGAAGAAACGCAACAACTAACCCCCATCCAGCTACGATGCCCAAGATGGCGCCGTCCTGCGCAACATCGACGCCTGCCGCGCCATCTCCGGCACCGTGCAGACGTCCCTCGGTCCCTACGGCCGCAACAAGCTCGTCATCAACCATTTGCAAAAAATGACGCTCACCAACGACGCCGCGACCATCCTCCGCGAACTCGACGTCGTGCACCCCGCGGCGAAGCTGCTCGTCATGGCGTCGCAGCAGCAAGAGGCGGAGATGGGCGATGCGACGAACATGGTGATTGTGTTTGCTGGCGAGCTGCTGAAGAAGGCGGAGGAGTTGTTGCGGATGGGGCTCAAGACGAGCGAGATTAATGTTGGGTATGAGCGGGCGGGACGGGAGGCGTTGAGGATTCTGGAAGAGTTGGAGGTGGATAGTGTGGAGAATGTGAGGGATGCGGCGGAGCTGGCAAAAGCGATTCGCACCGTTGTTGCGGCGAAGCAGAGTGGGAATGAGGATTTGCTGGCGCATTTGGTTGCCGAGGCGGTGTTGGCTGTGCTGCCCAAGAACCCGAGCAACTTCAATGTGGACAATATCCGGGTGGTGAAGATTATGGGTGGCAGTTTGGAGCAGAGCCGGGTGGTCAAGGGCATGGTGTTTGGAAGAGAGCCAGAGGGGACTGTCAGGAAAGCGACAAAGGCAAAGGTGGGGGTGTTCAGCTGTGCGATCGACATCTCGCAGACGGAGACCAAGGGCACAGTCTTGCTGAAGAATAGCAAGGAGCTGTACGACTTCACCAAAGGCGAGGAGGCGCAGATGGAGGCGATCGTCAAGGAACTGCACGACTCTGGACTCCGAGTGGTCATCGCGGGCACCACAGTGGGCGAGCTGGCTCTACACTACCTCAACCGCGCGGGCATCCTCGTCATCAAGGTCTTGTCCAAATTCGAGCTGCGGAGAATATGCCGAGTGGTTGGCGCCACGCCCCTCGCCCGACTAGGCGCCCCCATGCCGGATGAGATGGGCAGCGTGGACGTGGTAGAGACGATGGAAATCGGCGGCGACCGAGTAACAGTGTTCCGACAAGAGAACGAGCAAACCCGCACAGCTACTCTGGTGCTCCGCGGCGCCACACAAAATCACCTGGACGATGTTGAGCGCGCGGTCGACGACGGCGTCAACGTTGTCAAAGCCATCACGCGCGACGCCAGACTCGTGCCGGGCGCGGGCGCGACGGAGATGCAGCTCATCGATCGCATCACCACCCTTGCAGACAAGACGGCAGGGCTGTCGCAGTACGCGATACGAAAGTACGCGGAGGCTTTTGAAGTCATTCCTCGCACGCTCGCGGAGTCGGCTGGTCTAGACGCGACGGAGGTGCTCGCCAACCTCTACACGGCGCACCACTCCCCCGCAACGAAGAAAGCAGCGACAAACGGCAGGAAGAAGAGCGCGAACGACGAAGACGACGACAGCGACGAGGAGTTCTCCTGCCTGGGCGTCGACATGGAGAACTCCGACCGCACGGGCACACTGGATGCAGAAGACGAGGGCATCCTCGACCTCATGGTCACCAAGTCCTGGGCTATCAAATTGGCGACAGAGGCGGCGCGGACGGTTCTCAGCGTGGATCAGATTATTGTCGCGCGGCAGGCTGGTGGGCCGAAACCGCCTGGCCCGAACCCCAACTGGGATGATGATGATTAGAGGGAACGTCGAAGGGAACTGTGCGTGTGTAAGACGTATAGCATGGTATAGATCAAAGCGTTTCATGAAGAATATCGCAAATGGATCACAGGAATTGATTGATCTGGCTGTAGTTCATGCCAGAGACAATGGAAGTCTCGCAAGTCGCGCACGGACCACGCTACGATATCAACTTCACGTCTTGCCTTCACTCCTCCTTGCGCAACTTCACACTTCTTAGACGGACGCGACCGCCCGCAAACCACGTTCCAATGCAGACAGAGCGGTACCAGATATCGAGCCTGTCTCTCCGATTGCTCGATGACAATGATGCGATCATCACAAAGGCCCTGTGGCTTGCTGTGCTTTCGACATCACTAGCAGCCAAGATATCAATGGACTGTTACTTCGCCTGGCGACTTGCGTGATCGATAAGTCGGTAGAAACGTTCCTAAACATGTTTGTTCTGCTACTTTGCGCTTCCTTAATTGTCACGATGCTCAACTTGCCCTGTTTGGCACAGGAAAATGCACAAACAAGCGCAAAAAGCAAACCCTCAATCCTCCATCACGAGACTCGAACGCGCGACTTTTGCCTCCGGATCAAAGGTCAAAAAGTAGGCGGCAATCAACGCCCACCGCCGATCCCCCGGCCCTCTCCCTTTGGGGGAGGAGGACACTCCACAAGCCCCCCGCCCTACAACCTATGCACATGTGGCATGGCTGCATGAGCGGTGGATCAGCACCTAATTATTTCGACCTCGAGAGGCGAAAGATTGCAAAGCCCCCGGATTGTTCATCCCTCAACGTACTTTTGGCTGTTCACCAATTTCCTTTTTGAGGTGATGATGCCGGGGCGCGGAATTGTTGATATAGTCATTCGGGGAAACGTCGGCGGTGTCACATGCGCTGATGGGGAGCCGCTGCACGACACGGTGCTCCTTCGCTTGTGGGTCTTATTCTGTTTGCTGCTCCTTCCGTTTTGGGAAAATCTACCTCATCACGATGTTTGTCCCATTCGGACAATCACTGCTACTGGAAGGGTAGCTTTCTTTTCTGTTCCATATAACGCGCATTTCATGCTCTCTCGCTACCAGTCTCCTCTCCATCCTCCAGCTCAAGGTCAGGTCTCATGGACGAGGAGACTCTATACAACCATTCGAACACTCTTATACTACGCGGCCGAGCACAACAGAGCAAACGGAACGAGCTTTGCGCATGTGAATGCGGAGAAGGTGTGACGCTGACAACATGGCCCGCGCCACTACCACGACTACTGGCCTTTCCCTCTCCGCCGCTGTGACTGCGGCCTACCTTCACACCACAGACGACTATAACCTTTTCGAAGATCCTATACACTCTTTCGTGCATCCACTCTTCCTCCCACCGCTGCTCCGATCGCTGACGACCCCTCGGCCATCAACCCTTTCACACTATACATTGTCGCTCTGCAGACTTCGGCCACCCAGACATGTCTTCCACACCAGCGCCCCCGCGGCAAGGCAAGAAGACGTCGACCCTGCCAGGACATGTTGGTCGCCCCTTGACGTGCTACTTCTGGTACACGGAGGGACGGTGCCATAAGTCCGACGCCGAGTGCCAGTGAGTATCCTCCACACTCTCCAGCACCGTGTGCAGTAACTGACGAAACAGGTACGCGCACTGGGCAACAGGTTTGACCGCGCCTCTTCCAGCTGCTAAGTCCAAGGACAAGGGCAAAGGTAAGCTCACATCACCCCTCCCAACGAGCTCGTATACTTACTGGCTCCGTCCAGGACCTGCCATCCAAGCCGATACTCCTGCACCAGCTGCCCTTCCTGCCCCCTTTCCGCCTTCCGTTCGCTTTCCCCGTCCCTTCGCACCGCCTGCTCCGGCCCCTCTCCCTGCTCCTCCCGCGCCGTTCGACCCTTTCAATGATCACGCCGCCATTTATCACAGCAACCCGCAAGCCGAGCACCAGCAACGACTGCAAGCCTGGAAGACCAGCCTCGCCGCTCGAGAACTCTCACTACACGACTGGGACGCACGTCTCGGCAACCAAGCGGCCACTCTCCACGAATGGGAGGCGCGCTTGAACGGAAGGCAGACAGCGACAACGGCGGGAGCGAACGAACTGGCCTCCACGCCAAGTGACAGTTCAGAGGTCGGGAAAGTTCTGGAGCGCATCTACAACGTACGCTCTCAACCCCTTCCTCCTCAAATTCATGTGCATTATGACTGACTCATCGGCCTCACAGGTGCTCGGCGACGCGAGAACTGCCTCAGCCGTCGCTCACGGAGAGCTAACCGGCAAATTCAAGCAGCTCTCGCAGCATCAAGCCGGCAGCGAGCAAGGCGCCGACAGCATGATGGTCGGGATGGCCATCGCTGAAGCTGCGGGCATGCTGGGCCGGTTTGAGGGACGACTGGTGGGCTTGGAGAAGATCGTTAGCGAAGAGATGGTGAAGATGGCCGGCAGTGGTGAGGATGCTGGTGATCAGGATGAGAATGGCGGAGAGAGTGCTGGCCACGGCGGATGGGCCTAGGTGACGATGACATTCAGCGGATCGCAACTTGTTGGTGTTTGAGCGACGGCGTTATGGAGCTTCTCGTGTTTTGAGCCCGGAGAGGACCAGCTCATCGCCGTGCTATTGCGTTCAGACAGATTATCATAACGAGGGAACGGATCACGACCGTCCAATGAGTCTTGCTAATACCGACCTTTTTCATATCAACCGACGCGGCTTACGAGCCTGTTCCCATGGTTCTACTCAAGCCGCTTCCGCCTGTCCTTCCCTCTCATGAATTGCTCTTCGCCCACCCGATCTACGAGAAGCGTCTTCCATCCCCTTTCAGCAACTCGGCGAAACCTCGTTCACCACTCCCGATGTCTATATATTGAATCTTCTATTCATGGCGTCTAACCAATGCCCGGCAGCATCAATTGATTCTGTTGGTCAGAGGCCAAAAAAATGCAAACCTGTTGGGGTCCTACGAGTCTCGCCTTGCTTTCTCTCCTTCCTGAAAAGGGCTGAAAAGGAGTTTGTTTTTTGTCTTTCTTTGAGCAGGTCCCGTGTTCGAGTCTGAGGTGCCTTTACTTTTTGCGTTGCTGGGTGATTACTATATCTTTTCCTCGCCCGCCTGAAGTCCACGTCCGACGAGCTCCTACTGAGGTATGCATTGAAGAGTTGTGTCTTAGTCTTGCGCCCGTTCGTGGATGCCGAAGTCATGATGCTGCTCTCCGTTCTATTCACCAGGTTGACGTCGTACAGTGATTGTCGCTCACACTGCTTCTTACTTGCTCAGCAGCTCTTGACGCTGAGGCTAATACTGATCATTAGCCACGCACTTCTCATCCTCGCGATCACAATGTGCGCGCTCACGTGGCAGTGCGCAGCTTCAGAGATGGGGAGACGATCGTCTCGAGGGCTTACTCCTCTTGACAGACGATAGAGAAAAAGCCGTCTAGGGAGTTTGATGACAATCTGACCTGCTAAACAGAAGAACATGCTGAAATGAACTGTCTATGGTTCTTTAGAACTCAACTAGTTCTGATACACAGGACCAAGCTTATTCCTCCCATCATACGTAGTATAAGCCGCCTTGTCCAAATCGATATCCTTGAAAAGACGAGCCTAACGTGTCACTCAGCACCCACTCCGGGAGACAGAAAGGGTCTGATAAAACTCACATTTATCGCCAATTCGCCCCTCTGGTTAGGCACATCCGAGTTCTTGAAGTCAATCAACACACTACTGCTGCACTCCGGGCAAAAGCGATGCGGCTTATTCTTCTTGCCGAAAAAGTAGTCCTTCAGCCGCGCCTCGGAGTCGTTTTGGAACACCACGTCTTCGCGCTTGGGGTAGACGAGGAGGTAGCCTGGTGGATGATCTGTATTACTACAAGGGGTTTCACAATAATGATTGTGCTTTGTGGAGGAGATAAAGACCATTCTTGGTGCAGATGGAGCAATTGCACCGGTTGATCTTCGCCTTGCCTTCGGGGTACAGGGCATCGTCGAGGGTGACGGTGTAGCGGATGTTGCCGCAGTGGCAGTTGGCTTCGTACGTCTTGCGGGTGCCGGTGGGTTGGGTAGACATTGTAGGGCGTTTCTGAGCGATTGATTCGACGTTGATACCTTGATGGACGAGTTGGAGGGTTGGGTTTCGAGGCCGAAGCATTGCACTGCGCGCTTGAATGCTGACAAATTTTGACCAATACCCGCTGCTGTCCGCGGACGTCTGGAATATCCGCCTGCATCATACCAACAATCATTGATAAGGCAAAAACTCATGCGTCTTATACCGTCTCGTCGACGAAATGGAAAGTCAAAGATAAAAAGTCCCTACAGCCCCACCCGGCGATGATACTCCCCCAAAATCCTCGCATCGACAAAACTGCCCACCGGCTCCCACGTTGTCTCCTCCCACCCCTTCCACTTCACCTCATACAGCATCACCGGCATCTTGCCCAGCTCGACAGGATGCGTGCGCGGATCGGACAGGTGGTGAGCGTGGATGGCTTCGATTTCGAATTCGTCGCCGTCGGCCTCATCATCTTCTTCCTCGTTGTCATCGTTGTCGTTGTCGTCATTGCCCTCGATTTGAGGAGCCCCTTGTTCATGTTCGTCATCACTTGGTTCGGGCCTCAAGCCTGCCTTGCGTCTGTATTCTGTCACAACGCCCCAATCCCCAAAACTGTCCAGTGGCTCCCACGTCACCTCCTCTGAGCCGACCCACTTCGTCTGGTAGAGCATGATTGGTTTCGTTCCTGCGGAAGCCGGATGGGTTCGAGGATCGGAGTATTGGTGGGAGAGAATGGATTCCACGACCCATTCGTCTTCGTCATTATCATCGCTATCTTCGGATGCGGATGAGGAGCTGGAGCTGAGAGGGGCGGTGGGGTGGATCAGTGAGGTTCTGGCTTTTTGCGGTGAGGTGTGAGTAGGCCGTGGAGATTTCGTTTGAGCGACGCGGATTTCGGGTTCGGGTTCGGGAGAGGAAGTCATGTCGATTACCGGGACAGGTTGCGAGAGTCGAGGAGTCGGCTTGACAGATGCGGGCAAATTCGATCTGGGAGTTGAATCGGGTTTGCTCAATGCTTTGGCAGGCGACACCTTGCTGGGAGTAGGGACTGCAACTCGCTCCGCAATCTTGATTTTGCTCGGTGCCGGGGAGATGGAGCGCGACATTGAGCTCTCCATATCAAGTCGTGGCCGTTTTGCGGTCGGAGATATACGCAGATGCTGGAACGAGTTGGGCGACACATGATCATCATCGCTCTCGTCATTGTTCCTGGTCTGGTCGTTGGTAGTAGGATCATATCGCCAGCCCAACGGCATCAGCTCGCGCGTAATCGGATGTCGTCTTCGTCGGGGGCGTTTGACCTTCGGTGCCAGCTGTTGCTGCGGCTGCTCGCCGCGAGGAGACAACGGAAGGAGTTCACCCGTGATCTTATCCCGTTTCCTGCGTCGCCGCTTCTCAGGCACGCCCGGAACGGATTCACTAGATCGGACAACCCGCTCGTCCTCCACGGTGGAAGTAACCCGTCGCCCCTCATCCTCCTCCGTACTCGACCGCACCCTCCTCCTCCTCTGTATCTCCGGCACCTTGAACAGATGCGTATACGTCGGTCTCGCGCGCCCATGTTTCCCCACCTCCGCTTCCGGCTGACCATTCTCCCCTTCCGAACCAGTCCCCTCCTCCCCGTCAGAACTACTGACCTCCTCCCAACCCCCCACGCCCCTCAACTTCGCGCGTTCCCTCCTCTCATCAGCAAGCGCAGCCCTCTCCTCCTCCCTAGCAGCCTCATACGCCGCCAGCACCCCCCTCTCCTCTTCAAACTGCGCATGCTCCCATGCCTCAAGTTCAAGCGGGGAAACATAGTCCAGAATCTCCTCCACAGTGACATCCGGGAGCGGGACGTCGCCTATGGAGAGGTCGTAGTGCACGGCTCCAGTGAGGGGGGAGATGATGCGGGCTGTTATGCGGGCGTTGCGGGGCGCGGTGGAGGAGAGTTTTGTGGGCAGGGGGCCGGGGGCGTAGGAGCGTGTTTGGCGAGGGTTGTATTGTTTAGTTGGTGGGGGTTTGATAGGTGTCCCTCCGGGCGGTGAGCGCGTGATTACCGGGATTGCCATGGCCATGGTAGGTGGTTGTGCGTTGGGGGTCGTTTGTGGTTTTCCGCGATGTTGCGCGTAGCCTAAGTGACGGAAATCGGTGGTCGTAGGGACCGCATGGTTCCAGAGCGAGCAACCAGATCTCCCGAGGATGACGGCGTGTGTTGCGTGGTTCAGACGTTTAAACGTTTAACACGTACTTCACAGAGGTGAGGTTGGCGTGAAGCTCCAGACGTCGACTTTTGTCACTCAAGCCTGGCTGTTTCGACCTCACTTCACCGGCCGCAGCCTCTCAGGAGCGTACGTAGACATGATGTTGAATGCAAGTCAACTTTCGCACGTGTTTTGCTATTCTTGACACCAGGTCGATTCACACTCAGAAATACAAGTGAGCGTGTACAAGATCAACACCATGGAATAATAGCGGTGACATGGTTGACTAAACGCCTTCGTCCTCCGGTAAAGTAGCGGTGACATGGCACCTAAACGCCTGAAGAAACCAAGAAAAACAAGTCTCAATGCTGTCAGCAGTACCTATCCAGCGGGTAACAAGGAAAAAAAACGAGCAGCACCCCCGACTCGAACCCGTGACCTGCCGAAAAACCGCAAAAAAAACAAACTCCTTTTCAAGAGGAAAGCAAGGCGAGACTCGTAGGACCCCAACAGATTTGCGTTTTTTGACCTCTGACCAACAGATCAATGCTGTTGCCATTGGCTAGACCTGGCGTGCAGATGATTCAATATGTAGAGAGTAGGTATGTGATGTTACGAGGTTTCGCCGAGCTGCTGGATTGTTTGAGGTCATGTGTTGCCAGATGCTCTACTAAATATCGAAGCTCCCCAGGTAGGTACCTAGCAAAAAGAAGAGTATCTTAGCGACTCATCATCATTCGAACTCGGGATCTGCCTGAAAAACCACAAAAAAAAAACAAACTCCTTTTCAGGAGAGAAAGCAAGGCGAGACTCGTAGGACCCCAACAGGTTTGCATTTTTTGGCCTCTGACCAACCACATCAATTGATGCGGGTCATTAGTTAGAGGCCATGCGAAGATTATTCAATATATAGAGACCACGGGTTGTGACGAGGTTCTGCCGAGCTGCTGACGACAAGTTTTCATACAAGAGTGGGACGTATGGTGAATTGAACAAGCAGTCTTCCATATCTAGCGACCCTTTTCGTATGGTATCATGACATCTCGTCGTCATATATCCCTCCCATACATATCCCCGCCTTCCCCTAACATGCCCAATTTCATCCAGGCAAAATGCAAAGCCGTGCCATGTTCGCATCGACCATCACTTGTCCTATCCCACCTCATTCCCCACCCAAAGAACGCCGTGCAATACCACCCAAACCCGAAAAAATCATCTCGTCCTCTCCCGCCCATCATACGAAGGCGGCACGCCTAGACTCCGCGCATCATTGCTAAGCGGCCAATCCGACCCATCAGCGCGACGCGCAGGGTGCACCGCGCCGCCCGCATCCGCTCGCCCAGCACCCGCATTCGGTCCCTGCCCGGGATGATAGCTGGTATACTCGTCGTCGAAGTCGGAAGGCTTGGAGTCGAAGTGTGCCGCGCTGCTTTCGACGATGCCTAGGCCGGAAGCAGGATAAGGTGGGGCGCCGAGGTCGATTTGCGAGTCGCCTGCGTCGCTGCGAGAGTAGGCTGTGTAGGCTGCGTGGTGGGCTGCGCTGGCGCCTTCGTACGGGCGGTAGGGACTTAGGCTCGGCCCTCGACCTGGTTGGGCTTGGTGGTGTAGGAGGCGGGCTCGGTCGTCTTCGATTGTCTGGCTGCGTCCTCGAGAGCCGTCGGCTTCTTTGCCGGCGCGCAGTTCCAGATTCGCTCCGGGCGCGCCGACGCCGACGGGAGCGTAGTTGGCGCCTCCAACACCGGGCTTGGCGAAATCCGGGTCTTGATGGTAACTGATGTCGTCGTGTCGCTTGCGCACGCCCACAAAGAGCCAGCGGAAGCCTCGTGCAGTCATCTTCACGATATCCCACGGATTGAAAGCGTCGACTAGCGCGGTGAAGACACCTAGATATCGGAGTTCGCTGCCGCCTCCGAAGCCAGTCCCTGGCTCGTTGAGCGGGTTGGCGTAGGAATGCTTGATGCTGTAGGGCTTCCAAGGGAAAGCGAAGATGTGCATAACGGCGAAGATGGCCATTTCGATGCAGAGGAGCATACTGGGGATGCCGACGCGGATGTCGGGATATTGGATTTGTTTGGTAGGTTGGAGGGGGCCATTGGCGGAGGAGATGAAGGAGATGACGATCTGTGAGTTGTGCTTGTCAGTGGGCTGTATTTTCATCACTATGGATTTTGCGGAAACGTACCGTCTGCCAGAAGGAAAAGAAGATCACCAGTTTAATGCAAAGCACTTTCAAAAATGGGCGATGTTCCGCCAGATCGTCCTTGAGCTGGAGGTAGAACTGGATCAGGCAGAACATGGCAATCGTCACGCTGACAGACTCAAAGACCTCGATCCAGATGTGGGCGAAAGCAGGCGACAAGCTATCCTGGCAGTATACCCCGCCGATCTGCGCAAGCACGGCAACAATGGTGAATAGCACACGGATGAAGCAATACTGGAACACGCCAACCCAAATGACCTAGTAAATGTCAGCGGCGCATTTAGCCAACCCAAGCGCAGACAGTATACTCACATTAAACCACGTCAACCCACTCCTCGGCTTCCTCAACGGACCCTTATTCTGCCCGCCCGTGCATTTCTGCAAGCCAAAAACGCTCCAGAACCAATTCTTAGGCGTCAGCGCACGGAAGTAATCCTTCTGATCGTGCAGGTTGGGAGCAATGTAATGGCACAGCAGGGTGAAGAAAGACGAGATGGCGAAAGCCTCGTAGCAGCCCTCGAGGATGTCGTAGTAGATGGCGTGGCGGTAGTAGAGGTAGGAGAGGAAGGAGACGACGGCGTAGACGGGGATGAGCAGCAGGATGCGGATGATGTGGCGCTGCTCGTAGGGCTTGAGGTAGTGCGTGGCGTGCATGAGGATGAGGAAGGTGGAGATGACGGTTGCGACGAGGGCGAAGGCGGCGCTGAGCACGAGGCCGAACTCGTGGAAGGTGTAGCCGTGGAAGATGGGCTCTTCATTGTGGATGAGCTCGTTGGCGAGCGTGTCGTTGCAGTGTGGCATGGCGACTCATGCGCCGGCCCCGGCTGGGGAAGGAAGGTGGTGGTGAAGGAAGTGCTGGGTATGCGGTGTGTTCACATTGATTGTCGCCCTTGCTCTTCTGCCGCTTCCTTTGTGTTCTCAACTGGCTGAGTGTACTCGATGCTGCCTGGGAGCTGAAGAGAGGTAGGTGAAGTGCAAGGTTAAATGCAGTCGAGCAGGCAGTTCAACGTCGGGAAGGGCCCAGTCGCAGAGCAGGCGTCGGTGAGGAATGTATGTGTAGGAAAAGACAGCGTCGCAAAGCCAAATCCCAAGTCGCAGCGGAGTAATTGAGTAAGCAGCGAGGCGTAGTTAGAGCGAAGCAAGAAAACGTCTCCCTCACCCCATGCAATGCATATGCGAAACCAACAGATCGCGCGGGAGTCGTAGGCAACTGCGCCTCTATCTCCCCTGAAGTCCCTTGCCAAGACGGACCCCTCAGCGAATGATCGTGGCGCCGCCGTTGCTTGCTCGAAACTCTAAAAGCTTAAAGTGCTTCGAAAAAAGGCCCGAGGCGGCTGTGTGGACTATTCTTGGGGGAGGCTCACGCGCGTCTTTGCCTCTTTCTTACGTGTTTCGCACATCTGATCTTGTGTGGCCCAGTGTCTCATACGAGTCTTGGTGATTGACGTGTACGTGGTTGACTGTCGTTATGTTGCTAGTATACGCCATGAAGCAAACTCGAAACAGATAGACGACCTTGCCGAACAAAAGAAAAGAAACCCATCTCAACTCTTCCATCCACTACAACACCGCAGCAGTGCCCAACGTGGCAATCTGCTCCGGAACAACACCCACCCTCTCCTTCGCCAGCAGATCCACAAGCAACGGATTGGGCCGGTTGTCCTTGCCTCCCTTCAGCACATCGTTCGACTCCTTGTAAGCCTTGACGCTATCCAGATACGCATCGAACAGGTAGCTGCTGTCTAGTGGCCCACCTTTAGCTTCAGGATGGAACTGCGTGCTGAAGATCGGGCGCGACTTGTGGATCACGCCTTCGTTGCTGCCATCGTTGAGGTTAGTGAAGTACTCTTTGAACTCCGCCGGTAGAGTCTCCGGGTCGACGGCGTAGCCGTGGTTCTGGCTGGTAATGTGGCATTTGCCTGTGCTGAGGTCGAGCGCGGGAATGTTGTGTGCGCGATTGCCGTACTTCATCTTCGTCGTCTTGGCCCCGGCTGCAATGGCCACCAGTTGGTGTCCGAGGCAGATGCCCATGATGGGGATCTGAGAGGTGTCCATGAGTTTGCGCAGGTTGTCGGACGTGGAGCGGCAGTGCGTCGGGTCTCCCGGGCCGTTGGAGATGAAGACGCCGTCGAAATGGTGAGCGGTTTTGTGGATCGGGTAGTCGTAGGGCAGACACGTGACGCTCGCACCTCGCGAAACGATACTGCGAAGGATGTTCTCCTTCACGCCGCAATCGATCAGGGCGATATGCGCATCGCCGTTGGGTGACGGCACGTGGAAGGGCGCCTTGGTAGACACCTTCTTTACCAGATTGATACTCGCCGGATCCTCGTAGGCCTCGTCTTCGTCTGCATCGTACTCCTCTCCCACCGTGATCTTGCCAAGCGACGATCCCTGCTCTCGCAGATACGTGACAATCGCACGCGTGTCGACACCAGAGATGGCCGGGACGCCCTCCCGAATGCACCACTGCGCGAGACTCTCCACCGCGGTCCAGTGCGAGTACTGCAACGCCACATCCGCGACAACAATGCCGCAAGCTTGGATGTTGGGACTCTCAAAGTACCTCAGCAGTCCGTAGTCATCTCTCGCAGCACTCGGCACGCCATAGTTCCCAATCAATGGCTGGGTAAACACCAGAATCTGGCCGCGATAAGACGGATCCGTCATAGATTCCGGGTATCCAACCAACGAGGTGGTAAAGACCGCCTCACCACTGATATTCGCCTTGGCTCCGAAACTCTTGCCGTGATAGATGGGGCCATCACGAATGGTGAAAGTGGCCGGCTCGTCCAATGGCGGGATGGCGCGAGCGCGACGAGTGGAAGGTGGAGGGGGAGCTCGCACGCTGTTGTTGACGACCGTGGCGTTGAATCGGGCTTGCGTGACGCCGACGGGCTTCCTCAAGAGGTTGAGGTGTGCTCGCATTATTGGCTGCTTGCCAATGCGAGGCAATAGGGTAGTTGTCATGTTGATTTGTTCAGAGGGGTGTGGTCTTTCGTTAATTCACAGACGCTTTCCAAAGGTGGTCTGAGATGTAGTCTGCATGCATGTCGTCAATTAGCTAATGTCGGGTAGATGCATTGGGCATCATATCGCCCTTTTTCGCCCTTGGTGGAGCTGGCGATAGTGCTTTCAAGGGAAAGGGCGGGAGCTCACCTTGCGAAGTGAAGGTCGTAGGAGCAAACGTCATGAAGCCAGTCGTGCGGATGTCAGCCCAATGGCAGGAAGAGAGGGAGTCAGCTGGAGCTCATGAGCGAGCAATGGGGCAGCTGGAGGGTATGATGGAGGATGGTGACTGTTATCAGAAGAATCGGGATGAGGATGATTCAATGTCGTGAGTAAAAGCTTATCTGCCGATTTCGGTGGGGGAAGAAAGTCGTGGGACAATGACCTCACCCAGTGTTTCCCGTGTGCAATGGTGGCCACGTTAATTCATGGCATAGTCGATTTCAAAACGAGATATGGAAGAGCATAACAATTCGTAGGTCATGATCACATATCGGCAAGCACTCCAGGATGAGTGTGCCAACTCGTCATCATCCCTCCTCCGGCACCTCCCCGCCCGCAACTTCTGCCTCCTTCGCAGCCTTGTCCTTCCGCGCCTTATCCTTCTCCCTCGCACTCTTCTTCAACTCTTCAAACTTCCCCTGATACTTCCGGAGGCTCCTGTCCTGCTTTGCAGCCAAATTCTCCAGCCTCTGCCGCTCCTCTGCTTGACCTTCGACTTGCTTCTCCAGCTGCTGAATGCGTTCCTGCAGCGATGCATCCGGTGCTGCTGCGGTTGCTGTTCCAGGCGGTCGCAGATTGGCCACACTCTGCGTTAATGCAGCGAACGAAGCATCTTGTGCGTGCGCTTCGAATGCAGCCAACCGCACAGCGAGATCCTGTAGGGTCTGCTTGAGCGTTGCGTTTTCGAGATCCAGCTCCTCGTTCGTCTTGGCACTACCAAAGGAGCCCCGCTGGGAAAATCGATTCTGTTTCGGGGATGTCGGGCCTTGCACTTCCTTTGCGTCGACGAATTGGGGCTCATCATCATCAACACTAAGCTCACGTTGCTGATGGCTGCGTGCAATGTCGGCGTACGAGTAGGTTCCGCCACCTTTCTGTACGACGTAGAAGCTCTCTGCGGGACCGAAGCCGTGGCCAAGCGTACCGCGGCGTCGCTGCTCATCTTCGATGGCTTCCAAAGCTGCTTTGGAGAAGATCTTCTTGACATCAGGATCGTTGCTTGCCCTCACTGTCCCCCTGTCCGGTCGATGTTTCACATTCTGCTCCGGCGACGTTTCCTCTGCGGTGAGCGGTAGACCAGCATAGGCCAAGACGGAAGAAAGTTTCGACATCGTGCCCGTAGTGATATTGCTGTAGAACTTCGCAAACCCTTCGTCGTCCGCCATTTTCTTGGCTCGCCTGGCTTGTAGAAGGTCTGCCTGGCTGTCCACGATTGGCGCCGGTATCTGAGTGGTGCTGCGAGTCCGCGGCGTTCGGTTCGCCTCCGGTGACTGTTGTCGCGCCTGCGCCGCTGGGAATTGGACCGTTCTTCCCGGTTGGGGAATACCACGTCGCGAAGCCATCTCACGAGCTAAAGACGGAGAAGAGTCACGTTGCTGGCTGCCAACGCGAGTGCTCGCCAAGCTGGGAGCGGACTGCCGCGTTTTCGTTGCGGCGTTTGCGGGGTCCGGAGATGTTGCTTTAGTGGTCGATTCTCCAGGCTGTGACCCCGACGCTACCGTCTTCGCAGTATCCTGTGGCACTTCAGGCTGCGAAGTTTCCTCATTCCGAATAATCTGCGCGAGTTTACGATGCTGCTCTTCCAGCAGTTTCAACACTCGGAGAGCCTACAAGACGTTAGCGATCCTCTAAACGAGGCGAGCTTGACGCTCAAAATACCTCTGAATCAGTTGTGCCTCTTGATGCGCGAGCAAAGTCCGACGAGGCGAGTTTATGCTCGTCCGCGGCCTGCGACCGATGCGCCTTTTGGAACTCTTGTGCCGCTCGGTGAGCGTGGTTATGCGCCTGGCGAATGTTAGAGGGACGATAATCTTGGAGACTGGGATGGACCCTCTTACACTGGTGAGTGGCGCTGTCTCCGCCATCGTGAGGTATGGTTATCGGCGCATCGATTCAGTATTCTGCGAGGCTGTGGTCCAGCAATGAACGATGTGACGGAGGGGATGTTGGAGACGAGCACGGGCCTCTTTCTGCGCGTGGCTCCTTCCTCAGATCCCCCGCAAACATTCCGCACTTCACGTCTCATCACACTCCATGCCAACGGCAGACGTTCATGAAACACAATGAGCACTGACACCAAAGACGCGTGCATTACTATCATTAAACCAACATCACCGCTGTTGTGGCAAATCTCCAATCACACGCGTACAATTCGTTGCCATCTCCGAACTCCCTGCCAGGATAAGCCGCCGGTCGTTTCCAACACCGCGCACCGCATCCAACTCAGGTATCAAACCTCAGACCTTCTGTAGGCGAAGTGACAGTAGCAGGGTTCCCAAAGCCCAGCTGCGATCTCTCCCCGTCCACTCCGTCCAGCGTCAGGCCGTATTGAATGTCTTTCTCGCCAGCCGCAGCAGCCAAATCGTTGCCGTTGGAATTGGAATTGTACTCCGCGAGAAGCGGGGCATTGAAAGCTCTGGCTACTTCGAACGGGGAGAAAGAGACTGGCCGCCCCATTTTCCACCAACCCCAGAAGGTGGGCAAGATTAGAGCGATGCAGATCACCTCCACCACCGCGGCGCCCAGAAAGAACCAGTAATTAGTGCGGTAGACGCTGATATCCCCTATTACTGATCCGACCGCCGTATTTTCCGTTGACAACCCAGCATCCAACCGATCCTCCAGGTACTGTAAACTTTCCTGTGCTGCTGCCGCGCCAAAGTAAAACATCAATTTGTTCATCGAGTTGACAATGGTGTCGTAGGGATCTCGGTATGAGTAGCATCCCCCTTCACTGTTGTTGTGGAAGGTCGACTGGAAGGTTAGTACTGTAGGCAGGTTGTTGTTGATGTACTCTATTTGATGGTCTTGGGTGTAGTACGCTGCAAAGCTCTCCCACAAGACAATCACAAGAGCTGCCACCCCACCCAAGGTGGATGGGTACGCCAGTTCTGCAGTCGACCAGGTGTGGTCGGTCGCACTATTGTTCGCGTATGCCACAAACTCGGGGTTGGCCAAGTCTGTCATGATTATGTTGTCGTTTTGTATCAAAACACTGTATTCGCCAATTCCCGGGACAAACGAACACACTTTCCACCGGAATGTGCCCGTACAGTCATCATCTAGTGTTGCAAAGCCAGTGATGAGGTTGATGGCTTCATCTGGCCCCGTCAACAAGCTTGGGTTTATCACGAGGCCTTGCGCCGCGAGAGGCGCCGCGATGTCGAAAGCTTGGGCGGCGCTCACATTGTATTGGATGTGCACGTCGGAGGAGACCTCATGCACCTTACAAGCAAAGGGAAACAAAGCAGGCGCTCGAATCTTAGCCTGACATCCACCAGGACAACCGCTTACAGCGCCAGGAATGGGTGCTGAGTTGGCAAATTGCGGCAAAGCGGAGGTTCGATTCGGATAGGCATCCGGTGCGATGTGATTTGAGCTGCTGCCGTCAACGGTCGGAACAGTTGCGTTGAACGCATTCGAAGTGCGGACGAATGCAGTGCCGAGATCGCTGTCGGGTATCCAGATGCCAGTGAATCCTCGGGGTAGTTCAGGAGCCATCGAAACACTCAAAGGCACGGTAGCGGTGTTAGGTATCGTAACAGTGGTCGATGCACGCTGGAGTAGTGGACCGTCAATGACAACAATAGTTGCGAAGATGCAAGCGAGTCCCAGCAGGCCGGTGCGGCGGCCAGCAGCGAGTGCTCCTGTCCAAGGCACTGTTAGCATTGAGTTCTGCAGCCAAGGCTCGGGTTAATAACTCACCGCGTAGCATTGTGCCCGCACGCCAATCGGAGTGGAGTTTGGCGATCGTGCTGCCTTTTCGAGCTCTGCTCCACCACGCGATAATCACTCCTTGCGTCGCAGCATATCGTACCGATAAGTTTGCGATAGCAGTAAAAATGGCAAGATATGTGGACGGAGGGGCAGTCCAGCTGTTGACATTTTCTCCGTCAGAGCCAACCAATACTCCAAGAGACGCAACGAGAGATGCGGCGGCCAGTAGCAGACCGAGAAGACCCGAAAGCGGCCCAAAGCGAAGCCACGAGGAGTGCCATGGCCGAGGCGGTGTCCTGGAAGAGTCTGGACGAATGACCTCGGCCACCGTGTTATTCCATGAGGGCCCGGACTGCTCAGAGATGGGTGATGTGGCACTCAAAGATGTGGACCGTATGGACTCGTCATCAACAATGGCCAACTGCTTCAGGCTCTCGGCTTCGGCTATCTTGCTGGTTTCCAGAGAGATGCGGTCCACCGTTGGAGGATCTGCGTGGGGGGAGATCATGACGACGTGCGTGCTGTTGGCTGTCGTTGTCGTTGTCGATGTTAGCACTGTTTGCGGTGTTTGATGCTATTGCAAGCTCGTAAAGGGTGTTGTTGGTGCTGAATGTGAGTGATTTGCGCGGGAATAGTAAAAGACTTCAGATAGCATCGGCGAGCGGCGAAGGAGGATGGGTGCAATTGATCGCTAAAAGCCCGGTGTTCTGACGGCATTCTCTCACGAGGAATTCCTGCTACTTGTAGGAGGTCGAGGGAAGGCTGTCGATAGCATATGGCCCCGCCATGTCGAAGCGTGCCCTACATGTTCCGCATTCGATGAGGCTTGGAGTTCCGTAATCAGTGGCGCAAACGCCATAAGAGTACGGCCATTCTCACAGCTAAATCGAGGAGGTATAGCCTATCGTCCATGGTTACAGTTGTGGCTGAATGGAGAACGAAACGAGCCGCTTATCAGAGCAGGCTGCGTTTCAAGGTTCAGCCACGCCTGCGCGCAATACGATCGCAAGCAGCGGGCACAGGTCGGATTCGGTCAAGCTGGGCTTGTTGTTTCTCCCGCTGCAGCCATCTTGACCGAGCACGCCGTAGCCCCGGGTCTGCGAGGCTTGGAACAGAGTCCAGTCGGTTCGACACACCGCGCAGGCTAATTTTCGCCTCGAGGCTGGAGCGTATGATGAGACACTCACCGACCTATCAAGCCAGAACCTCAAGCTACGAAAGGCCGATCGAGCACGTGGCCATTTCCGACATTGACCAATCTGCTTCAACAAGAGTAACGCTTGCAGGCAGCGCCGCCATTTCCGAGCGGTCCAGACTCCTCGGGTTCGCTAGCAATGCATGGCACGTAGTCAACATAAGTCAGCACTTGAGCACCACCGGCATGCCGTCTGCGGTACTTGTAGGGAAGTCTTCCGGCCGTGAGCACTCGCGCTAGTGATTGCACTCGCGCGTCCCGCGATTTATAAGCTGGACCGCCTTTCGTGACTGGAGCCTGCACGCGGACATCTTCCGATACCACCATACCCTAACGTCGCTCGATACGTGTCTGGTGACGTCGCATGCACGGGGTGGGACGGGATTGAAGCTTTCGCCACAAGATTGAGAAAAGATGTTTCGTCAGGCCACATGCACAGTGATGGGGATATCCTAAGTCGAGACATGAAGTTGGATGAAGCTGCGTGCATGTTTGGCCTGAGGCAGAAACTGTCTCTCGTCTCCACCTCCGACTCCGGCTCCACTCCTTCTACTGTATCACAACGTCAAGCTATGATGCCATTGTTGCAGAGCGATGTGCAATCTTCCTGAGATGTTGTCGACCACTAGCATTTGTTGCGTAATACCTGCCTCAAGCTTGCTGGGAAATAGATCTGCCAAGTCCAAGCTCTCCTGTTGATCGCCACCTGCGCCAAGCTTCCCAGTTCAGGAGTCAACATCATCGATGCCTTGAACCGGCACCAACTTCATCTCTGGCCATTGGACAACTCCTCCGGGAGAAGATGGTGTGAGAAGCATCGCCAGCAGTTGTTGAGCAGCCGCTCCGAGGTTGACGGTCATCATCACAATGCCGTCCCCTTCCCCGCGCAGGGGCTTATCGAAACTGCGCCGCAATCAGGACAGCGGCAACGACTCCACCAAGTCCCTCGCCGAAAGCTCGACAAGCGATGAGCCTGGTCCAGAGCCTTCCCTCCATACGACTTTGTCCGATGGCACCGCCAAACTTCGCGAACGGTTAAGGCGCAAATCGGTTGATGATCGGCGGAACAGCGGCGACTCCGGTAATCGATTGTCCAACCTGATGACTCGGCGCCGAAGCAAATCAAAGAAGACCGCGTCAGATAGTCTGAACCGCGAGCTCAGTGTCGACTCGGCGACTGGCAATCTATCTCGCAATCATTCATCTACCTCCCTCGGCCTGGATGACAGCGGCCGAAGCAGTCTACTGACAGACGATGAAGCGGAACATGACGGGTGAGTGCACTCATATTCCTACTATGCTCTTTGTGCTCGCATGTACCGCCCAGTGCCATTGGTCTTGCTCGCGTGGCAGCCATATCCTCGTGGCCCGTCACGCGTACGACTGCCCGCCAAGCACGACCCTCGGCTGGAGCCGAAAGGTCCGGGAAAGTCTAAAGCGAACCGGCGGAAACTCTGACATCGTCGTCCGCATCCGCGTCAACCTGTTGCAGCAATACAGCACGCACCACTTGGCTGCTGACTTTGTCGTTCGCTGTCCCGTGTGCGCCGGTCTCCGCCTTAACACCGTTCTTTATTCCACGTACTGCTATTCGTTGTCTTCCACGCAGCCTGCCATCCATTGGAGCATCCCTGTATTGACATTTCCCCGAACCCAGGAAACCAAAACGTCCACCACTTTCAACGCATGCTTCCCACGCCGGCTACTTGACCCTCTCCGCCCCCGAGATCCCAGCGAATCCCAATCCCGTTGACCCTGCACACCTCGCCTCAGCCCTCTCAACTCCCCCACTTCTACCGAAGCCGAGCACGAATGTCCCCGACGTTATCGAGCCCTACGACATCGAACCCTTTCCGCGGCAGCCCTCTCCTGAGCGAAACACCTCCGATCTGTTGAGAAACGCCATTGGCTTGTCTCAACGAAAAGACAGTTTCGACGCCGATTCTCTCGCATCAGCGTCGTCAAGCAGAAACAATAGCGTGGACATTCAGGAGCGCATACCTTCCGAGAAGGCGGTACCACCCGCTGCGACCCAGGAAACAAAGACCCCTCGACGCTCGCAGATCGAGACGTCTGTTCGACCAGCAACACCCCCAAGCCTGACCGCGACCCCTACCACCTTCGTGACCCCGCCCACTCCCACCGATCCTCTCGCCGACGCTCCCACTTTTGCTCCGCGGGCCTTTCAACGCTCTGCACGGGAAACCTCACCTACCAGGGACAGCGTTCGTGGTCGGCGTATCAACATCCCCAGCAAGCTCTCCCAATCCATACCCGCCCCTCTCACACCCACGGTCGAAGAGACCAAGACTCCGGGTGGCACACTTGCTCAGAACACGAACGCCACCGGCTTCTTCTCAAGTGTGTTTACCGCTGCGCAAAAAGCCGCCGACTCGCTCAGTCACTCTATTGCCTCGAGCCCAAAGAAGGTTAATTCCCCCGAACAAGCTCGGGCAGGAGGGGGAGGAGAAGCAGTGCATACTGGAGACAGCCAGAGAGGACTGGAAGGAACTGGCGAGATTAAACCACCGGCGGCAGTCCACACACTGGGAAGCGGGGATCTGAATTTCGGTCATCTTGGTTTAGCGGAGCACAGCAGTGAGCCGAGTCCGATGAACTCCTCGCCCAATCTTGCGCTGCAAAACGGATTCTCGCAATGGGACGATGACACCCACCACAAGGCGGAAGAGGAGGCGGCAGCTCGCGCTGTGTCCGAAGCCTACCATGAGCCAGTCGAAGGGGCGTTGAGCCGAGCGTTGAACGGGCGGCCACTGTCCATTGCTTCGAATGAACGTCTTACCCTTGGTGGCGAGCATGCCCTTCCCAAGCCTGGTGCGGATGCAGATTCACTTCAGTCACTCCAGCGTTCGGGAAGTGTCAGGAGTAGGCTCAGTGGCCGACGGCGACGGAGAGGTACTTCAGCCACAGCCGGCACGGTGGGCACGGCGGGCACCACCAATACTATAGCTGCAGGTATCTCGGCTTCAGCGGGTGGCTTGGGAAATCTATCTGCTACTCCCGCCGGTCGTCGGTTGACAGGATTCGCGGTCGCCAGCAACAAACGAAACAAGGACTTTCACCAGTTGTTTCGGAGTGTGCCAGACGATGACTACCTGATTGAAGACTACAGTGCAGCATTGCAGCGCGACATTCTGCTTCATGGGCGGTTATACGTCTCCGAAGGCCACATTTGCTTCTCCAGCAACATCCTCGGCTGGGTGACCAATCTCGTCATCAGCTTCGACGAGGTGGTGTCGGTGGAGAAGAAGAGCACGGCCGTCATCTTTCCCAACGCGATCGTCATTGCAACATCGAACGCTCGGAATACGTTTGCCAGCTTTGTCGCTCGAGACTCGACGTATGAGCTCCTCATTGGCATTTGGAAAATCAGTCATCCGAATCTGAAGAGCTCGTTGAATGGCGTTACACTGGACAACGCTGGTACCGGCGATAAGACCGAAGTCGCCGGGCCGGACGATGGTTCTGAAGATGGCTCCGGCTCGGCATCAGATGACGAAGTATATGATGAAGACGAAGAAGACGAAGATGGAAGTTTTGATGATGCTGCATATTCGCGCAGTATAGCTGGGAGCGATCGGGGTGAGAGGACAATCAGCCGACAGCCCTCCAACGCGCCGCTTCCAGGTACCAGTCAAACGAACGGATCGGTTCCCAAACCGGTCGAAAATGCCGATGCGTCCACTGCAACAGCAGCTGGCAGTGCCGATTCTCCTGGCCCAACCACACACGAACCCACGCAATGCTCCGACGGCGCCGAACACTACGACCGACCACTGGTCGACACCACCATCCCTGCCCCTCTCGGCAAAATCTACTCCTTGGTCTTCGGGCCGGCATCCTTGACCTTTATGAAGAAATGGCATATCGAAGACCAGAAATCCCGAGACCTCAACTTCTCCGACACCCCGCTCGATAATGAGCACAAAACGGTGACGTTCGACTACATCAAACCGCTCAACGCCCCCGTGGGCCCGAAGCAGACGAAATGCATCACCACGTACAATCTGGTGGCTTTTGATTTGGAGAAGGCGGTGACGGTAGACTGCAGCACGCAGACGCCCGACGTACCCAGTGGCGGCGTCTTTTCCACAAAAACGCGGTACTGCTTGATGTGGGGGCCTGACAACTCTACCCGCATGATTGCGAATTGCACGGTCGAGTGGACGGGGAAGAGTTGGTTGAAAGGTTTGTTATTGACACCTGGTGATTGGATTTCAGTTAGGCTAACTTTCCCAAGGCCCCATTGAAACCGGCGCAAATAACGGCCAAATCGAATTTACGAAGAGTCTTGTCGCCGCGCTACGAGCAGCCGTCTCGACGAAATCGCCCACCAAGGTCGCAGCAGCAGGCAAAAAGGGCAAACGAAAAGGCAAGAAAGAAGTCTCGGACGGCGAAGGCGCAAGCGATGCCCGAAACGCCGCCGCCGTGGCCGCCGAGCAAAAGCCTTCAGACTGGGGCCTCTTCGAACCCCTGCATACCCTTCTCCGACCCCTCATCCACATCTTCGGCCCGTTCATGACGGCCCAGACGGTTGTGGCGGTGTTGCTCGCGCTGCTGCTGTACACCTGGTTCAACCCTCCGCTCCGCAGCAAGGGTCTGGACTCGCGCTTCCCAGCCTACACCTCGCCACAACGCTTAGCCGCCTACGAGGAGCTCTGGCGCAGAGAAGAAAGCAGTCTATGGGACTGGCTAGAAGACCGCGCAGGCCTGGACGGCGTGTACGGTGCTATGGGCGGCAAGACAGGGGGAGACGATCGGCGCGATAGACAGCGGGTTCTGGCTGCGCGGGATATGGGGAAGCGCTTGGATGATGAGGGTATGAGTGAACGGCAGATTGACGAGGCGATTCGCGTTACGCATGAGCGGTTGGAGGCGCTGCGAGAGGCTGTTGCCAGGAAGAAGGAGAGAGTGGGGAAGAAGGCGAGGTGAGAGGGCAGCCGAGCGCTGGTTTGGGGTGCTTTTCGTCGTCAAGCGTGGAAAGAACGAACGCAGGCAGCCAAGCCAAGCCAAGGATCAAAGGCGAAGTGCGAACTGTACATCACTGGCCCGCGAACCTGACCGGTCAAGTGCTGGGTTCCCGGACACATCATGGGGCCAAAATGATGAGGCAGAGGACTTGAGTACTGCGCCGCTATGAGTACCAATTCTCTTGGTCATCTGAATTTCACGAGCGACTGAACGTTGCACAAGGGCGTATGCATCATACCCAAAATTGCCGGAAACTTCACCCAAGCCGGCTATGACGAATGAGACTGCACAGTACACCTGCTGTGTGTCGTCTCACAGCAGCTAGAGATATAGAGCCGGAATGATTCCCCGCGAAGCTTTTCGAGGCCTCTGTGGACTTCACATGTTGGACAATCGATGATATGTTTCGGAGAACGCTCCGACTTTTCTGTTAGGTGTGGGTTTTCTTGACCTGAAGCCAAAGTCGTCAATATGCGCACCTTGCAGTCTTTGACGAGTGGATTTATTCAAGGAAAACGGTCTAGCAGACTGGAAGAGGCCCCGCGGATGTAAGAATGTTGCGTACACTGGGCCAACACGGAGGCCGTTGCTCGTCGCCTTGCGGCCCAATTTATGAGTCTCCTCACCTGGAGAGCATTGCGGTGACCACTAAATTCAAAGACTGAACCAATCTTCTGCAATGGATTGCGCCCTCGAAGCACATGTGACTTTTCGTTTTGGCGTACTGCATCCCGCGAGGCTGAGACGAGATGCATCGAGATTGCATGCAGAAGAGATCGAGGTAACGACCGGTCATGTCTTTCTTCCCCATCGGCAGAGCGAGGTTCGCCGTGTACGAAAGAGGCAGGTTATAAGTAAAACCATTGCCATTCGCCGTCATGTGATGAGTCCAGCCTCTTCAGTGCGGACCAAAGGAGCTCTTTCTCTCAGCCTTCATGACACCACATTCCGAGTGTCTGGATGTCATTTGTGGGTATCTACAAGCTCGGCAGGCAACATCGTTCCCCGCTCGTTAGATCCGGTCGGAGATGGTTCGCTGTGGACAGCTTAAAGCAAGATAAAGCAGCCTCGACGCGAACAACACAAACGAAGTGCGAACCGTCGCTGACGTGCCGGCTTTGCGGTCCGTTGGGGCCGCCGCACACTGCATCCTTCGTGCAGATGCTGCTTCCGCGAGCAGGACATGTTATATCCTCCTCGCGATTCCCTCAAGCAGGAGTGCGATCGTGTAGTTTCGATAGCAGTTCTTCCTGCGTTGCCCGTGACGCCCGATTGTTTCATTCTTTCAACAACGGCGTGGCGGGCGTGAGCGGATGGCCGTCAGCTTATTCGGGAAATTGGACACTGAGACATCCCGAATTCCCAGCCCGTCACATTTGCTTACCCTCTCCCCCTGGACAGCACGTCGTATGCTCATCCCACTCACTCGATAAGTATCGCAAGGGAAGCAGTGAGGAAAAGTGAGTGGGAGAGCGCCAAGGGGTCAGCGCACCATCACTCTAGGCTTCGGGACTTATCGGCTGCCGCCTGGCGAAATTCGCCGCCTCTTCCGAACGTCGGGCATATATCGGCCGTCTTTGCTGCCACTGCCTTCCATCCTGCGCGACCGCACTCATCTTGGTTGATGGACCAGTTCAGGCGGCTGCGTTCCCACGATGGCACTACCGAAGCGTCATGGTCTTCGAAGGCGCGGACTCAACCCGAGGCCTTCTTTCGTGATTGTTCCACGGGCACCCCAACCGGCTTGACTTCGTACGTCAACGGCACCTTATTCATGCGCAATGCGATGATCTAATTTATTTCTTGCAGGAAAAGTGGTATCTTCAATCCTGCCATCGTTGACAGCCCTCGAATGGGCAGTCCTGTGTCTTTTGCTGGACCGGCATTCAAGTGCGACAATCGGCCGCCCAGGACTTTCTATCATCCACTGCGAGCATCACCTGATGCCACCACAGCAGTTCATCTCGAGGACTTGACTCTCGACACGGCTGATGGCGACCGCTCGCGGCTCCCGTCGTGTGCGGTAGAGTCGGCAGTGGCGACGCCTTCGCACTCCGTGAAGCGCACACGGGCAACCTCCAGCCCGCATCGACGTTGCAGTAGACGTCTTGATGCGCCGCGTGGACATGAACAGCCTGCTGATCCCTGCACGCGCGGCACGCGCAAGAGCAAAGTCCGGCCACCCGCTTCCCAGAATGTAGGCTCCAGCCAGTCGCAGTATGGACGTCAGACCAAATATGACCGGATACCCGGTGGCCTGCCGGCCTGCAGCGCCGCGAAACCATTTACTCCCGGACCAAGGGACTCGGGCTACGAGTCTCATCACGAACCTGCTTCTTTTCCCACAGCGCCCAGTTCTTTGTCATGTGTCCACGAGACCGTCCCTCATGAACAGTGCCCTCCAGAATACAACGGCCTCTCCCCGGGTAAGGGTCAATACAACATGGCACCCCAACCCCCAATCACTCCAATCACAAAAGTGCAACTGGCAGCCGAGATCAAAGGAATCTACGCCGCCCTCGTCCAAGTAGAAGCCAGATGCATCAAGATCCACAACGACCAGGCCAAGGATCCGGACTCGGAGCTGAGCGCGGAGCAGCTGCAAGCATTGATCGGTCTACAGCGCACGCTCCTCTACGAGCATTACGACTTCCTCGTTGCCACGCAGCACTCGGCCGCTACATCGACGCTGAAAGGACTGCCGGCAAAATACAGCATGCCTGCGCGCATGTGGCGCCATGGCATTCATGCCTTCCTCGAGGTGTTGCGTGTCCGACGGCCGCACTCGCAGGAGTATATGTTGTCGTTCATCGGGCTCGCATATCAGATGATGACGCTTTTGTACGAGACCGTGAAGTTGTTTGAGGACACTTGGATCGAGTGCTTGGGCGACTTGGCGCGATATCGGATGGCGATCGAGGAGCACCGCGAGGGCCATTACATCTGGGGAGGCGTCGCAGGTGCGTTATACGATCCTCTAAATTGAAGCGTTTTACTAATAGTGTCTTGCAGCGTGGTGGTATCGACTCGAATCTGACCAACACCCCGAGGTTGGAAGGCTGTACCATCATCTCGGCATACTGGAATCTCCGAGCCTACGCAAGTTCTCCCTCTACTCCAGAGCTCTCACCAGCCAGAAACCGTTTTACAACGCCCGAGACTCCCTGACCACGCTGTGCACCCCAATCATGCAAGGCGAGACCCCCAGCTACAAGGTCGCCGACTCCTCTGCTCAAATTGCCCTCCTCAAATTTCATGCCTCCGTCTATTCAAAGTGTAACGAGGATGAACTACGCGTCGCCGCTCGCAAAGCTTTGTCCTTGCTCGAGCACGACTCCACGACCGAAATCCGAAAATACGGCGTCGAACTAGTCGTCAGCAACATCGCCGCGCTCCTCGAACTCGGCACTCCGCAGAACCACCTCTGGCAAGCCTTCAGCCACGCTTTCCACGACTCCAAAAATGACATCTACCCACCCGACCTTGCGTCTTGCGCCAGCCTTTCGCCCACCCAAGCACCCCCGCCCGTGTTCGACTTTGTCTACTCAGCCTTCAACCTCCTCCTCCACCGCGCGACTACCTCCACTTCCAACCTTTGCGACCTCCTACCCACAATCCACGCCATTCTCCTCTGGCTCCACAGCCTCCTCACCCTGCAACAAACCCCCAGTGCTCCACCGCCGACAGCCTCCACCACCCATGATGCGCCACCAGACAATACGAGCAGTCTGTTCTTGCAACCAGAGTCCTTCTCCTGGGGTAGACTAAGCAGCATCCTCAACGCGACGGCGCGCATCAGCACCAGCACCGCGACGCAACCCATCAGCGACCGCACCGTCGAGCTCGCGCGCCAAATGCGGTTTCCAGAGCACTCCAAACCTTTACCGGAGGACTTCACTTTCCGCGGCTTGAACTGGCTTTCGCAGAAGTACTACCCTTCGTCCACCACGTACTTCCCCAAAGATGTAAATGACGGAACGCGGTACGATGAGAATGAGACAGTGGCGCAAGCGCGGGTTGAGAGGATCCATTGGTTGGGCATCTGCATCGCGCAGCGAAGCGAGTGTCTTCGCTTCGATTGGGAGGAGCGGGTGTTTTGCGTTGCAGAGGGGATTCCGGCGCCGGCGATGGAGGGCACGGAGCACGACGTGCAGCAGTTGGCCGGGGTGACGTCGAATGACGACGGAGGAGAGGGAGAGGCTGTGCACGGCTCGACGCCGCCCACGTCTTCCACGCCTTCGGAATACTCTGATTCCGAGGGGTATGGCGTGGTAGTAGCGAGCAAGACGCGCTCGAGCAAAGCACGCGGCAAACGAGCACAGCAGCCATCCCCACCTGCGAAAAGTAAAAGTAACGACAGCGAAGACTTGCAAGGGGAAAAGGAAGGAGAGGGACAACACGGCCGACAACAACAACATCAGAATCCGCTTTTCTCACGTTCTTCTCACGACGCGGAACACCAGCACCACCACCAACACCAATCTCGAATACGAATGCAGTGACTCCGGACGATGAGCGGCTATCTAACGTAAGGTGAGGTAGTCGCGACATCGCGAGGGGGCAATTTTCGCGGCGTGCGCGGAGATTGGCGGTGGTGGAGGCAGTGTTCCGCGATAAAAGCGCTTTCAAGCATATTACACCCATCTACTTCATGCACACAACTTAGCTCAAGACTGCAAGAGAAGCTAGGCTTTCGGTAGTCAAGATCGATTGCAATATCCTTCACTCCTAACTCATCGACCAGCACCGCCAGTAGCGAAGCGCCTCATCCGCTCCTCCGCCGCCCGCGCCCTCTTCTCCCTCTCCAACTTCACCCTCATCTCCTCGCTCATGCCCTTCGCCTCCTCCCTCCGTCTTTCTTCGGCAGTCATGGCAAGCACCCTCGCCTTCCCTCCATTCTCAAGCACATTCCCCCTCCCAAACCGCGCATCTTTCTTCTCCGCGTCCGCTTCCCTTAGCCGCCGCACCTCCGCCTCGCGCCGCGCCTTCTCCGCCGCGTCTTCAGCCGCTTTATCCTGCGCTTCGCGGGCGGAGCGCGCCTCGACGTCCGATGGCGATAGTGCGGGCGCAACACCGGCTGCATCCCAGGGCCACTTTTCTTCGCCTAGCTGGTGGCGCGCGAGGCGGAAAGCGTCGCGGGAGGGTCTGTCGCCTGCGATGTCGAAGGGGGATTTCTCTTCCTGGTTGCGGATTGTGGGGTCTGCGTTTGCTTTTAGGAGGAGGGCGGTGATGCAGGGTGGGGAGTTGAGGGAGGAGGCGAGGTGCAGGGGTGTGGGGGCATGGTGGTGCGCTTCTTGGGGGTGGAAGGGGAAGTTGGGGGAGAGGGTGTTTGTTTGGAGGTAGGTGAGGAGGGCGGGGGCTTTGGAGCGGCGGATTAGGGCTTGAAGTTGAGTTGTGTGGTGTGTGGCTTCTTCTTCTGCTTTGCTGGGCTTGGGTTGGGTGGCTTTGGAGGGTGGTGGGGTTGATGGTGGTTTGTAGGCTGCTGCTGCTGCCGCGGCGGCTTCTTCTTCCGCTTGCTTGGCCAGAGCTGCTTCGTCGATGGTGCTGACTTTTACTCGGGTGAGTTCGACAAAGGCGCGCATGAGCTCGGCTTGGGTTGCTCTGCGGGTGTTGAAGGGGAAGCCGCGGATGCGGTCGTCTCTGGAGGACAAGACCTGGGCTTCGTATGGCCCAAACAGAGTGCGACGATTGGTGGTGCCGCTCGCTCGGATGAAGAGCAGATCCGCCGAGTCGATGAGTTGCTTCCATTGTGCCAGCAGCTCTCGAACTTCCAGCGTCAGCGCGACTTCGTTGTGTCGGCGGATGCTGGAGCCGGCGGAATGTGCGTTTCCCTTCGAATTGTCGTTGGCGGATTGTGAGCCGCCCTGCTTTCGTCGAGTGGTGTATCGATGGAAGGTCTTGTGCGCGATGACCGTCGCCGAGCGATCCTCCACACCATTCTTCTTTGTCAATTTCGGAGTGAGGGAGACGAGCATGGCGGCAAAATGACCGCCACCGATCATGCAGAGGAAGTAGTGTGGTCCGGAGGCACTGGTGCCTTGTTGAAGCATGCTTGGTGGGAGAGCTACGCCACCTTCATCGTCGTCCGCGGGTGCTTTTCGCTGCTTTGGGGGTGGTTTTGGCGAGAGCTGTTTCTGCTTGATCGTTTCCGGGAGTGTTTCTGGCTGGGCTTGTTCTTTTGTCGAGAAGATGGCTCGGTAGACGCCGAGAGAGGTGTTTGGAGGTAGTGTGGAGGACGTGAACCAGATCAACGGGGGGACGCCACTGCCCTTCTTCCTCTTACTTGCCGGGGCATCCTCGGCGTCTCCATCTGCCAACTTTGCCTGGCGTTTGAGCAATGCGCTGAGGGTGGTGTCTTTGGTGCCATTCGCATCGTTCGTGTCCGACTCATCCGACTCGGTGGTGTCCGAACCCGAGATGCTCTCATCGAGCTCGCCAACCAATCGTTCAAACTCTTGCTCAGTGACTGGCTTGCGTGCGCGCATCTTTTGCTTGAGATTGTAGCCATGCAGATCGGAGCGCACATGGTTGCGCTGGTCTTGAAGAGTGGCGAAGGAGAGGCTGCAGAGGGAGCAGGAGGTGGCGGAGACTGTGGTGGCATCTTGGGATGGTGACGGCGACTGTGAAGGGGTGGATGGGGCAGAAGAGTCGGGTGCAGGTGCTGCGGTTGGCTGGAGTTTGAGTTGGAGCGTGTAGAGCAGCTCTTCTGGTAGGTCGAAGAGGTACAGAGGGCGTTGGGGCGGCTGCTGCTGCTGCTCCCCTTTGCTCGCCATCACGGTCGACACCAAGGTTGGTCTGACAGCGGGTGAATAATTCCAGAAGGACATATAAATGGGATGGTGACGATGTAGTCATGCACCTCGCTCGCCAATTCTAGCCTTCGCGTGGTGCGGATGTGGGGCGACGACCTTGATGTCCACCCTTCACGCCTTCCTCCACGCCTCACGCCTCGCAAGCCTCTCTTCACTCCATTCCACCGACGCGCATCTTCTTTATATCTTATCCAAGAGCGAATACATCCTCCTAATCTGGTGATTCCGTCTTCATTCTCGCCGCCAAAGTCGACATCACGAGGTTGCCGGATATCTGTGGCGCAGAGAGAGTGTGGCGGTGCAGCGGAAGTTTGGGATGAAGTCGAGTGCAGCAGACAAATTCCACGACATAGTGACGAGTGCTTGAGTCGGAGGAGTGGTCGGCAGTCTTCAGAAGAGGGCGTGTGCATCAACATGCCTCTCTCCAACGATGAGCGAGGATGGGTGATGACCTGCTTAAGCGGGATCGGTGAGTCTTGTCCTCTATCTTTACGATCCATTCATGCATGCACGAAGCCAATCCACAACTAACCACTTCCCCCTCGCAGCATGTGTTGTTGGAGCGTCCATCATCTGCATCGACATCCTCATCCGCCAGTTCCCCGGCAAACGAGGCTTTCGCATCCAGGACAGCGATGTCTTCCTCAGCTCCTCCCTCAGTCTCAGCTTTGGGGTGATGGTATGTGCATCCTCCTCTACCGACCAACATCCCACTGACGCTCCACTGTAGCTCTTCTCAGCGTTGTACAAGATGCTACCCTCGTCAAAAAGCTCTCTCATGAAAGCAGGCTTCACTTCCCAAGAAGCCGCGTGGATCCTGATTGCCTGTTTCCTTGGTGGGGTTATCGGTATTCAGTTCATTACCAACATCCTGCATGGCTTCATGCCAACTCACGCCGTCGATTGCGACCATTCACATGAAGCCGAGGATGGCCATGGCGAAACTAAGCGTGCCGACCAACATCAACGCCCAGGCTCCTCCCTTTCCCGCCGGAAAAGCTCCCTGCCCGGCCACATTTTCCACAACGGCAGCGGTAAAGGCTACCAATCGCGTCAGACCTCTTACTTTACTCCCACCCACTCTCACGCTCAATACGGCCCTACGGAGGAGTCGGAAGACCAGTACTCCACCGTACGACGGCCTTCCCTCCATCAGCGCGTCACCAACAAGCTATCTCAACTCAGTCTCAGCAAGCCCGAATGCGACTCCACCGGCCCATGTCACGGCTTCAGCGATCCTTGTGGTAACGAGTGCTTCAAGAACATCACCGCCCGAGGTGGCTTCCGTGCAATAGGCAGGACGGGATCGACGAAGAAGAAACCCAGCCTTACTCGCATCACCACCGTCGACCCCATCGTCGAGACCGAAACCACCCCGTTACTCGAGCAGATATCCGAGGTGTCCGCACGACCTCACATCCACCACCACCACGACTCCTCCACCCCTGCATCATATCACACCCAAGAGCCAGCCTCTCCCACCCTCGACGACCAGGATCCCCCAACACCCACCCAAGAAACCTCTCCGCCCCCACCCGAACTCCACCATCACCACGTCCCGACCAACGCCTTCCTCTCCATCGGTCTGCAAACCAGCATCGCCATCGCCCTGCACAAGCTTCCCGAAGGCTTCATCACCTACGCCACCAACCACGCCAACCCCTCCCTCGGCGTCTCCGTCTTCCTCGCCCTCTTCATCCATAACATCACCGAGGGCTTCGCCATGGCCCTCCCCCTCTACCTCGCCCTCAACTCCCGCCTGAAAGCCATGCTCATCTCCTTCCTGCTCGGCGGCCTGTCGCAACCCATCGGCGCCGCCGTTGCAGCCGTGTGGTTCAAACTTGCCGGCCGAGGCAACTGGGCGCCTAGCGAGGGCATGTACGGCGGCATGTTTGCCGTTACCGCGGGCATCATGGCGAGCGTGGCGCTGCAGTTGTTCAGCGAGAGTTTGGACTTGACGCATTCGCGCGCGCTGTGCATGTTTGGTGCTTTTGCGGGCATGGGCATTTTGGGGATTTCGAGTGCGCTGACTGCTTGAGGTTGATTGTCATTCCGTTTTGCTTGGAGGCGGTGAGGGAAATTGGATTACATGGTGTTCTTGCATGGGTGTAGCGTTGGTTGTTTTGGATCATGATACATGAGATGAGGATTAAGAATTTTCCAGCATGTTGGTCGGGACACGAGTGACACTGTTATCACAAGGCAGGGAAGCGCACGAATTGCGTCGTTTTGAGCATGTTCCAATTGATCTATATAACTCCAATCTTTTTACTTGCACGAGCCGCCGTGACAAGACTGTTCGTGTGCATCTACCGTCTCACACTCTTGTGTTCGTCGGGCAGAAGGCCACAGTCCCGCTGTCTGTCTCAGGCCATGCAATGCGTCGCCGTCTAAGAGAAGATGGGGATGGGGAAGCCGTACTAAGAAAAAGAAGTCAGTCAGCAATTCATCAAAGTAAAGAGAACAAGAAAAACACTCACGTTCGTAGGGTTGTTGAACCGCAAATCCTTATCCAGCGCCGAAATGCTCTTCAGCTCCGCCTCGCTCATCTCAAACCCGCACACGTCCAAGTTCTGCGCCAGGCGCGTCTGGTTGTTGCTCTTGGGGATGACGGCAATGTTGCGCTGCGTCGACCAGCGCAGCAGCACCTGCGCCGGCGTCTTGCCGTGCTTGGCCGCAATGCCTTTGATCACGTCGTGCTCCATGAGCAGCGGCGTGTCCTGCGCGGACTGCATGTTCATCTCCAGGAAGGACTGCGGGCCGAAGGAGGAGTAGGCGGTGACGGCGATGCCGCGGTTGTGGCACAGGTCGATGAGGTCTTGCTGCACGAGGTAGGGGTGGTGTTCGATTTGCAGGGTTTGCGGGAGGTGCTTGGCGTAGCGCTCGACGTCGAGGATGAGCGCGCCGGTGTAGTTGCTGATGCCGATGGCGCGGATGAGCCCGGCGTCGTAGAGCTCTTCCATGGCGTGGTAGGTGGTTTCCAGGCTCGTCTTGCTGAGCTCGATGGTCTTGTTGTCCTCGATGAAGAAGCCGGGCGGGTAGCGCACCGAAGGATCAACATACTTGAGCGCAATGGGGAAGTGAATGATGAACAGATCAAAGTACTCGAGTCCCCAGTCAGCAAGCTGACGCTTGCAAATCGGCCCCACGCGCTCCTTGTCGTGGAAGGAGTTCCACAGCTTGGAAACGATAAAGAGCTCCTCGCGCTTCACGAGGCCCTCGTCAATGGCGCGCTTGACGCCCTGCCCGGCCTCCTTCTCGTTACCGTAGTCGCACGCGCCGTCGAACAGGCGGTACCCGGTCTTGATGGCGTTGTACACCTGGTCGGCGCAGGTGTCGTTGTTGACTTTCCAGAGCCCGAAGCCGACGAGCGGCATCTGCTTGCCGTTGTTCAGCTTGACGTTGGGGACGGCCATGGTGGCGTAGAAGTTGTGGTTGAGTTTATGGAAGCGGGGGATCGAGAGGGTGCGAGGTTGTTGGAAGACGGGACGAGCGAGTGCTGGTCGGATTGATGAGATGGATGAGAATCTGGTTGCTAATGGGAGAAGTCTTCTAGCAATCCAATGGGTTAGCACGACACGACACGGAGGGAAAGCATAGATCAGAAACGACTGCCACTCACCTAGCAGCAGCGACACTCATTGACAGAAAGGTTTTCCAGAGCGTGGGAAGAAAACCGAGCTTTTGAAATAATTTATAACAGCCCACCTTGACCCTCTGGATGATGTACTGTGCCCCTCCAAGGTGGAGCCGGTGGGTTTTGCTTTGCAGTTGACTACCGGCTAAATGCGATTGTGCGCGTGGTGGACGTGGATTTTACCCATTGCTTGCCCAGACGGGAAAACTTTCCTATGCAGGTACGGAGATGTAGGCCTGAGGTTTCAGTTTCGGTAGACCCTGTCTCTGTATTTATCCGTGTAGGTAACGTGGCTCATGGCTGGCCGAGTAGAAGTATGTCATGGGTACGGGGTAATGCGGCAAGGTAGGCAGTAGAAGAATCGAGGTCGGGAATGCGGCATTCGGTGCATAGTCTGTCCACACTCCGAGATGAAGAAGTAGATATAGAATACAGTTCCATCAACAGCATGCACATCCACGCATGCAGCGTCGAGGATAAGATGACCAACTGCTCTGCCCGCCCCTCTCAAGCAATGCATTTTTCACAACGCCATGCCACATGGAAACCAAAGCCAGGTCAGAGGCTCGCAATCATCACGAAGAAAAGCGCTTCGTGACCTTGGCAAGGACTGTATCTCTCGTTAGCATCTCATACATCACAATCCAGTAACACACAAGTCCCAATGGACGTGCTAAAGAGCAACTCACTGTGCAACGCAACAACACTAATAATAAACCCAATGGAAAGCACCATCACCACAAACGGATCGACCTTCAAACCCGGCGACTCATCGGTGTATAGTCCTGCAGCACTATTAGCCCACCAAACTCTCCACCATCCCATGTACACCCCAGGCTATAACGCCACGGTAGGAGGACAAAGACCTACGCAACATGGTACTACTGCTCCCTCCCGCACCCGCGGCGCGCGTGCTCGTCGGCCGCGCATTCGCCACCTTGTCCGCGCGATCCGCTGCTGCGCGTCGCTTGATTGCCGTCGCGGGGCCGCCGGGCGCTTTCGGCGAGGCGGCGCGGGCGGTCGTGCTGCCCGTGGTGGGCGAGTTGACGGGGGAGGAGGGACGGGGGGAGGAAGACTGTGGGGGAACTGGGTTAGCGGATGGATCTATGCAGTGTGGTTGGAGGTTAGAGGTGATGGAATTGTTTGCACTGTCGCTTTCTGCAGAGGGCAGGGAGGCCGAGGGAGAGGTGTAGTTGCATGCGTACCATCGTGGAGCTCTGAAGGGGGTTTGATTCCGGAGCTGTCTGTGTGTGTGGACCAGAGTCAGGGGTGCGAAGCGCTCAGGCGTGCTTGACAAGGCTTGTAAAGCAGGTAGAGACCGTCGATGGAGCTCGTGAGGGAGATGTTGTGTCGGTCTCGTGGGAAGGTGGGTGGGTGTATGTCGGACAAGCAAAGGAATGGATGTTCAGGGATTCCCCGAATCCAGCCACGTTTGTTCATTCGTGCACGGAGACTTTTGGGAGCCGCATTTCTTGGCATGCGGCATTGGAGACACGTGACAGAGACCTACTTTTGTCGACCGACTTGACAACGACACGACGATGTAAAGATGGTAAAATGACCGAGAATCCGCTCGAGTGGAATGTTTCACTCCCTTCGCAATTATCCCACCCAATGAAACAATCGCCCAGAGATTGAAAGAAAAATCATCGTCGCGCAGCAGAGGTATCATGTTATTGCAAGTGCTCACACACGGTCACACGCACACACGCACACGCACATACCGACGCCCGCCCGTCCCCCATCCCATTCCCGAAACAATCGACAATTTGCAAAAACGCAGGCCATTCCCCCAAACAAACAAAGCAAGGCGAACATACACTCCCCACCAAGCCAAGCCAACCAACCATGCTTCCCGTCCATCCATCCACCGATCTCCTCCCCCGTGAAACAAAGGCACATGCCGCCGAGGAATCAAAAACAAAAGCCCGACTCCATCCGCATTAAACGCTGTGAATGATGAGAAAAAGCCCACATGCTCAAACGTGCAAACCCAAGCTGCTCCAGATCAACCCCACACAGAAGGCTGCACGGCAAGCGTATTCTTGCCCGAGCCCCAGACATTGGCATTGCCTGCGCCGCCCCAGGCTCCAAGGCCGCTGACGCCTTTGCTGATAGCGGTGGGATTGGCGCCACTTTCGGCCAGAGTCGACGCCGGGTTCGAGGCGGCGGAGGTGGAGCGCTCGTCTTTGGGATTGGCGCTTCCGGCGCTGTTGTTATTGTTGCTGTTGAAGCCCAGGGACGAAGAGGTCAGAGGGGTGGTAGCACGCTGATTCACGCCGCTGCCGGCTGATGCGGAGCCCGGGAGCGGACGAGTGCCGATGGGCGCTACGCCTGTCGCATTGCCCTTTGCGCCTTGGCCGGGTGGAGGTGACGTACCCGGGGACGAGGCGGAAGTTCGACTGCTTTGCTGGGCGCCTGCGGACATCAGGCCGAAAGACTGCTGCGTCGTAGTGTTGGAGAGAGGGGAGGTGGTGGTGTTCAGGTGATCGCCGCGCGGTGGCATTTGTACCGCGCCTTCTTCGCTCGACGGGCCTTGATTGGCGTAGGGGTCGAAGGCTAGTGGCGATGCGCCTCGGCCTGAATGCGACCCTCTCACGACATCCTGGCTTTGCGGCCGTGATGAGGCGGCTTCTGCTCCATAGAGGGATGCAGCGTCTCCGTACAGCGCGCGGTGTTGACGGGCGATGAGATCCCGGCGATCCTCCTCGCTCATGGGATTCGGACTCATTGATCGATCGGACTTGACTCCCGATACGTCTGGACATATGTGATTAGTGCGAGTCGAGTGGCGGGATCGGATGTCACATACTCCGATTATACTGCTGCTCCTGATGATAATTGCGGAGCTCACGTTCCCGCTGCGCAGCCATTCTCCGCTTCGCCTGAAGCATCTGCTCGGCCTCGCTTGCGCGCGCACCTCCGGGAAAACGTTGACCTTGGTAGTAACCTTGAAGACCCGCAGAGCCCGGACGGGCAGGGTCGTAATCACTCGCCGCACCACCCGAGGCTTGTCTCGCAGGTGCACCGCCCATCCGTGCATCCCCTCCGCCATATTGCTCATGTCCTCGGTTCATAGGTGGCGGGGGAACATGGCCTTGTCGCGCGCCCATGCCTCCTGCCATGTGCTGCATCGCTCCCGGAAACCACTTTCCACTCTTGACGAGGTTGTCAGTGGCGCGCTCGATCTCTTCAAATTGCGCGGCAAAGGCGTGCGGCTCGGGGTGTTGTTGTTGCTGCGGCGAGCTGGGTGATTGGCCGGCTGCGGGTCGCGATGCTACTTCCCATGACGAGGCTCGGCCGGCTGAGGGCCATGAGGGGTCGTTATCGTAGTATGCCATGCTGTCGGTCGCCAACTAGTTTGGCGCGACGCTTGAGTGTTTGTGAATGGAGTTTGAGAGGCCAGTCCCGATCGATGGAGGGGGAGAACAGAGCAAAGACGGCTGTATGAGAGAGCAAAGTGTTAGCGTGGTGGAAGTAGTCGCACAGGAGACGAATGGCGGGACACACTTCGAGGCGCTGATACGAACGCGCAAGGACGACAAAGGCAGCACGCAGGTCTGGAAGGCGAAGGCGCACCGGATGAGAGGATCAGGGAAAGATGTCGAGGGAAACGGCAAGGAAACAAAGGCACACCTGCCGCGCGCGCCGCTGCTGTATGAAGGAGAGGAGAGGACAGCAGAGAGGACGAAAAAAGAAGGTGGGTGGTGCGGAACGCGTGGGCGGCGGGCAGATGCGAAACAGAGGAAGGAAGGAGAGGAGGGAGGAGGAGGGAGGAGAGAGGGCGGAGGTGGAGGTGGAGGAGAGGAGAGAGGAAAGGCGTGGGTGGGTGTGTGCGTGGGATTGAGTTCGGCTTGGATGGAGTTAGTGAGAGGGCGAGGGCGGGCGGGCGTGCGTGCGTGCGTGCGGTGCCCCGGCGATGCTGGGCCGAGGGGCGGGCGGGCAGCGGGCGGGCCAAGTGGGCAAAATGCTTGCTTTGCTCTCAAATCTCCGCTATTCACCGACTCCAACCAACCGTCCAACGTCGCGGCCGAGGCCATGTGTTGTCCTCATTTCCCTCGTGGGCGGCTCGTGCGCCATGGCAGGACTCGAGGATGTTTTGATGCCGATCGGCCTGCATTCTTTCTGCAGGTATCGTTGAGCAACATGTGCAGTTGCTTTCCATCGCGCCTTCCTCGTCTTCCTTCAAGATTGCGGAGAAACCTCCTTCTAGCTAAACCATGTCCAAAGCAGACAACCCGTGCCGTACACGGCTTTCGGCACATTGCCCTACCTTTACTTCTTCTTCCGAACCTTTCATGTTCCTTCTATCAACACCACGCCGCCGTTCATCACGAAATATGTATCTCATAACACGTCCCGGGTACGCTGGCCCTCAACGTATCAATTCGTCAAACTCATGTTCCCCATCGGATGGCATCATCGCAGCCTCGAGCTAGGCCCTGCAGGCAAAAAGTAAAGTCGCCCGCATGACCTTCTGCCGCCGACTCGTGCAGCTGTTCCCCGCTGCAGCCGCAGTGACATCCTCTCCATGCTTGCTGCAAGCTTCCCACTCTTGCCGCCTTTTCCTTTCACGCCTCCGCGCTGGTTTGCTGCTTCGCTCCTGGAGATGGACCTAGTAACAGAAGCTCGCCTAGTAGCGGAATGCCTCCGCTCTCCATGGACCCGTCCTTCACGTGCTTGTGAATGCCACAACCTCGCCTTCTATATCGGAAGCTGCAGCGTGCTTTCGCCCAGGTGTGGATGTCCAGGCAGTAGCACCCCTCCACCAGGCTTTCAATGTCGTCGTTCGGTGCCGGCTCCGTTCGTTGAACGTCCAATTTCACCTCATCCCTCAATCTTGGTTCCATTCATTCAGCGCATATCTTCGTTTCCCCTTCCGATTCTTTCCCAGCATGCCGCCGTACCAGTATCCCATGCTTGTACACCGAAACCGCCAGTCGGATCTCCGCCGCCATGACCGCAATCAACACAACCGCACAAATTGCATGCGACCAGACCAACGTCAGTCGACAGTTGCGAGAATCGATCGCGTCTAACCACCCCCGAGCCGCAGATCCCGACTCAGGCACATTCACGAGCCTATCTCTCGTGTCCGGATTTCCGTCGCCTACGCGAAGCTCGCCCAGACGCAGCTTGCTTGTGTCGATGCATGTTTCCCGCTGGAACCGTCGCGTGAGATACTCCAGAATGGCGAAGCGACAGGCAGACAGAATGGCCGAGTCGACGAGTAGGAAGCATGCGAAGGTGCGGATGAGGGCGTAGCGTTCCTACCACCACGGTAAGTCATTTCGCTTTCCAGACGACGAGAGAGAAGGATAGGTAGGGACTCACTGCTACAACACCGATGATTCCAAAATACGTCAGCACCACCGTTGCCCAGCAGTACAGCCAAAACACCAGCCCCGCGCCGACGTGATCGAGCGGCACATAGTTGCAGAAGATGCCTAGTAGGACGTGGAAGCCGAATGACAGCGCTGCGGCGAGGAGCGATGTAGTCCGATACCTGTTGTTTGATCACGTTAGCTGGCGTCTGACAAAGTCGCAGATGCGCAAAGTTGGGCTGATAAGCTAGCTTCCATCCCGACCTAACTGACCTCTTCTTCTTCTCTCTTCCAACATCGTCAGATACCACAGCAGCGTCCGCAAATGCCATGCTACGCTCTCCTTTCTAAAATCTCTATCAAGAAGAACCCATGAGCATGTAGAAAAGAAGTCACGCGAGCACTTGAAGAAATCCTTGGCCGCCACATATTAAATCCCTGGGCGCGAGATAGATAAACCCCGGGACCAGGGTCCGTTGACGACGACAAGGTACGTGGTATCTCTTGGCATACAACTTCCACCCGGCACTCTGGAAGCCGCGTAGGGGGGCAATTATGCGTCGGGAACCCCATCCGTGCCCTCGTGCCGATTCGTGGACGACACGTGGTTGGCGGCTAGTCTTTGTGAAACTTGGATGGCCGCGGGTTAGGTTCCCCCCAATCGTGCGCCTGTTTAGTGAGGAGGGGAAGGAATGGGTGACGCTGCCCAGCCTTGTAGCGTTTGCTGATACAGGGCTTAAGGAGAGATTTAGGCCCAATTGGGATCGAGGATTGGTTTAGTTTCGCCTAATGGGGAGCTAATGTTTTGTCTGTCGGGTCAATCCTTATACCGAGCCCGAGCGATTGGGAGCGATTTCGCAAGCAGTTCTACGGTCTTGCGAGTCTGGGACGGGTTACATGCTGGGAAGTGGTATTGCTCGTGTTGATTTAGCACGATGCTGAGTCACGTCATATATCAACGAGCGTCTTGTGCCCTCCTCTCCACACACGTTTTCTTCCTTCATACTTTCGCTCCGGTGTTCCGAGATGATCGTCTCATGACTTCCTGGCGCATTGCACTCAACAATGTTGCTGGCCAAGGAATGGGAGTGCTGTTGTCCTCAAGCTGGCTCGACTTCCTCATTGGAATTGCGCAAACCAGTGCAGCTTTTCCGGCGCGATTGATAAGACATGTGCTGGTGTGCCGACTGCCCGCTTGACCGTTAGTGAGCATCGTGCCGGGCTGTTGAGGCCTTCCGGGTTGTGACATCGCATCTGACTTGGAGATCTATCGTCCACTCAAGTGGTGAACAACGTGTCCTCCTCCCGCAAGTACTCTCCCACATCCGCCTGCCTGAACGTCACAATCCCCGTGGGGTCGAGTCTTCTCGCCTCAGCAGTCGATCTGGCAGTAACTCCGAAGCCCTAAAGATCCATCGTCAGCATACATCCCCTTCCCATCTACAAAGCAGCAATCTCTTACCAACGGCGTATCGTCCATACTACACACCACCACCCCCGTATGCTCCGGCACATCCTCGCTCCACCGGCCCACATGCGCCTTCACAATATGCCCGCCATACAAAAACGGCATCTCCCCATTCTTCTTCACCCACACCTTGTACCGCGCATGCGGCGCAATGACATCCAGCGCCGTAACGTGCAGCCGGAACTTGCCCGTCTTGGTGAATTTGCCCACGCACGTGCCGAGCGAGAGGAGCGAATCGCGCGCCACGGACGTCGCGAGGTTGGCGAGGCTGCTGCGCACGTAGTACACGCGGTCCTTTTGGATGCGAAAGACGTAGTGGTCTGCGGCGGTGCTTTTGGGGTTCGCGCTGGGGGCGGTGGTGGTGAGGAGGGCGGTGAGGGAGCGGCCGGTGTAGTTTGCGAGTTTGTCGAAGAGCGTCTTCGTCTCGGTGTCTGTGAGGGGCCGCATGGTGGGTGATCGATTCAATCGAGGGTTGATTGCTGGTGGATTTGGATGTGAAGCAGTTTCGTCCGTCGAAATTTATTGGCCTCTCGAGAAATTTCCCCGCAAAAGTTTCGAGATTTCTGTCCCAGCACTTAATTTTCCGCTGCAGGTTCATCGACATTTCATGCGAAGGCATTTCTGCGTTTCGCATTCCGAACAACGTTTCAAGTGGCAATGGAAAGTGCCACGAAGAGACGGAAGCTGAGTGCTTCATCGGGCGGGCGAGCGAATGTCCCTGGCTTCGCACAATGGAATCTGGAGCAGGACTATGAGACTCGACGGCGCAAGGATGGCAAGAAGAAGAAGGCGGAGGACAATCGATTGCCAGTGAAGAGTCAGGAGAGCGGACAGTGGGAGCAGGATCGTTCTCGACCTGTCGATGACGAAGAGGATAACGACAGCTTTTTGGCAAGCGACGACGAGGAGACCAAGGACAATGAAGCATCTAAAGATGTTCTCCCTCCACCGAAACCGCGCAAGCCACGGTTACCACCAAAGGAAGAAATCAGACAGGCAAAGGAAGATCTCGCGCGAATCGCAGGACAGATCGGCGAGGATCCCGAGGAACACATAGGCCTGCTAGGCTCTTTGGCGGAGATTGGAGACTCGCCTAACATTTCAGTCAAGAAATTGGCGTTAGGCGCTCAATTGGCAGTCTTCAAGGACATCGTGCCCGGTTATCGCATACGACCCATCGCACCAGACGATGCGAACGCCAAGATCTCCAAGGACGTGAGGAAGCTGCGAGCCTTCGAACAGGGCTTGTTGCGAGGCTATCAAAGCTATGTCCAGCTGCTGTCGCGGCTATGCAAGAAGAAAAAGTACCAAGATGAGAAAGACGCTTCTCTCACCACCGTCGCTACATCCTGCGTCTGCAACCTGGTCATCAACCTGCCGCACTTCAACTATCGCAACGACCTCATCCGCGTTGTTGTGCAGAAACTCGCCAGCCGAAATGTCGATGCCGACTTCCTCCAATGCCAGAATGCGCTCGAGACGCTCTTCCAGAATGATGAAGAAGGCCACACTTCCCTGGAAGCCGTCAGTCAACTGACGAAAATGATGAAAGCAAAGGACTACAACATCGTGGAGAACGTGCTCAATACCTTCCTGCATCTCCGCTTACTCGGCGAATTCGCCCACAAGGCCTCCACGCAGCGAATCGACAAAGAGGAGTCAAACATCGTCCAGCCGAAGCAGAAAAAGGCATTCCGGACGAAGCGAGAACGCAAGCTCCAGCGCGAGCGAAAGGAAGTGGAAAAAGAAATGAAGGAAGCCGACGCAGTCGTATCCTACGAAGAGCGCGACCGCAACCAAGCGGAAACGCTCAAGCTCGTGTTCATCGCGTACTTCCGCATCCTCAAAGCGCGCACGCCGCACCTCATGGGCGCCGTGCTGGAAGGTCTGGCCAAGTACGCGCACCTGATCAATCAAGACTTCTTCGGAGACGTGCTGGAAGCCCTGAAAGATCTGATTGGCGACACGTACGCCGCGGTGCAAGAAGACGCAGAAGGCGAGGCCGCGACCGACGACGAAGCGCGCAACGCCACGCGCGAACTCCTCCTCTGCATCATCACCGCCTTCGCCCTTCTCCAAGGCCAGCACGACGTCGCCAAAAGCGCAAGCAGCCTGCATCTCGACCTCAACTTCTTCATCACCCACCTCTACCGCACGTTACTCCCCCTCTCCCTCAACCAGGACATCGAACTAGGCGCCAAAACCACCACGCATCTCGTCGACCCCAACGGCCTCGACGTCCCCTCCACAACGCTAACGCCCAACAAAGTCAACGTAGCCACCACTTCAGTCCTCCTCCTCCGCTCCCTGCACTCCGTCCTCCTCCCCCCAACAGGCACCAAACTCGTCTCCCCCGTGCGCGTCGCGGCCTTCACCAAACAACTCCTCACCAGCACCCTGCACGTGCCGCGAAAGAGCTGCGCCGCGATTCTCGCGCTCCTGCAGCAGATGACGAAAGTGCACGCCAGCAAAGTGGCGGCGTTGTGGCATACGGAGGAGCGCAAGGGGGATGGCGTGTTCTATGCTGAGAGCGGAGAGGTGGAGAGTAGTAATCCTTTCGCCGCGACGGTGTGGGAGGGCGAGTTGCTGCGGTTGCATTTTGATCCGAAGGTGAGGGAGGCGGTGGTGGGGATTGAGAAGGGGATTGTTGAGCGTGCGGCGTAGGTGGTCTTTTGCTGGTGCTGTACTAAGCCGTGGAGCATACATGTATTCATACCCCCTCAATCTCCATCATAGCTATCGGCGACGCAAAAAGAAAGCAGCAGGCAACCCAGAATCGAACACAGGACCTCATTAAAAAAGCACAAAAAAACAAACTCCTTTTCAGGAGAGAAAGCAAGGCGAGACTCGTAGGACCCCAACAGGTTTGCATTTTTTTGGCCTCTGACCGACAGATCAATGCTGTTGTCATTGGTTAGAGAGTAAGCGTGCATACTAGGACATATACGAGTTCAAGAATGTGACGAAGTTTCGCCGGAGCGCTGGATCATTGCTATGTGATGGAGATGGATACATGAAGAAACCGGCGGTTGTATGTGTTAAGAGGGAGCTCGACGAGGCTGAAGAACAGTCCAAGCTCTCGGCCCTGCACCCGGGCTTAGCTATTTCATCACACAACAAAGGTACTGTGGGCAGATACTGTGTAGGCAGTACAACAGCAAGTTTTCTTGATTGAGAAGATGGTCCTTCAAATCATATCTAGCCTGCTCTTGGCTGGCCGATAATTCTTCATGGTGATATGGCTACACGATGCGATAGGCACTCAACGCCACGCTTAACTACAAACCTCGCCACGAGCTGCGCTTGGCTTTGGTGGCCATGACTATCCCGTCCGCGGTTTCTTATGCCCATTGACGATCCCGTTCTGGCCTTCTGCATCATCCTCGTCTTCCTCCTCATCATCATCAACAACCACCTTTCGCTTCCGTTCCCGCCCCTTCTGCGACGCCCCCTCAACCACTTCAGCCTCCCCATTCGCAACACCAAAACCCCGCCTCTCCCTCTCCTCCACCTTCTCAAGCACCTTCACATACCCCTCCACAACCGCATCGACCGCGCTCTCCAACTTCTCAAACCGCTCCTCCCGCTCCACCTGTACCAGCTGGTCGCGATTGAAAATGTACAGCCGCTCCTTGACGTACAGCCGCCAGAAGTAGTACATGCGGTCCAGCGGGTTGCTGGCCTTTTCTTTGCGCGTGATGCGGCTGCGGGAGCGGTGGAGCGGCGGGATGAAGGAGAGGGTGTGCATTTCTATCAGGCGGTCGAGCTGGCGCGGCATGATTTTGGTGGTGGTGCGGATGGCGTCGCGGATTTCGGTGGGGATGATGAGGCTTGTGGGTATTGCTTCGCTGGCGGTGAGGTTGGCGGAGGTGATGTCGGTGTTGATGCGCAGCGCGGCGAATTCGGGCACGTGGGCGCGGAGGTGCAGCAAGTCGCAGAGATCGCGCAGATCGTCGAAACTCTCGTTCGGGTCTTCGACGGTGAGTTCGCGGATGTTGGAGGGTTTGGTGAGATGGGTGTACATGGCGTGGTACAGCTCTTGGCCGTGCCCGCCATGCTGGAAGGATGGAAGGACGAGGAATTGGGAGAGGCGTTCCCGGCTTGGAAGGTCGAGGGGCGAGGAGATGTTATTGGGGTAGGCGGTTGGCGTGAAGTCGTTGGGTACCGCGCTTTCTAAGGGCGGGAGGAAGTCCAGCACGGATTGTGTAGAGGGTAGGAAGACGTTCAGGTCGGCCTGGAGCGGCTTTGAGCGATCGGGAAAGGTAAAGACGCGGTATGAGGTGCCGTAGCCGGTGAGTGAGTATGGGGAAGAGGATGGTGAGCTGTCGTCGGATTGGACGTGGTAAAGGAGATAGAGCTTCCACCGCTGCGTTGTCCAGTCCTGCTCTATTTGCAACGTCGACCCGCCCTCAATGAACATGGGAACGAGAATCTGCATGTTCTCCAACAGCTCCTTCGCCGCGGGGTCGGACAGGCTGGCACACCACACCTCATACTTGTCTCCGCCTCTTGAGTACTCGTGAATCTTGTCGCCGGGTGGTGTGAAATCTGCTGCGTCATCATCCTGTAGCGCTTCATCGGTGCTCAAGCTCGAAAAGGCGACATCAGGCAGAAAGTCGCGCAGGGCTTCATGAATGTCGGTCGGCTTCACTTCGCCTTGGGCGGGGAACTTCTTCTCGTAGCTGATGGTGAGATGCGGCTTGAGGTTGTGCGCGGCAAAGGAGAGGTTGATGTCGAGATCTTGGTAGCCGAAGATGGCCTCTTCCTCGCCAAAGATGGGGTAGGTGAAGTCGGGTTGGAAGGAGGCGGCGATGCTGCCGTCGCCGCGCTTCAGCTCGACCGTGAAGCAGTCGTTGCTGTTGCTTGACCACTCCTGCACCTGTGCTTCGATCTCGGCCGCGAGCGCTTCGGCTTCCATGATGGCGGTATGATCGAAGGGTGTGGGTGTGAGGGAAAGAAGAAGTGCAATGAGTGCAAAAGTGCAAGCCTTTGTCCAGCGTTACGCGATGTCGTTCAGGCACGCGTCTTAAAGTGGTGGTCCGAGCGTCGATCGCAGCCTGAGGCATCTTCACAGTGGGAGTGTTGTACAGCGTTAAAACGATGGTCTATCTGAAAGATTCATCTCATTCGTACAATATCAAGTCCCAAGAACACGGCATCAATGCCCGTGCCCAAATTGAAACAACAAAGGCAGCAACATCCCCAACACCGTCAGCCCGGTCTCGCTTAATCGTGACTTTGCCTGCGTCTCTTTCACAGCGCCGGCATTGCTCGTTTCGTACACATCTGACATGGAAACCCCTTGATACCCGTTCATCTGCCCATCACCGTCATGATCGTGGCCGGAATCTGACATCGTGTGCGTGGCCACATACAGAAACGTGCCGCCACTGAACGTAAGCAGAACGCCTGTCGCAAACTCGGTGGTCATGCTGCTAGACTGGCCCATGGAGATTGAGCCTAGCAAATGTGCTGCCGTCCATGTAGCGAGGGCACCGATAGGGGCAGCGAGCGAGAAGACAATGAGGTGTGCGCGTGCGATGCGCTTGCTGAGTCCTTGCTTCAGTAAAACGGAAGTCAGGCCGAAAGCCGCAGGCGCTTTGTGCACAATCAGCGCAATGAAGATGATGAACGTCAGACTGCTCGTCGTGGTCGATGATGCCCCAAGCGCGATGCCGTCTGCGCACGCATGGATCACTAGACCGGTCGTTGTAGATGAAGGGCGAGAGCTATGATCGTGTGTCGGCGCTGTAGGTGTTGGCGGGACGGCACTCTCCCCATCTCCCGGGGTAGAAGAAGTGCGTCTGTTGAAACTGAGGTTGTTCAGGCTGATTTGGAAGCGTTCGGGGCGGTTCGACGTCGCTTGGCGGGGGAGAGTATCGATGAGATACATCAACACAAAGCCAATGATGAGGGAAAGGCCGACCCAAACGTGGGGATCGTGAGAGGTTGGTGTACTCTCTGGTGTTCCAGGCGAATCATCCACTTGACCGTCTCCCTGCCTCCGCCATAAGTCTTGCGCCGGATTTCCTGGCAGCGAGACGGCCCCGCCCGTCGATCTTGCGTAACGTGATATAGACCTCGCACCGTGGCCGGCTCCTCCCTCACTCGCAGAATACAGCGTTTCAACGCCCTCGGGTATGATGATTATCAGCGCCACTCCCACCAGAATGCCCGTACCGAGGGCCGATATGAGGCGTAGTTGTCGCGAGGACAGGGAGAGGTAGAGGGGTAGCATGCCGACGAGGAAGGATCTGGCAGCCGATCAGCAAAGTGGGCAAATAGTGGGGTGATGCATGGAAGCGTACGTCGCGGCCATGACAATGCATAGCAAGATCAAGAGGAGAAGTCCATCCCACATGCCTGCACTCGCGGCGAGGTCGCAAAGGACCTACGCCTGTGGAGTCGCCTGGTATTGTTGAGGATTCTGGGGTTGGTAGATGTGATGGTCACGTATGGCCGACCATGCTCGCGCGATCGAGTAGAGCTGGAGTAGAGATACTGTCGAAGTGATCAATGGGACGTGTTCATGCGCGAGCCAAAAGCGTGAGGTCCCTGTTGCTGACCTAATTCAACATTGAATCGGCCCGGGGCACAGACCAACTCCTCAAAGCTCTCCGGGCTTCCCAACACGGGATTCCTTGCAACGCCTTTCCTTCTTTCCCTTTCCTACGCCTACCACACCCTCTCGCTGTCCCATTCCCGAGCATGCTGTCCCGATTTGCGCCTCGTGCGGTGGTCGCGCCCACACGGTCCCACCTGTTTGCCAGAGCAGCATACCAGCCAGCAGTACGACGATCCGTGACAACCGATGCAGCAAGCAGCCACGCCGAGAGGGACGACGTGCCTGAGGTACGCTGCACCACAACCCATGCCACCGTCCGCGCTTTTCTAATCCGTTTGAACGACAGGAAGATGACAAACCTTTCAGCGTGACCCTGTCCGATGAAGCCTTTGAAACATACGACCTCGACCCCCCTCCCTACCAACTCGACACCACCAAGAAGGAACTCAAGCAAATGTACTGGGACATGGTGGCCGTGCGACGCATGGAGATGGCGGCCGATCGCTTGTACAAGGAGAAGAAGATCCGCGGCTTCTGCCACTTGTCCACGGGCCAGGAGGCTGTGGCCGTAGGGATCGAGCACGCCATTGAAAAGAGCGACCATCTGATCACTGCTTACCGGTGTCACGGATTTGCGATGATGCGTGGTGGAACGGTCAGGTCGATCATCGGCGAACTCCTGGGCCGACGAGAGGGCATTGCGTATGGCAAGGGTGGGTCCATGCACATGTTCTCCACCGGCTTCTACGGCGGCAACGGCATTGTGGGAGCTCAGGTGCCGGTCGGCGCGGGGATTGCCTTCGCGAATCACTACGAGAATAAGGGAAACGTCACCCTTGCGCTATATGGAGACGGCGCGAGCAACCAGGGTCAGGTGTTTGAGGCTTTCAACATGGCTAAGCTGTGGAACCTTCCCGTCATCTTTGGGTGCGAGAGTGCGTAGCTTCCGCCCGCTCTTCGTTGCGGCATTGAATGTGAACTGACACAATCTAGATAACAAGTACGGAATGGGCACTGCGGCTAACAGGGCAGCGGCCTTGACCGACTATTACAAACGCGGCCAATACATCCCCGGGCTCAAGATCAACGGCATGGATGTGCTGGCGGTCAAGGGGGCGGTTGAATACGGCAAGAAGTGGTGTGCGGAGGACAAGGGGCCATTGGTGTACGAGTTTGTGACGTACCGGTATGGAGGCCACTCTATGTCCGACCCGGGCACCACCTACCGTACGCGCGAGGAGATTCAACGGATGCGATCGACCAACGACCCCATTGCCGGGCTGAAGCAGAAGCTGATCGACTGGGGCGTGACGACGGAGGACGAGCTGAAGGGCATCGACAAGGATGCGCGCAACCATGTGGACGAGGAGGTGGCAAAGGCCGAGGAGATGGCAGTGCCAGATGCCACGCCCGAGGTGCTGTACGAGGACATCTACGTCAAGGGCAGCGAGCCGCAATTCATGCGAGGACGCATTCCGGAGGAGAACTACTACTTCCCCACCGATCGACCGGTGCAGGTGCCCAAGTCGCCGGCGCAGACTTAAGCCGACAACGAATGAGGGTGCTGGAGTTTTGCGCGGAGCGTATGGCATATTCGAGTTGGCGAAGACATTGAGGCTGTGTAGATCCGGAGTTTACTCAGCGGGTGCTTCTTGGTCTGCTGTATTTGATACCTGATGTACTCTTCTTCGTTAAGCGTCTCTGCATTATTAATCGGACCAATACGACTGGAGTTGAGTGAGTTGTGGAGGAGAGTCTTCCGTGAAGTTCTAGCGGGAGGCGATGGTATTGTCAGCCGGCTGCGCCTGCCACAAGCCCCAGACGCGCCACTTGCCCGCAAGCGTGCGCCGGCGACGATCTTTACCACATTCGAGCGCTTCGCACGCAATCTCTCCCACTCGACTCCCTCCCACTCCCACTCACCCTCACTGCTCGCCCACTCGTGCATCTCATCCACCACCACCTCGTCCTCCTGTCTTCTGCTCCGTCGACAATCGCCTGCCCACTCGTGCGGTGCCGTGCGACTCGGAGCATTAGCAAATCCGCCCGTTTCGCAAAGCTTGGGGCGAGTGGCTGGGACCCGCTTGCTCCCCCGACCGACGGACGGTTAACAACACCGCCTCTTCAAGCGAACACAGCAACGCATCGGCTTTGGTGGCAGCAGGATACGGACGACGACAGAGAGGATGTGGTGATTTCTTGGAGGCAGTCTTGCTTGCATTCCATCCTCCGTGCCTTCACCGCCTCCTGGTCTTGACACCCCCTCAATCTTCCCCTTCAGCGTCGTTCCCCAACTCGCTTCCCTTCGACTGACCCACCGATACAATGGAGGAGCGGGAAGACTGGTCTAACGGCCGCCCAACCTCCAACATAATGGACTACGCCTCCCCCACCGACGACGAGCACGACTCCGAGCCTACTCCCTCTCTAACTCGCATCTCCTCACGCTCGTATAACAACCGCTTCTACTCCTCCAACCGCGGCAAGGCCCGCGCAACTCAGAGTCGCCCGCGACCCCCTCCGATCGCCACCAACACCCCTTCCTCCTCCAACTCCCACGTCCCCACCATGCCTATCCCCATCCCCTCCAACCCGAGCGTCATTCCGGGGAACACCCTCCCCTCCGCGCCCGCCAGCCCACCAACTCCCGCGCCGAGTCCGCCGCCGACCGGCAGAGCACCAGACTGGCGGACCGCTGGCCCGAGGGAGGATATTGGAGACATTGACCTGGACGATGAACCCGATGCCCACATGTCCGCCCATGTCAGTCTGGCCGAGTCCTCGTCGCTAGGCTTTGGTTATCGACATATGCGCGCAATGTTTGCGGATATGGACAGCAATGAGCGGCAACGCATGCTCGCCGAACTGCTCAACATGTGCGATGGCAAACTCCTCGGCTTCGTCGCCCATTTCGTCGCCCCCCGATTGAAACGCGATCCCTTTTCGGTGCTGCCTAACGAGCTGTGTTTGCGCATCTTGACCTTCATCGAAGACCCGAAGACACTTGCACGGAGTTCGCAGGTGAGTAAGAGATGGCGGGAACTCGTGAGCGACGACATGGCGTGGAAGAGCTTGTGTGAGAAGCATGCATATCGGCGGATGTCCGACGATCGTCGCTCGAGCCCACGACGACCCACACCCCCTGCGCAAACTTCCAATCCAGAACAAAGGCATCCGCATCCGTATGGGTATCCTCCTGGCTTTCAGCAGACGCACAATCCCGCCTTGGCTGGCTTCTCGTCTAGTGCCCCGGATCTCACCCGACGCATGAGCTTGAACGCTGTCCCCTCCGCCGTCCTACCGCCAACCCTCTCTGCCCGCCATTCCGCCTCCAATGTCAAGCGTCGCCCGAAAGCGACGAGCTACCGTTCTCACTTTAAGCAACGCTATCAAGTCGAAACTGCGTGGCGCACGGGCGGCAAGGTGGATACCAGGCAGATCACCCCGGACCAAGGCGTTGTGACGAGCCTGCACCTTACTCCAAACTACATCATCGTTGCGCTCGACAATGCCAAGATCCACGTCTTCGATACCGAGGGTAGACATCTGAGATGCTTGCAAGGGCACGTGATGGGAGTCTGGGCTATGGTTCCTTACGCCGATACCTTGGTGTCCGGCGGCTGCGATAGGGATGTCAGGGTGTGGGATCTGCAGACCGGCCTAGCTGTGCACATGCTGCGCGGCCATACGAGCACGGTGCGCTGCCTGAAAATGTCAGGATCGAATGTGGCCATTTCGGGCTCGCGAGACACGACACTTCGGGTCTGGGACATCAAGAAGGGCGTTTGCAGGCATGTGCTTGTGGGTCATCAGGCTTCTGTGCGCTGCTTGGAGATTCACGGCGACTTGGTGGTTTCCGGTTCCTACGACACGACCGCGAGAATCTGGTCGATTAGCGAAGGCAGATGTCTGCGGACGCTGCAGGGACACTTCAGTCAGATTTACGCCGTGGCGTTTGATGGACGACGAGTGGCCACTGGTTCGCTGGACACGTCTGTGCGAGTATGGGATCCGAAAGACGGGAGGTGTCTCGCCCAGCTGCAAGGCCATACTTCGCTCGTTGGACAGCTGCAGCTCAAGCACGACACCCTAGTCACCGGCGGCTCCGATGGATCGGTGCGCGTGTGGTCTCTGCAGACCTATTCCGCCATTCATCGACTCGCGGCACACGACAACAGCGTCACCAGTCTACAGTTTGATGAGAGCCGGATAGTATCCGGCGGGTCTGACGGGCGGGTGAAGGTATGGGATTTGGAAAGTGGATCTCTAGTTCGCGAACTCGGAAGCCCCGCGGAAGCAGTGTGGAGAGTCGTGTTCGAGGAGGAGAAGGCTGTCGTTCTCGCCAGTCGAGGCGGCAAGACTGTCATGGAGGTGAGTGTCGTCCCGTTCACAGTCTCACCCGTATCTTCGAACATGCATACTGACTCGAGTTCATAGGTCTGGTCCTTTGCACCACCCCCGGAAGACGGCCTCCCCGCTTTCTCTCCCCGATCGAGCTCCACGAGTTCGTTGTCCATCCCGCGCATTGCGCCGTATCAAGATCCGGCCTATGGCGAGCGGCCCTCCTACGAACGAAGCGATAGTTTCGGGCGGGCGGCGGAAATGGCGAAGCACCAGGATGCCGTCATGACCGATGCGTACGACTACGAAAATGACGCCGGCATGGCGATGGAGCAGGCAGAGGAGGGTAGAACGTCGTTTACCGGTGATGAGGAAGGGCAGGAGAAGGAGGATTCTGGATTCCAGCGAGACGGGGTCTGACGATAGATAGATTTGAGGCGATGGAACGAACGGTGGGATGGGCCGGTGGCTTGAACGGCCGCGCGGACGACGATCTGAGGCTCATCTTTGGACGAAGATATCAATGTATTCACGCTGTTCGTTTATTCACCTGGTGTACATCTCGCCCCGAGCTCCAGCCACGCATGGCTACCCCTCATCTGCGTCCCTCGCGCTGCTGCCAGTAGTCGGGTTGATACACAGCCTTCGCCGCGTCGTACCGCCCGAGAAAGTCTAGCCATGACTCTTCCGCCGTTGGAGTGCACAGTAGGAGGGCCGGCGGCCGCGCGGAGCCCTCTCAGCGTCAGGGCGGGCAACGGCAGCGAAAGACTCCGTATCGGCTGGCTGTTCCGACGACGAATCACTTTGAGCCGTTGACGGGCAGCGGACTATTATCCCCACGGAAAGTCAGCGGCCAATGCACTCGACGCTTTCATCGCTGCAGTTGTCGCTTTGTAACTCACGGCTCCCGCTCCATCTCGAACACGAAGAGCGGCTGGATCACACGCCTCTTTGCCGGCGGTTTGGCCGTGCTGTCAGCGGCGCTCGGTTTGCTGTCACCTGCGTCCGTAACGCCTTCAACAGGCTGATCGTCGACTCCCGCAGGTGCGTGACGAAGATGTTGGCGCAATTTTCGCTCCACGAGGACGATGAAATCGTCCCGCTGATACTGCTCTGCTTGTGACATTTGGCGGTAGCCGGGCCTTTCGTTCAGGGGTACGCGCGCCGTCTGGTTCGTCCCGGCGGCTGCTTGGGGGTTGGAGGGGTTGTTCATGACTCCTGGTTGTCGTGGGGATGTTTTTTTGAAAAGGGGGAGATGACTTTTGGGCTGCGAGATGGTCTGGCTGCAAGGGAAGAGGAGACGAGAAAGCACAGTGCCAGACTGCGCATTCTCTGCCGTTAAATGAACGGTGCGAGCGAATCTGTGAAGACATACCTTCCCAGATAGGCATGTGGAGCTTGGGAGCGAGCGGAAGAAGGGAGGAGTTTGGGTCGGAAGACAACTGTATTTCAGTATCCACCTACACGACGCCCGAGTGTCCATAGAGGAGAGTTTGATGGGTCATATACTTAACCCGCATCCCGCCCGCCATCGCCATGCATGAAAAGTCTAGTAGAAGCACACTGCGACATATCGTACACCACAGGTAAATCATCGCTCGAAAAGCAATTTTCGCGTGAGCTGCGAGGAGCGTTAGTAATGCTTCAAAAAAGGAGAGTGATGCAGAGATCAACTTACAGCCCACGTTCCCGCCAACGAAGCCACAATACCTCCGGAGATGAGCATAGGCCGCGGCCCTCTCGTGCATTTGTACACCATCCCACTGATTCCTCCGGCCATTATGCTGTTCATCGTATCATGCTTTCCCCTGTAATATCCAATCGTGCTGTTGATGCCGTTGTACATCAGCGCAATCACGCCCGCCGAGTTGCCCAGAAATGGCCCTCTTCGTGTGATGGCGTTGAGGGCGGAGTTGAGGCGTAGCTTCGGTGGCGCGGTAGGTGGTAGTCGATTCAAGCCTTCCACAAGGCCCCAGGTGCCGCCCATCGAGAGCGCGGTGAGATATGTCACTCCTGTCCCGTAGCAGAGATCGTCTGACCATCCTCGCGATGGTAATAGGGATTTGCTGCCGGGGAGATCTGAAAGCGCGGAATCATCGAGAGTGAGGTAGTCGAGGGTGTCTTTGTTGAGGCCCGCGAGGGGATGGAGAGCGGCGGGGTCGAAGGCGCCCGGAGCGGTCATGAAGGCGCCGACATCGTCGGATGATGGGGTGTCGAAGGTAGGATGAGAGATGGGGCCCGCTGGGTCGGTGATCGGGGCTTCGTTGTGGCTCGGGGAGGCGGAAGGTGTCGACTTTCGCCCTGTAAAGGCGTCCCAAACGCCCATGTTGACCGAATGTGATGGTCTAGTGGAAACAAAAGAAAAGTCGCAAATGGACGCGGCGATGGGAAAGGAGTGGTTGGGTGGTGACGAGCGTGTCGTCGCCGCAAACTTCTTTTCCGACCTGTCCTCGCATAGGGCCGGTCCGGAGATCCGTGCTGGAAACGAGCCGATTGGCTGCTGGACTTCACTCATGCAAAATACGGCGCCGGTGTCCTTGAATCTGTGAAGATGTGTACTTGATGTGCTTTGACCTTATTACGGTGCGGTAATGGCCGCTCATGTCTCGCATGGAGACCCGGTTGGCCTGCTCACGGAAGAGCAAGTTCGTTGGATCTCCCGCCATGTTCGAGAGCTCGTGCAGTTCTCGGACGTCGAGCAGCCATCGGACAGCGACACAAAGTAAGCAGAATGACGCTATTTACAAGGAAGCATAAGGATTTACATGTGCTCATTATCGATAGGAAACTGAAGCATCATCTCGACGCTGTTTTGCATACTGCCGACGCAAGCGACATCAATGGCGCTCATCGCGTAGCCGCATGGAATGCTCTATCGGCGTTGATTGATGGATGTTCGCGGTCGCAATACCATGCCTGCAGTGCCATCATCTGGCAAGCTGGTATCTGGAAAGCCACGCTAGATCTATACATCAACCGCAGCGCAATCGCACGGCCCAAGTCTTCGAAACAATTATTGGCGAGTCTCTGCAATGCTTTGTCTACCAACTCAGACGACCTTGCCTCAAGACAGTGGGCTACGGGACGTCTAGTGAGAAGTATCGCCAGCGATGAAAACCCTGCGCGCGTCAAAGCATGCCTTCAGGTATTGGCGCACTTTCTTGCCAAAGACGTCTTTCCTCTGGATGAAGTACTCCTCTGCTGGAGCAAGATGCGATATGGAAGTCGCACAATCGGAGCAGTTTCCGTGATGCACGATCTCATATTGGTGCTTCTAGCCTGGGTTGGCAAAGCAGACTTTGGTTCCGTCGTTGGCCATGTCATCTCTGTCTTGCTTGACAAAATCGATGCGAATCGCCATGCTACCCAGCAATCGAAGATGCTGACTCGAATTACGCAAAATAACCAACCGTTGTGGGTCAAGCCGCTGGATGAGGTATTCATGTCTGGTGTCGTGGGAATCGACGAATTGCGAATACACATTCTACCTATCCTATTCCGACGCGGTTTATCCGGATATACTGCACTCTTGGCTAGTCATGGTCTCCAACAACTCGAATGCGAGTTTGGTATCCGTGAAGACCCCGAAAGTTCTCGCGCACCAGAAGACGATCTCTTGTATGCTGCACTCCAAGTCGGGAAAGAACTTGGCATGCTTCATGAGACCGAAGACTCTTGTGTGTCTCGAACCTCTTCTGAAATCCTCCTTCCGGTCCGATGGATCCGACGTCTTCTAACGCACAGCTCTCGAGGCCCCAGACTTGCTGGACTCACACTTTTGATTACATCACACTCTGCAACAAGGCCATTCTCTCCTTCGCTTCTTTCGCTAATGAAGAAATACCTCCATACCTTCTTTTCCGACACCGATGCAAATTTTCGCGGCGAAGTCATGACTTTGATGCAAAGACTCATGGATCGTTTGAGAGCAATCACAGTCGCGCTGGCGAAGAAATGTGGCGCAGTCACCCAGGAGGATCCGTTGCGCGCAACCTACCGGATGCATCAATCATTCTTGCAATGGCTTGTGACCTTCTTGACGTGGGAACTGCGGCCTACAGCGACATATCAACGACATATATCTGCTCTGAAGACCCTTTTGATTGTCACGAGGTCGGGATGCGATTCGCAAATACCCTCGGCATGCTTGTCTAAATCAGCGCTGGCGGAAACGAGATGGCCTTTCACTGTTCGCGTTGTGACGGAGCACTCAAGGGCTTTGCTCTTGGACCTCTTACTCGACCCTTTTGACGATGTTCGTCAAACCGCAGCATCAATACTCTCTTGCTACAGCGGCTCCTACGACGCTAGTACGCGCCACGCCGTCTGCCAGGACCTAGAGCGTACCGTTATACGTGCAGAGAATCTCATGCTTCAAACTGGTCGTGCCGACCAGGCTGACGGAGTTGCACACCTGTATGCTCTGCTCTACCAACACTTAGACAACGCTTGCTCGGGCTCGAGCTCAGAAGGTACCCCTCAACTGGCTCTCCTGGAGAAGTTGCTTGGTAATCTAGAGCGAATGCTTGACGTCGCGCAAGGGAGCCTTCCGACTGCAGTGAACAAGTATCCCGTCCATGGTCTGCTGACCAGTCTGCGGTATATCTTGATCCAAGGTACACCCAGCCCATCGTTGACAGAGGTGTGCACGAGACTTGTTTCTCGCTTGCAAACCATCTGGCGGATAGTCAAAAGAATTCTCTGCAACGATGCGCCAGAAGGGCACGTGCCTCAAGACTTCGAGGACGGAGCGCAAGTCTCGACAAAAGACACTCTCAGTTATTGCTGGAGGGCCCTAAAAGAAAGCAGTCTGCTTCTGGGAGTGCTGGTGTCGAAAGATCTCCTCAATGTGGCAGACATCCTCTCCCTCGGTGATCTCAGCTTTTCGCAATTAGCAGAGTTACGGCACCGGGGTGCTTTCTCTACTGTTGCCCAGACCTGGACGATATGCTGCACTAGATGCTCGACATTGCGAGTTGCAGAAGGAACAGACCAGCTCGAACATTGGTATGACCAGGTCTTTCACATCCTCAGCAGCCGCACAACCATAAACACACGACGTTCGGCCGGAATTCCTGCTTTGCTGTGTGGCCTCCTCGTCGCCGACAAAACGGGCCGGCTTCTGGCGCGAGCGTTTGAAAACCTCACAGCGATCGCAATCCAGCCAGTCGACCGCGAGAATATTGATGGAGGCAGTCTGCCCCAAGTTCACGCTCTCAACTGCATCAAAGACATCCTCAAGAGCACTAGCCTCAGCGAGCTCTCTGACCGTCATGTTCCGGGTGCCCTCGAGCCGGTGGCTCGTTCACTCCGCTCAGACGTTTGGGCGATCCGCAACTGTGGTTTAATGTTATTCCGTGCTGTCATTGATCGTCTACTCGGCACCAGCGCTGCTCATCTGGAAGAAGGAGCTGCCTCCCATCAGCGATTGTCAGCCGAGCAGCATCCAAAGCTAGTCGACATCACCTTGGATCTGCTGGCTCATCCAAAGGAAGACCGGGACAGTGGACCGGCCGAAGACCACGAAGCGCTGTTTCCTGCGCTGCAATTACTACAACAGATGGACCTTTCCCACCAAACGCGCGCCGCTACTAGGAAGAAGATTCTGCTACTCGTGGACAGCCCGTCTTGGCTGATGAGAGACAAAGCGGCGCGGACATATGCTTCATTGGTCACGCCAGACGAAGTCGGACAAGAGATCACGGCCAGACTCGGCGTTGTCCCGAGAGATAGCAATGGGAGGCACGGCGCTCTGCTGTGTATGTGTTATCTCATCAGGAGACTTCAATCGTCCCAGTCGACCTCAATCTTTGCGACGCAGCCCTGTGCAAGCCATTCTGAAAGTGACAATTTTTCGAATTCGAATGCATGGCTGCCGCATTTGCTATCTGCAAGTCCAGAGTTCCTCGACGGCGGCTGTGCTGCGACGCAGGCAGCGTATGTTCAAGCCATCGCCGAAACAACGCAACTTCAGGGCCCAGATTTTGCGTTTGATATCGATATTGCACGCAAGCTAGAGTACAGCCTGATGGCTGAGAATTGGCGCCCAGAGCATCACGTACTACGCAGCGCTCTGGCTCTTGCGCTCGGCCATCAGATCTGCATCGATCAACAGAAATCAGGAGACGGAAACTCACATCACGCCGGGTTGCAGACGCTGATCCTATCGCTCGCAGCAATGGATGCAGATGCGTGCTCTGTGTTCTTTGGGGCCTTCACAAGACCTCGTCGGCAACTTTCCACTCTGCCAAAAGCGGCAGTCAAACAACTGTGGTACTGCGCAACTGAAGTCCTGAAGGGCCCATACGATCGAACTTTAAGATCCAAGGTACAAGCCTTGCTGCTGCGTCTATGTGATGAATGCGATCAGCACGGCATTGACGAACCGCAAATCTCTGCGCTCGCTGAAGCTCTCAACACCGCTGCTGCGTCGCCTTTTCTCGCCACCAGTCACCAGGACTACGCAGATCAATGGCTACAGTTACAAGCTGTTGTTCTCGAGCACCAATCACTCGGCATTGATGACGGGATCCCGGCAAAGCACTCACAGATACATGACTGGGTTCAATTTTGCTGCGAAGCGATACAAGGCGATGGCTTCTTTTCTCGCCAAGCTGCTGCTCTTGCAATCAGTCGTGTCAGACACTTGTGGCGGCACTTGGCTGCTCAGCAGCAATCTGGACTGTGCGAGCTGTGTTTTGGAGTGTACGATCTCCTCAACGACGATGACGAGGACATTCGCCTGCTTGCATCACGAGCCGTTGGTTGCATTACCCGGACGAATATGCGGATGAAGCCTCAAGTCGTCAAAGAGCCATCTTGTGCCAGTGAAAGGCTGGTGCAGTGGATGCTGGGAATATGGTCCACCAACCACTCCTTCATCCGAGGCGCTTTCGCACGCGCTCTGGGCATAAAGGATTCAGCATGGCCGAGCGTAGCGGAGCAAATATCGACGTACGAGACGAGCGATTACGCGCTCTTTGCAGAGGAGAAGCAGAACTTATACATCGACGAGGCGAGAGAGGTCAAACTTTGGTCTCGCGTGCTTCTGAAGGTGGACCTGACGACCATCCCGCCTTCGCTGCTTCGTGCTGCGTCGCAGTGGACTTGCGAGGGGTTGGATGTAATGATTGCAAAGTGCACCGCGGAGACGGATGGAGCACTTGGCTGGAGTACAAAAGGCGAAGTGTTCACGCTGGGATTACAGCTCATCTATGGCGTCGAGGTTCTCCTGCATACCATTGAGTCGGGGGTGAGACTGCCTGTTCGGCCATCAGCTCTTCGCATGAAGCTCGGCTTGTTTGGAGAGGCGGCTGGTACGAGCGGCATCAACACGCTGTGGGTTCGAGAGACTGATCGGGTGCTGACTTGGGCGGTTGAGAAGACCTTACAGCGGCACTATGTAGTTGTGAATAACGTGGAGAGAAGTGGGAGGTGAGTCGAGTGATGGCGGTTGCACGTGAGGTCGCTCTGGACCATGCTCCGCTGCTTAATCAGCATTCGATATCGACTTCTACCAGAATATGACCCTCTTCTCTTCCCTTCTTTCCACCCTCCTCGCCTTACCTCGCCTCCCTATCTTTGCGGACACAAACGCATGTGGACATAAGAATCCTAACCGCATGCCGTCCGCAACATGGCCGACCCCTTCGAAGTGCGCATGAGGTTCACCTCGCAACTCCAACACCTCAACGCCTCCACCACCTCCGCCACCAAAGCGGCCAACTACGCCCTCAAATACTCCGAGTTCAGCGACGACCTGCACTCCTGCATCCTCGAGCAGCTGGAGCGCAACAACGTTAACAACCGCGCGAACATCATGTACTTCCTCCCCTCCCTCTGCGACACGGCCAAGGCGCACAACGAGCTGGGCTACGTGCGCATGATGGAGCGCGACATCCTGCGCATCATCGACCTCGTCGCGCCCGACGACGGGAGCGGGGCGGCGAACGTCAAGGTCGTGCGCAAGGTGTTGCAGCAGCTGCAGCAGAAGTTGTACCTGCATCCGCAAACGGTCGTGGAGCTGGAGGAGTTCCTTGCGCCGCGCGATACTGCTCTCGCGAGCCCGCCGCAGCCTCCACCCGCGGCGCCGGAGCAGGATGGTGCGGCGTCTGTTGCGCGCTCGACGCCGCAGTCTGCGGCTCGGGAGCAGTTCCCTAATCCCGCTATGCGGCTGGACAAGAGGCAGATTGAGCAGCGGATTGAAGAGGATCGGGAGCGACACAAGCGTGCACGAGAAGGCATTTGGGCGATTGCACAGAGCGGGGGCACGAGTTTGGCGCAAGATGCAGAGGTGGAGAGGATATGGGCGGATGTGGGAGAGGTGGGCGAAGACGAGTGGAAGTATTCACGGGAGGAGATGGAGGAGAGGGTGCGGTGTATGGACTTTGAAGAGGGTTGAACGGAAAGGCGCGATTTGAATTTAGCACGGTGTTGGAGGCGTTGATTGCTGCACTATCGCGGCAACGAATCTTAAGGTATCTTCATCACCAATGACCTCTCTGTTCCCCCTGATTCAAAGTTCTGGTCTTGTGTAACCAGCGTAACGACGGGCGGAATCTCGGCCAGTTGATGCAGCTGTATAAGCCCTGCTTTCCACCCCGGCTCCGTCATTGTGCAGTGCCAGTGGTCTGCACCAATTACTCGTCGAGCCGGCATGGTGTAGTGGTAGCACGCTTGGACTCCGGATCCAGAGGCCCTCGTTCGATTCGATGGTGCTGGCAGCTTTTCTGTTTTGCTCTTTCCAGCAATTCAGCGTTTGCAAGTGAACGCCTCATGCTGGAGACTTGGCTCCTGGCACCCTTCACAGCTTATCCAGCAGCTTCCTCTTCCGTCTCTCCAACAACTCCGCCTCCACCTCCTCTGCAGTCGGCAAGTTCCACACCACACCATCGCCCACATCTCCCGGCAAAACCTCCCACTCCGCCTCGCCCTTCTCCTGCCCCGCCAACAATGTCTCAAACGCCTCGCTCTCTTTCTGCGCCTCATACTGTAACAACGTCCCATCCTCCTCATCCAGCCCATACCCATAATACCCAGCATCAACCCGCATCCTCAAGTCCGCCCGCGCCTCCCCACCCTTCCGCCTCTCTTCGTCCGGGCGCTGCTTCGCCGCCTCAAACAACTCCTTGACGCCCGGCAACTCCCTCGCCCGGCCAAAATACCGATACCCCTTCCCCCCACCCTCAATCACGCGGCCCTCCTCATCCGTCACGCGGCCCGCAGCACGCATATAATTCGGCCCGCCCAAATCTTTGATGCGCATCTCCCACTGCCACTTTTCGCGAAACAGCTTGTTGAGCTCATCGTTGACGTCGCGGATCTGGTAGTCGCTCAGCGCCGGGTCCTGGATCTTGGTGATTTTGCGCGAAATCTCCTTCAGCACTTGGCCGCGCCAGCGCTCGCAGGTGGGGATGTGGTCTTGTTGCGAGATGGCTTTGGGGCGTCGCGTGCGCGCTGTGTCGAGGATGCCCAGATCGGAAGCTTGTTGCGCGCGGAAGCGGAAGAGCATGGACTGCGCCTTTTCGGCGTTGCGAGCCATGTTGGGTGGTGGAGTGGGTGGTTGGGGGGTGGGATGTGTGCGTGGTTGATTGGAAGAGGCTGATGGACAAGATTTGGAAGTTCGAGAAGTTTAATTAGGGTTAGGGTTGATGGGGCTCGCCCCGGTTTGCCTTAAAAGCAGCCTTGCCGCCAAGCGAGACAGACGAAGTGGAGTCAACTCTCTCGTTGTCTGGATGAAGTCTCGATTCTTCGAGCTACAGGACTAGCTAATGGGGTTCCCAAAGATGTGTACGTGCTAGTCCCTGTCAATCTTTACCCATCGATTCCACCCGCCTGTCCGGAACCCTCCATCGGGTACCACCAGCACCTCCCGAGACTGCGGCAGTCGCCTAGGCCTCCTCCGCCAGAATCGTAGGGACAACCGTCGGCACGACCTTGGTGACGGTGGAAAGGATGCTCGTCAGCGGCAGGCCAGTCGACTTGGTCTTCTTGCCCTTCTTCGACTTCTTCGTCTTCTTGGACTTCTTGGACTTCTTGCCCTTCTTGTCCTCTTCCGTCGAGTCGTCGCCGACGACGGCGGCTTTGGTGGTGTGGTGATGCTTGGCTGTGTGCGTCTTGGTGGCGAGCTCGACGGGCTCGCGCTCCTCGAGGACCTGCGTTTGTCAGTTAATTGAGGGGATTGTGAACGATGGGAACTATGCGTCTTACAAAGCCCTCGCCGACGGCTACTGAGCCATCGACATCCGCGGCCGGGGCGGTGTAGGCGCCTTGGAACAAGGCGAACAGCGCGAAGCTGCCAATCACGGCGAGACGGACCATGTTGGGATACAGAAGGTAAGGTAGGATTAAAACCGTGAAGTAGATAGATCGAAGTCAGGAGGGAAGAAGTCGATCGAGTCGTGGCAGGAATGAAGGAAGGCACGGTGGACGTGAGTGGTTTATATACCTCGCTCAGCCTTGGGGTGGGTTGGCATCTCCGCCGTTTCGGAGGAGCCCGACACTCCACTCGTCAGTTCGATCGCTTACACCAGCGCTTACTGGCGAGCGGTAGTCCATTGTGCGAACCAGAGGCAGAAAGCCGACAGGCCAACGAGAGTGGGCGAGATCGACGACGTGATGGCGTGGACGATGCACAATGGCGACAGAAAGCGTATCTTCGGGGCGGCCCACTTCTGTACCAAGCCCACACATCCAGAGGACTGGTTCGGGTACCCTGCGGTAGTTGGGGGTGCTTGCGCGGTAATTCGCTCAGACATCCAGGTACCCTGAGGTTGATCCATGTTTCGGCAGATCGTCGACGGTTTGGCGCTAGCGCTCCGCAAGGCTGAGAGTTTGGGCGTTGCGATGGCGCAACCAGGACAATTCTCCCTGCGCTCCAACGATGGGAGCGGAGAATGCCGGAGGAGTAACGGAGCTGGGAACTTCTTTTCTGGATACACAAACGTGCGTGACGCGTTGATTGAATACGTGTGTGCTATCGAACATCGGTCTAGTCTACTTCCCTCATCACATTTTCGTCCCAGAACCCTCCATCCTGCAATCTAGATCTCTCACACATACAAAGCGTGTCAATTACGAGGCATCATCAAAGTCGGACCTCCAACATCTGCGTCACCGATCTTTGCGGTGCTTAGACGGTGACGGTGGGAGTGACGGTCGGGGTCACAGTGATGGTGGTGTGGGGGTGAGTGAGGGTGGAGATGATGGAGCTGAGGGTGTCGGTGGTCTTCTTGGGCTTCTTGGTCGAGGTTTTCTTGGGCTTTCCAGTCGAGGAGGAGGTCGAGGAGGAGGTGGTCTTCGTAGGCTTTCCCTTCTCAGTCGACGACGAGGTGGAGGTGGGCGTAGAGGTGGTCGGGGTAGAAGTGGAGGTGGTGGAGATGGAAGTGGTGGAAGTCTTCTTCGGCTTTCCAGTGGACGAGGAGGACTTGGTCTTCTTGGGTTTGTCGGTGGAAGTGGTCTTGTGCGGCTTCTTGCCCTTCTTGCCCTTCTTCGTCTTCTTGGCCTTGTGCACCGAAGAGCTCGTGGTGGTCGCCTTGTGATGATGGTGTTTCAAGTGGGTGGGCGGGGGAACAATGATGCTGGTGGTGGTGCTGTGCTTCTTCGCATCTTCGAGGGCCTACGTCGTCCATTAGTAAAGGATGCCTTTTGATAGTGAATGATGCGGGAACATACCGCTGCCACGTTCTCGAACTCAGGCGCAGGCGCGGGCGCGGTGTAGGCGGCCTGGAATAAGGCGAACAGCGCGACGCTGCCGAAGACGGAAAGGCGGACCATGTTGATAGGAAGTAGGGTGGGAGTGAGGTGTAGATTGAGATGGAAGTGAGGAATCAGGAATTCGATGAAGGATAGCGAACACAAAGAAAAGCCAGCACCCACTTGGACGCGATGGCTTTATATATCTCGAGCGCTCAACGGTTTCCTTTGAGAACTCCCGCCGCCTCCAATTCCCTGACGGGAGGATGAAACGCTCACCAACTAGCAACCCTGGCAATCATTGCGTAGATCATAGCAACGGCAGTCGTCGCTTGCAGGCCGCGTTTGCACATGTCCGCTGTTGGTGGCGCAGTTGGGAGTCCGTTGCGGAGACGGAACCGCTGCACTGCTCGAGCACCGGGCGGGTTGGCCGCGAGACGAGGCAAGGGGAGCGACGGGGTTGGACGAATGGGCGGGCGGCAATGGACGTCGGAGATGGCGACACCTCCGGACGTCTGGTATGCCACGGCTGGATTGAGCAAAGCTTGAGCGGCGGAAGGCTGGAAGCTTGATTGTGATTACTGCGGGACGGTGCGGTGATTGAAGGGAGGAAGGAAAGGCGGGTCGTGGTGGTTAAGCGAAGGCGGATGGGCAACGTTCGCGCGCCGCCAGCGCTGGCTGGGCCACCGGCCCCTGTCTGAGGTGCTTTTAAGCTTTCGCAGCCTCGCGGGCGCCCCCCAAATGGGGAAGGCGTTACCTCCCCCCCACTGCAAACGTAAGCTCGCTTCGTCAATGTCGCCATCACTCAAACAAACTTATCGCTCGCACATGCAAATCATCACTCCACCCGTTGCTGACTTGATCCATCTCCCCATGGAACCGCAGCTTTCGGGCCCGATGGCGCTCCACTGTTTGTTGCAAACACCACCGCAACGCTCCCCGTGCAACAGTCGAGCCAAGTTTGGGAGGCGGTCATCGTTTCATCGGCACGTCGATGTTTCGGCAGACGCATTCGCGTGGATCGCCCAATGCAGCGCGGGAATCTGAGGCTCAATATCTGTACAACGAGGCCATGCACAGCTCCCCTGCATTGCGACTGCGCGTAGAACGCGGATGGATGCATCAGGTGGGTGGATTGGTGGCTTGGCTGTCTGCGCAGATGGATTGATTTGATGGATTGTGGCGGACGCAGGTTGGAGGCTAGCTGGCAGGCCTGGAGACGCTGTAGCGAGCCGCACGCCTCATTCGTGTTTATTCGTGGGATTGCTCAACCAATGCTCCCAGCACGCCTTTCTCAGCCCTCCAACTAGTTATGCCCACCGCTCGTTTGCTCGGGGATCTCAGCCACTCCCTGGGAATATCTGTAATCACCACGACGATCCATGCAGAAGATTGGAAGGAACTGCAAAGCGTTCCTACAGCGCCACAACGGTACTTCACATGGAGGACGCTGCTGACGCGCGGCACCCGCTGCAACAACTCTGGTCCATCGTCCTTGTACGGCGTTCCAGATATGTAAGTAAATAATTTCGCATGTTTACTCATCATCCAGCGATCCATAGACCCCATCCGAAGACTGCAGCCTATTGAGTTTGCGTTTCATCGACTTTGATGATGTCTTCACTAAACTCCTCGGTGATCTCGGACTCCACCCCGACCGCCGTCCCTACTGTACTGTACCACTTTTGATGTCCATGTCGCAACTGCCCGTCGGCTCGTCACGTGAACTGGCGAGGAATGTCCCTTTCGACATTAGTGTTCCTGCTGTCTCCTTATTGGCGGATCTCGAGAGCAGCCTTGCGTACGATTTAGTGTCCAAGTATAGAGGAAAGTACTGCATACAGAGCACCGAAGAAGCAAGAAAACAAGCAAGCGCCTCGACAGCCGCACCGCGCGAGATCTCTTGAAAGAACACAGGTTTTATTGATGGGTATTAAACGACATAAACCAAACCGTCGTGGACTCATTGATAAAAGATACCCAATCAAGCAGCAGCGCCAGCAGCATGCCCATCAATCACCTCCTTCATATCCTCCGCAATAAAGCGATGCACATTCGTCTCCATGTTCCCCGCCGTGAACCAGAAAAACGGGCGCGCATTCGTCCAGTTGCCCTGCCCCTTGTTCGTATCCGACTGGCACTGCTTGAACTTCGTCCAGGGCAGCGTGTTGCCGTTGCCGGCGTCGCAGCAGTAGTTGAGCGGCTCGGTGAAGCCGAAGGAGTCCTTGTTGTTCATGATGTTGACCATGCGGCCGAAGACGTCGTAGTAGACGAGTTGCGCCTTGTACTTTGACGCCGCGAGCGAGGATTCCAGCTTCGCGTTGGCCGCTTGGATCACCTTGCCCCAGTTCTTGGTGCACACGTTGTTGCCCTTGCACCAGTAAAGCAGGCTGGCGGGCGCGAGGTGCAGGGGGTAGATGTTGGGCACGACGACGGCGACGGCGCCGGCTTTGGCGAGCTGCTCGGCTTGCGTGACGAGCAGGCCGCTCCACGTGTTGTAGAAGTCGACGTTGTGCGCGTTGTTCACCGTGATCTGGGTGGGCGGCCGGACGCCCCAGTTGGTGTGCTTTTTGACGTCGTTCTGCCCCACCCACACGAGAGCGAGGGAGCGTTTGACGTCCGGCACCGGCTCGCCGTCGGATGGCGGCTTGCCTTTGAGAAAGCTGGTGATCTGCTCTTTGGTCGACGGGACTGGCTTGCCTTGGTACAGGTTTTTGGCGGGGGTGTAGCTGTTGTCGACGGTGGGGCCGGCCAGGCCGCCTCCATAACTACCTCCCCAAGAGTAATCCGACAGCGGCACATCGAGAAGATCGCTCAGATATTGCACCGCCACAGGCCCATCGGTCCAGGTGTGGTGACCGTAGATGTTGCCGGGATTCAGGCCGTGGGCGGTCGAGCCGTTGCCGTTGTCGCTTAACTGATCGCCGAAGACGAGCAGAGTGTCGAAGTCCAGGGCAGTGGTGAGGCCTAGAAGCAGCGCAAGGCTGTGCCACGTTTGAGCACGCATGTTGGTTGATAGTGTTGGTCAGCCTGATGGCTTGTTCGATAAGTGTTCTTGAAGAAAGCGTGGTGTGAATGGGTGTTGATAAGAAAAGCGTGTGCAAAGACTTAGCCGTGAACTGGTCGGTGGCAAAGATGAAGCAGGGTGAATATATACTACACCGTACAGCAGCGACGAGTCCGTTGACGCATTCGTACCAGAGCAAGATGTAGTGAACTTGGCACCAAGCAATTGGCATTATGCAGATCGGCTTATATTCAAAGGAAATAAAGCGTCGGTTCGCCACACAAAGGCCTTTGTTCACTGGCGAGGCTGCAGCACAATGGAACAATGGATGAGAGCGAGCGGGTGAACAATGCGAGTGTGCGGGTTCGATATGCCACGGCGACGACGATCAGCAGCTGTCGAGGAGTCACACAATCGCGTTCTTCTTCTACTCCCTCCATACCGACCTGAATGACAGATTGGAGGGGGAGGCGGGCGCACTCCTGAGATATGTGCGAAAGGTGGAGAAGACGAAGCAAGCAATAAAGGTAGCGGGATAAACGTTATAAGCGGGGCTTGGCCTGAACTCTAATTTCCAACCCACAGCGCCGCCTCATCGACATCGCGCACTCTCCAAGGCGGATAATCCCCTAAGCGGTTCACACGTTCGACGACATGACGCGCCGGTTCCATGCGCTCGCACGTCGGCTCACGAAGCCACGTGCGCCACCCGGCTCCGATTTGCCCGATAGAAGGCGGTTGCTGAACGTCACGCCTCGCCTGGTTGAAACAACGACGACATTGCAGTGGCGAAAAGCCTGAATGTTCCCTGTTGGATTCGCTAATATATGTCAAGCGACCCAGACCTTTTGTGAATTCCCTGGACTCTGCCAAGTGGATGTTCGTCGCTGTGTCGGGTGAGCCTTCCACGCCTTGGCTACTGTCATCTCTACGTCTGCCATCGGGTGCGGGTAAAGAAGACGTTCACGGAAGACACTGTATGTCGTCATGCGTGGCATGTCCCTTCCATGTTTACAAGTCCAGCCCTCGGGTCTTATTGCTCTCAATCCACGCCAGCGTACAGGTCGACCACGATGTTGATGGCGGCCACGAGAATCTCCGCTGCAATGAGGACAATGACGATCCATTCAAGGTACTCCCCTGGCGTCGTTGTTAGCATCAGATTGATAGCAAGGGAGTTGTGAATATCTCACCATGTGTATGAGAGAGTTGATCTTTCAACACCGCCAGCAAATCCGCAATCACGCCCACCCGCTCCTGCAAAAGCGAGACCCTCTGGTCCATCTCCAAATAGCTGCGCACAGCTTGGTACACGGGTTCCAATTGCGGCTCGGCCCACATCAGCTCGGGAGCATCGAGCACCGAGCCCTGTAGATGGATGTTGATGCGCAAGATGAACAGCTCGCCAATTTGCATGTTGATCTCGCGGCGTGTGAGGTTGATGCGGCCGGTGCGAGCGATGGTGGAGGGGATGGATTGCGTTGTGCTGATGGTGGCGTCGAGGAGGTCTTCGTAGAGGGAGGTCTGGAATCATCACATTAGCAACCGGTAATGCGGGACCATCGGGGCTGGAGGCCATGACATACCTTTGTACTCTGCGCAAGAGCATGACTGATGGCAAGCTTGGTCATGTAATTCCTCTTCTCCCGCAAGGAAATAAAGTCATTGTAAATCCGCGCCTGGTACTCGCGAGTGTAGTAGAAATTGAACTCTTCCGTCTGAATATCGTCCTTGTCCAGCTTCTCCTGCTCAAACTTGGCAATCTCTTTCAGGAAGCGCTGCTCTTCTTTCATCGTCATGCCCCAAATGACCACCACGCCGTACTCAAACAGAAACACCTCGGGAATGTGGACATCGGTGTCGAAGTCGGGGGTGATGGGTCGCGGTTCGATGCTGGAAGTGGTGTCGATGGCCTCGGCATCTACCTCGTGCAGCGGGTTGTTCGGCTGTCCTGTTTCGAGCGTGGTGTCGCCGGCAGAGGTCTCGATGTCGGTGGTGAGGTTGATGAGGTCATCCCGCCTTCTCTCCTGATTGTCGTCTACCTCAATCGCGCTGTCTGAAAAGCGTCTCGCGGGCTGGGAGAGCACTCGACCAGGCTCTTCCGAGTGACCGCTCCCTCTTCGTCGGTCTCCAAGGGCATCCTTTTTGTACGTGTAGGGGGTGTATATGCATTCATCGAAGATCTTGGGCGCCGTTCCTTTCGTCTTCGTCCGGCCTTTCAAGAAGCGCATGAGATCATCAATGCGGTACGAGCTGGCGGTGCAATACGCCGTGACGCGCGGCAGCTTCGCCCGGTCATCCTTGCCCAGCCTCGCGGCATCCCTTCGGGCAGTGGGATCGGTGATGCGAGTAAACTGGCTGTACACGTCGCGCCCGCTCTCCTCATCAGGCACTTCACCCTGCTCGGGGTTGGGAAGGAGCTTCAACTTCTGCGCCGTGCGCGTCGTGCGCTGCGGCCCGATCTTGTTGATGGGCTGTTGTGGGGGGAGTTGCAGCGCGGCACCCGAGCTGTTCCGTCTTCGGAGCTTGCTGTTCAGCGAGGCCAGGATGGGCTGCGGGCCATCTCGCGAGGAGGCGGCGGAGGCGAAGGCCGCGGTGGACGAGGTTTGCGGCTGCACGGGGAATTGCGAGCGACGTTTGGGAGGGCTGGCGGAGGAGACTTGGGGGTTGAAGGTAACACTGCGGGATGCTTTGGTTGCGATGGGAGAGGCTTGTGATCTCGATTGGAGGAGCGGGGTGGTGTCGGAGGGGTTGGTGGTGGAGGAGGCCATGGTAGGAGGACGGGGAGATGCTTGTCCGACACGACGATGAGCATCCAATGGCTCTGGGGAGGGAGGAGATGGACGATGCACGTGTTTGGGTTGTACTGCAGCTTGCTATGCGTCTTGGCAACGTCGTAAAGCTTCCTGCATGACGATTGTCGGGCGGAGTTTGATTCGCTGTGATTGGCTGCAGCCTTCCACCATTCACTTCACGGCTTCGGCTACATCGAGAACTACATCTCCTCTATGGAATGAACACCGCTGATATATCCTCATCCTCGCTCCCCAATCAATCATACAAGATCTCAATATCCGTCACCGCCCGATCCACACAACTAAGCATGTAATCCCCCCTCTCCTTCTCCAACAACCCCATGCCATTATGACACACCTCGCCCTTGGCCACCGCAACCTTGCACGCTCCACACCCACCCCGTTCACAGAGATATGTCATATCAAATCCGGCATCTCTCAGCGTGCGTAATAGCGTCTTGTCCGCTTCAACTCGCAGCTGCACGCTCCGTCCAGCCTCTTCATCGTGCACCGTAACGTTGAAAGGCTTCGAGTCCTTCGCTGCCTTCCCAGCGCCTTCGAAACTCTCGAAATGCAGGAGGTGCGGGGGATAGCCTAGCCTCGCTGCATGTTCTCGAACGGTATCCATGAGTCTGTTAGGTCCACAGGTGAAGATGCGCGTCGTGAATCTCCCATCCGACTCGCTTGGAGGCGGGATCAACTCCTGCACGTCCAGGCGCTTCTGTTGCGTTTTAGCGTAAAGTTTCAGGCGAGAAGACGGGATGCGATCGACGAATGCCGCGTCTTCAGGACTGCGAACGGCGTAGTGCACTTCATAGGGTAGGTTTTGCGCTTCGCAGAGGTCGATGGACGGCAGGAACGCCGTCACGCCTATGCCGCCTATGATTATGATGCGGTTGTCGATGGCGTCGGGCGTGCATTTCTCTTCGGCTTCGATGCCGGCTGGGTCGCTGCCTGGTGTCATGCGGATTTCGTCGCCGAGGGCCAATTTGCTGTGGATGTAGCTTGAGCCGCCTCGGGTGTTATCGTCGAGGGCGACACCGAGGGTGAATCGGTTCATGTCGCCAGAAACGATGGAGTAAGAACGTGAGATGCTGAAGTCCGGGCCAAAGTCGATTTTAGCAAAGCTGTATGCAGGGAACGTAGGCTTGTGAATGACGAGGTTGTGCTCGTCGAGTTCAAACGTCAGGTGCTTCACTCGCGAAGTGACGTTCTCGGCGCTCACCAGCCTGTACCTCTTCGTCGCCGTCAACATCCTCTTTGCCGCATATCCTCGCACCGTCTCCGTCAGGACATCCAGCTCCATGAGTTCCTGCACGAGTTCCAGCGGCACCGACTTCCCCTGCACCACTCGCTTCACATTCAGCAACGACCACTGCGGATGCGGACGTTCCAGAAGCACCATCTCATCGCCCTTTCGGATGTACCCAGTTTGCAACACGCGCATCAACCAGCCCACCCGTCCAGTGCGAGTGATCCGCTTCAGCGCCCTCGGCCATTGAAAGCGTTTGTTGAGCTTGTAGCATGGGTCCCGGGGCTCGCTGACTTGCAGAACAACCTCTTTGCCAACGCGGTACAGATCGCCAACACACACATTCGCCTCCGTCATCCCCGTAGCCACGAGGTTCTCCCCGAAGTCTCCGAGTTGGAAGAGATCCGGAAAAGGCGAGCTTTCGCAGCGCCAGTCGGCGTAGTGGTCCGCATCGTATTGCATGACCGCACGCTCGACGCCTCCGTGCGGAGCGTAGACGTGTTCGTCTCCGGCGAGGCCCGTCAGGCCGACGTAGATGGCTTCATCGTGGGGTTCCTTGAAGATTCCCGAGGGCTCGCCGTGGAGATCTTTCACTGCGCCGAAACGGACCTCTAGGAGCTGGCTTTTGGGCGGTTGGGGCGCATGCTCGAGTTGAGTGATGACTTCTTTGGTGATGTTGCGGTCGCATATGGAAGGCATGAGGATGGTTGAGTCGACGGGTTTGCTGCTGCCGGCAGAAGATGAGAACCGTTCGCCACCTCCTATCACACAGAATTTCGACGCATCTAAAATGATGGCAATTGGTCGGGATATCGAGACCTGCCTGCAATCATAAGCAAGATCAGAGACGAGGCTGATCCTACGGACTCATGGGAAAATTGTTAACCGTCAACTTATTGCAATACGATTGGGCTCTCAAAGCGGGAGCTAGCGGAAGTCCTACCCCTAACCCTGCTAACCCTACAGCACAAGAGTGTCGCCATGAAACGAGTGTCGCCATGAAACTACGTCATGCACAATTGGTGGAAGGACGATAATTGCACGAGAGAGAGACTCGGAACACGCATGGCCAAGAAAAAAGATACGAAATACTTTTCACGCTACGAATACAACCACAGAGTTACGCATCCCTCAAGTTCAGGAGGTGCGGTACAACGCAATCGTGTCGACGAACCCATCCAAGTTATCGTTGTAGTACGCAGTTTGCGTGTTACCCGTGGTGATTTGGTAGTGCGTTCCGACTGTGAAATATCCTCGTCAGCAATGCATCCAAACGACACGGAAAAGTAAAGCAGACAACTCACCAGTATTCTCATTGTAAACATTGATGTTGCTGTTGCTTCCCTGCAGCTGGAAAATCTCGCTCTGGCAGATCTCGCCATTCCCCTGAGCGGAGCAAGTGGTGCTGTAGTTGTTAAAGAAACTGTAGAACCCCGCGCCGTAGATGAGGATGTTGTCGGAGCTGACGATGCGCAGGCCCCACGCGTCGGCATTGGGGATAGTGTAGCCGTTGGCGGTGATTGTGGCTTTCGCGAACTTCGGGTCGGAGTACGTCGCGTTGTAGGTCCACGGGGTAGGCGCGGACGGGTTGGGCTGGTAGTACGGCGTCTCGGTCTGGATTTGGCCGGCGAAGACGGTCGACGCGTTGACGAATTGGTATTGGTAGAGGGTGTGGTGTTCCACCGCGCCGCCTACTAGCCAGACGGGGCCGGCGCTTTCATCCAACAGGCCGCGGCCGGAGTAGACGGTGATTTGCGTCTCGGCCTGGCTGTCGGCGTCGTGGTCCGCGGTCCAAAGCCAGTTGTTCTCAAGGTACAGGCCCGAGCTCTGCTCCGTGATGTGGAGGGTGAGGAAGGCGGCGATGCAGTTCTTGTTGAGGTTGCTAGCGGTGACCGTTGTTTTTGGCGTGATGGGGCAGTTGGCGGCCTGGAGGTTGGAGCCGGCGAAGCCGCCGATGCGCGCATGCACATCCCAGATCCCCGAGACGCCGCCTGACGACGAGCTTCCCCATGACGATGAAGAGGACCCTGCAGAGTTGAGGTTGTATTGGAAGAGGATTGCGCCTTGCTGCTGTCCTTGGGTGGACACGATCATATCACTCCACTGGATGGATCCAGTCTGCCCGGGATTGCCAATTTGCACGATGGGCTGCGGGTTGTTCATGTTATTGAAAAATGATCCACGGGAAAGAATGACCGAGTAGCTCTCGCCCACAATGTTTAGGCCGGGAGGGAAGAGGAGGGTGCTAGTGACGATGTAGTCGCCGGCGTCAACGAACAAGATCTTGTTCTGGGCCACGGCGGAGTTGATTGCCTTTTGGAGAGCGGCGGTGTCGTCCGTCTTGCCGTTTCCAGTGGCGCCGGCGCTGCGCGCGCTGATGAAGCTGGACACCGGGTAGGAAGCGTACTGGGGCTTGGATTGCACATAGTAGTTGCCGTTCGATCCCAACAAGGCAGATGGGCGGTTGACGGGAGAGATGTTGCTTTGGAAGGTCGTGGGACCGTTGGGCGTGTATTCGTGCCCTTCACCCCAGGCCGAAATCTTGGTGTTGGTCGGAGTTCCAGCCAGGGCCGTCTTGCCGTTTCCGCCTTGCACGGCAACCGGAACGTTGTTGAGAGAGATGTTCTCCAAGATCAGGGAGTTGGCCGTGGGAGGGCTCGAGCTGCCCTGGACATAGCCGGTTCGAACGAAGACGGGAGTGTTGGACACCGTAGAATCGAAGAGGGTAACGCTGCCCACCGAGAGTCCGTTCGCGCCGACCGTGGACATGTTCAGGCCCAACGTGCAGTTGTTGATATTGAGACCGTAGTAAGTCCCTAACGTTTGTGATCAGCACTGGTCAAAATCCATCGAACTGCATGTACTTACAGCCCCAGTCCCAGATTTGGTTAATGGCAGTCACGACGCCGTTGAAGGTCATGTTGCGCATGGTAAACTGTTGGTTGCCGAAGTTGCCGCCATACCGGCCTCCGTTGAAGACGAGATCGGTCATGAAGCCTCCACTTCCCGATTCGATGTAGATGCCTTGATGCAGCGTGCCCTTGTTGGCGTTCATGTTGAAGACGACATTCTGGATGCTGGTGGCTTGTCCCGTCGGCCAATGGATGCCCGTCACAGAGGCTTGTGGGGGAAGCAGCGTCATATCGATGATGAAGTTCCGGATTTGTCGCCAGAAGACGTTGGTCGAGCCATAAGCCAAAGAGCCACCGGCGCCTACATATGGATCTCCGTCGATCAAGCCGATGTAGCCGGCGGGGGCGTTGAAGGTGGAGAAGGCGCGAATGGTGGGGACGCAGTTGGGATTGCCGATGAGCTGGGTGTAGTAGTAGTCGACGATAGACGAGCTGATCATGTACGTTCCAGCAGGGAAGTAGACGAGGGCGGGTTGGGTGGTGGAGGAGCTGCAGCTGCCAGGCGCGCAGCGGTTGCCGGAGGAGATGGCCAAGTTGATGGCCTTGGTGTCGTCGGTAACCCCATCGCCCTTGGCGCCGAAGTCCTTGACGTTGCGGAAGACCTGGTACGTGGAGGGATTCGAATTGAACGCGGCAATGCCCTGGTGAGTGATGTTCTCAAGCCAGTAATTGCACTGAGGGCTGGCAGCTTGTGCCTGGCTGAAGGGGACGTTGAGTTTTGCGTCGATTTTGACACCAGGAAGGCCCTTGAATGCGGTGTACGGGGCAAACTCGGTCAGGGCGTGTTGTACGTCCTGTTGAACTTCGGGAATCCAATCCTGCTCGGGCTCATAGTGCCCGTTCTGCGCGAGTGAAGGAGTGACGGCAGCCAGGAAGGCTGCAAAGAGGAAAGACGAATGCATGCTGTGCGGATTGCAAAAAGAGTGACTGCTACAGCTGCGAGGAATGAAGGAGAGGAAAGAAGAAGAAGAGGGTAATGAACGTCAGTCGAGACGGGGCGAGGCGAGGTTGAGAAGCGAGAGAGAGGGAGAGGGAGCGGAGGAGGCAGGACTCACGACCTTCTTATTCTTCTTGCAGACAGACGCCCCTCGTACCACCCACCGTCTGTGATGCCGCGGCGTGCACTACATGCATCCACCCACCCACCCCGAGGCACAGGCGATGGCGGGCGTCTAGAGTGATGATGTTCATTTGACCGTTAGAGGCAGGCCCAGTCGCCAAGCCTCCCCCGCAAAGCCTGGGCGGGCTTAATCTCCTTTGCCTCCGCGAGTGGATCGAATGCGGACAAGCTTCATGCTCCCTCCAACCGCTTGGACCGCGCATCGTCTGCCGGCCCTTGGCACGACGGCCCAGTGCCTCCTTTCCCTGCGCCTGCATGCAGGTGAAATTGCTTCAGTCTCCCTGCAGCGATCCCAACCAGCGAAGTGGGTGTTTGACGATCATTCGTATGCATGGCGTGCCCACTGAATAGCTATGTTCTAGGCAGGTGGGTAGTACACAACCGCGCCTACCCACCTCCTGTACCGCATAAGAGACCAAACACTCCTGCATCTGTAGTCTGCCGACCTCTGTATTGTGGCTTCGGGCTCTCCGATCTTTCTTTGTGAGCAGCCAGCCACAACAAAGCCACACGAGCATTCCTGTGATCCAGATCAGGTCGTGCACTGTACTTCATTATTTCCCCTTTTCCCTCGACCGCCACCTATTTCGACAAGACGGTCGGTCGGGAATGTTTCTCCCTGCTCGGGTTTGCATCAAAGCTCGGCGGCAAGGCTGGCTGAGCCTCGCTTACACGTGCCGGCTGCGGGCCCCTGCCCAATATCTGACAACGGCCAGATTCATTCCGACCGTTGTCAGGCAGCACGGGATGATCTCAATCACGTTGCCGTCAAAGGCTTTCGACGGACACGAGAATGGAAGAAGTGTTCAGTAACAGATACCGTCATTGTGTATAGCTATGAAAGAAATACCATACATCTAGCCATGAGCAGGCTTCTCTCTTCTCGTCCAAAATGTGTTCCGATTAAATCCACGCAAAGACGACGTGTAAGACGTCGCCTTGCGCATCAGTCAGTGTCGAAAAAGATCAATGGCATATTCGTCAAGTCGTGCCGGGGTGAACCAAGCTCAAAGGAGCTCAAGACGACCAACTCTTGGTGGTGGTGCTGCCGCCGTAGCTGGGTGGCGTGGGAGTGCTCGTCCAGCCGCCGCCACTGGTGATGGTCACCGTCTCCGTCGAGCAGGTCTCTTGCGCCGTAACGGTCGAGACTTTGCTCACGGTGATGGTGGAAGTGGGAGGCGGCGTGACGGGGCCGACGGGGGTGGTTGCACAGCTGGTCACCGTCTCATGGCAGGTGGTTGTGCTCGTCACCGTCGAGACTCCGCCGGTCGGGCAGGTCGAAGTTCCCTGGACGGTCGTCGTGATTGTCGAGCCAGCGCCGCTCTGGGTGACGGTGGCGGTGGTGGCTTTCGGGCAGCTCGATGTGCCTTGAACGGTCACCGTGGAGGTTGCTCCGGTGCCTTGAACCGTCGTCGTCACTGTGGATCCAGCACCGCTCTGCGTAACAGTGGCGGTGGTGGCCTTTGGACAAGTCGTTATGCCTTGAACCGTCGTTGTGACCGTGGATCCAGCACCGGTCTGGGTAACCGTGGCTGTCGTCGCCTTCGGGCAGCTCGATGTGCCTTGAACCGTCGTTGTGACAGTGGAGCCAGCACCGGTCTGGGTGACGGTCGAGGCAGTGCAGACAGAGGCCGGGCCAACAGGCGAGCAAGTAGAGACGGTCGAAGTGAACGTCACCGTCACCGACGCTGTCTTCGTACCGGTCTCCACTTCGGTCGTGGTGTAGCCCTGCGCAGTTGCGGTCTGGGGGAGGTCAGTATGTGTCGAAGATGTGTGGGGAGATCATGCTTTCACATACCTGGGTGATGGTGACATCAGATGTGACGACCGAGGTCTGGACGTGCGTGTTGGTGCTTGTAACCGTCGTTGCCGAGCCTGGAAAGTAGTGTTAGCAGACCATATGATTGCAATGAACCACGATGGACTAACCTGTCAAAGTGACGGTCTGGGTGACGGTCGATCCGGGACCAGTAGAGACTTTGGTGACAGTAGTGGGCGCCTCCGTGGCTGTGATGGTGGTCGTAGCCTCATTGGTTTGGGTCTTGGTCACAGTCTCCGTGCTTCCAGGTCCGGTTTGCACAGTAGTGATCGTAGCAGTCTCCTCATTGGTCTGAGTCTTGGTCACAGTTGCAGTTGTGGCCGGGCCAGTCTCAATGGTCGTGACGGTCTGCGGCGCTTGCGTGGCAGTGATCGTAGTCGTGGCCTCGTTCGTTTGCGTCTTGGTCACCGTCTCTGTCGTACCCGGAGCGGTCTGCGTCGCCGTGACCGTTGTCGGAGCCTCCGTGGCAGTGATCGTAGTCGTAGCCTCGTTGGTTTGAGTCTTGGTCACGGTCTGCGTAGTGCCCGGTGCCGTCACGACAGTCGTGATGGTCTGAGGCGCTTGGGTGGCAGTGATGGTCGTTGTCGCCTCATTGGTTTGAGTCTTTGTCACAGTTTGAGTGGTGCCAGGAGCCGTCACAACAGTAGTGATAGTCTGCGGTGCTTGCGTGGCAGTGATGGTAGTAGTGGCCTCGTTGGTCTGAGTCTTGGTCACCGTCTCTGTCGTACCCGGAGCGGTCTGCGTCGCCGTGACTGTAGTCGGAGCCTCCGTGGCGGTAATGGTCGTTGTCGCCTCATTAGTCTGCGTCTTGGTAACAGTCTGCGTGGTGTCAGGTGCAGTCTGCGTTGCGGTGACGGTTGTGCCGGGCAAAGTGGTCTTCTCCACAGTCGTGACGGTGCTGGGAGCCTCGACAGACGTGACGGTGGTGGTGGCTTCGTTGGTCTGAGTCCTGGTGACCGTCTCGGTGGTTCCTGGGATTCATCAGCGAGGAGCACAAAGGAGAGGGCATCGCCATTGCAAGGCGAGGGATGGACGCTCACCTGGTGCAGTCACGACGCTCGTAACAGTCGTGCCGGGCGCAGTCGTCTTCTCGATCGAGGTGACCGTGGTGCCTGGAAGCGTGGCGGTCTTGGTCACAGTCGATTGCTGGATGCTGGTGACGGTAGTCGTGGTCGCTGCGAGGAGTCAGCCCATGCTCAGGCATTCAAAGGATGTTTGCAGAGAAGGTTACTAACCAGGAGCACTCTGGATCTTGGTGCTGGTCACCGTTGTAGCCGGAGCGGTGACTGTCGCCGATTTGGTAACCGTGGTCTGCTCAACCGAAGTCTGGGTGACGGTGGTGCCTGGCAGCGTACGGGTGGACACAACAGTCTCCGTCGTTTGCTCGGTCGCGGTGCTTGTCACAGTGGATCCTGAAAGCCATGTCAGCATACTTGAAGTGCGTTGCCAGGGATTGCGAGAGGGCGCTCACCGGGCAGCGTCTTGGTCTGGAACTCGGTGGTCTCTTGGGTGACGATCGTCGTGGCCTGGATAGTGGACAGCCTGGAGATGACATATGGTCAGTGATGTGCAATGGGTAGCATGAGGGAGGGTGGCAGCGTACTTGGTCTCCGTCTGAGTAGCTGTGACCTCAGAGCCTGAGACGGTCTGGGTGACAGTAGCTCCCGAAAGAGTCTTGGTGATAGTCGCCGACGTGCAAACATTGGTTGGGCCCACAGGCGAGCAAGAGGTGACGGTCACAGTGCCCGTGGAGCCAGGAAGGGTGATGGTGGCTGAGGTGCATTGGGCTGGCGAAGTCACTGTAGAGGTGTACCCTGGAAGCGTGACCGTACCCTGCGTGCATTTTCCTGGAACAGAAACAGTAGTCGGCGTGCAGACGTTAGTCGGTCCGACAGGAGAGCAAGATGTAACTGTTGTCGTCTGGCCTGGAGCGGTAGTGGTCTTGCCCGGAAGCGTGGCTGTCGACCACGGGACAGAGACGGTGGACGGCGTGCATACGCTGGCGGGTCCAATGGGGCAAGATGTAACAGTGGTTGTCTGGCCGGGGGCGGTGGTGGTCTGACCTGGAAGGGTGACCGTCGAGCCCGGAGCAGAAACGGTAGTCGGGGTGCAGACGTTTGTCGGGCCGACGGGCGAGCAAGATATCACCGTGGTCGTCTGGCCTGGAGCAGTGGTGGTCTTGCCCGGTAGCGTGACCGTGGTCGGCGTGCAGACGTTAGTCGGGCCAACGGGCGAGCAAGACGTAACTGTGGTAGTCTGGCCAGGCGCAGTGGTGATCTTGCCAGGAATGGTGACTGTGGATGCCGAGCACTGCGATCCGACAGTAGAAGTAACAGAGACAGTAGTCGGCGTGCAGACGTTGGTCGGTCCGACAGGCGAGCAGGACGTGACCGTAATGGTTTGGCCAGGAGCCGTAACGGTAGTGACGGAGCCTTGCGCAGTAGAGGTGATTGTCTTCGTCTGGCCCGGAGCGGTGACCGTAGTGGCGGAGCCCTGCGCAGTGACCGTGGTCGTCTGTCCTGGAGCTGTAACCGTGGTAGCAGAGCCCTGCGCAGTGACAGTCGTCGTCTGGCCGGGAGCCGTAACGGTAGTGACAGAGCCTTGCGCAGTAGAGGTGATCGTCTTCGTCTGGCCCGGAGCGGTGATAGTCGTAGCAGAACCTTGAACAGTCGAAGTAACAGTCGTCGCATGTCCCGAAACAGTAACGGTGCTAGGAGAAGCGACAGAAGTAACAGTGACAGTGCTAGCAGCAGCAGAAGAGGTGACAGTGACAGTAGAAACGGCTTGAGTTTGCGTCTCCACGACGGTGGTGGTCTCGGCCTGACACGTCGAAGTCGTGCCGTAGCCCCAGCCGGTCGTCGAAGTGTCCCAACCCCACGGAGGACCTTGGCCAGGGCCTTTGCCTTTTCCGTGCCAGCCGTTGCCGTTGCCGTGATTGCCGTTGTCGCCCGTGCTCCAGCTCCAGAGATCTCGCTGCTTCAGGCGGGACCATGGAGATGCCACGGCGGAGGAGGCGTAGAGGCCGGCCAGAAGCAAGTGTAACTTGGCCATGTTCGTTGAGTGAAGAGGGAGGGGAGGATGTGGGAAGGTATTCCTCACGTGTGAACGAGAGATAGAGTGCTGGGGGCAAAACGAGTGTGAAGAAACGATCGTTGGTGGGAGAGGACAACGGAGGACCGACGAGATGGCAAGGCAAGAGGAAAAGATGAGCATGCAACCTACTTGTAATCACTCAGCCTTGGCCAACTTCTCTGCTCGATGATCGCAATTGTCATGGTACAGCGGGAAGTGCGCTCGCCCCCCGAAGCATGAGAGTGGAGATGTGCACCCATGGGCCCGTAGCGGTTCGTGGTTATTATCGTGGGGATACGGGGCCAAGTGACGGTGATCAACATCCCAGAAGAGTGGACGAGGCCGGGGACTGGTCATTGCGCTGGATATTGTTATTCTGACCGCTACCTTGTCTGAGTCACTTCCGACCTGCAAAGTAGGGGCAAAAGGCGTAGACGCAAGCCGATTCGCTGCTGCCTCTGTTTGCCTGAGCTTCCAGTCTGCCCATTACTGCAATGGTTGAGCACAGCGAATAGCGTGGGCCTGAACGAGGCTGTGCACATGTACACACCCGGGGTGTGGTGGAGCAGAATCATATGCAATACTCCTGGGTGCCTGCAGAAGATGCATCGTATTTTCGTGTGGCAGCGGGTGGACGCTCCACGTGGAACCAGCAACAATGGCCGTCCTGACCGAGTTGCTGCGCGAGTGCTAATCTCAAATGTTGCCGGCTTGGAAAGGCCTTCTAGATGTAGCACAGACGTTGTACGAGGCGGTGGGAGAGGCAAGAGGCGCACCGTTTCCCGCCTTAATCCGTGGCCGGCGGTCAAAACCATCATCTTCTACGCCCATGCCACTTCAGGTCTCATCCCGACGGTTTCTTCGTTGGGGCTGGCACGTTGCAGCACACGGCGGATTGCCGTCGACAACATGGCTGGGGTGGGACATGCGTTCAGTAGTGCCGGCCACATTGTAAGACCAGACACGACCAGGATCGTCCAGGCACACCTGACGTAAGACAGGGGATGGCGGGTCTTCGGGGATGAAATTTTTGACCCTGGTTACAAGACGACGTATCGTTTGTGCCGGGACGACATGAGGATGAAGTGGTGCAGACAATGCGGACAGCGGAGACGTCGAATTTAGCTAGAGCGCGGCTCCACGCAGGAGCCGTGCCTTTCCGACCCCGCCAGCCTGCCCAATTCGACCGTTCTCCGTCAACACAAACATGACATTCCTTGTCTCCGGTATGCTCCGGGATGTGACAAGCCGGGGCCGTCACAGCGCACCTGAAATGGCGCTCTCAACGAAATTCTTTTGGGCCTCGCGCACGGGAACTTGCACACCGACATGTGGCTGGCCATGCTGAGCACCAATAGCCAAGGCAGCCTCGCACGTTGAGACCATGCAGCACGGTAGCACAAGGCACCAGGAATACACCGTGCTTCCTGCTTTGGTCGAAAGTGGACCCGGATCGACCGCGCCGTTCCTCAAATGATGAAGTCTTGTGCAACCCCAAAGACGTGGCAGTCAGCCATGGCTTGCGGAGCGAACGAGTCATCTTCAATGGTCGATGGGTCGGAAAACATGGGTGTTTATTTGCTGTGGCCGGACAACACAATCTATCGTTTCAGACGGCAGCCCCGTACCTGCTCCTGGAAATATGTTCCTGGAAATGACGCTGATTCTTCACACAAACCGCACCTCCCGCTGCCCCAGAATAGCCGCCCGGGCTTGTAGCACCGCCACTAGCTCCAATACAAACTCCTGCAAGACGACCACGTTGGTAAGCACGTGATTCAACGTGGCCGTTCGTGCACCATCAGCGTCGTTGGGGCTCGTATCCTCCCCGCCGATCGGGAAGGTGATGGTCTGCATGAGCACATCAGTAGTGCTGGGTGCTTCGGGCGGCGGCGGCGGCTGAAATATTGAATGGCTTGGCCTGTTTGCCGTAAGCTGCGGTGATGCTGCGAGGCTCCCTGCTGCACGTGGGCTGGATGCCTCGTGGCGGTGTCCCGCGAGAGAGGATGTTCTAATTGGGATTGGGGAGCGCATGCTTGGGGAGCGCATGCTTGGGGAGGTTCCAGGCCAGTCAGGTGGAGTTGTTTGGGTTGGGCTGTTCACCAGTGAAGGCGGGTCGCTGGACAGTAGATTCGTGTCGATACTTGTGGCTTGAAGCATGGTCTTGCGAACTGAGATCAGGTGGTCCAGATTTGGATGGCTCACGCGTATGTTGTTGACCTCCTGCAGCAAGCCTTGTAGGATCGAGTAGAGCGTGGGCTGGTGCTGCTTTTCAGGCCACACCGGGCGTCTTGATGACTGTTGCAGAGCGGTGTGGTGTGCTTGCTCTTCGACTTCCAGACCCGCTGCCCATGGACGCTGTTGTGGCTCCACTTCATCCGTGTCGAAAGTGTAACGAGCGGGATCGAGCGCAAGCCAGGGGTCTAAGCGGATGGCAGTGCAAGCCGCGATGGAGATGAATGTCTGAGTCAAGGCGAGATTGACATCGATACTGTTGGAGAAGAATGTCTGTAGCAGGGCGATCGAGGCCCGAAGGAAGGCTCCATTCCGGGAGAGAATGAAGAGACTTGAAGACATCTCGACATCGCCTGGGCCTTGACTTTGAAGGGTCGGCGATTGGAAAGGAACCTGCGCCTCAACAGTAGTGCGCGCATCTTCAGCAAGGCCAATATACGCATCTTCCAGACCAGAATGATTGTGGAGAGAGGTCGCAAGCTCGGTATACTCCTCAGTCTCCACCTCCAGAGCGCCAATCGTTCTCGCCGTTGTGTAGTCAGCTTTCTCGACTTTCAGTATTGTACCAAGTGCGAGATTTCTTTGGCGAGCCAGTATCGTCGTAGCCAGCTTCAATGCCGCAAAAGCTGATTGCGGATTGGGTGATCGTACGTTGTTCAAGATCAAATCCACCAGACTGAACAGCGCTGGCTCTACTTCGTCGTCTGGGTGTTGAGAAGCAGTGAGGGTCAGCAGACTCTGCCTTTTCCTCATTGATGTTGGTGACCTTGGCGGCTCGAGCGAAGACACGGACTGGTCTAGCTCCGCCAAGTACCCGGTTTTGACTGCCAGCAGGTACTCCAGCATCATGCTGATCAAGTCTGGTCGTTCGAGAGATTCCAGCATGGCGTTCATGTAGGTCAAGACCGCTACCGAGCTACCTGCGTCAATGTCGGAAGACTGCAGCAGAGAAGGATAGAGCAGTTGTTGCAAGAACAAGATCTGAAAGTGGTCCAGAAGCGTCCGCTTCACGTCTGCACTCCGACAGTGATCCAGCACATCTTGCCAGAAGGTCAAGTATGACAAGAAGGTTGCCATATCGGCTCGGTGGCGATCTGAGAAGGCGGATTCGGCTGTTGCCCGAGGGTGTGTCGTGCTGTAGTCGCTCATAGCGAGCACAGCCGGCAATGTCGCATCGGGATGCAGTATGCTTAATTCTCGACTGAGCTGGCTATACAAAGCTCCCAACCCAGTGGCCATGAGAGTAGGAAGGTCGCTTGAGACAATCCATTCCTCAAGATCTGGTGATCTGCCGGTTGCTTCGAAGATGTAGAGCAGGCCAGTGCGTGCGAAGTCACCAACGCGGCCTTCACGATGTACTCGGTCGACGAGCAAGTAGCACAATGGAAAGTCATTCTTCTGCGTGAAGCCCACAAAGTCCTGCTTCTCCCCAAGAGCGTCGTCGTCCAATTCTGGTCTGGCACTCGCATGAAACCAGGATGGCAGAAGATACGGCTGCAGGCGTATCTTGGCCGCGATGGTGAACAGTAGCTCCAGAATCGCCGTCTCCGTACTGATGTTGACCGGCAGAGTGTCAGAGTCACCGTCTACCACCCGCGTCACCAAGCGCATCAGGCTCTTAGCAAAGATGACGTTGGAGACAAAGTCTTCCTCCTCGCTGTCGACCAGTGCGGCCAGAATGGACACGCTGGCTTGGATAACTGCTTCATTCTGGCTTGCAGTGGCCGCTCGAGCGATTACAGTATATATCCGATTGGAAGCTGCAAATTGCAAAGACAGATGCGGAGCAGGCGCCCTGCTCTCCTCTCGGACGATGGCATCGATGCGCTGCAGACAGCCATGGAGCTGCTCGAGAAGTGGCCCTTCTGTGCTGAGATTCCTGGGGCGATTGCATAGGCTCAATACCGTGTGGTAGAGACGCTTGAACTTGGCCAGTCGAACTTCCGGGTCGTTGCCTGGGCCTTTCGGGTTGGCCTTGCTGGGAGTTGTGCCGAGCAGGCGGGACAAGAAGTCCATGACATCTTCTCGTACGCGCTCATGAGGCGAGGAAACGCGTGAAGTGAGTGCAGCGACATACGAGCCAGACCCATGGCTCTAAAGCCCAGCCGCGGGCGGCTGTGATTGGTCCGAGGCTCGGCGCGGCCTTATCGATAGAGCTACGAGCACACCTCATCTGGTCGAGCATTCCATCTACTCTTTCGCACTTCCATCCACACCATGGCATTAATCCCGACAGTGGGAAGGACGGCCTGCTCCTTCCTTCGCAGTGCCCCACGTGCGGTGCGCAAAACCAATCCTCGCAGCCGAATCATCGCATCCTCCTCCCATTCTCGAAGGCTGTTCAATGCCGGAATCCTCCACCAAGCTCAATCCGCCGCCCAACCCGCCGAATCCCCCTCTTCCAACCCCCAACTCTCCTTTCCATGTCTCGATAGCGCCGAGAACAAAAGCCGCGAACTCACCAGCAAACGATCCCTTGCCGGCCCCGAACCTGACTACACGACAGGTGAACACCAGACCTTCCACTGCTCCGAGCCACTCTTGCTCGACTGGGGTGGTGTGTTGCCATCCTTCGACATTGCTTGGGAGGCATGGGGCACGCTGAACGCAGACAAGAGTAATGCCGTCCTCATCCACACAGGACTGTCCGCGAGTAGCCACGCACACAGCACTGAGGCCAATCCCAAGCCTGGCTGGTGGGAGAAATTCATTGGACCTGGCGCACCGCTCGACACGAACAAGTATTTTGTCATTTGCACTAATGTGCTAGGCGGCTGCTATGGCTCGACGGGACCAAGCAGTCTAGATCCCGTCAGTGGGAAGCGGTATGCCACCAGCTTTCCCATCCTCACCATGTCCGACATGGTGCGCGGCCAATTTCGACTGCTCGACTCCATGGGGATTCAAAAGTTGTACGCGAGCGTCGGCTGCAGCATGGGCGGAATGCAATCTTTAGCACTGGGGATCCAAGACAATGAGCGGGTAGGCCGCATCGTCTCCGTCTCCGGCTGCGCTCGCAGTCATCCCTACAGCATAGCGATGCGCCACACGCAACGTCAAGTCCTCATGAACGACCCTGCATGGGCCAAGACGCGAGGCAACTACTACGAGAGCATGCTCCCTCACCGCGGGATGAAACTCGCGCGCGAAATCGCGACAATCACCTATCGCTCCGGGCCGGAATGGGAAAAGCGATTCGGCCGTGCACGCGCCGACCCCAGCAAACCGCCTGCCCTCTGCGCAGACTTCCTCATCGAAACCTATCTCGACCACGCAGGGGAGAAATGGTGTCTGCAATACGATGCCAACAGTCTACTCTACATCAGCAAAGCAATGGATATTTTCGATCTAGGCAAAGAAGTGCAAGACGCCACGGCCGAACGGCGAAGGAAGAATGCGGATCGCTTGCGCGACAGACTCCCGGAAGATGCAGCGGGAGCAGCAAAGTATACTCTCACCCCGCCCGAAACGCCATACGAAGAGCAAGACGCCAACAGCGAGGAAATCATGGCTTCCGCCGATCCAACCCCAGACACCAACAGCAAGCACAACCTCTCCAGCCAACCACCTGAAGATCTTGTGAAGGGCCTCGCGCCCCTGCGTAAAATCCCCACGTTGGTCCTGGGCGTGGCATCTGATATCCTCTTCCCGGCTTGGCAGCAGCGCGAGATTGCCGACACGCTGCGCCGCGCGGGCAATCGGAGCGTGACGCATCTGGAGCTGGGGGAGGACCGCAGCCTATTTGGGCATGACACGTTTTTGTTGGATTTGGAGGGGGTGGGTGGGGAGATTCGACGGTTTTTGGGTTGAGAGACGTGCCCCATTCATCAGACTCATATACCATGTAGAGACCGGTACTGCTGAACTATCATCTGTCGCCCGGCCGCCTCCTGTTCCTGATCGTCATGTATGTGTGCTTTTCCATCCCCTTGCTTCTGCCGATGGACCTGTTCTCCCCATTCCATCGAAGCTGCCTCCGCCCTCTTCTCCCCTCTCATGCCCTGCCCACAGCCTCGCGCAATCTACGAGAAGCACCCTTGCAGGCACGATTAAATGTAGCGCTTCGACGAATCCTCGTCACAGCCTATACCGTCTAAATATTGAATGATTTCTTTGCTATCCTTAACCAATGACCGGCAGCATCAAACGATCTGTTGGTCAGAGGCCAGAAAAATGCAAACCTGTTGGGGTCCTACGAGTCTCGCCTTGCTTTCTCTCCTGAAAAGGAGTTTGTTTTTTTGTGTGTATGTTTTGGATAGGTCGCGAGTTCGAATGATTGAGTCGTTGCTTTCTTTATTTTTCTCTTTCCTCAAACGGGCATGTACATACATTTACCTTAGATACCTATGCATAATCGCCTCTCAACTCATTCAACACAACTCGCTGCCGCTGCGCCCCCATCTTCTCAAACCGATCCACGACCATGGTAAACGTGCCTCGCCCTCCAGTCAAAGAGCGCAAATGCTTCAGATAGCCCACCATCTCCTTCAACGGCACGCGCGCCACAACCTGGCGCATAGGGTTCCTCCCCGCCACGCCCAAATCCGCAGCACCGACGGACCCAAAGGGATCCGGGGGCGTGTAGATTTTGCTGACGTCGATGGCTGTCGATGTTGTCGCTTCCTCCTCAGCACCGAGGGAGACGACGCTCCCGCCGCGCGAGCTGGAGAGGTCGTGCACCACGGCGCCCATGCTGCTTTCGTCTACGCTGATGGTGACGCACATGACGGGTTCCATGAGGATGGTGGCGGCGGTTCCGGAGCTTTGGCGCAGCGCCGTTTGCACGGCTGAGCGCGCGGCGGACGAGAGGGCGGCGAGAGTGGTGTTGGGAAAGATGTGCGTTGCTGGGTTGAAGGTGAGGTCGACTGCTACGGAGTGCAGGGCGTAGCCGTGGACGGGGCCGCGGGCGAGAGCGGCGGACACGCCGTTGCGGAGGGCTTGGAGGATTTCGGGCAGCTCGAGGTGGGGTGGTAGACTGGGTTGAGTGGAGTCGATTGGTGAGCCGTCGGGGTGGAGGGTAGGTGTTGCGATGGTCAGGCGGTTGTTGTCTGGTAAATGCATAACTTGGTCGTGTCCTTCTGGAGTTTCTGTCGCGTCGTGCATTGGCGAGACGGCCGCCGTGCATGCTGCTTTTGAGCCTTTGCCACCAATCTCTCGATCGTATGTCTCTGTGACTTGCTCACCCTCTGCTGTAATCGCCTCTCGATACCCAATCTCGATGCTGCCAATTCTGGCTTTCGCTTTCAAGTCATTCACTAAGCGATCACGCGCGATCTCGAGGTGGAGCTCTCCCATGCCAGACAAATGTGTCTGGCCGCTCTCTTCGTCGGTCGATATGTGCAGAGAGGGGTCTTCACGAAGAAGGATCGCCAAACTCTCCTGGACCTGCTTCTCCTCCGCTAGACTGCTCGGCTCCACGCTGACGAAGAAGACGGGCGGAGGAACATCGATCGGTCTCAACTGCAGGCTGCCCAGAGGCTCTGGCAGACCCGACTTGGGATTCAGGCCCGCGTAGCTGATGAGAGTGTCGCCAGTGCGAGTGGCTTTGAGCCCTGGTATGACGCCGATTTGACCCGCTGATATGCTATCGATCTCGACAGCTTCATTGGCATACATTCTCATCAATCGTTGAGCTCGTTCGGCCATTCGAAGATTCGTATTCCAAAGGACAGCGTTGCGATTGACTGCTCCAGAGTAGACGCGGACGTAGACCAGCACGCCTCGTTTGGCATCGGCAACCACTTTGAAGGCAATTGCGCAGGCTTCGAATCTCTGCAAGGAAAAGGTGGCCTTTTCTTTCGAGAGAGATTTGCTTTTACCACCCGCAGGAGAGGCGGTCTTGATCTTTCCGGCGAGAACGTCAGACAGTCTCGCCTTCAGGCCAGGGCCATAGCTGATCTCAGCATCCGGTCGTTCGCCTGGATTCGGCAAAAGGTCGACTACAGCATCGAGCAGAGGCTGGACGCCTACATTGCGGAAGCTTGCTCCGGCAAACACCGGAACGATGCGTTGGGACTGCTCGACAATGCAGCGGCGGAGGCTGCTAGTGATATCCTGAGGCGCAATGGCCAGGGCATCGTCGTCTGCTTCGAGATATTTCTCGACGAGTTGATCATCGTGTTCGGATAGAAGCTCGACCAGGGCCATCCGAGCTTGCTTCAGCTCGGCTGCGAGGGCGGAATCGTGAGCGTCCAATTGGGGCAGATTGAAGACCTCGATGTCCTTTCCATCACCTCCTGCTGCATATTTCAGCGCTCGCAGGCCAACGACATCACCCACCCCCTGCAGTCGGCCTTCCGCATCCCACCACGGGATCCCACAAATAGCAGGCCAGACGCCCAATCGAGCGCCGATTTCTTTGATTGTGCGAGCAAAGGCCGCACCGTCTCGATCGAGCTTGTTGACGTAGATGATTCGTGGGATGGCGTAGGCGGATGCCTGGGCCCATACCTTCTCCGTCTGAGCTTCAACGCCGGCAACTCCGTCGAGAATGCAGACCGCGCCGTCCAAAACGCGCAAGGAGCGGAGAACCTCAAAGGTAAAGTCGGCGTGGCCTGGAGTGTCGATGAGATTGATATTGTGGGGATGTGCAGAGGCGGGAAGGGAGGCATCAAGGGGCGAGGGCTGAGTAGACTGGGCTGTGGGTGGCCATGAGAAGGTGATGGCGGCCGACTGGATTGTAATGCCTCTCGCACGTTCGGCGGGCAGGAAGTCGGTGACGGTGCTGCCTTCATCCACATCTGCTTGACACTTAGTGAATCGTTCATGCTGACACCAAGCTGCATCACATACCTCCTATGCGCCTGGTAAAGCCACTGTAGTAGAGCATGCGCTCGGTGGTGGTTGTCTTGCCCTGCTCGAAACGTCAGCGTCCGTAGAATTGCAAGGGCCGCATGGCGTCAACGTACGGCATCGATGTGCGCGATGATGCCAATGTTTCTCGTTCGATTCAGCGAGGCTGCTGCCGTATCTCCCCCTGTCGCCGCATATTGATGGCGACAGGAGGTCGAGAAGGATGTCGCATGCTTGCTATGGCCGATGCGACACGACCAGCGTTGCCGTGCAGATAGCCATCGCAATACCATCACCCGCCTCCAATCCAATCACCGAGTTCACCCTATGGAGGATTCGGAAGATGGACCAACGATGTGCTGTGCATCCGCAAGATTTCTCCCATAAAAGTCCAAGGCCGGCATGTTCCATTGGGAAGGTTTGGTCCAAGCTTCCTCCATCACTGCTCGGCTTCTGACGCCGCGCAATCCGTCCCTCCGTCCACCATCCATCCGCCTTCCACACCAATGTTCCCTCCTGGCCTTTGCCACATCCCTAACCATACGATGATGAGATGAACGACGACGCCGCCTCCGGCCCCAGCACCAACAGCAAAGCCCGCGAGTCCCCCCGCCCCAGCAACCTCCGCTTCCAACGCCGCACCTCCGAGCGTGCCTTTTACGAGACAACCTACCGAGACAACACCAACAGCCCCATGGACTACCCCGGTGCTGGCTCTTCCCCATGGGCCAACTCGCCGGAAGCGGGGAGGAACAGTTTCAGCAACGATGTGCCTACACATGACCTGCCCGATTCCGCATACCAGGCAGCAGCTGCTGCCAGCGGGCCGGCTACGAATGGAGAGCACCAGGATGAGCAGCGCTTCTCTCATCAAAGATCTGGCAGTGGTTGGGCATCTGAATCGCCCCAGCAGCAGCAGCAGCAGCAGCAGCAGCAGCATCATCCCCATCATCCTCATCACCCCCAACCCCATCATCCGCATCAGCCTCCTCCCCAATGGCAACAGCCGCAACACCAGCAGCAATACGAGTCGCAGCCACGGCCAGAGCACCATGGAGCACCAGTGCCGGGTGAAGAGCAGAGAAGGCCTCAATCCGCACGATACCATTCTGCGGGGCAACAGAGACCGCAGATCCAATACAAGCTGCAGGCAAAGATCACGGGGTTGGAGAGAAGCGGGAAGAAAGATCCGATCATGAAGTTTGATGTCTACGTGGGTGACTGAGTCCCCAATTACCGTCCTTTCCGCTAACCATGCCCGTAGACCAATCTTCCCAAATTCCGGACTACTCAATTTCGAGACGTTCGTAGGACACATTCCGAGTTCCAAAAGCTGGCGTCGCATCTCACAGCGTCTAACCCCGAGACCTTTGTCCCTGCAGTGCCTCCTGCTTCCACGAGTGCGGGCATGGGCACGGACGAAGACGAGGCTCGCACCAAAGCGCACTTGCAGCGATGGCTGAACGTTGTGTGCAGTAATGACGTCTTGATGCGCGACGAGGAAATGGTGTTTTTTGTCGAGTCCGACTTTGGCTATAGCCCTGTTGTGCGCAAGCGTCAGCCTGCCACCGGCGTACGGCGAAAGGTGTTGAAGCAGTTTGCGCCGCCACCCGACGATTCGCCGGAACTGCTGGAAAGCCGGCCTATTGTGAAGGCTTTCTATCTCGCTTCCATGGACGGTCAGCAGAAGCTCGATCGTGTGGTCAAGAACCGGCGTGCTCTCGGCCTGGCGGAGTCGGATCTTGGGATGAAGCTTGCCGCTCTCACGGCGCAAGAAACTCAATCGGGCTTGGCCAACGCGTATCGAAAACTGGGCAGAGTGATTCAGAACACCGGCGACTTTCACGCCGCGCAAGGCACCGCCGAGGCTACAACACTATCCGACCCGCTAGCATACCACAGCGCTGACGCTTTCATTGTCAAAGAAACGCTCACCAACCGCCACATTCTCCTCCGAGAGCTGCTTCAGGCGCAGCAAGCCACGCGCTCCAAGCTCAACGCAGCCGACCGTCTCCGAGCATCGTCCAGCGTGAAGCGCGACAAAGTGGACGAAGCAATTTCTGCCCTGGACGAAGCGCGCTCGCACGAGGCTTATCTTCAACAAAAGACTCAACGCGTGACCGCCAATCTTCTCGTCGACAAGAACAAGTGGTTCGCGCGCACATCCGCAGACTTGCGCGTGAGCATCCGCGAGTACGTGCTCCGACAAATCGAGGCTGAGCGCCGCACCCTAGCCACACTCGAACAAGTCCGTCCCGAAGTCCGCAACATCGATGCCTCGGGAGGATTGTCGAGACTCGGGCGCGAAGCCCACCCCATCGCTCGCCGCTCTAGTCTGGCGTCAAGCCAGGGGCCGAAAGGCGACGCGTGGAGCGGAGTCCCCCGGCGTGCAGACGGTCTCAACCGCAGTATCTCCGGTAGCATTGTGACTGTCTCCGGCGTGCCTGGTTCTGTGCCGGAGGATGTGGAGAGTGGAGAGCAGACTGGCGACGCTACGGGTAGGAAGCGTGCGGTCAGCCAGTCGAGCAGTCTAGGCCGGGTGGAGGAAGAGGATGATGTCGACCGGGTGGATGCTAGGAACGCTGCTTCGAGGTTGGCGCAGACGACTTTTTAGGGGGGATCGTTCACGTAGTTGAAGGAAATGGGATGGTGAGGTTGTGTGTTGGGACTACGTGACTGCATCGTCTCTAGTACTACATTCTGCTCCGAATTGGTTCGTAGCATGGCCTCGATGACCTGGCTGAATTGTGCCTCTTGTGTCATCCGCATGCTCTTCCGGACCTTGTCATTGCACATGCTCTTAATTCAACGTACCCCTCTATGCATCATTCACAGTCGTGAACCCCGCCCCTCCACTCGACTCCCTGCCTACGCTCGGCGACACAAGCCTCCTCTCCCCATTGGCATCCTCTCGTACCGCCGGCCCAGTACTCAGCGCCTCACCCGTCGCCCCCGCCTCCCGACTAAACGGCGCATCGCGCTCACGCTCATCCACACCATCCAAATCCATCGCGCTAGCCCTTCGATCAGTAGTAGACGGCAAACCAGACGGTGGCCGGCCAGGACTGCCGGGACTCGGACGGCTTCGCTGACTGCTCGTCGGCCGCGGCTGGTGTGCGCTTTCTGGGAGAGGGTAGGCGGGGGGTGGGCGATGGTCGTCGGGGTCGGTTTGCGGGAGGATTCTTCTGCCTTGAGTGGTGGGTTGAGGGTCGGGGGATGTGGCGAGGTTTGAGGGGGCAGTGGGCGCAGTGTCTGGTCGTCTTCGCTTGTCGCGGTGTGGGCGGTCGGGCGGGGGCTGGTGTCAATGTTAATGTGTGTGGTGGAGTGAGTGAGTGATATGCGGTGCGGAACGTACTGTAGTCATCCCCTCCTCAGCACTGCCCTCGCTCGCATCGACATTATACTCCATGCGCTTGCGCAGCTCATCGAGCAGAAACGCGCGCTCGAGTCTCATCTTCATCACGCCGCGATCCAGTCGGGACCGGCGGATTTTCGCTTCGTCGTTCGCGGCTTCCACCTCGTTCAGCCGGCGCTTCAGCTGGATGCATTTGCGGTAGTAGGCCTTTTCCACGCTCGGCGCCAGAGGCGTCATGCTTGAGGGGGGGTCTGAGATGGACATGGTGTTAGTGGTGGGTGGGAGAGAGTGAGAGATGTGGAATGAAAGTTGTACCGAGAGGAGGCATGGTGATGGGCGCGGAGGTATTTGGACGTGGTGGAGACGCGCGAGCATCGGCGGTGCATAACGCACGGACCGGGGGTGAAGCTCAACTCATCCCTCCCTCACCGCATGCCATCAATGTCTCCCATGTTGCCCGAGGTAACATAAGGTACATAAGGTATCTCACTGCCGTCTCGCATGAAATCTTGTTCACCATCCACCTGGGAACAATGAAGGGAGAGGCCAACGGCGCGGCCAATTTCACATACAACCACCTATCAAGAGCGACAACGAACTCCTACTTCGTCGTCGAGACCTCCTTGGCCTTGGACATGTCCACCAGAATCTTCACCTGGTTCTCCTTGTCCTCCACCAGCGCCTTGAAGCCCTCCTCGGCCACCTCATCGGGTCGGATGACCTTGGTAATCATGCCGTCCGCCTTGAGATCGCCTCGGTGCACCGCCTCGATGACCGCCTCGAAGTCGCCATCGACATACGTGACCGCTGTACGCTCGTCAGCCGCAGATCCAAGCAAAGCATGAGTAGACGGGACTGGCACTTACTCGCGACGTACTTGCGCTCCCCGAACAGCATGTGCGTCATGTTCAGCGCCACCCTCTGCGCTCCCCAGAGGGCAATGTTGACAAATGTCCCGCGAGCCTTGACGCTTTCCAGTCCGAAATCAACGGCCTTTTGCACGCCGGCCGCGTCAAAGCAGAGATCGACGCCTTCGCCACCCGTCAGGTCCTTCGTCTTTTGCACTACGTCTTCCTCGATTGGGTTGACGACGTGATGCGCGCCGAAATCCTTGGCGAACTGTCGTCGTCTTCCGGAGATCTGCTCACATGTTAGATCGGGTCAGAAGCATGCTTTTCGCGTTGTCTTCTTACTTCAGCCACGGTAATGTTCTTGCAGCCTTTCGCCACCAACGATAGAACAACGGCCAGACCAATGGGGCCGCCACCGAGCACCAAGACGGCGTCGCCGGCTGTACACTCGCTTGATCAGCATCGTCCACGCATCGGCATGCACCACATTGGGCTCTGACCTTTCAAGGGCGAATTGGCAACAGCATGCCATGCGACCGCGAGAGGCTCGATCAACGCGCCAATCTTAAGGTCCATGTCTTTCGGCAGCTTCTTGATGTACTCGGCAGGAGCAGTCGTGTATTCCCCCATGCCACCGCCCCAGCCGGACAAGCCGATGAAGCCAAACGAATCACATGAGTTGGTCAGACCGCGTTTGCACGCACGGCATCCGCCATCGTAAATCGTCGGCTGCACAGCAACCTTGTCGCCCACTTCGATGCCCGTCACCCCTTCACCAACCTGGTCAATCACTCCGGAAAACTCATGGCCAATGGTGATGGGAGCAGCTGTCAAACGATTAGACTCGTTGCATCAATAACATTGACGCGTCATGGGTGAGGTCTTGCCTTCGCCGGTCATCACATGCGGGCTTCCCTTCGGGGGGATGATATGCGGCCCATCTTCGTACTCGTGAAGATCACTGCCGCAAATACCGACAAACGCAGGCTTCAATCGGACCCAACCCGGCTTGAGTTCGGGGATGGGCACTTCATCTACACGGATGTCTTTGGCAGCATGGAAACGAACGGCCTTCATTGTACCTCCCATTGTGTCGGATTGCAAACGCGGTGAGCACGGTATATGCTTTCCCCGCCTCGTTTTGGCAGCTTGCCAAACTTATACGTTGCGCGCCAACCCCTCGTGCCAATGGGCCCCACGGGGAGTGACCCCGCCGAGGGCTAGAGCGCGTGCGCGGACCTGTCCGCGCAAGCCTGTGGCATGACTGTAACCTTTCGCTGTCACTCGGCGTATTACACAAGCTTGGGAAGGATCTGGAGAGTTTCATATGACTCGGGAGCAAGCGCCTGGCGGGAGCCCCCGGAGGCATTGTGCCCTGAGGGCAGAGCAAGCCGGCGGACTGGACACTACTAGACGGAGTGGTTGAGCAGACATAGCCGCGGGAACATGACACTTGCAAGAAAATAAATCGGAGATCCGCTTCCAATGGAATGGTCTGGCCATATCGGCTTCTTGCGCTTCCCCGCCGATCTGGGGCTTTCCCCGCAGGGTCCCCGAATCTAACATCGCTTTTGCGCTGCGGGGTCGACCTCAACGTCTCGGGCGCGAACAAATCAGAGGCGAGCGGAGTAAGCATGCGCGGCGACCACTCAAATGGATACCTGGGGCTCGCTTCGAACCAGATTCCCGGTATATAAGCAGTGTATCGCAAGGCAACTTTGTCGCCACCACTTGTTTCCTGTTCATCCCATTTTCTTCTCATACACCCATCACATACCTTCGCTTCGTAACGAATCGCAATCATGTCTGCTGCTGAGGTACTACCCATCACTCCGTCCTCCCTACTTTACCTGTGCTAACCTCGCTCTCAGGCCAAGAACGACGGCGACCGCGTCAAGAACAACGAGAAGAAGGAGGACAAGCTCGCCGACGAGTACGGCGCGCCCGATGTCTACATTGATGGCGAAAAGGACACCTGCTGGTACCACTGGACCGGCAGCATCTATGTCAAGATGTACCGCATGGAGAACCGCGCGGGCACGTACGTGATTGCGCTCAAGACCGACCCGCACGCCGAGCTGGGCAAGCACCGCCACCGCGGCATGGTCAAGGCGTACACCATCAAGGGCAACTGGGGATACCATGAGTGAGTCGCTTGCCGTTGCCCGATCGTTGTGATGAGCGTGGCGCTGATCGTGGTCGTCGTGTAGGTACTCCTGGGAGGGCAAGCCGGGCGACTATGTCACCGAGATGCCCGGCACGATCCACACGCTCTACATGGGCGCCGGCTCCGAGGTCATCTTCGACGTCACTGGCTCCATTGAGTTCTACAACGACGACAACACCCTCCGTGAGATCATGGACGGCTTCAGCTTCTGGAGGTTAGTATTCATTCCCCTGGCATCCCTGGGCCCTCTGCTAACGGAAAACTGCAAGAATGTACGTAGAACATTGCGAGGCGAACGGCCTCAAGGTCAACACGGGATTGTACTACTAGATGGTGGCGAGTTACGCTGTCGTATTGGACATCCAGCTTCAGATTGTGACTTTTTCCGAAAATATCATCTGTGCTTTCCACATCTTCCCCGATCAACTCATTGTTATTGCCTATTGTCTATGTTCTCACCCAGCTTGGGAACGTTTTATTCCAGTGGTCAACAAAGTAGGCGACGTGTCGGACCATTCGGCGCATCTCGAAGGCAGACAGCGAGGCAGGCGCGCGTGCAGCGGCTAACGCGGAGGCTGGACTCAATGCACTACTCCGAGAGCTCCCGCTAGAGCTGACATGTTCAAAGAATTGCATGTGATGAGCAAGATCCTACTCGGTCAACTTTCCCATGGGCTTAGACAGCTCTCGCCCCAGCTGACAAGTTGAATCGATTGAGCAATAACTACGTCGGTCCACTTGCCCACCCGGCTCAGACAGCTCCCACCCCAGCTTCCACCGCGCGCCTCACGTCCGTAACAATCGCATTCGCCTCATCCCTACTCCCAGCCTCGAAATCATACCGCTTCGTCTCCTTCTCGCGATACACCAGTACCCGCACCATCTTGGGGTGCTTCCGGCTCACCTTGACGCCCACCACCGAGCTCATCGGCACATTCGTCACTTTGCCCGTCGGCGCGACCAGGCTGTCTGGCGCCGCGGGCAAGATTTGCATGTACTCCGGCGTGATGATTAGGGTGCGAGGGTGCGATGGGGCGAAGGAGAGCGGTTGCTTGCGTAGCACGTTGTACTTCTTCCCGCCGATGCCGCCGAGTTCTGGCGGGAGGGCGAGGCCGAGCCCGACGAGGTTGAGGTTCGACGAGGCTAGTGTTGGGTGGGAGGTAACGGTGAAGCCTTTCCGTGGCTTCTTGCCGCCTGATCCACCGGGTGTACCTGGCGCAACTAGTTCCAAGGGCTGGTTCGGTGAGCTGGAGCCGGGACTGCCGCTGAGGCCGAGTCCGAAGGGGCCATCGCCCGCGCCGATGAAGCGGCGACGCACGAGGTCGATGTGGAGGCGATCGCCCAGCGCTTCCACAGTCCTGTCCAGTGGCGCGATGGTCTGTGTTCCGTGGACCTTGAGGACGTACAAGCCCTTTTCCTGACCTAGCTTTTGACAAGCGTGGTCGAAGATCTCGGCAATGTAGGTGTCGGCGGTGGTTGGAATGGTCACTTTGGTCGACGTGAAGGATTGAGGATCCGTGAAGTGGACGGTCACAGTCTTCGCCGCTCCCGTCCTTGGGGTCGATTGCACGATTTCGCGTTGAGGAGCATCGAGTGCTACATTTCCCGTGTCTCTCCTGAGCGCCGAAGGGGCGAAAGTCGGGCCAGTAATTGGATTGTGTGGGACGCTGAAGGAAGGGGTGACGGCCGATCGCACGGATGTATCGGTGTTCGTCCGTACCGCCGGTGAAGGTCTTGGTGCCGTTTTGGACAGATTGCTCACAGCCTGGGGCAGTGGTATGCTCGGGGCGCCGATCTGCGGAGTCACCTCTTCATTGGCCTTAAACTGCTCCTCTGTTGCTCGCACAAGGCCAAACTCATCCCATGGCCTGTCCCTGGCTCGTCGCTGCGGAGGACGATTGTTGTTACTGGTAAAATCGGTGACGGGTCGCGTGCGGACCAAAGCCGGGAAGTCAAAGTCGACTTCTTCGTCTTCGACAATTCGCAGATCCCAACGGTTGATATTGCTGTCTTTGGGGTCGGCTGTCAACGGCGGGTCGTAGACTTCCTCATTGTACCGCCACAACGCCAGTCCGATTAGCTCTGCTATCGTGATGGCATTGCCATCTCGAGTCTTCTTCGTGGGAACTTCGATGGCGCGTGAAGGACTTTTGGAGAATGGTGCATAGATCTTGATCCACAGCGGGCTCGCCTCTCCTTTGCCAGAAAGATCCGCGAAACGCTGGAATGGCTTCTCTTCTGACGTTCCTGGCCCTTCACTGCCGCCCTTGAGAGCCATTGAGATAAGAGAGGCGGCCGGGGCTCTACGCAACGTCGCTCCGGGTGGTAGCTTTGCCAGTCTGGGTAATGTCTCCTCCTTACTTGTACCCTTTTTGCGTGGACTGTTTCCTTGATTTTGGTGAGGGCCGATGGCGGGCGGCATATCAGCCACAACAGCGAATTCAGGTGATGTGACATCGCTCGCCTGGCCTACTGGGGCTCCCGCGCTCAATAGGCCTTCTCCTGGGGAGGTCGCCTCAGCGACGGCTTCGAATTCGTCACTGAGGTCGGATGCTTCGTCGAGGTACTCGTCTTCCAGGTCGCTGTCACCTATTGCGTCGGCGGAGGCGGTTCGCTCGAGGTCTTTATGATCCTCTTCCTGGATCCGTTCTGCGAGCATGACGGTCTTTTTCGGTTTCTGATCCGGACGGCCTGGTAGTTTGCGGTTGAAAGCGCCACGAGCGGGATCTACTTCATTCTCCGAGCTCATTTCTGATGAGGTGACGGTATCGGCCCTCGCGCGCTGCTTTACAAAGTCCACTCGAGCAGATAGACTACTTCCCCGAGGGCGAAAGGAGAGGCGAGAATTGTCCAGAGGTTTGCTCGGGCTGGTCACCATGACCTCCGGGCCTTGGTTATCGTCTCCCTCGTCCTCCTCCCCTCCCAGCATCGGATCATTGCCATACGAATGGGATGGACTTTTCGTAGCAGTCCTCCTCACAGGCGCCTTTGCGAATTTGATGCTTTGCGCAGCGGTGCGCTCCTTTTCGGAATCCGAGTCTTCGTCGCTCAGGTCACTGCTGTCCTCTTCCTCCAGCTGCTCTTTTCTTGAACGTCGTCGCTTTCTCTCATTGACTCTCAAATCCACCGCCCCCACCGTATCCTCGCTTCCCCGGTCGCCTGTAATCAGTCCACCGCCGACATCACCGTCCGCATCTTCGCCGTCGCCGCCAGTATCTCGGAGATTGAGTCGGCTACGCGGGGCTCGAAAGTATTGCTCTGCAAGCCCACTCGTTGCAGCAGAAGTAGTGGGGATGGGCGGACTGTAACATCGTTTGATCGCGGCGGGATCGGGGGTCCAGCCCGCGGCACGGAAGGCGGGGTTGTTGAAGACGGCGGGATTGAGGTTGATCAAGCGTTCGCCGACACCATCGTGAATGTGTGTCAAGTAGGAGTGACGAAGGGTGTAGGTGGCGAAGTCTTCGTTCAAAAGGAGCGACATGAGAGCAGCGAGGCGCCAGGCCAGCTGTCACGGAGGTGCATGAGGCGAGAGGGTTCGTAAGTGTTGTGTGGTTGGAGTGGTGTGGAGAAGTGAGGTTGGTAGGGACGGCGCCAAGTGCGGGACGCCTCCACCGACATGGACCGTGAGGTGGGGACCAACTTACTGACATCTTCACCCGCAACTCCAACCGCGCTGTACCGATGATTATACAATACTGAGGAGCAGGGGATACTTGAACCTACGAACACGATGGCGCTGGTCAGTTACTCCGACAGCGAAGACTCCGACGTTGGAGAACAGGCGCCTCCAGTCACTGCGCCATCCAAACCTGCCTTTCAAAAAATCATCAATCCTTTGGAACCACGCAAACTCAAGGTTGATCTTCCCACCATCCACCCAGACCCATCCGAACAAGACGAGGCGCCCCCGACCAAACGAGCCAAGACAGGAGGAACATTTGGGGGCTTCAACAGCTTTCTCCCTGCGCCGAAAAAGGCAGCAAGCCTCAATGTACCCAAAGCTGGCGTGAGTTTGAGGACGAGCTCCGAAGCTGCATTCAGTCGCGCGCCACCCCCAGCGCCCTCGGATCAAGAAGAGCAGGCAGAAGAATTCCATGGCACGCTGGGTGCTGACGCTGGAGAGACGACGGCCCCGAAAGCTGAGGAGCACACCGTTGTAGCCAAGGCGACCAAGTTCAAGCCTCTGAGTGTCGCCAACAAGAAGAAGGCGCCGAACAAGAAGGTGTCCAACGGCAGTGTCACTGCTACTCACGTCACACCGGCTGTTGCTGCGCAAGACGACGTGATTGCCAACCCAAAGACTACTGAACCGCCCCCCAAACCGAAACGTTCGCTCTTTTCCGTGCCACAGGAGGAAGAACAACCCCAACCCAGCTTCAATGACACCTACGAACCAATCACCCAGGAGGCGCACGAGCCGACAGAAACTCTGCCCACTTCACAGCAACCTTTGGCAAATCCACCGAATCCAAATCATCTACAAGCTCTGACGCCGGACCTGAACTTGACACCGGCGCAAAGACGGCAGCTATTTGGCCGCAACGGCAAAGGCGGCGACGTTCAGATTGCGCACTTTAACATGGAGCATGAGTACGCGGCCAACGAGCAATTACGACAGGCTGGTGAGGTTGTGGAGCACCGAGCGGTGAAAGCTATTGCGCCCGGCAAACACAGCCTACAGCAGTTGGTGAATAATGCGCGGAGCCAACAAGACGCGATGGAAGACAAGTGGTCGCAAGGGAAGGCAGCGCGGGGTGAAGGTGGTGCGAAATATGGCTGGAGTCGGTAACAGTCTCGAGCAGCGAATTTACTGTCCGTGGCCAGCAGGCCATTCTCCTTCCAAGCCCGTGATGGGCACATGCTTGAAGGACGGCCGCATGCTCTGAAGATGACACATTGTTTGGGGAGAGACACCATGAAAGTAGCACGTATCTGTCCAAGACCCAACAATACCAAGCCATCTTCCCGGCATCCGAGGAGTGCTCGAGTGAATTCTGGACTTGACTCGATGGTGTGATCTCGCCGTCGACGAGCTACTGATGTCTGCTCGTGGAACTTCACCTGACCCGCACGGAGCACGAGAAGCCGGCGGAGAGCTGTCGAATGGTGGAGCACAGGAAGCTAGGGAGCTCGAGAAGTCGAGTAGCACGAGAAGTCAGGAAGCTCGAGAATCCGTGGAGCATGACAACGCAGGAAGCTCGAGAATCCGGGGCAGTACCACAAGGCAGGAAGGTCGAGAAGTCAGGAAGCTCGAAGACCCGTGGAGCATTACAGGGCAGGAAGCTCGTGAATCCGTGGAGCGCAACAACGCAGGGAGCTCGAGAATCCGGGGAGTACCACAAGGCAGGAAGATCGACGAGCCGGGGAGATCCACAAGGCAGGAAGATCGACGAGCCGAGGAGGATGGAGTAAGGGGCTAGCGGGTCGCACTGTCGAGAGTTTCGACGCGAACTCTGTAGCTCGCGAGAGTGCTGACGGGAAGGGACAACGCCGCGTAGTCGAGGGGGACAGCTTTGAGGGTGTGACAAACGCGTGTTCAGAGTGGCTTGGTCATTGCAAAGGTGCTTGGTTGCCGCTCGGCGCACGGTTGACTCACCTGTGAGCGTGCAAGGTGGTGAGACGTGGGAATCTTGACGCGTCAACCAGTGATAGTGCCGACGGGGAGAGGCCGTGTGTCAGCGTACACAGAGAAGCATCCCAGTACGACAAACGCATATTGGTCGTGGCTTGAGGCTAGTTCTGGGAGTGCCTGGTTCCGGCTCCGGAGCATTGTCAAATTAGGGAGTGTGCAGGTCGGTGAGCTGTGCCCAAAAGGATGGCAGCCTAGACCGTGTCACGTGATATCAATCAAGGTACTTGGGTACATTCGGCTGGAATTTGACCCGGACAATCTGACGAGTGGCCCCAGAGTTCAGGCAGATTGAGCAACCGGTCATAGATACGTACCTGAAACTCTCGAGTGGTGCATCCAGAGACTCACCAAGGACGAGCAGCTCTCCGCCAACGCAGCCCGCGAGGCGCAGTTGAGGCCAAGTCGGCAGAAGGCGAGAGAACACGTAAGTGTCGAAGCCACGCACGACTCGCACCCTGGAGAACTGGGCGGTTCGCCAAGTGAGATGTGGATTGCAGACCGGGTATTCTTGCGTATCGAGAGTCGAGACGGGGTGAAGTCGTCGGTGCGCACGAGCCAACACACCAACTAACGAGCCCAGATGCGACCGGTACTGCCAAGGCAAGATTCGTATCATTCCAGGCGCCAAAGCATTCCGGCTCATTCATCTCAGCCAAGCAGTAACGCGCGTGTCGTCAAGGCCCCCGGCTGCCTCCCCAGCCGGTCCCTCGGTGCGGCTGCACCTTGGCACCCTGGGGTAGAGAGATCAGCGGCTAGGCCTGCTCCCGGTTCATGCTAAAAGGCAAAGCAAAATGCTAAAAAAGCAAGGGGGAATGGGTGAGAAGCAAATCAGCGGCCGGCAGGGCAGCATCCCGATCGACACGGCGGGCGCGCATTGGTCGACGCTGCAGCCGAGCGGATCTACGCCATCAAACGACGCCAGACGCCTCGCTGCACTGATCACCGCACCCGCCAAAATAAGGTCGCTGACCGCTGCTACGGTCCCCAATGACGCGCACGGAAAGCCATTGATGCGGCTTTGTATCATGATGTGCTCAGACGGGAAGGTGAAACGTCCGACAAGTGCCTTCCTATCTCATGCAAGGCTGGTACGGTGGGCAGGCTCATCGCACTACATATACTCTTATCATTTCCCCTCATCCCCAGTTATCGTTCCGTTCAACTCATTCTCCACTGCCTCGTGCGACTCTCGTGCACTTCTCCACTTCCTCGTGCATCATCCCTCTCATACTACACACGATGCCTTCTCTCTCTCTGCTCGCCGGCGTGGCGCTTCTCTGTAAGACATACACCTGGCTTGCAAATATCTATGACGACGCTGTATACTAACCGTCCACCCCCAGCCGTCGCTACATCTGCTCAGCACCTATCACAACAATGCCCGTCATCAGACATCTGCTACCAACTCAACATCCCCGCCGAAACCGCAAGCTCAGGCTCGGGAGACGTCTTCTTCCAAATCTCCGGCTCGTCATCCTACTCATGGATCGGCCTGGGCCAAGGATCCCAGATGGCCGGCTCCAACATCTTCATGGTGTACGCCGACGGCAACGGCAACGTCACCCTCTCCCCTCGCCTCGGCACCGGCGAAGTCGAACCCGAATACAACACGGCGATGAACGTGACATTACTCGAAGGCTCCGGCATTGCGAATGGCCGCATGACGGCGAACGTCAAGTGCAGCAATTGCAACCAATGGAACGGCGGGTCGATGGACTTCTCCGACCAGAGTGCCGAGTGGATCTGGGCTGCGTTATCAGGCGATGCGATCGATTCGTCCAGCGTCAGTGAAGGCATGAAGCAGCACAGCGCTCATGGATCCTTCTCGTGGGACATGGCCAGCGCACAAGGAGGAGCGGCTGCGAATCCTTTCATCACTACGGACGGCACGCCAGTCTCGGCTCCTCCAGCCCCGCTCTCTCCTGCCACACAGGGACCTCCATCTGCCAGCGACGCCATGGTGCTCGCTCATGGTGCGATGGCCGCCATCGTCTTTGTCGCCCTCTTCCCCATCGGCGCGATCGTCATCCGAATCCCCGGTCTCAAGCACGCCGTCTGGATCCACGGCGCGGTCCAAGTCTTCTCATACACCGTCTTCGTCGTCGCAGCATGTCTCGGCATCTATATCGCGACTATCCAGGAACAGCTGACCGCCGCTCACCCCATCATCGGCATGGTGCTGTTGGGCGTTCTATTTTTCCAACCCTTCTTCGGTCTGGTTCATCACCGCCTGTTCAAGCCGAAGCAGCAGCGCACTGCCTCTTCATACGCCCACATCTGGCTCGGTCGCGCGGCTATCCCTCTCGGCATGATCAACGGCGGCCTGGGACTGCAGCTCGCTGGCCCGTTGAGCACCAGTTCCATCGCGGCGTACGGCGCGATCGCAGGCATCATGGGTGTCATCTACATCGCCGTCGCGATATGGGGAGACGTTCGACGGAGAAAGGACCAGCAAAAACTCGCGCAGGAGAAAATGGAGGGGGCCTGACGACTGTTACATTCATGAGGCGTGAACGGTTTGATTTGGCTTATACAACTTTGCGATGGTGTTGGGGATGGGCATTACTGTTAGACGACAACACGCCACAGTAGACAGTGTTACTTTGCATTCGAAATCTGTTCAACTCTACCCTTACAACCTCCACCCTACATTGCTTTTACCACCCGTCTCAGGAGAAATGATGCAAACCAACCACAATGGCGTCTTTGTGCGCGCATCGATACGTCACGATCTCAACAGGCGATCGAATTAAGGTTCGCTTAATGATTACCCCCGGCACGCACCGCAGATCAATGACTGCATCTTCCGATCAGATCTCTTCTTTATCCCCGGCCCGTCGCATTCGTGTTCGGCCGACCTTACTGCAAGGGGGCGGACGCCGAAGCACCTGTCTGACTAAGTAGGCTAGTCTCTTTGCGGAAGGAGGTTGGATGCGGTAAGCAAGATGACACAACATGAACTCCACTGGGCAGCCTCCGCAGCTTCGTATACTTTACTCGAACAGGGTGGATGCGGAAGCAGCATAATAATAGTGGCTGTGACGGTGGCTTGCAACGACATCGCATTGAGTCGCGTCCAACAGCTTTGGCATTATTACCTCAGCTTTGGAATCGCCTTCCTAGGCATTCTTGCCTGCGCCGTCGTGACATTTAAAGCGTCGCGTCCTCCCCAGCATTGAAGCCCCGCAGCATTAAAGCAGCAGCAGCCCGCTACCACGACAGCCACCACCACACCGGACAGCATGGCCTCCCCCGCCCAGCCGAGTCTATCCGAACTCATCGACCAAACCACCATCCTCTCCCTCCTCTCCACCGTCGCCTTCCTCGGTGCAGCATACTACGGCTCCCTGCGCCTGCTCCCCGCCAACGCCGGCGCCAAAACGCGCATCCTCTTCATCTGGCACGCCTTCGACGCCCTCATCCACACCATCCTCGAAGGCGGCTTCCTCTACAACTGCTTCTTCAGCTACACCACGCCCTCGCTCTGGAAAGGCCAGCAGCTGCCCGGCGTCATCCCCGGCGGTAGCACGTCGGCATACCTCGCGCCCGATGTGTACTTTCTAGGCCACAAAGACCGGTTGTATGGCGCGCTGTACAGCACCAACCCCCTCGGGGCGCTCTGGAGGGTGTACGCGAAAGCCGACGCGCGATGGGGCGGCTCCGATCTGAACGTCATCTCGCTCGAGCTCTTGACTGTCGGCCTTGGCGCTCCGCTCGCGGCGTGGGTTTGCTATTGCCTCGTGAAGCAGCGGGCCGACCGATGGTTCTGGATGATTGCCCTGGCCACTGGCGAGCTGTACGGCGGCTTCATGACTTTTGCGCCCGAGTGGCTGAGCGGGAACTCGAATTTGGACACCAGCAATTGGATGTACTTGTGGTTGTACCTGTTCTTCTTCAACATGCTGTGGGTCGTCCTTCCCGGCTGGATCATGTATGAGGGATATCAGCAGTTCAACCCTGCGGCGAAGCGCGGTGACCACAAGAAGCGCAAGTGAGACGGTGGAGGTGGGCATTCGGTAGGGGGGAGTAATTAAAAAGCGAGTTTGACGCTGGACGGTTCGGGTATGGCGCTTGCTATACAGGTAGCGATGCATTTCATCTAATAATTTACCTCATATCACGTCCTGTACTTTCCGCGTTTACTCCAAGCATCCACGAACTGCTTCTTCTCTGCCACCCCCAGCCCCACCCTCTTCGCTCTACCCAGTCGGGCGAGTGTATCCGCGACAGCGTCCAAAGCCTTTATTTCCTGCTCGCTGACACCCTCCGCAACGGCGGACTCCTCGGACGCCTTGGGCGCCGGCGAGCCTTCCAGAGTGTCGAAGAAGTTGGTGTCGTACCCACTTGCGCGTTTCCCATTGGAATTCCCAGTTGTGTGCGAATTTGCCGGAGCTCCAGCCGAGGCCAAAGTCACCGGCGTGCCAATGCGGACTCGTATGCAATGGGTAGGCCGGCTGTTAAGCAGCCAGACGAAGCGCAGAGCTTCCATCCAGCCAGGGATTGGCGTGACAATGTCTTGAGGTGTGTAGCGCAGAGACACAGGGAAGATCTTGGTGTCTCGGGTCGCCGAAAGTAAAGAAGGCGAGAGCCTGAGGATACCACGGCCATTGCTGGTCGTGGCTTCGGGAAAGACGACAATGACTCGGTTTCGGTACTGTTTGATGACCGATGAGAGGGTGGCCGGGGGTTGTCGAGCGTGGAAGACGGCCGGAGAGTGGACATCAAAGCACGCTGCGAGCGCTGCTTCCAGCGACACTGGGCGAACGAGGCGGCTATCGGGACCCTGAGAAATGGTAAAGACTGGATCGAAGATGGCAGCGAGGTAGAGGACGTCCAGTGGAGAGGTGAATGACGAAGCGATGATGGTTGCCGGGCCGGGAAGACGCCCTCGCGGCGTCTGGGCCAGCGAACCCCTCCTCACTCCATCTACCTGGATATCAATCCACCACACCCCCGGAATCCCAAGGATGCACCAGAGGTTGGCTTTTCGAAGCGCTCCACCCGCCGGCGTCCATTGGAAGATCAACAGCCAGAGGATCCAGGCGACGGTAACCAGTGGGACACGTAGGCACAAGAGGAGCTGCAGAGTGTGTCAGCGAGGTGACGTCGAGCAGGACTTTGTTCACATACAATGTAGAAGGGAAGAAATAGAGGGTTATATGGCAGAGGCGGCACGGGGAAGAAGGGCGCGATGCCAGAACCTGGGAGGACAGTCAGCGCATTGCATGCAGAAAGTGCGGTGTGGTGCAGGGGACGGGGAGGGACAGGACGTACCTTTGTCTCTATATTGGCCGTACTTCTCCATGATTGCGCGGTGCTCTCGTCATCTCCAGCACGAGCGCAAGACAGCCAGGTTGGCAGACGGGGAGGGAGGGCGGAAAAAGATGTGCCGGCATGTGAAAGCGAGTGGATGAAAGTCTGGCCAGGTATGACGCTGCCGCTCGTTATTACATAAGCCATTGCCCAGCCGCACCTGCCCGCGGAGCTAGGTCCGGAACGTCTCGAGCCCGATCGGGGAAGAGTTGCTTATTAAGATTTAGGTAATTGTTTATCCGCCGATCTGCCCAGCAACACGCCTCGACCTCCCTGACTGCCCTGATGTGGATTCAATTTGCAGACTCTCGCGTGTCATCATTGATGCGAGTCTGCTCTCTCTATTGCTTCACCCCTTCCACCGTTGGCGACCACGGCCATGGACCGTCCTCCGTCGCAGCTCGAGAACATTCGACCGAGTGGCCTGAAACAGCCCTCGCGTCTCCCCGCTGCCATGTCGAACAGCACCGGGCGAACATTGTTGGAGACGAGCCAAAGCGACCTCAACTCTCGCACATTCGCCGCTGAAGCCATGCCGCCGCCGAGTACCATCAAGCACAAGATTAGTGGTCGTGAGTTTTGGACCATAAAGCTTGAAAGGGGCCATTGACTGACAATGCCCTTCCCTACAGTACCGGAACCACCTACGAAGCGTAAGACGCTGGCCGAACGCGCGGGCGAGCCTCTCAACCCACTGCGATCACACATGCCAGCGCCGAGCAAGCTCACCTTCGCCCGCTCCGAGGGCACCACATTGACTCAAATGGGAGCCCGTCCGGCTTCCTCCAATGCCAACCATGCTTATCGCTCGACTTCGAACGCCGCGACGGTCGGCTCCAACGACAGTTTTACCCGTCATACTGGCCGGCAGAATGGCGTGCGAGGCCGAGCCGCAATCGCTGCGGAGGCAAGAGGTGCGATGGAAGAAGAAGCTGAGATTGGGATCATGGGCAAGCGAAAAGGTACACCCGTTTTATCTTTCCATTCTCCACCCCTGAAAGGAATCGCTTTGCGCAAGACCCGGACCCAACAGGACCTCCGAAATGGAGTCACATTCCCTGGAGCCAGGACTGGATTCGCGCTGGATGCGCGCACTGGCTCCTCATCTTCCGCTTCTTCTACTAGCACAAGGGAGACCGGCCGCCGAGATTTGCACAGCGACAGCAGCATCGTCTCTCGTGAGCGAGACCTGCGAGAAACTGTCGATGGTAAGACTGTGGATTCCGGCCAATCAACGCGCAACACATCCCTCAACAGCCTCAAGAATGCCTTCGATGGCCTTACCCTATCCCCAAACAAGGCATCTCATCGCGATGTGTCTTCCTCAAGGCACCGCCCCTCCCTTTCGCGGATCAAAGAAGAAGCCTCCCCGGTCAAGTCCCCCTCCAAGATCCCCAAGTTCTCTTGCACTCCTTCCCTTCGTCATACCCAATCCACCCAATCCCTCCGCCCACCCCCATCCGTTTCCCCTATCAAACACCAAAGCTCCATGCTTGGCCTGCGTACGCCTGCCACGACTTCCAAAAAGCCCAGGCCTGCTCCCGGAGAGGATTTGCCCATATTTTTGACGAAAGAGAAGCTTACACCTGTTCGTATAGCATGGGACACCAAAGGCCGACTCGAGGACATGGAGCAGATGTATCATCAGCTTCGCTCGCAGTTCTCCTCCGCCGCCGATACGAAAAGCGCACTCGAGGAGAGTCTTTCCGTCTACAAAATGAGAGGTATGTTGGACTTTACAGCTACTCCGTACTGCTGGCTAATGCGCTCTCTTCCCTACAGTGTCCGAGTTGAACCAGCAAAACAAAGAATTGACGTCCGAAAAGCGAAACTTGACCAGCGACCTCGAACGCGCTCGAAGCGACCTACACGCCACGACCACCGACTTGCAACAGGCAAGAAGAGACCATGAGAGAGATATGCAGAATCTGGAACTCAAGCACCGACGCGAGATCCATGACCTGTCCAGCCAGCAGGAGAAAGAGTCCCTACGACTGGAGCGACAGTTGGAGAAGAATGCCGAGCTGGGGGAGCGACAGCTAGAGGATGCGAAGAGAGCATGGGAGAAACAAAAGGACGATGAAACTGCCGCTTTGACGACGCAGCATTGGGAAGAGGTGGAGGAGTTGCGATCGAAACATGAAGAGCAGGTCCGACAACTGGAGGCCAAGGTGGAGGAATTGCAACAGAAGTGCGACAGTCGGGCTTCGGAGTCGGCGAGTGAGGTACAGGCGCTTCACGATGCGATTGCTGGACTCCAAGGGCAGCTGGACGTTGCAAAGACGACGCAAACGACTTTGAAGAGTCAGATCACTGCCGCCGAGGCCCGCTCCACCGCGCTGGAACAGGAGAAAAGCGCTCTCGTCTCGAAAGCACATTTCCTTGAAGGCAACCAGGAAGCTCAGAGTCTAGAGTTCACTTCTATGAGGCAACAGTTGCAAGACGCCATTGACGCACGGAACGAGACGCTGGATCGTTTGAGAACCGAAGAAGTCGTGAGGCGGCGGCTGAACGCGACCATCCTGGAGCTGAGAGGCAACATCCGAGTGTTTGTGCGTATGCGACCCATGTTGACAGGGGAAGTGGAGCCGGCGAAAGTCGACTATCCCGACCAGGGCGAGCTGGATGGCGGAAAGGAGATGGCAGTCCATGCCCCGACGACACTATCGGCGACGGGCAAGGAGAGGAATGAAAAGCACAGTTACGGCTTCGATCGCGTTTTTGGCCCCGACGCAACGAACATGCAAGTCTTCGAGGACTGCAGAGAACTTATTCAGTCCGTCGTCGACGGTTACAACGTTTCCATCCTGTCCTACGGGCAGACGGGCTCGGGCAAGACGTTTGGCATGAGCGGGCCGAAAGGCATCATCCCCTGCGCCATCGCCATGTTGTTGACCGAGATGCAGCGACTGCAAGAGAAAGGCTGGGAGTATCGCGTCGAGGCGTCTTTCGTGGAAGTCTACAACGAGACGCTCAACGATCTTCTGGGCGATGCGAAGACCTGGGATGACAACGAGGATCTGACGGCCAGCGTCCGGCCAGGAGGGAAGCGAAAGGAGAAGCACGAGATTCACCACGACTCGGTAACTGGCAAGACCACGGTATCGAATCTCAGCTCCGTTACGCTGTGGCCACCGCCAGGCAACGACGGAGGCTGGCCGCCCGCCGCGGCGGCAGTGACACCAATCGATGTTGGCGGAGATGAGGCCTCGGCCTACACTGAGCAAGCTGTGCAGAATGTCCTGGACACAGCAGCGAAGAACCGACGCGTGGCAGCAACCAAGGCGAACGAGCGTTCATCCAGAAGCCATAGTGTGTTCATTCTCACCCTTCGCGGCTCGTGCAGTGCCACGGGCGAGAGCAGCGAAGGCGTGCTGAACCTTGTCGACTTGGCTGGTTCCGAGCGGCTGAAGCAATCCGGAGCCGAGGGCGATCGCAAGAAAGAGACGCAGGCGATCAACAAGTCGCTGTCTTCGCTTGGAGATGTCATTGCGGCGCTGGGAAGTCGGAAGGGAGACGAGGGCCAGAGCCATATCCCCTATCGCAACTCCAAGGTAACCATCCCCGTCATCGATACAACTGTGAGCACGTGCTAACATGTTGTCCTGCAGCTCACATATCTCCTCCAATCTTCGCTCGGCGGTACGATTGCGGGCAAATCGAGTCGCACGCTGATGCTGCTGCACCTGTCTCCTCTGCAGGCGCACTGGCAGGAGAGTAGAAGCAGTTTGCTGTTTGGCAGCAAGGTGCATGGAACGCATATCGGGACTGCGAAGAGGAAGTGATGGGTTGGATAGCAGTTCGATGAGCCGTGGCTTGGGCGATACCTACCTAGATATTCTTGTATGATGATGGACAGTGCTGGCATAGACAGAAGTGTGGAGTTTCTTCTCTGAATCTGTGAATGTTGGCGAGGCTGTCAGCCTCGTGTGCTTCGCACGCTCAGGCATCAAGGCAGCAAGTTTCAGCCTGCACCAGGTGAATGAACCTTGAAATGTGAGAAAACACTGCTGCTGCAACATCCTGGCAAGCCAGCAACCTCATCGAACATGGCGCCTCCATCAACGCCAGACAACTTCCCATCGCAGTACGCCCACCCCATCCCATCCCTCACCTTCCGCCTCCCTCACACTGACACCCACACCCGCAGGGCCGCATTCGACTACCTAATTCTCATCGAAGTCGGCCCCGAAGCGACCAAACGCACCTTCCAAGTCTTCAAAGGCGTCATCTGCTTCTACTCAGGCTACTTCGCCACCTCACTCAACAGCGCCTTTCGCGAAGCGCACAACCACGTCGTTCGCCTTCCCACTGAAGACCCCCTCCTCTTCGCATACTTCCACCACTGGCTGTACACCCGCACGTTTTTCGACTCTAGTCTTGATCCTGCCGTCGCGCTGGATTTTGACACTCTCGCGCGACTGTGGGTGTTCGGCGACGCGCATGACATCCCTATGCTGCAGAACGAGGTGATCGACATCCTCCGGCGCAAAATGGACAGCAAGACGTTCTTTTCGGCCGAAGTGATCGCGTACATCTACGACAACACGGTGGAGAGCTCGACGCTGCGGCATCTGGTGAAGCAGACGTTGAAAGACTGGCTGGGTTGGACGTTGTGGTGGGGCCCCGCGGCGGAGTTGGAGAACATGGACTGCGAAGACGTGGTGGACCTCGCGGGGACGTTGAAGGAGATGGACTACGATCCGCGGGAGAGATTTAGTGCTATCAAGGCTGTGCGAGAGAGCTTGTCCCGTTATTGGCAGAAGCATGAGGAGGGGGAGAAGGGCGAGATGCGTGATGGAAAATGAGGGATGCGTTCAGGAAGATTCTCTGGCTTCTTAGTGGGACGAAGAAGTCCTCTCTGTGCGATTGCACATAGCTATGGCTAGTCTGTTGCGCTGGCTCGCTGTTATTCAGCCAAGTCGACACCGCCACAAATCGGCTCGTTTGCTGTTATTTGCCGGATCATTGCCGATATAACGTTCGCTGGTACATTTGAGCGTTGGCGGTGCCGGGTTGGCCTTCGATCTCAAGCATTGCACCCCAAGTGCAATGTCTGGTACAGCCTAGTGTGTGAAGTGACACTTGCGAGGCGGGAGATCGTCGTGGCCAGCTCTGTTTGGTTGATGGCCTTACAACGTTCGCATGGCATTGCAGAGCATGCGGTGGATACCGAGACTCGTAGCGTGGAAAACGGAGAATCCAGAGACCCATCAAAAATCGTCTCCCGAATCCTTCCTCTTCTTCCCCTTCTTCCTAGCACTCTTCATCCCTCCACCCGCGCCATCTTCCGAGTCACTCCCAGCCTCCTTCTTCGCCTTGCTCGGCGCATCAGGAATCTTGTCCACAATATCCGCCAAAAAATCAAAAGTCTCATCGGCTTTGACAGCCCTCTTCATATGGTGGGTGAGAATGCGTTTAGGCCCTTTGCTGCCTCCGCTGCCGCCTGGGCCGGCTCCGCGCGCCTGATCGGCGGAGGCGGAGATGAGTTTGATCATGAACAGTTCCAGCGCGCGGCTGACGACGTGCGGCGTCACCTGCGCCACTTTGCCGATGTCCTCGTCGGCTTGCATTATGCGCTTGATCCGCGCGACGGGAAAGGAAGTCTTCAGCTGGACGCCGCGAGTGGGGTCTTTGGGCGGGGCGGAGATGCCCTGTGGTGGTGCGGTGAATTGAGCGCCGTGTTGGCCGTACGGGTATCCATTCGCATCTAGGCCGCTTGAGTGGGCTTGGTGGTTCTTGCGTGCTCGCTTGGCCGGGGCGTCGGGGAGGTAGTCGTTGTCGCCGTCGTCATTCTCCTGCTTGAAGTGGCCTGCGGGGGGCATGCCGTATTGCGCGTATTGGGCCTGGGTGGTGGGAACGGAAGTCGGTCCGGCGGGGTAGGAATGCGGTTGTTGTTGAGCGAACGGGGCGGCGTAGTGGTTATAGTGCTGAGGCTGGCCGATGGACGCGGCGGCGGGCAGGGCGGCGGAGAGATCGGGCGACTGCGGGCGGTAGGCCGAGAGGTCGGGGGATTTGGGGGCGTAGAAGGAGGACAGATCCGGGGATTGGGGGCGGTAGGTGGAGCCCATGGTGCATGTGAATTCCCTACTCGCGATGACGCAATGACGGCGGTTGGTGTCTCTACACGTGCCGAGCAGTCGAGGCCACTGTCATGTTCCAGCAGGGTGCATGTGGAGCTCGCACGGGCAGCAGTGGGTGCAGTAATTGGCGTGTGGCGTCACGTGTGGTCGAGGGTTGAATGATGCACGCTCTGCCGGATCGGATTGTTGACGTTTTACCGCTTTGGGCGCGGAGGTGGGCAAAAGTGTAAATGTGAGCACGGGCAAGCAAAGCGGAAGGAGCGTTGGGGCACAAAGAAACAGCGACTGACTGGTGCGGCGGCCGCGCGACTTTTATCCCTCGCACCTCTTCTGCTCCACCCTTTTCACGCCAGCCCCAACCCGGTCTAGCGTGCCTTTTGACGTGCAGATCAGGCGGCCAATCAACGCCGACTTCTCACGACACGATACGGTCTAGGCGGACGGGTGGTGGTGATATTGCATGTTATGGTGCTTGCGGAGTCCATGAGCGCTGCTGGGAAGTCGATAGGCAACAGTCTCCCGCAAGCATCTCGTGACAAAGCGGTGCAATTCCGACCGCGTCAATCACTGCCTGATGTCGGGTGTTGTGCTGCATATGACGCAATCCCGAAACAAAGGTGGAAAAGTTGAAACGACAGGTGTATCCATCAATATTCCTCTTTCCTTGCATGCCTACAAATCCACAGCTACTGAGCACACGAGGAATTGACATCACAACTGACGGGACTCGACAAAACCATTCATCATGAACAACAACAAGGACGAGGGCGCGCAAGGCGTGGCCAAGGGAGTCACCTCCACCGTGGGCAATCTGACCGGTGGCCTGACCAAGACGCTCGGTGGTATGTGATCGCCGTTCAGCCTTGTCATACAACGTTGACTGATGAGTTCCATAGGCGCCGTTGGAGCGGTGGGCAAGGGCGTGGGAGACACCATCAACTCCACCACCGGCACCACGCAAGTTGGCGATGGATTGAAGGCGGTGACGGGAGGCGTCGACTCCGGCTCTCAGAACTTTGGCAAAGCCGCGGAGGATGCGGGCCAGTGGAAGACTTCTTGAGCAATGGCAAGCACATGCCAGTAGAGTGCAGTTGATCAAATGGCGACGATCTCCATCAATCCAGCCGGTAGATCCCAAGGCCCCAGCCAACCCGTAGCATCGCCAGCCCAATCGCCATGCCAATGCTATCCTTGATGACGTTTAGCTTGCTCCCGCTGACTTCGTGCCACCCGATCGCCACCTCTACCATGGGGATGTGCGAGCTTTCCGCCAGCATCAACATCTCCACGTCGAAGATCCACCCTTCCGAATGCATGTAAGGGACGATGTAGGGCAATGCAGGGCGGGTGAACAGCTTGAAGCCGCATTGCGTGTCCTTGATTTGGCCGGTCTCGGTAGTTGTGAGGGTTCGGATGAGGAGATGAAATGCCCGCATGAGTGTATTCCGGAGGAGTGAGCGCTAGAGTCGATTCGTTAGTTGTAAATCACGGACGACCTCAGAAGAGGGAGTAATACCTTGATCACCGCGTCGGACCCTACCATATGCGCTCTTGACCCGATGCCAATAGCTCTGCCTTGCTTGTCCTCTGCGTCCTCACATGCTTTGACCAGCTTGCCTAGGTCGTCAAAGTTGCTCGCGCCATCTGCATCGGCAAACACCACATATGAACCTCGCGCGTGCCTCATGCCATGGGTGACCGCGCCGCCCTTGCCCCGATTCTCCTCGAGACGCACAACGCGGATACTCCCAGTGGGAATGCTCTGTGTCTTTGCAAAATGCAACGCAGTCTCCACCGTCCTATCCGTGCTGCCATCACTCACCACGAGGATCTCCCAGCCTGCACGCGGCCGCTCGTGAGCTCGCACATGCCCGTTCCCCGTGCCTTTGCCCGCCGGCGAGCGCGTGCCGTACTGCTTCTGAAGGTACTCCACAGCCTCCTCCAACATCCCCGTCAATCTCTTCTCCTCGTTGTACGCAGGCACCACCACGCTCATAAACACTTCCCCCTCATCGATTCGGTATGCCTCCTTGCCTCCACCCGAGCCTCGGCGCGCCGTTTCCCGAGCGGCGGTGAAGTGATCGTACCAGCATGGCAAGGGTTCGGGCGTTGACACCTTTCCGTCGGGTAGGACAGTGACGAACTGCTTCTCGGATGTTCTGGGCGGCCTAGGTAGCGGAGCGAAGAGGGCAAAAGCAACGTAGAGCTAGATTGTTGACGCGGTTAGCGTGCTTCCTACGGCGAGGGGGAGCTTGGAGAAGATATACCAGAGCGAAGACACCAAAGATGCTGAGCACTGCAGCGAGCGTCCATTGCCATAACGGTATGGCAGCCAGACTATCCAGGAGTGACCATGCCGCGTCTGGGATAGAGTCGGCAGAATCCATGGCTGGTCGGAGGAGGATATGAGGCGACTTCCGTGATGGCAATTACATCCTCGTCTATACGAAGGACGTGACGGCCATCGAACTGAAATGCATCAAAACAGCGTTGAACAATACGCGAAGTAGCAATGGTGACAGCTGGCTGGAAATTCATCTTGTCTGACGTCTGGCTAAATGTCAATGGCGGCCGGGACGTGCTCAGAACTCCACTTGCACACCTCCTCTCTAGATGTCTGCCCGTCATTCCCATCAACTCCCATGCAACCCGTTTTCCAATGACCAACCCAATCCGAGTCGTAGTCACAGGATCAGTACGCCGTAAAATACTGTCTCTATCAACTCGCACACGGCTAACACCGACGACATCAGAACCGCGGAATCGGCAAGGCAATATGCAGCCTCATCGCGTCGAGGCAACATGATCGGCCATTGCAACTTTTCGCAGCGTCGAGGAAAGGCGTCGATCTCGGCCTGAGCGCGGAAAATACCATCTATCCGACCCTCGACATCGGCAGCCGTGACAGCATTCGCGCTCTCGCGCAACAAGCGACCCAGCACGGCCCCATCGATGTCCTCATCAATAACGCCGGTGTCAACCTCGATGACGAGTATAGTGTCGAGAATGCAAAGAAGACGCTGGACGTCAATTACCGCGGGACATTAGAGGTGCGCCGCTGTGCCATGCTTCCATTCAACGCACCCACGCTGACAGCACGACAAGATGTGTCAAACTGCCATTCCGCTTCTGTCCCCGCGAGGCCGCATAGTCAATCTATCGTCCATCGCATCCTCACTCCGCCCCTTCCCCGAGCACATCCAGAAGCGCTTCCGAGATCCCAACATGTCCCTCGACGACCTCGAAATTCTCGCGCAAGAATACGAGGTGAGTGACGCCGAAACTGACGCCGAACGCTCGACTAACCAAACCTCCAAGACCTCCGTCCAACACGGCTCCGAGCAGCAGTCTGGCTTCGTCGGCCCCAAGCGAGCCTACAGCTTCTCCAAAGCGTGCATCAACGCCTTCACCCGCATCCTAGCTCGGGATAATCCAGGCCTTGTCATCAATGCTTGCTGTCCCGGCTGGGTCAACACGGATATGGGCGTATTGGTAGGCACCTCGAAGCCGCCCAAAACGCCCGAGCAAGGAGCCTTGATCCCCTACCACCTAGCCTTCGAAGACATCGGCGATGTGAGCGGTAAGTACTGGGCGAATAGCAGTCTGCGGAGCAAAGAAGCCGGAAAAGTGCAGGAGTGGTGAGCCAAGAGGAGTCAAATAAGTCATTGCATTTCATTCAAGAAAGAGGTTCGAAGCTACCTACTCTAGGCGGGAAGGCAGACGCCCGCGGGAGACTCGCCGCTTGATTCCATCCATACCCAACCGCACGCGCCCAAAACCGCGGCGTCCCGCCTACGGGCTCCCAACCTTGGCTTTGAGCTCGGCGACCTCGCTCGTCAGCTGCTCGATTTGTCGCCCCTGGGACTGCAGCAGCGCTTTGATGTCTTGCAGGACGTCCCGCAGGCCGCCTGCCGCGGAGCTCACCACGCTGGAAGCTGCAGGCAAGGCCTCCTCCTTCGCCGGCTCGACCGGTATTGCCGCAGGTGGTTTTTCGCTTATGCTAGAGGCAGCTGGGAGGCTAGATGCAGTTGCAGGAGGGGCGCGCTCGATCACGGGCTCATTAGCCGGGCTAGTCATATCGGTCTTCGGCGCTGCTCTTCCCGAACTGACTGCGCCGAGTCGCTGCTGGGGATTCTCAATCTCCTCGAATGAGCTGCTGTCATCGTCGTTGTCCGCCTCGCCCTTGTCCGCGAATTTGGAGGCCAGGTTGGACATTGACAGCTTGGTGCCTGCCACCGCTGAGCCCGACGGCGCTGCAACCGGCGCTGGTGCTGGCGGCTCAGGTTTTGGTTCCGGCGCCTTAACGGGAGATGGTGCGGCCACGGGTTCAGGAGGCGGTGCTGATCGTGCGGTGGTGGCGCTCACGGCAACCTGTGTGGGCACCTTGCCGTCGTAGAGATCTTCCATGGAGAATTTGGGTGGCAGAGCGGAGTTGCCGCTTAGCCATTCGGCGCTGGATGTCCCTGCTTTGGTGCCGACGGTGGGAGGGTAGATGTCTTCCTGGAAGCTCTCCGACTTGCGGGGCACGATGAAGGAGATGGGCTCGATGTGGCTGTCGTTGACCGTCTTGAAGGCGCGCATAATCTCGGTTTCGTGGGTGTTGACTCCGCGCTTCGGCATGAACGCCAGGCCTCGCTGCGGCTCCGCCGACTTGTACTCACTCAACGACTCAAACTTGTCATTTTCGTATTCGTAGTATCGGATGTTGCCGTCGCCCTTGCCGGCAATGTAGAGGATGTGACACCCGTCGTCCCAGAAGGGCATGGCCACGCCGGAGCTGGAATCGAGCAGCGTGAAGTCTCCGCCGACGGGCTTTTCGGGGTTCCGGATGTCCCACAAGCCCAGTTGTCGCTCGCTCATCTTCGAGAAGCCCGTCGTCGCCACGCGGTCGAGATCGCCCATCCACACACATCGGCTGTTCTTCGCGCCGGCATGCCCGGCCACCTCGTGCGCCGGCTTCTCCTGCCGCACATCCCAAAAACGGAGCTTCTTGTCGCGCGACGTCGTAACCAACATGTCTCCGTTCGCAGACCACGACAGCGACTGCACGATGTCGTTGTGCTTCAGCGTCAACTTGGACTTGCCGTCCTCGAGATCCCACAGCTTCACCGTATAGTCGCCCGAGCTCGACGCAAGCACATTCTCCGCCGCGGGGTTGAAGAGCACATGCCCGACCTTGCGCGAGTGCCCGCTCAGCTTGCCCACAGGCTTCACATCCGCCGGCTCGTCTGCATCAGTGAAGAGGGTGAAGTCCCGCGGGACCTCCCACAGGAACACCTTGCCGTCGTCGGAGCCGGACGCGATGATGGAGTCGTTGAAGGGGTTCCAGTCGGTGTCGAGCACGGTGGCCGTGTGCCCGCGGAACAACGGTATCTGCTCGGGCAGCTTGCCCTTCTCTTCCAGCGGGATGACGGCGAATGCGCCGCCGCCGCTCGCTTCCCAGTTGACGGCGAGGTACTTGGGATTCGCCTTGACGAGGTTGGTGTCCCACGCATTCTTACTGATGCGCAGGTTGTCGTAGCATTGCTCCCGCCGCGTCGGCCGGCCAAAGACGTGCCCTGTGAAATGGTGTTGGTCAGTCGAGACCACGTAGCTGCGGATGTAGACGGGAACATACGGTACTTTGACGCTCTCACAAACCGGCCTGACATGGGGAAGCGGTGGAGGTGGCTCTCAGGGTCGGATGAGGGTTACACGTGGAGAGGGTGGAGGAGGGGCAGAAGAATGAGGTGCTAGGGCCAGTCGCAATCGCAATGGATATGGTAGGAGTGACAGTAGAGGTAGCTTCGTCGTGTGCTGCATCAGCAATGGCCGAAATTCGAGGCGGCAGCTCGGGTGTGCCTGGGTTGGTCGTCTCCCGCCACGTCACGCATTGACGCCACACACCTCGTGAGGCTTAAACACTTTTCTACCATACAAGCACTTGAGACAGACATCGCGAATTGCGGATTATGAGATTGACGGAACTATCAAATTGCCCATCTCCCCCGTCTATGATTCCCACCAGGGACCCCCCCCCCCCCCCCCCCCCCCCCCCCCCCCCCCCCCCCCCCCCCCCC